AGAGGGTCTCCACTTTCTAGGAGGATTAGGGGTAAGGCCTACCCCTTACTAGCTATTTAAGTTGTCCTTAGAGCCATCCTTAGACTATTAGAGGTGAAGTATTATTATGTAAGGTCTAGCTATAGGTAATAGTATTTACTTTACGCTAGGATAGATAGTGAAAGAATGACTTAATGGTATTAAGTGAATAATACTTAACTTCCCTAAAGCTGGTGTGCGGCGCGGGGTATACGCAGCTAACTCGCTTGGTACGCTAGGACTCTATCAGGCCTTAGCGCCATATGCCACAACACCATAACGAACTTCGCGATCTGCTCGTTACATGGGTCACCCGTGTACTGTGCTATTGGCTGGCTGCCAGCGCGCGATAGCTCTGAGATAAACTACTGCCAGCAGTATATACATGCTTGTCTAGCCTGGGGTTACCGTGACACCCCTCAGTTGTCCTGCCCGAGAACCAACCCTAATAATTCTTTAGGACTAGCTACCCTTCTGGATTTAACAATTTACTGCCAAACGTCTATCTGGCCACTTAGCCCACTAATAGCCCTAATCCTTCCTCCAATCTCAAGAGGACTTCCCTCCCAAACGACCCACTCCTCACCACCGGACACATTTACTTCGATGCCTAACGCCTTGTACACATTCCTGCCCACAAGATCAAGAGCTTGGTTAAGATTTAGCCTTTCCTCACTATTCGCATACGCAATGCCCGCCAGCAATCCCAAGTCCCTTGTTTCCCAAGTCTCCTCAACACTGAGTCCTACCAAAACACCGGCATCAAGAAGCCAGTTGATTGTCGTGCCGTTCGTAAGTGGGGCACCTGTCAGACACCGCTTCTGATCCCAGGAGCCCTGATGTGGCTGCAGTGGGGCAAGGATGACAGGGATCTTGGCTGCTGCGAGCTCAGTGGCTACGAGATGCGCCTCCGCAGCACCGATGACTACAACATGGAGATCTGGCTGGCTGGATGAGGGTGTGGCCTTCAAAATTGCGTGTTCGATTGTAGATTTCAGACGGATGATAGATGCGATCGTGTCGGCGCTGTGAGCGGCCAAGACTAGTGGAAGTGTCCCATTGATTACGCGTTTGAGATAAGCCTTCTCTGCGTACCCATCCTTGGTTGGTATATCGGTGACAGTGGTGTTGTCGTTGATTGCGTCGAGAAGCTTTCCGCGCAGGTTTGAGATGGCAGCCGATACACTGACCGTTGTTTCATCCTTCGCAGCAAGGGTCAACACGTAATGTAATCCGACTTCGTCGGCCCATACCGCATTATCCTCTAGAACATGTTTTGCACCAGTCCGAAATCCAGCACTCACGCCTTTGGCCTGGAATCCGTATTCATTGGGAGCGGAAATGGCGCGCGTGACACCATGCGAATAAGCGTGTGCAAGTTGCTTGCCACCAAAGAGAAGACCATCGATCGCGCGCGTAATGCCATCACTTGGGGGTGGTCCATCATGGGTATCGGGCTCGGCGTCGATCTCTGCAAGGCCGAGTGTGGTGCTGAAGGCGGTGAGAGGAGGTGTCACATGGCCGTTTCTGAGTTGTACGACAAGTGCATTCGCAGACCTTGCCGCTTCAATCTCACCCGTGCAAGTGCCCAAGCACACAAGCTTTCCATTGTGGAAGACGGCAGACATGTTGTCAACGTGCTGCTCCTGAGTAGATTTGCCTTTTGCGATTCCGGGGTAGGCGTACGAGATGCCGGAAAATACTATGGACCCACTGACCGATGACATTTCGAGCTCGCTTGCAAGGCCCGGGTTTGGTGTGATTGGCTCTACGTCCGACTTTTTCAGCTCATAGGGGTCCTTGAACTGTGCAGCGCCGTCGATCCACACTTGCACAGGCGCTGCACCAACAGTCAGCGGGTCGGAATCCCAGACAACGATGTCCGCATCGAAGCCTGCCTTAATCTTCCCAATGCGATCTCCCAAACCTAAGAGGTCAGCAGGAGCCGATGTTACACCAGCAAGAGCAGCGTGATAAGGAAGTCCATTCCCATATGCCTTTGCAGCTTCAAAGACGACGTGTTGGGAGTTCAGGACTGGATTGTCCGAGACGTAGGTCGGGGTGATGTTATGAGCATAAAGGATGGCTCCTGCGCGCTCGGAGGCGGTATATGCTTCTACTTTGTAGTACACTAGATGCGGTCAGCATTGTATCCAGTTGCTAGACCATGGATACTAGGCAGACTACTTACTATTGTCCGCGAATAAAGCTGCAGCGGGTGTACCTCCCCAGGCCCGCTTCAGCACTTCCGGCACCAGATACGTTTGATGAGCGTGATGAAACGCATATACGCGGAACTTGAACTCATTCGTGTGCCGCACAAATGCTTCTAGATCCGGGATTGTGTAGCAGTGAGTGTTGATCCTAACCTGTCCTCTGAGCACTGCTCCAAGTGATTCCCACCGCAGGTCTTGTTTCAAGTACGTAGCCATGTTTTCAGCACCCCTAGCATCGGCAGAGGTACACCAATCATCTTGTTCCCTAACATACTGTTGCGCCTGTTCAAGCGCATGTCGGAACTCCCATGCTTCGCCTAAGCGACTCACTGGCCCATGCTCACCTACCTTTCCATATACACGCTTCGGATTCTCGCCACAAGCCATCTTCATGTAGCGCCAGTTTCTGTCTGGGTCCGCATAAAGATCCTGCTGGCTGATCTCCTCTCTCCCATTCTTTTTGCCCACGGCAAATTTCAGAACGAAGGCTTCGCCACCCATGTTGTTTCCACTTCCAGGAAGAAATAAACTTGTTGTTACACCGCCGCTCTTAATGTACTCCATTTCCGGCTGCAGGGGATCCACGCCGTCAATTGACCGTACATAAGGTGTGATGTCGGAGGACATTTCGTTGGTATCATCTTGTAAGCCACCCTCACTCGATAAACCAGCATGGCTGTGCATGTCAACAATGCCTGCCGTCAACAAGCGGCCATGCGCCTCGAAAATGCTGGTATCAGATGGCAGCGACTTTAGAGCAATGCTAGGGCGTATCTCGACAATCAGGCCCTTGTCGACAAAAATATCGGACGATATCCACGACCAGCCTTTGCCGGCCCTTGCATCTGACTCAGAAGTACCTGCTGCAGGCTCGCCAGTCCAGATGGTGGCATTGCGGATGAGCAGAGGTTTGGTACCCTTGACCCAGCGTTTGTTGTGATCACGTGCTGTACTGACCTGGGCTGGTTCTCTGCGTAAAGTAGCACATACTGCGTGATCTTGGTGCAGACGTTCGATTGAAAGAGTGCTAGTGGACTTCCGCGTGTTGTTGGCAATCCGGTATGCAGAGATCGCGAGAAACACTAAGCAAGCAGTAGCAAGTACACGGAAGTCTCTTCTCCTTCGTCTTCGGTTGATCCAGGTCGGAAGCGGCATGGAGGAAGGTGCCGTCGCATCGCGGTATGTGGGGAGGTCATCGGAAAGTTGCTTGTCCATGTTGGCTGTGGCGACCCAAAGATATGAGATGCTTTGGGGCCAAATGCAAAGGAAAGAATCCCGGCGTGCCCAAGCTCAGATATAAAGAAGCTATCCCGTCCCCCTGGGATGGAATAGGAAGGTCCCTGGCGCACTCGATGTCGAGATAAGACGTTTGAGGCGGTCCCCGCTAACGTGACGCCATCCCAGCCTCCACATTTCGCGAGGATCGATGCTTCGCCTAATCTCACTAAATCTAGCTTTGGCCTCGTGACTATGTGCAAAGCGATACACGTACTGCTGGATTGCGTATGTAATCGAAAGTAGTATCATTCTGTGTGAAGTAAGGGTTAGCGAAACGGAGCACGTGCTCGTGCACAGCTACAAGGCTGGGTCCACGAGTGTGAGTTTCCCGGAGCATCTGCGCTAAGCTCTTTCAGGATGGCGTCGTGACTAAGGCCTTGCTGCACCCTCGCCGCGTGCTTTTCCCTTGCATGTCCAAATCACCACAAGGCCATCCACGGGTCCCTTTGCACTAGAAAACACCGCGATCAGCCCCTTTGCGTGATACCACGAGGAGGGTAGCTAGACGGTGTCTGAGTTGGTGCAGAACCCCTGAGAGCGTAAGGTATAGCAACGGTTGCGTGCCAGGATGCTCAAGCACTCGTGGAGGATGCTCGAGCTTGTTGAGGCCTTGCGACTCCGATAACTCGCTTTGCTGGCGGCTTGTAAAGCACCGATCGGATATTCCTCTAGGTCTGTGGAGCGGTGTTGCGCCTACTGCGTTGTTTTCGTTCCTAGAAATCCATTGACACTTTCACCTCGAACCACATCGTCTTCGTCGGCCACACATCTCCGATACCTATATCACGCAGCGTCAGCCCACGCCCGAATGGCAACTTGGCGAGCTTCCCATTCGCTCACGTACTCGCTTGAAGCCGATTTGCCGCTGGCGACATGGTTTTTCATGGGGCAGCGCCGCACACAATTATGTTGCATACAGATAAAGTGCAATTGGATGGAAGAAACCTGGGCGCACGTGTACGCATCTATCTATAACTCCCCGGCTTTGACACTCGGGACTGTGGGGTAGCGCCATTTCTGCAAATGCCGCCATCATTGTGCGAAAACTACAACAGGTTCGGTCTCGCGCTCATGTTAGAATCGCAGCAATGAGTCGCCGCGGCATGGTCATATTCTGCTCCGTCACATTCAGCAATGTTGGAGCTGTAGAGTCCATTTCACGAATGGACAGCAATCTTTGCGCTGGGTCATGCCAAGCAAGGCCTTACGATCCGTTGGCAGATCCTGAATGCGTGCTCTTGCCTCAGTACCACAATCTCCATCTCATTTATAATCACTAACGCTGAAAAATCTTATTCGCTCACAGTTCAGTCATCTCATCCTCCGGGCTTCTCCAACTCCCCTCACCGCGTCTCCAACTACCGACTTTGCAAGGTCTTCGTTCTCCATAGGCCCGGCTAATCTTCCCAGCTTACTTTGCCATTGCACAACATTTACCCAGCCAAGCTTTCCCTAGTACTGCAATGTACCCCAGATGCCAAGGTCTCACAGATGCGTCTTATTGATGATCACAATCAAGCAGAAGCACGTGGGACTCGGCACTCATCTACACAACCTATCACGATGTTAGCGATTATAACTAGCAATCTGTGAAGAAACGCAACGCCGCGCATTTTGCGAGGCTGTGGTGTGTTATGTTGGCAGGAAATGGTCCATCCTGCACAGTATCCCTGTGATTCTGTTGTTTGCGGTATTCAGCTCCCGGCATCCAATATCAACATCCGGAGGCTGCGAGTATAATACCCCAAGCGACACCCTGTGCCCAGACTGTAGAGCAGTCTCCTTTCTATACACCAACTTCTGCTGCAGCGACTCAAGATGGTCCAACTTTCCCAAGCTGTGACTGCCGCTATTCTGGCAACCGGGGTCTTTGCTCATCCAGGCGGCAACGTCAACAAGGAGATTCTAAGGCGCCAGGCTCATCTCGACCACCCCGAACGCCGAACTGTCCAGTCATGCAAGAGGGATCTCGTCGAAAGCGGTTGGGTAAGGGAGCAGCATCAGAGGCGCGAGGCCAGACTTCACGAACTTCGAGTTGCTGCTGGCTTTGCTAAGCCGGGAGACCTTGTTCGTCGAGACGTTGGCGAAGTGGAGGAAGAGTACGGTGTTGAGGCCTCTTGCACCCTTGATCCCGAGGCAACTGAGGGCCCATACTGTAAGGCAGCCACTCATTTGCATACTACGACAGGTACTGATTCGAACAGGGGTCGTGGGTGAGCTGGTTCGTCAGGATCTGCTGACCGGCGAGAAGGGTGCCATAACGCACTTGGACATTAACGTCGTGGACACTTCGACCTGCAAGCCAGTCACCGACGCATACCTTGAGATGTGGGGCTCTAATTCCACTGTAAGCAGTAAGATATCTATCCTATGACTTGAGCTGACGATACAGGGTGTTTACACTGGCGTTCAAGCCCGTGGCAACGGCGACGGTGGACCATCGTCTCTAGTGAGCAATGCGCTTCGCGGCTTGCAGCCGACTAGTGCGAATGGAACCGCAACCTTCATTACCGTCATTCCAGGCCACTACGTGGGCCGTACAAATCACCTACATAGTGAGACTCCCCGTTCTATCAATCATGACATCGCGTATGTCCTAACTCGTTTCAGCCATCGTTCACCACGGCGCCACCCTTCTCCCCAACAATACCATCTCTGGTGGCACCATCTCTCACGTCGGTCAATTCTACATCGAGCAAAACTTCCTCAACCAAGTCGAGAAGACCGCGCCGTACAACACCAACACCCAGAAACAGACCACCAATGCGCAGGATTTCCTCTTCAATATGGGCAAGCAGGGAGGCGATGACCCAGTTATGAAGATCTCGCTTATCGGTAGCAAGATCGAAGATGGTCTTTATGCCACTATCGATGTTGGCGTGAACCCCAAAGCTAGGCGAAACCCAGCACCCGTCAATATGTGGACAAGTTCTGGTGGCAAGCCATACCCGAACAGCCCTTGGACTGGGTATCCCGACACGTGAGTTTCCATTCTACTCATGCACGAGGCTACGTACTTATGTTTATAGCTGCAAGAATTGCGGATTCGGTGGAAGGCCTCCGACTGTATAAAGAGATATCGTGGAAGAATGCTTCGGCACTGAGGCAGCCAGCACGGTTCATCTTGCATTGGGTATCATTCTTGCGTATACCTATATACGAGCACTTCTCGGTGACGTCAGTTTCAAAGTCACCTTGCCGTACCGGTTTCAATGCACATCAACCTCTTTCAACAAAACACTGAGCCGAAAGCCAAACTTACTCCCCCAATAGCCTTCCGGTCGATTGAACCCTCTGACATCATTCCATCCTCTTCTGCGCCAATAGTCTCCGTTCACTTCTTCTACTGCATGCAACCAAAGCTTTACCTTCTCCTCTCCATGACTCTGCTCTTGCGCTATCAAATCCTGTGTTATTGTCTCGATACATCGTCCTACCAAACCCATTTTGCCCCAACCGCTCTTCGTAGTCACAGCCTTGATCTCCCACCCATCCTCATCCTGTGCGCCAACGCCATCCATATCCCCGTGCCAGCGCGAAATGCTCGCTACTGCGACTGGTTCCGTTTGACCACCCTCGCGTGAGATGTGATATATCGCAGCAATCATGCCATCAGTGCCGAGCATGTCGTGGATGTCGGTCGGTGTATGGAAACGGACGGGCTGATGGTCCCAGCGTGTGCTTGGATAGAGCGAGGAAGTCGCATATCCCTCGTTGATGAATGTTGTCAAAGTATGAGCCAATGCATTGTCTTTTAGTATGTCCGATGCGCGATGCAAATGTGTCTGAACGATAGGTGGAGAAGACTTGCGGTCTGGAGATGCGGACCGATTGGAGCCTTCAACTTTGGGTGGTGCCGGTGTCGCTGGGATGTTCGATGGCATTGCGGGTTCGTGCCGGATGGCAAGCATGAACTTCACTATCGTATTCGAAGAAAAGAGCAAGTACCTGTGAGGGATGGAGATTTACTTCTAGCCAAAAGGATGCGGTTCAGTGTTCTTTTATCATGGAGTCACGAAGCGAAACCCGAATCCTTCTAAATCGCTGTTACGCCCTATTGGTGACAAGCTTCCGTTTTAGGGACATTCCTACCATTAACCCTTTGGGGGATAGTGGGAACGCCAAGTTCTGTTGGCTTCTACTAACCACAATGTGATTTAATCTGATGATTGTTAGGACTATAGGCGACACCAGTAACGTCAGGGAATTTGTCGACGGTGAATAGCTAATGCGATGGGATTGCTGCTAGTCGTATTGTAAGATGGATGATAACACAATTAAGATTGTTTACCTAGACATGCTCAAATATATCAATTCGGAACTGTATCTGCAATGTATTTGGTGTCAATGGACAGATATTTTCACATTATAGCAATATTGTGTAACATATCGGAAGGGAGACATCGATGCAGCCAGCGCATCGTACGATTGCATAGTGTCTCTACAACGCATCGAATCTTCCTCGCACAAAAAGAAAGTTACTACCGCAAAATCCCTCTTTCCCCCTTTACATACACTGCAATAAAAGATAATATTGGCAAAAACAACGCGAGACGACAAGAAGTGGAGATTTTCATGTCTTTTCTGTGCATCATTCCACTAGTTTGGGGAAATGGCGCCCGCATGTTTTTTGCTTTAGCAAAGAAGTGGCTTCGGCCGCTAGCTCTCAGCAGTACTGATAGCACAAGCACGATTCTCTTGACCGAGTGCGAGAAGTACACTGAGCTTTTATCGCCGGCACTCCCTTGCAGTAGGTCGCGGCCTGGATGGATGACACGTGGTTTTGACGCCCATACATACCAGGATCGTGCAGAGCATTTCCCCGCCGTTCCAATATTTGATACGGCCGAGTGCGAAGAGGCGGCTATGCGCGCGGCACATGCTCAAGCTGGTCTTTTGCCGCCTGCACGCCCCCTTTTTGCACCAGATCTGACCCCCATCGACGGGGCGAGTGCAGTTGGAGCGTCATACAGGCAAGATGCTGATATTTTCATACATGCAGAGGAGGCGCGCGATGCTTTGCACACGTCGTTGCACTTCGCTGCCGGCAAGGCAAGGTCGCGATATCAGCACAATCACCCAGCCTTCGCCAGTCCAAAGACTCCATGGCTTTTGTACTCTTCTCCTCTCGCTGGCGAGATGACGAGGTACACCACGAGGACATTCCAAGATTGTCGTAACTCGATTCGCGTTGCGCCGCCGTCACAGATCCGTCTTGAGCTTGAGACGTGTCTTATTCTTGCGTTTGCCCCGTACCTGCTTTCTAATAACTTCAGGAACGCTAATGGTAAGAACACCATCGTGCCTAAAATTTATACTTCCTTCTTAGAGGAGCAATCGAAGCGATCCCCTCACGCAATGCGTAATTTCATCTCCTTCTGTGAAGAGGGTCTCGTTGAGGATGGAGAAGACTTGTTGCAGATCTGGGCGGCGTGGCGGTGGGTGGTGACGACGTATGTAGGCATTCTTGTGTTACGTCACAGGCAGCGTCCACGTGAGGAGATTGCCTGGTTTTGAACATCTGTAAGGGAAATGAACACTCATGCTGTTGGCTGGCCTTCAAGATTTTCACATTGTGTATCATGTCCATCTACGCGGCCCTTTCCATGATATGCCTAGTTGTATCATATACACACATCGATCGTGTAATGATCATAGCGTAACTCAAGAGTGACGGACACTGAACTGACGGTTTCGAAAAATCTTTGACGTAGCTTCATCTTGTAATTTCATGACACGGTCATCATGATGATTGCTCACAGCTAGATCGACAGCAAACGCAGGGCTTCGACTCATAGAGAATGTTTTAGTCACAGAATATTGTCTCAGCTAGCAACTACTTTCCACGATACCCACATGGCAATGGATTACTTCAACGAATGTACAATCAAGACCATCACATCAAGGTTTGTTACCAATAGACGACGCTTTATGCGAGGATATTCTCGCCAATTGATGGAATGTCTCCGGTGCGGAACCGCAAACTCGAACTATGGTTCTACGCGTCGAACATTACGCTGCATCCAAATCCGAAGCATGATGGACGTGTGATTGCTCGACATCTGATGACTGCAGAAGAAGCTGTGCATAGCTACTCGCTAGCGGGGCTCTTTCGTATGCGAAACCTCGAGCGAATTGAACTGAAATGGTTTCGCCCATGGAGATACTGCACGAATGATTACGAGCATGGGGTATCCATGGCATGGCGTGACGCGTCTAGACGCGGAGAAGGAGAGTTTGGCGAGCGCATGGAGGAGCTCAGCAGCGGATCCGCGGCGTCGGGAAGAGAGGTCTCGGTAGAGCTGGCGCCTGCTTGAAGAACAGGGAGTGCAGGATAAACTCAGAGCTCTTCACAACAAGCGACGTTGCCAAAGGTGTCGGAGTTTCCCTGCGCGCAGTCACAAGATCGCTAGCCAGCCAATCAAAGAGCCGTCATATCACCTACGTCGCACCCCGCCAATCAAAGAGCCGTCATATCACCTACGTCGCTCCCAGCCAACCACAGATCAGACGAGGGCGCTGACCAGGGGCCGCCCTGGAGGCCATGACATCACGTTCCTGAGCGGTCCCCAGCCCAAAAAGAGGGCCACACATGGCCGAAGGCAGCCGCGTTGGAGCTAACAGCTGGCGCACCCACTACTCGCGCGTCCTCCCCTCAGTTGCTAGCAGCCCACTTGCCTGTCCCCTCACCGCTCCCAGCAGAGAACGAAAGCGCACCACACGAGCACACGCAACACAGAGCTCTACTTGACAACAAAGCACCGCGGCCAAAGCACCGCGGCTACCCTCGAACACTCACCACCCCACACAGTAGCCTCTCCTCAGATCAACATGGCCGCCGCTGCCGCCTGCCCAGGTACGTTGAGACAGCCAGGCCAGTGCCAGTCACTGGGAGTCCTCCAGACAATCTCTGGATGCTAAGCTCTGGCTAGTCATCGGCTCGACCAACGATGTCCTCCCGCCCAACCACCCCGAGGTCGACCTCACCAAGGATGGCCAGGTAAGAGACGGCGACGAGCTCCTGGCCTTGCTTCGTGCTGATGCGTTCACGCAGACATGCCCAGTTGTAGGCGCCACCACCGACCACCACCACAACCTCCAGAAGCACCCCTCGGTCCCGATTCCCGAGCCCAAGTCTCCCCTCGCGACCCAGTGCCCCGCACTCAAGAGCGCAGTCCAGGAACCCAAGAGCCAGGCTATGGACGATGCAATCTGCCCCGTCGTGGGGACCGCTACCACGATCCTGCCTCCCGACCATCCCGATACCACCAAAGCACAAGAGGGCGACGTGTGCCCCGTGACAAAGGCCTCCGTCGGCCACCACAAGCAGAAAGTGCAACCGCACCCCAGCCTGCAGGCTGCAAGCGATGTGGCCGTCTGCCCGGTTACCGGCCAGCATGGACCCGCGCATGCGTAGACGTGGACGGCCGTTCCTTCATACTTGGATAACACGGATGGGCAGATTGAGGCGTTGGATGGATCTTTGGCTTGCGACGTTTGTTATGATCATGACACGAATGAAGGCCTCGACGGGCTTAACATGACCACTGCCTAAGTATGTGACACTTTCACACCGTGATGTTTGGGCTATGGCAGTGTGCGACACGGGGAGTCTCGAGGGGCACAGTGCAATGTAAGAGTCCGTATATTGATCGTCGTGTTGAACATCATGATTGGTATTGCGCAACTATTTGCAGCCATCAGTGCATCGACTCGTTAATTGTAGATAGGCATCGATGGAGAGAAACCAGTCAGCCTCTCGCCATTACTCGGACGGAACTTCTTCTCCTTGTACCACTCATGCGCCGTCTTGGACAGCTCCTCCACCTCGCTGAACTCAAACTTGGGCTTGGGGAGCCCACCGTAGATACCCTTGGCAAGGTCCGGGCCGATGTTAAACACTTGCGCAAGGTACTTCTTCTGCGACGCCTGTTAGATTACACTGAAGCGTTCGATGTTGTGAGGTTTACCTGGATTTCCGGAGTAGTAACAAACTTGAGCATGTTGGCCGTATTCTTAATCGTATTCTTCTTCTCCTGCTCGCTCATGACCCGCGACCACAGCTCCTTCGCCTGGTCATGCTCGTTCTTCTTGCCCTCGTGCCAGTAGTGGCTCTTCCGGCTCATCACGTTGTCGCTGACCTGGTACGGCGCCTCGGCCGTGTCTGGCCGGAACTTGTGCGCAAAGCTGTTCGGCGCATATTGCTTGTTGCCGGCGTGATTCGCATCCGTGCGCATCGCGCCGTCAAAGTTGAGGGGCGCGAACGACTTCGCCATGAAGGGGCAGTTGACGGGGATCTGGTGGAGATTGACGCCGATGCGGTGGTACTGCGCGTCGCGGTAGAAGAACTGTTGGCAAGGCAATCAGCCATGCTTCTATCAGATAACAAGGCAGTAACCGTACCATGCGGAACTGGAGAAGCGGGTCAGGCGAGTCCTCAATGCCGGGGACCATGCTTCCGGGCGAGAAGGCAGCCTGCTCGACGTCGCGGTGGTAGTTCTCCGGGTTCTTGTTGAGCACCATGCGACCGAACTCTTGCATGGGGAACTGCTTGCGCGGCCAGATCTTTGTCACGTCGAAGGGGTCGAAGCCGAGCTTCTCAGGATCGGCGTCTTCGGGCTGCATAACCTGCACGTGTGCCTTCCAGACAATCTCCTCGCCTTTCTCGATGGCCTCGTACAGATCGCGCTTCGAGTAGTCGGGGTCCTCGCCGCACATCTGGTCGCCAGAATATTAGCAGAGGCCATTATATGTATTTGCGAAGTACGCCGAACCTGTGTTGCTTGTTCCTGCGTGAACTGTTTCTGGCCATGCTCGGCAATGAAATGGTACTTGATGTACACGAATCTGCCCTCCTTGTTCACCCACTTGAAAGTGTGGCAGCCGTAGCCGTGATTGAAGCGCCATCCCTGAGGAGTGCCGTGATCACTGAAGAACATCAGACCTGCGTGATTACCCTCGGGGGTGTTAGCGAGCAAGTCAAAGATGCCATCATAGTCGAAGAGAAAGTTCTTGGGGTTCCAGTATTGTGATCGAATGACGTCTGGGCCCTGGATAGGGTCACGGCAGAGAAAGACAGGGAAGTTAAGACCGACGATGTCGTAGTTGCCCTCCATGGTATAGAACTTGATTGCGAAGCCGCGGGGATTACGCGCCTCGTCGGGATACTCGCGTCCAGGCGTGACGGTACTAAAACGAATAAATATGGGCGTTTTCTCGCCGACTTCTGAAAGGAAGTTGGCTTTTGTAAGGCCGGAGACATCCTTGGTGACCTCGAAGTAACCGAAAGCGCCTGAACCGCAAGGGTGCACCTGGCGCTCAAGTGTCTTCGAGCGATTGAATGTCTGCTGCTTCTGAAAGAGCCACACGTCGCTAGCAACTGGAATTCCACCAATGGTCTTGGAATGAGCTGGGTCCGGAAACGGGATGCCTATACTCGCGGGCACAGAGTTAGCTGAGTCACTGAAGCGGGTTCATGTATAGCCTGCCTATGTCAGAGGCATAGCGGCTTTGTACCCGTCTTCATGTTACCTTCATTGTTCGTGAAATAAGCACCGTCATCCTCGCGCTTGCCGCCCTTGACAAAGCCGGCCACCTTCGCAATGATGTCTGCCGGCCCCTCATTCGCACTCTGCATGTGGGAGGCGCGAGGAGCACGGCTCTCCCCCGAAGCTGCACCTTGGATGGCCATTGCGGTCGCCTCGAGAGGGTGACGAAGCGGGTCGGTTTGATTCGAGTTGGAGCTGGTCATGTTGGGCGATTTGGAACTTAGGTTTGAGGAAATCTCCATTGTATGGAGAGGTTGGGCCTGAGATTAAAGAGGGGTTGCAGTAAGTAGCGGTATGCCATGGCAGCACAGCTGGAGCTGGCGGTGAGGGGCCATAATTGTCAAAGTGATTATGTCCTGACGTATACCTAATATTGATATTGCGGATGTTGCACCATAGGTGTTTTCACGATGTCAACGGCACGTCAACCGGTGTCACATTCGTGCTGAACGTCGAGGCTTGGTGTCTTGGGCAAAGCGGAGAAATGGTAATCTTAGAGATATACATGATGGTGAAGTTGCGTCAGGCCAATCACAGCGGCTGGGTGTCCGCGGGCCGTCGTCCTATCAGCATACACCTGACAACCACCACTGTAGCGGAAAAATAACTTACTAATCACCATCTAAGGGCCATTCATTTGGCTATAATTACACCTTGGCATTTTCTCTCTAGTTCTGTGTCTAGTGCTGTGATAATTTGCCGGCTGTAGAGAAGTGCGTTGCACAGGCGGACAAGGTCAAGTCGTAGCTCCTGCAAAGTCAACAATGCATTTACAATTTGGCACTGGTAGCTCTTGAAATTTTCGGTACATGTCGGGGGGCTTGGTACAAAGAGTGCGTGAATGATGGTGGTGTCATCCGAGTGCAATTCTACCGACAACACCGACTTTTTAATGGGTGCAATCCTCCACACAATATCATGTGGCTCTGTCTGGACACAATTTCACCACCTGATACACAGTTAGGTAGACTGTGCTGATTCCTTAAGATGGCGGACTTCACAACGCATGCTGAAACGGAAGCTACGGCACTTCGCATCAGATTGAAAATGGCCAAACATCGACGTTGGATTATCCAACCAAGGCTCTAGACGCAACCTTGCGCGGTGAGGAACACGATCCTACCGGATCTTTTGCCACCGTATGTCCAACTTCTTTGATGACTATTCACAAACTTAGCAAAGCATTGCAATAATACTGATAATGTCAGCTAGTAGCTGACGCATAAGTCCAGAAACTCGGGCGCACGACGAATCCTGCAGTCATTCAATCTGCTATACGCTATCATCGATGTTGATACGTAGGAGCGAGCTGCTCACGTTCGCCTTACTACTCTCATCATTGTATGCTATGCCACTACGTCTGAAAATCTTCAACCTCATAAGCCTAGCTTGATTCATTGTTCTACTACGAGAGCATCAGGATGAGAGCCGTGTAAGCCTCAGGGAAGATCAGCGCATCAACCGGCTATATGCGAAATGCGAAACAACCGCATTGAGCAGCTGAACACCAAGGCGGATCTCTCCAAATATAGAATCTAGCTTATGGCATTGAGGTATAGTACGGCCTTATCGATCGGTTTTCGCACGTACCTTATCAAAAGGTTTTCCACCTTGCGCTAGAATTTGAGAACGCACGAAAGCAAGATTATTTGATGCGATCTAGTCATGCAATGCGCCTCGGACCTGCGGAACCCTTCTCACGGAGATACTGGGACGGCAAGCGGAAGTAGCTTTACCCATCTCCAGAAAGATTCTGCCCCTAAGTTCCAACGCCAGATATTCGGACCCTCAGGAGCTTGCTGGTACCATTGATTTTCGCCTCGTTTGACCTCGATCCTTTACCTCACCGACCGTGAGGTTCTTTATGTACAATCAAGTACGGGCGGCGCCTTTTCGTATACCCAGATCATAACGACTGGTTATGGGTTCGTTGGTACAACATCAACCATTGCCCTCGCTCGCCTCGCGATCAACTATGTGGTGCCGAAACGCCCCATCGTCAAGTCGGCCTTGTGTCTCTCCGTATCTCTGCAACATCGCATGTGGGTGTTGTACGTAACTCTTGCCGCTGGATCACAGAAGCTCTCAAGTGTGAAAGCGGGCAAGATTGCACCATATTCGACCGTGAAAGCAGAAAGAAGGTTCGTCACAAAACGGTACTTCGCAGCGCCATTCCTCTTCTGGAAGCTACTCTGGAGCACCAGGTTCAATTTGTTTTTGATGTACAGAAATCTTCTAGCAGCTACATCACATGCTTATACATATGTGTGGTAGAGTATCGTGTCTCTTTGTGTCGCAGTGAGTCCATTCCGCTTCCAAACATACCTCGTAGTCAACGCAGTGTACGCGATATGGCAAGTCCAGACCACCAACCAGAGCTGGATCCCTGTATTGTGTGTGTGTGTGTGTGTGTGTGTGTGTGTGTGTGTGTGTGTGTGTGTGTGTGTGTGTGTAGGAATTGACAGTATTTAGGCCCAGGCAGGAAACTTTGCTGTACATGTAACTGCGTGTAGTGACATTCGTCTGCTAATCAACGGCGGTTGCAGAGACATGACCACTACACGACAACTAATCAGCCTTCTGTACTCTGATGCCGCAGACACACTAACGAGAATGATGAGTCAACGCGACCATTTACGAACATTGTCAAGAAGGAGGACTAACAAGGTATCTTAATAATGGCGCTTCCCATTCGCTTGGTGTGAAAGTGAAGAAATTCGGTATTATGGGCCTGCTCGCTACCGGTACAGATTATGTGGTCGTGGCGATAGTCGGGATAGCCCCAATCACAAGAAATTTGTACAAGTACGAAGGTATCGACAGAATGTGGCTGTCGATACGTGTTGTGGTTGAATTTTCACTCGGTAAGATGTGTTCGTCTCTAGTATCAGTTTGCTCTTTGGGTATCCAATCAGCAAGTCAAAATATGGGTTAGATTTTTTATCCTTTTTTTCTAAAACCAAATAGGATGTTACAATGTTCGGAACTTTTGGAGCCTTACCTGACGATTACTGACACCACTTGGAGCTGTTATCAACGCTAGTCCTACACAAGACTAGCGTATCTACTATCGTATACTGCGGCTATATAGTAACGCCCGCACTCAAGAGTTAGGACTTATGCGATTCGATGCACCCTCATTACATCTCCCTCAACGGTTGAGGTTCGTGTCCACACTTGCTGGTCTGTTCCATCTCGCACGCGAGACGAAGCCCTCGTACAACCCACTTGGCTACCAGATGCAGCAGGATGGTGGATCCGGTTGAAAAGGTCGGCCAGAATATGCAGTTCCTTTTCAGGCAATACAAGGCGTAAACAAAAGCATTTAGAGCTCGATACCACAGATTCGATATGGATGATGCGAGTAGTCAAGAAGAACTCACTCCTGGTACGAAGAGTAATGGCATCATGGTTACAACGACTCTACAACAGGCCCACGGTGCTGCGAGTGATTGATGAGGTACCTAAATGCAGACTTAGAGTTAAAAGAACGAAATTGCGGTTTCAACAAATAACCGCATTCGCCATCATAGGCCCCAAAATCGAAGAATTTGGTTCGGGCGCACGTTCTCCTTTGGAGAATAACTCCAGTATCGCTTGTCCCTTTACTCCCATTGCTAAAGTCTCCCCCACTCGTTACTTTTGCCCTTCATGCGTGCGCGTACGTGGGCTCGAGCAGCGTTTTCCCGACGGGTAAATACCATAGGTACTCGCGCACTGTTCACGCGCTATGATGAGCTCATCGCCTGCGTCCAGACTCTGCCCATTCATTCGACCTAGAACGCCAAGGTATATTGTTGGGTATATCGAATCTCGTCGCGTGCCAAGTTTGATTCCGATCGACCAAGATTCACTCTTGCACGTGGGAGAGAAGTGACGCAACTTCATCAATCGCAAACTCGGAACTAGGACAACAAATCACTTAGCAGTACTCTCGCAGCAACTGAGCGGTTTTATACAAGCGACGCGCGATGCTGTATATTCCCTTGTCAAAGGAGATTTACTTGGGCTATCACGACCAATCACCGAAGCTTGTTGACCAACTAGCTTGGGCGAAAATATACAGCGAGAAGTTGACCGGGTCGCAACACATTGATTGAGAGATTGAGAAGATGTGATGCAGCCTCTGGATAACGTAACTTCGACTTGTACTGTTATGAAGCCCCTGGCTGGCTTCCAGCTGGCCACTCTCCACACTTGGCCTGTCCTCCCCGCGCGCAACACAGGCAGGAAATTCACTCACTTCTCCTATCAAAATGTTTCTTCGGATCCTTTGTTTCCTACCACTCTTTTTCAGCATCATATTGGCCGCTACAGCCACACAGTGGCGAAGTCGATCTATCTACCAGATTCTTACAGACCGATTTGCAAGGACGGATGGTTCAACAACTGCGCCATGTGAGCCTGGCTACGAAGGTTTCTGCGGTGGCACCTGGTACGGTATCTCTCAAAAGCTTGATTACATCCAGGGCATGGGATTTGATGCAATCTGGATCTCCCCTGTGGTAGAACAGGTATCCAACCCAACACGAGCATACCATGGATATTGTGCCAAAAACATATACTCTCTGAACGAAAATTTTGGCTCTGCGGAGGATCTGAAATCGCTTTCTATGGCATTGCACGCCAGGGACATGTACTTGATGGTGGATGTTGTACCGAACCACATGGCGTTCGACGGAAATGCGACAGACGTGGACTACAGCACGTTTCACCCTTTCAACGATCGCTCGTTCTTCCACAATGTATGCTTCATCACGGATTGGACCAATGTCACGCAGATCCAACAATGCTGGCTTGGCGGAGAAGTAAATCCGTTGCCGGACCTCAATACTACTTCGCCAAAGGTGCGTACAGAATGGAACACCTGGATCAGGTCCCTCGTAGCAAACTACTCGATCGATGGCATCCGGGTGGACACTGCACAGAACATCGAGCAATCTTTTTTCCCCGACTTTAGCAAGGCCGCAGGGGTCTTCGCTCTTGGAGAGGTTGCCAGCTATTACACGCAATACGCTTGCAATTATCAATCCTTTATGGATGGAATCTTAGGGTATCCGGCATACTACACATCAGTTTGGTTCTTCAATAACACCCAGGCACTGTCATATAATATGCTCTACGATTTTCTAAATACGAGCTCCCTTTGCAGGGATACGAGTCTTGTCGGAGAGTTCATGGAGAACCACGATAAACCACGCTTCCCCAGCTACACAAGCGATATGAGCCTAGTGAAGAACAACCTCGCGTACATAATGCTAAAAGACGGGATACCCATTGTCTACCAAGGCCAGGAGCAACACTTGAATGGTGGGACTGATCCATTTAATCGCGAAGCAATCTGGTTATCCGGGTACAACACAGACGCGGAGCTTTACAAGTTCATCAAGCAGTTGAATGCAATTCGAAAGCTGGCCATATCGAAAGCATCGTCAATAGTTACATCATTTCTCACAAGCAAGGCGACTGTTGTCTACTATGATGCGCATAATGTAGCTTTTTCGAAAGGACCAGCGGGTGCCAGGGTGTTGACGGTGATCAACAACAACGGAGCAAAAGCCGGGAATTATACATTGAGTATACCCAGGTCGGGTTACACGCCGCGTACAGAGGTAGTGGAACTGTTTACATGCACGCGTATGACTATTGGGAGATCGGGAAATCTCGCAGTGACGGTGGTTGAAGGCAAGCCGGTGGTGATGTATTCCTATAGCCTTCTCCGGGGCACAGGGTGGTGTGGAAGTTAAGATTCATAACGATTGACCAAATCAGAAACCGCTTGACTGTGGCTATCTTTCTAGCGTGCAATCAATACTCGCGTACTCTATATACCGCATGACGTGCATGTATCCGTCATATTTGGACAGCGCCAAACGGTATTTTATCTACGGTGAGCAAGGCGTAGCCGGATAGTACTCGGATGTTTAGCTTCATACTGCATTATCGGAGTATACTTTCGTGGAAACAAGACATAAACTCGACGAATTCATGTATTCAGCTGGCAGGCGCCATCGTCAAAGATAGCCTCCTTTGTTTGATGTCCCAGTTTGGAGAAAATTGTTGAGAAGCCCAGGAGAGTTTATACTCACACGGATCTTCACACTGTGACTATCGAATCGAGTATCGACGAACGTTCTTCGAACATTTGGAGCCTCGCGCCTGTTAATGGAATCTAATAATGCCGTGAAAGTCATGAATTTCACGTCATACTGTATGGGTAGCGGTATATGTTTCGCAATGGCCTTAAAAACCGAGACTGGGTCGAAGGTGAATAAACAATGTCACGGGTTGACTCTCACGTCACTAGTGGCAGCATCAACCACTGCTACAGCTTCTATTTCTTTGGGTCGAGGCTCAAAGTCTCCGTATGACCCACCCCTCGCCTATATGCCAAAGTCACGCGCTTGCTACAGGGTACTGCTCTCGACCCTGCAGCCCCCAACATGTCTTGCGGCTTGCACTTGTCGCATATACATCTGCATCATAACAAGAATTGGTTTCGCGACTTCTCTAATGCGCAATCTCATCAATCCGGCTGGACCGCATCCATAACAATCAACCCAGCAAAAGAATTTCCGTCTGAACACAGGCGAGGGAAGTTTGTTCAATCGGGGGCTGAGGCCAACGTGGAAACATGGCAGAACAGATCGTGACGCATTGTGGTCGCCGTAAAGATTTACAAGAGGCCAAAAAAAGCCATTCCTAGCGAGGTCGAGATTCTGAAGTCGTTACCACAGCACGAATCTATCATCAGCATCCTCGCCTACCTGCCCAAGTCGTCAACGCTACAAGGAGATGCCACCGTGTTTGACTTCTGCCCGTTTGGAGACCTTTTCGAGCTAGGGAAGGACATGTGGCAGAAGAGCCGGGAAACCTTCAGCGAGGAATGCATATGGTCAATCTCCAGCCAGCTCTCAGCGGCTATAGCCTTTCTCCACGAAGGCATCGCATGGTAAATTTGACCCTAGGAAAGGCGATACATGGGCCAACTCTGCTCTGGCTTTTGGCTTGTTCTTAATATCACACATACCGCTAGTCGCAAACCGAAGGATAGTCTCAACTGGCGCCCAATAGTTCATCGCGACATCAAGCTGGAGCATGTCTTCGTCATGTCTCTCGGAGAGAAACAGAAACTTTCCGAAATAACCATAAAGCTGGGCGATTTCGGCTTGTCGGCATACTACGATCCGTCCCAAGCGCGAATGCCGGGCTGGTTCGGAACGCCAATGATGTGGCCGCCGGAACAGACCTGGGAAGGGCGCGAGGCCAGACCGGCTGGCGAGGTATGGGCTACTGGGAGCGTCATCCACGAAATTTCACATGGCTTTCCACCGGTCGTGAACCCGCAACTAACGAAATCACTGCTGAAGGACAAGACAGGGTATATGCACTCGATGTGGGAACAAGAGCTCCAGAAGCGATTTTGGGAAGCCATGTCGGAACGTAAGCCCCTACCGATCAACCTTGACTCCCATGAGCACGATTTGAGGAGGATACGACCAACTCCCAAGTATTCGAACGAGCTCAACGGATGCATGTTGGCTGCGTTGGACATGAGCAAGGAGAAGCGACCGACAGCGGGTGAGCTCACAGCGATGGTAGGGGAACATCATGCAGCGTTTCTATTCCACAAGATGAAAGTTGAGAGTGATGGACTCATAGCTGGAAGCGAGGCTCTTCTTCTGGAAGAGACGGGGTTGGAAGCATTGACGTAGGTGGTGGTCATGGTGGGTACCTCTGATGGCTCATTGCGTGAGGAGGATTTGGTATAGCGATCTCGAAGGATGACGTGCAAGTTATGCATTTCTGTGTGATCTAGCACAGCCCATGATGATACCTAACAGAGAGTTCCTCGAATGTTGACGAAGAAGCCTTTTGACCACGCTAATGACTAATCACGTATCGGGTGTACCGGTACTTGCCGTGTTTGCCTCGCGAGCTTCCTCGAATACTTGTTCAGCATCCTACTTCAGAGCTGCCTTGCACTCCCCACTTGCTACGCGCGTCGCAGCTCGGCGCGACAGACCTGCTACTAATGCCTTGTACTCTTTTTCATGCTGTCCTGTACTGGACCCACTGAGATGCGGCGCGGCTCTTCTGTGGATCCTAGTTCGCGACTGCCCAAGTCTCGAGCTGTTCCCGAGGTCTGCGACACCATTAGCTGGCAATATATAGGTGAGCCTTTCCATCAGCGACAGATATCGCAAAGATGTCATCACCAGGATACTACCCCGCGTACTGCGGCCTGGGTGTCGGACGGAACCCTTTTGCGAGTGGATCCGACAGAAGACGCACTCAACAACTGAAAAGATCTGATTTACGGCTTCAATTACGACGGACATGTCGCATGACCAAAACTTTGGCTGATGCGTTGCAGGCAGCCGATCTAACAATGGCTATGCGATCGTTTGAGTACGGCAAAGGTACGTCGTTGCCCATTCAATACATGCTCCCCTGCCTAGGTGATGACTGGAGGCGACTCCATACACTTGAACTGCAGAAACTGCAGTTCGAACTCGTTTCTTGACGCTGTGGTTGGCTCATGCTAGCCCGCGATGAGAGCGATGAGAAGCTGCAGGTTCATGGACGAGACTAAGAAAGCTCTGATATGCGCGGCAAGGGCACAAGAGATGTTCATATGAAACAAGCTGTACACAATTGACTTCCCTCAGCGCTGCCGAAATGAGAGGCTTTGCATGCGAGCATGTAGCCGCTTTGATCTTTCCATCGTCCTGACTGCGCTGCGCTGCAATGCCCGGTTGCAATTTCTCGACCACACCGATAAACGAGTTACTGTGTGCGCCACGAAGTGACATACGGACGATGCGGCCACGAAGTGGTCATTACGGCGGTCGACCAGTGACTGGGTGTTGGTAAAGTCCGCAGCGTCGGACTTCACCGATTTCCTATTTGGGATATCCCGTTCGCACAGCTCATCGCATTCCCGATTGAACGCCTGGAAAACGCCAACTTGCCACCAAAGCTTTTATGCATGTCTGTAGCCATATGCGAAGAGCATCTGCTTGGACTCCCACTAGCGATGTTCTCGACCCCACGGTTGGTCTTTAGGCTGCGCTATGGGAGGCTCTTTGGAGTTGATGGCTTCCATCGAATCTGGGTCCAAGCTCCCGCCAAGTGCTGCCACAAGTACATGCCCGATGCTCGACGGCTTTGGAGGCCTCGCCATCTCGGGTGCCATGAAGTCGAACAGGCGGAGGTTGTCGTCTTGATTTAGCGTCGCCGTTTGACATGGTACGCGATCTCCTGTCAGAACAGCTAATTTCTCAGACTGAGATCGTCTTTGTCTTGAATGCTGTATCAATCTGTCGGTCGGACTGAGCCAAACAATGCGGGGTATGCAGGCGTGACAAGCTTTTGTCGCTTCGGGCAGTGTATAGCCCTTGGAGGAAGCATGCTCTTCAATCATAGACAGATAGCACAAAAGAGCACGCGCTCGAAAAGCTACCGCGGTGTTCCGACGCGTTGGCCATCACGTAGCCTCAGCGCGCTCGGCATTCACAGGCCAGCGCTCATATGCAATGCGATCGACAGGGCTCGCTGATCATTGCATCATACTCCCAGATCTTCACGCGGTCGTGAAGAATACCCGCTTGGGCATTGTGCAAAAGAGAGAATCCCCTGTCGCATCGAAATCCCGGCAGAGAACAGCCGCACAAAGCAAATGGGCGACGCACAGCGAACTTATCCTGTCTCCGAGTGCTCGCCTCCATACGTCAGCGTCGTCGACGATCACTATGGCCACCCAGGGACGAGCGCGCACGTGATGTCAGCTGGCGTCTCCGTGCACAGCCTCAGGCATGCCTTCGCAAGGCGGCGCAGGTGTGAAATGCAGGGCCTGTGTGGCTTCCCACCGGCTCTCGCCAAACGCAGCGGCTGCCGGAGACAGCTGCCAGTGCCAGGGGCGTGCGGCACCTGATAGGCCCAGCGTGGGGCGGCAAGCTTTCTGATGCCGCTAGTCCCCACAGCTGTTTCATGAAACACCACATGGAGTGAGCGAAGACCGCGCGCGGCCACCCAAGTCCGTCAAGCTTTCGAAACAGGAGCTGCCATGCGCCGCCCTGAGTGGCCGCAGCCGAGCGACCGCCTGCCCTCATTAACCATGGGTTTGGACGGAAATTGCGTACAAGCGGACTAGGCGCTTTTTATAGAGGCGCACTGGTCGCAGGATTTCGGACTGTTACTGCTGACGGGCACACACAGTCCTCACATCACCTTCCTTTCTGTCTTTACGTGCCCTTTCTTAAGCCAGACACTCCCTTCGATACATTCACTTCGCAGGACGATCTTCGTACTGGTACATTCTTTGTGTTCACTTGTCATCTTTCCAGACAAGAGCTCTTCTCTAGAGCGTTCATTCATTCATCCCATTCACTCTTTGACCTTCACCTTTGCATTACGCGAGGCTCGACGTCACCGAACAAAATTCTCTGCGAGGACTACCTTCTACACCCAAACGGCAAAAGCCAACATCATTGACTCGATCACATTTCATATACCCACATTCCAATCCAACTTTCCACAAGCAACATGCGTTACATTCTCACCGCGAGCGCCTTCGCGGCAATCGCAAACGCGCAGACTTGGTCGCTGTGCAACCCCATGGAGAAGGACTGCGACAACAACCCTGCCATCGCCAAGTCCTTCGAAAGCAACTTCAAGGACGGAGAGGGCGCGCTCAAGGGATGGCAGCAGACTGCCAAGGGCGCCGAGTTCACCGATGAGGGTATCGTGTTCAGCGTCAAGAAGACTGGCGACGCACCTACTATCCAGAGCGACGGATACCTCCACTTCGGCTACGTCGAGGTCACCATGAAGGCGGCCCGCGGCGCAGGTATCGTTTCCTCCATCGTCTTGGAGTCTGACGATCTCGACGAGGTTGACTGGGAGTTCATTGGCAGCGACGCCACCCACGCCCAGATGAACTATTTCGGCAAGGGCAACACAACCGTCTACGACCGCATGATCATGGCCGACGTCCCTAGCATCGAGGAAGTGCACCGATATGCGCTTAACTGGACATCTGATGCGTTGACCTGGCTTATTGACGATGCCCCCGTGCGCACCCTCAACTACGCTGATGCCAACGGCGGCAAGAACTTCCCCCAGACGCCTTGCAACGTCCGCATCGGCATCTGGGCTGGCGGTGACTCCAAGGACAAAGGCACCCAGGACTGGGCTGGCGGCAAGGTCGATTACTCCCAGGCTCCTTTCAACCAGGTTGTCGAGAAGGTCAAGATCACTAACTACTCTCCCGGAAAGGAGTATGAGTGGACCGATAAGTCCGGCTCATGGGAGTCGATCAAGGTCATCGACGGTGAGGGTGTTTCCAGCGGTGGTTCCAAAGACGAGCCCTCGACCACCGAAAAGCCCAGCGAGGAAGGCGCTGCTGCCACCAGCACTCCCTGCACCGAGGAGGCTACCATGAGCACCCCGCCTCCAGAGGAGACTCCCTGCGACTGCGAGGTCGAGACCGTTACCGTGACTGGTCCTCCCCCGAGCACCGAGACCTCCGATGTCCCGCAGCCTCCTCAGACAACCCCTCCCCCGCCAGAGACCAGCGACAGCCCGCCCCCACCGGAGTCGACCACTTGCACTGATTCCACTACTGAGTCTGTGCCCCCTCCTCCCACCACCTCTGACTCACCGCCTCCACCGGAGTCGACCAGCGAAGTGCCCCCGCCGCCTTCCAGCTCTGAGGTGTAAGTGAAGCTGACGAATGATCGCCTGTACACTCTACTAACCGTTTCTCCAGGCCGCCTCCATCCACCTCTGACGTGCCTCCGGAGTCCACTCCTCCACCAAGCCCGCCCACCGAGAGCACCAGCGAAGTCCCGCCGCCGCCGCCGGAGTCTACTTCCTGCACCGAGTCCACCACGGAGTCTGTTCCCACCCCTCCTGCCACCTCCGACTCGCCGCCGCCCCCAGAGACAACTGAGGAGTCCAGCACCGTCCCTCCCTCGCCTCCCCAGACCACCCCACCCACTGAGGAGAGCAGCTCTGCCCCGCCGCCGGAGTCAACTCCCTGCACCGAGTCCACCGAGACTACCCCTACTCCGCCAGCCACTTCTGACTCTCCCCCGCCGCCAGCGACCGAGACTACCCCGGCTCCCGAGACCTCATCTTCGGTCCCGCCGCCTGAGGAGACTCCCTGCACCACCACCACCACCACCGAGGTTCCTCCCCCGCCGCCAGCCTCCTCTGACAACTGCACCACGCTCGTCAGTGTCACTGTGCCGCCCTACCCAATCACCCCCACCGGTGGAATCATCGTCGACACCAGCGCGGCTCCCAGCGTCCCCTATCCTACCAACCCCACGGGCGCTATTCCTAGCCCGCCCAACGGCACCAGCCCTCCTATCCAGGAGTTCCCTGGCGCGGCGTCCACTAGCACTGTGAGCTACCTGCTCGCTGTCGCAGCTGGTCTCATGGTCTTCGCTTTGTAAGGCCTTGTGTTGGAGACGGACTCGGAGCTTCCCTTCTCAATTGATGAATGTTTAATGGTGCTGGCTTGGTGTATAAACGTGACTATAGACATGGATGGGATATGGCCTGGGCAGACACTTGTGTAATGTTTGGGTATGAAAACTGTGAGTGGGACTTCTTGGCTGTATATACCTTACTTTTCCTCTGTTCAACTTCAATGTTCCGGCTAGACCGGTTCACATACCTTTAAACTTTGGCTTCCATTCTGGGCGCACAACTGGCATATAGAACACAATGAAGAGACATGCATTGCATACATTTGATATAGGCGTTTGCATCGTGAGGTCGAGACAGGGTCGGGGCAACGTAGGTTCAATTATATATAGCAGGTCACATTCCTCATGTTTTTTTTTTTTTTTTTTTTTTGAGATTCAGCTGCGGCGGGGTCATCTCATTTGTATTCTCAGCTGCTGTCCATGCCAAACTATTGATCATTAATCTGGAGACGAGGCTTGATCGCTTTTTTACTCCTTGAACTGTAGTTGTAGAGCGGCGACAGCTTCCTCTCCTTGATTGTATTAGTATAGAACAGCAGAAGCACAGGATACCCACCTCCGAATAGATCTACAAAGACACCACCATCTTCCGCGATCAATGAGCCGCCTCCAAACTTGAGCTTGTGCTCACCGCCCTCTTCAAAGGCGGTCACGGGATGCAGTCTGGTTGCGGGCTCTGTACCATCCTTGAACCAAGAGACCTTTTTCGGCGCCATGCTCCGATCTTCGGTGAGATTCCGGCCTAAGATCCAGTCACCAGACACTAACCGGCCATTCTTTAGTTCGAAGGTTGCCGCCTCAGAGCCGAGTTGCGCCTGGACAACGTTGTCGGCTTTGGGATCGACCGGAGCCACGGGCTTGCCGTTGATCTTGATGGTGAAGGGCTGACTGAGGCTCTCCATCTCCAGCTGTCGGCGGATAAAGATGGGCGATGAAAGCGGCAAGGAATATGTGATGATGGCCACGAAGAGCAAGCACCCGAACAGAATAGGGCCGCTTCTAGGCAGAGCGAGCATGGGTCAGCGCGTAGAGTGTCGAAGAGGAAGGATTCTGGGAATGGACTTTGCGAATAGTGCAGAGCTCAGTAGTAGGCAACGCAAATGCAGGTGCCAGTTGGTTCATGCGACGGCGGTAGAGTTAGAGGGTTGGGCCTCGCCACTAGGCCCAGACACGTCCCTATAGCGTGCTAGCGCCGTGGCTCGCTATAGTAGAAACCCTCTCACCTTCCCGACGCGTCCTCACCCCCGCCACCTTCCGGACGCGTCCGCCGTCGCTCGACTTGCGTCCACTCAAGAACCCCACCCCAGATATACCGCTCCGCGACTACGTAAGGGCTTGGCGCCTGGGCATTGTTTCCTCCGGTTTCAACATTGCGGCCGCATGGCAACTTCATTGGAGCCAAGCCTTGCCACTCAAAGCTTCCACGACGGCAAGCGAGATTGTAACCATGCGCCAGCTGTACACAAGGCGGCCATTCGCTCGTGTCTCGCGTCGCCCGATATCGTGATACGGTTACGCAAAACGTCGCATAAGTCTACATCGCGCCCAAAGATTTCAGGACTCCACGCTGGGCAGCGGAATAAGCACATCTGATAACCCAGGCCAAGAATAGGCTCACTTGGCCATCCGCCGAACTACCTATGCCGGCCTAGTTTCTGTCGCAGCGATCGCCCAAGCACTGCAGTGTATACACCATCCCAGCTCGTGTCCGCAGATCCCTCCTATTATCTGCCACCGGCAGCAGCATCGTGGGCTATCTCCCGCTCGGTTGTCTCAGTGACTGGCATAGAATCTCGGTTTATACGCCGATTCATGCATGCTTTCGGCACTCTGACTGGCGACATGATGATAAGCGGACCTCACCTTCCACTTCGGCTTCACTGCCGGCGACGTGTGATCACCTAGGTATTCAGGTACCCGCTATGTCCAATGACAGCTCCATACTGGCTTAACCGCCCCTGGATCGACCCCATAATCGACAAGCTGCGTAGAACATGTTTGGCAGGACCTTCACCTCCACCGCTTGGTACGGGCTCGGCCGGTGTGAGAGTGTCATGGGCAACACCAGCCATTGTGTCAGTCTATACGACCAGGCTGAAGTCCATAATGATATAAATTGCACCGAGTTCCTCTCCAGCTTGTTCTTCATCCAGTCGCTCCATTCGCTTCAGGACCAGTCCCATCGTTTCTCCAGACCCTCCGGAACAGACCTTCAACATGCAGCTCAAGAACCTCTTCTTTGCGCTCCCTGCGCTCGTCGCTGCTGCTCCCGCGGCTCAGCCTCAGGATGACTTCTCCGTGCAAATCGTCGGTGGCTCTGCTGCTACCGCCGGACAGTTCCCGTACATTGTCAGCATTCAAGTCAGCGGCTCCCACTACTGCGGAGGTTCGCTCTTGAACGCCAACACTGTCATCACTGCTGCCCACTGTGCTACTCGCTCAGCCTCGTCGTACACCATCCGTGCCGGTACCCTCGTAAGTCTTCAACGCGAGCGCAAAACTTGCAGAACTCGATGCTAACATGAACACAGACCTGGGCTTCCGGAGGCGTCACTTCCAGGGTTTCCCAAGTCATTGTCAACCCGGCCTACTCGGGCAACAACAACGACATTGCCATCTTCAAGCTCTCCACCTCGATCCCCACGAGCTCGACCATCAGCTACATCAGCCTGCCGTCCGCTGGCTCCGACCCGGCTGCGGGCTCTTCCTCCACCGTTGCTGGATGGTACGACACCCATTTTCCCCAGTCCTCAAGACAAAACTAACGTACCGCACAGGGGAGCCACCACCCAAGGCGGCTCTAGCCCTGCGGCCCTCCGCTACGTCACTGTCCCGATCGTCGCCCGCTCCACCTGCCAGTCGCAGTACGGCACCTCGTCCATCACCTCCAACATGGTCTGCGCCGCCGAGGCCGCCGGTGGAAAGGACTCGTGCCAGGGTGACTCTGGAGGTCCTCTCATCACCACCGGCACCAAGACCCTCATCGGTGTCGTATCCTTTGGCAACGGCTGCGCGCTCCGCGGCTACGCAGGTGTCTACACTCGCGTTGCCACTCAGCTCTCCTTCATCAACCAGTACGCTTAGATGGGTGCTAGATGAAAAGGTTGGAAGTGTGGGCATTGTCTTGGAGCTCCGGGATGATGCCTGGAGCGCTGGCGAGAGATTTGGCGATTGAGCATGATTATGAGATATGAAGACCGGAGAGCGATGGGACTGGGGCTTTGGCACTGTGAGCTGGTTGTTCTCTTCGCTGTGGATTTATTATACGAATCGAAGCTTTTTGCATCGAGCTTGTGTGTGTGCTATAAAGCTATAACGCCTATTTTCAGTGGACTAAGGCATGCCACCGCATCCGGATTGTCTGTGACTCTCATCACCTAATGTCTGCAAGTCTGAAATTTTGATGCTTTTGTCCATGCAAATCGAGTGCCGTGCCTGGCGGGTTATTTCTGGAATCTCAAGGAGTATGATCGACAGTCGAAGTGGACATGTACAAGGATGTGGAAGTCACAACTGGACCGGTGTAACCCGGACTGAGTCTAATGTGACCCTACTCGTCGTCAGAGTGTTGCGTAGATGTTGGAAATGCGGCACGTCAGCGAAATCGAAAAGTAGGTCCTCTGTCAGCACAGCATCCTCAGCCTCCGCCTCTATCTGCATCTTTCCCCTCTCCCCTTCAATCACATCGCCCAAAACGTAGTCTCACCCCCTCTCCACCCACCTCGTGGTACATATCCTCTTCGGCATCCCACTCCGCCCACTCCCTCACCACGCTCTTCCTCAGCCTCTTCACTTCCGGCCCGGCACCGTCTCGTTCTTGCTTTCGAAATTGACGTACCATCTGCGGCTGGACTCGGTGAAGCGTACGCGCCTCGTGGACGTGGGCTTGGGCTGAGGTTTGTAGAGGAGGGGGTTTAGCTCCTCAGGTGCGAGTATGTAGCGGAAGATGAAGTGCCGGAGGCAGTGGCAGTGGTAGGGACGGCTCGTGATATCCTGGGTCATCTCGAGGGGCTTTGTGGTGGTGAGTTCGGTTTATACTGGTGCGGTCTGGGTGGACTTGGGGTGTGATACGTTGGTGGCTTCGACCAAGGAGAAGGTATCCTGGTACAATGTTGTGGGATAGAGTTCATGGCATAGTGCGGCCTGGAGGGTTTTGCGTTGCTATACGATACCAGTTTTCTTAGTGGAAAGTGTATCCTGGGATCACTGAAATTGAAATATGGTGCCAAGCTGCAACCTTGTGGTAGTGTGTGCTGGTATGACCTGAGGCGGGCTACGCTGTCGGTACTGAAAGTAAATGAGGTGTCCTAGTACAACTCGACTCCCAAGACACTGTCGAAGCTATGGATGTGTAGTAGACTATGTAGACGTCGGATGTAAGATGAAACGGCATGAGAGCGATGTGCGGGTACTTGTAGGGAGCGTGGAAATGCCATTATTTGGATTACGGTACAGTGCTGAAGCGACCCAGGCTTCGCCCCCACCCGCCCAAAAATTCCCGTTCGAATGTACGCCTACTGACGGTAGAACTTCTCTGCGGTCCCAATGCGACCTATCTCCAAAGTTTCCAAGCTCCTCTGCCCTGGCTGCAGTATTTGCCGCCTGACGGTCTTCTTGCGCGTCGCCTGTGGTTCCGCTCGCAATGGCCGTGCTTGGTTCTCCATGTCGTCACTGTAGTCTTTAGATGCGCCCGGATGTTGCACCGCTGTCCGGTGTTAGTGCAGTTCATGGAAGTTCTGCAGTCGCGAGATGCCCCGCCCTTTGCACTCTGGGGTTGTAACTGTAGACGGGAAATTGTCACGACATCGACTGCAGGGCCAAAGGACGAACCTGATGGAGGGCCTTGTCTGTGGCCCTCAGTCCATTGCTGCTCACGGGCTTCGCGATCGTGCGCTTCTTGACGACTGGCGGCTTTGTGCGTGCGCTTGCCGGTCCAGTAGGTGTCAAGACGGTCGAAGAAGCCGCTGATGGCGCTGCAGAACATGGCGGCGGTGGTTGGTGGAATGACTTGGCGTGAAAGCGGGGAGTGTCGCGTCGTCTGTGCAACCAGGTTGATGAAGTTGGCGTTGTCTGCGATCCAGAAGCTGTATGAGGCGATTGAAGTGCGCAGGCGGTCTACTGGGCTTATGACTGCCGCGTGTGCGAGAGCTTCAGCTGTGTATATTGTTGGGATGCTAGAGAAGGGCGGGCCCAAACAGCTGGGACTAGACATTGCTTGTGACCTCGCAGCACGCAGTATGTGTAACATGCAGGATGTGAATGGCCGGCGCTGGCTCGCTCGATATCGCGCGTCCTGGTCGGCGGGATGGTGATGTTTGTGACGAAGCAGTCACACTCCACGCTCATGTACCTAGGAAAGGTAGACAATATGTGAGATAACAGATGGTGCGTAGGAATGGTGATTGGTTGCATGCCGCTAAGAGAAGACAATGGTGAAGGGGCAGAGCGCGAGTGCCTGAGTGTGCACTGAGCAAACTCAAGCTGTCCATCTATGAGAGCGACCGAAACTTGGTCGCGACACGCAGACGCTCAGCTGGCAGCTAAGAACATAGAAGGATGCAAAGGAGCATGGCCAACGGAATCTACACAAATGCCCTAGGGAGTGATGAACATGATGCCTGTGAGTGGCGAGGGCGTTGTCGCCGTGTCGAAGACGTCTTGACACGCAAGGTCGCTCTAGCTCGGATTGTGCCACACGTTGGAAGGTCAAAAGCTTGAGCCTCGCTGGCGCAGGCTTGCCCACCTCGAGGCTACACGGTGCGCGCTCACTCGACGCGCTCAGTGCAAGATGACGCGCGCAGGATCGCGGCGGGCGGTTTCTCCGTGCGGGGCTTGGCAAATCGCGGGTCGGCCAGTGTCGCGTCGTCGCGTCGTGCTTGCTGGCGCATTCACGTTGACGACGCCTCCACGGCCATGTCCTGACCGCCCCCTGCGCCCACAGAAACTCCCGTCGAGTTGACGCATCGCGCCCGCCCGCGCAGCCGCCACCATGGGCCACATCAAGCACATCACCATCCAGGGCTTCAAGACGTACAAGAACCAGGTCAAGACCGAGTCCTTCTCGCCCAAGAGCAACGTCATTGTCGGCCGCAATGGCGCCGGCAAGACCAACTTTTTCTCGGCGGTGCGCTTCGTGCTGGGCGACGAGTACGAGAACATGAGCAAGGAGGAGCGCCAGGCCCTGCTGCACGTGCGACACCCTGCTCACCCGCTTGCTGCTGGATACTGACCGACGCAGGAAGGATCGGGCGCCCCTGTGCAGTCGGCCTACGTCGAGGTTGTCTTCGACAACAGCGACGGGCGCTTCCACAACAACAAGGACGAGTTCACCCTCCGCCGCACCATCGGCCTGAAGAAGGACGAATTCTCCATGGACCGCAAGAACGCCACCCGCCGCGAGGTCAACGAGATGCTCGAGGCCGCCGGCCTGTCGCGCTCTAACCCCTTCTACATTGTGCCCCAGGGCCGCGTTGCTACTCTCACCAACATGAAGGACGAGGAGCGCCTGAACATGCTCAAGGAGATCTCGGGCTCCAGCGTCTACGAGAAGCGCCGTGCCGACAGTCTGAAGCTGATGAACGACACGGATAAATCGTGCGAGCGCATCGACACCCTCGTCGCCGACATCAACACCCGCCTGGACGAGCTCGAGGGCGAGAAGTCGGAGCTCGAGGCTTACAACAAGAACGACCGCGAGCGCCGCGCCATCCTGCATACCCTGAACTCACGCATCGAGGAGCGCATAGAGTCGGACCTGAACCGGATAGAGGCGCGGAGACACAACGGCGCTGCAGATGTGGATAACCAAAAGGCTGTGTTTGTGCAAAACGAGCAGGACATGGGCCACATCGCTGACCAGATTGCCGAGCTCAAGAGCGAGATTGACCTGTTGACAGCCGAGCGCGCACGCCTAGAGGACGACCGGCGGAAGGCTTCCCGGCAAAAGGCGGCCATCGAGCTCGAGCTCAACGACCTCACCGACGGCCAGTCAGCTGCGAAGCAGTCTCAGAAACAACGCGACAAGGACCTCGCCCTGGTGCGGCACGACATAGCTGCTCGCGAGGCCGAATTAGCACAGCTCCTGCCCACATACAATGCAAAGAAGGACGAAGAAGATGCTGTGAATTCCCAGCTCGCCGAGGCAAAGGCACAGCAGAAGCGCCTCTACGACAAGCAGGGCCGTGGTGCTTCATACACCAGTAAGAGACAGCGCGACGATGCGCTCCGAACCGAAATCGACGGCATCACGATGCAATTGGCCACTAGGAAGTCTGTGCAGATGCAAACCGACGACGACATAAATGAGCTGCGGGGGGTCATTGAGACGCTCGGAGGGGAAATCTCCGATCTGGAAGGTAGTCTTTCTAACGAGGGCGACAACACTGTCGGTCTTGGAGAAGCCGTCCAGAAAGCCATGGACGCTCAGCAAGCGCTAACCGACCGACAATCAACTCTGAGCCGTGAACAATACAGACTGCAGTCGCAGGTCAAGAACGCGGACACGCAGTTGCGAATGGCGCAGAACAGCCTGAACCACTTGTTGGACCACGCCACCAGCCGTGGTTTGGAGACTTTGGAACGTTTGAAGGAAAGGCACAACCTCACCGGAATTTACGGCACAGTTGCAGATCTGATTCAAGTCCCCGCACCCTATAAAATCGCTACCGAAATCGCCGCGCAGGCATCCTTGTTCCACGTAGTATGCGACACCGACGAGACTGCAGCCAAGGTCATCTCTCTGCTCAACAAAGAGAAGGGCGGTCGACTTACCTTCATGGCGCTGAACCGCGTTAGCCCACGTCATACACAGATTCCTCACACCGCCGACGCGCAGCCATTGCTACCAAAACTTCGATACGACCAGCAGTTCGAAAAAGCCATCAGACACGTCTTCGGCAGAGTTGTCGTTTGTCCAGAACTTAGCATCTGTCAGAGCCTTGTAAGGACTCATGAAGGAGTTTTGGCACTCACCCCAGATGGCGACCGAGCACATAGAAAGGGCGGATACCATGGTGGATACTTCGATCCTAGCAAATCGAAGATAGACGCATACAACAAAGTTGCCGACCTCAGAGCGCAACTTGAAGAATTAAGGACCCGCGAGCGTGAGACTAACGAGGAGTTGGATAGGCTTCGACAACAGGTCACCGCTGCCGCAAGCGAGGTTCGCAAGGCTGAGTATCAGAAAAACCACGCCGAGCAGAGTTATGTTCCGATGAGAGAGCAATTGCGTAGAAAGCAAGCCGAGCTACAGCAGAAGCAAGATCGAATTGACCGTTTCCAGCGAGACGCCGTGTCGATTAGACAGCACATCAACACCCTAGCCAGTCAGCAAAGTGAGTTGGAGGCGGAGCTCGCATCAGACTTCAAGAAGGCGTTGAACAAGGATGAGGAACAACAGCTGCAGTCTCTTGGTAGCACCATCAGAGAAGTGAACAAACAACTCTCCGAAATCACTTCACAACGAGTCGATTTGGAGACTCGCAAGGCGGAGATTGAGATTGAGCTTCGCGAGCTCCTGCGACCAAAGCTCGACCAACTGTTGGCTCAACAGGGTGGGTCAGGCGATGGCGGAAACCAGTCGACACGGTTGAAGGACGTTCAGCGACAGCTCAAGGCTATCGACAAGACGATTGCAGATCTGGATCGGCAGATACGAGAGCGTGAGAGTTCACGCGACGAAGCCAACACGCAGCTTACAGAGTTGGAAACCTCCAGGGCCGAGAAAGAGCAAGTGAATCGCAAGATCGCGAAAGCTATAGAAAACCACCAAGGCAACCTAGATAAGAACATGCAGAAGCGCGCCGAGCTCAAAAAGCAACTAGACGAGGTACAGCGAGACCTTCGGGATCTTGGCACGCTTCCAGAAGATATCTACCGCCGTTATACTAAGTGGTCTGAAGACAAAGTAAGTTCCAGTACAGGCCCACTGAGTTGCCAAGCTAACATGATACAGCTCGCTAGCGAACTCGAAAAGGTCAATAAGGCCCTGCGAAAGTTCAAAAACGTCAACAAGAAAGCCTTCCAGCAATACGAAGACTTCACCAAACGCCGCGAACAACTCATTCATCGCCGCGGCGAGCTCAACACCTCGCGCGAGTCCATCGAGAATCTCATCGAAGTGCTCGACCAGCGTAAAGACGAAGCCATCGCCCGCACATTCAAGCAAGTCTCAAAGTACTTCTCCGAAGTCTTCGTGCAGCTTGTGCCTGCAGGCAAAGGTCGGCTCATCATCCAACGGCGCTCTGACCGCGAAGCGCGCCGCGGCGAGGACGAGGACGACGAAGATGACCGCCGGGCTAAGGGGGCCTCGGTGGAGAACTACACGGGCGTCGGCATCGCCGTGTCCTTCAACTCCAAGCACGACGAGCAGCAGCGGATCCAGCAGCTCTCGGGTGGCCAAAAGGCGCTGTGTGCGCTCGCACTCGTCTTCGCGATCCAGCAGTGTGACCCCGCGCCCTTCTACCTTTTCGACGAGATCGACGCGAACCTCGACGCGCAGTACCGCACTGCGGTCGCGGAGATGCTGCGAAAGCTGTCGGGTAAGGGCGGAGAGAGTGGTGAGGGCGGCGGCCAGTTCATATGCACGACGTTCAGGCCTGAAATGGTGCTCGTCGCGGACAAGTGCTATGCAGTCAGCTTTGTAAACGCGAGTAGCAAGATTGACGTGTTTGATCGAGAGGGGGCGTTGGATTTTGTGGAGACGAGTCAGAGGCCGGGGGCGTAAGGGATCTCTGCATAGGGTGAACTCGTGAGTAGAATGGCCAGGGGTGCAAAGAGAGACGCGATTCTCTCTCCTGTAGGTTAATGTTACTTTACCTGTGGCTATGTTCGTGGCATTGGCGCTACTATGTGTATGACACGGGGTTAGGCGTGGTATACCAATGGTTGAATGGAGTTGTTGCGTCGTTCCCAGGGCTGCTTCTTGCTGTGACATTGATTCTGGTCGTTGATCGTCGTATGGTAGAGCAAGCATATTGCATGGCGAGGGAAAGTAGAAACACGGGATGTTGCTCGTAAGCGTCAGTCTCGTAGCCTGCTTGTTGCTGTGACATCAACCCTGCACGCTATTCGTCATATAAATTGAAGAGGTTGCGACAAGGAACGTACAAGGGTGGAGGGGTGGGATGCTGCCTTCAATCGTCGTTGTCAGAGCCTGCTTGTCGTGCGTGGACAGGCCCAATGCTTTCAGTATCATCGGTTCCGAAGCTTCCTCGGTCCTGTTGTGACAGTGGTGTGTTGGATGTTAATCGCCCTGCGAACTGATTCAGGCGCAGAGGGTGAACGATAAGGCCGCCACTGCCGTGAGGGAAGCAGCCACACGAGACGTTGTTCTTTCCGCCGCGCGGCCAGTTGTCCGCGGACTTCCAGCGCTGTATTCTATTTGTTCATGCGTCGTTGTCCGCGGACCCTGTTTGTTGGTCGTGCGCGCTGATGGCCGCCTTGGTAGAGGATGGCGTTGTGGCGAAAGCATGGGTGAAGCTATGTATTTACCAATGTTAGCGTGGACGAGGCTTCAAGATTGCTTCTTCTGTCGTCCTGGGTCATGCAAGGTGGTATCGATCCTGGCAGAAGGAGGCGTGGTGGCGAATGGGATTGGTTCTTCTGTTGCTCGGACGACTCCGGAAGTCGTGCGAGTGGAGAGATGTACGCTGTGAGGCTTGTGGCTACGCTTTATGTTGTTCCTTTTCTTTTTCCACTGCTACGTTGTATGGCACCTCGACTTGGTGGCAAGGCAAAGGACTTCTAGAATGATCGGCGAGGAGGGTGTTTACTTATGAGCATGTAGCTGCTGAACTCGACTCCTCCATACGTCGTGAAGAAAAGTGAGTGCAGTCAACAATATACGCATGGCTTAGCTTGGGGCAACATAGTGTACTGAAACCTTCAATCTGATGCTGTAGAGGTGCGCCCAGGATGCAGCTTAGCTTCCACTTTCGAGCACTGATTAACTGCGTATACGTATTAGGTCGGGATCGGAAGCATGCAGCCCAGACATAGTTTGTTTTTGCCCACTGTATCGCGGCTACTCTCGCCTAACCTGGCAGGTCTTGTCATTGTGGTACACATGATAACATGGCGTTTGTTTCAAGTAGCGAGCAGCAGCCTTGGAACAAGGCAGACTGCGCCCAAGTAGCATGAATGACCCGGGCTAAACTTCCGTGTATGCAGTTGACCAGTCGCGCCTGCAGTGCAGAGAGGAAAAAGCACATCGTACACGGCCCGACTCTCGGTCGTCGGCAAGAGGCTTGTGCCCAACCCCTTGCGATTCGTCGATCAGGATGGGAGGATCTGTTTCCGTGCGGGGATAATTGAGGCAGCCCCTTGAGTTTGAGCCCAACATGATCGACATGTATACAGGCTGTACGAGGCCTTTGCACCGCAGCGTGACCAGTACTTTTATTCTTTCGCCGCTCTGCCTTTGCCTCATTGTGCAACTACGAGTTGTCTATGCCCCACAGTGAACGTGAATAATATAGCGCCAGGGGAAGCGAGTGGGATGAGCCGGACGTTGACGCTTGCGCGTTTACAGCCATGCACGCACGCGCCGCCGCACCTCTGCCACAAGCGTATGGCCCCCATAGCTCTCCCTCCGCGACCCATATGGTCAACACATTGCGCACACTGCCCTGAACTCCGACGGCGGCTTTCGGGCTCGCTAAAGATTTGTTGATGTATGAGATGCTTGCTTCTCGCTTCTCTGCACCAACAGAAGGTTGGAATACGCGTCAAGGCCGCAGCCGGCCGTTGAGCCAGCGAGTCATACACGGTCGAGCGACCCCTGCTCCCGCATTCCTTTGGCCTCTGTTTGCACATCGCTCGGCGCGTGGTTTTAAGTACGACCGTTGAGCCGGTGGGCCGGGTCGACCCATCCCATCGTCCCAGCCCATGCCTGCGCCTCGAGATCTGTACTGGACCACGCGTGAACGTGATTCCATACCGTCTGTCTTTCTTGAAATCACTCACGACTTTTACCTTCCTGAATATTAGAGAGACTCTGCCCGTGCAAAAGAGATATCTCAGTCAGTCCCGGGCTCAGCGGAATCTGAAAACGAGGTGGGGTATTGAGAGAAATCGACGAAACTGGAGGAAGAGCAAAGCACCACAAGAGCAAGGATTGCCTGAAAATCGTTCGTTCGTCGCATGCATGATCGTTCGGTCGGCGTTTCGCGACATCACAAGAGTCCGAGTCTCAGCCTTACAGGTTCTCCTATCCTGAATCCTTCCGTGACAGCGGTTGAGCCTCACTGCGCGGAAGAATCTGGACTGCGACATCACGTCTCAGCGCACAGCCCGACCTACAGTCTGAAGCACGGACTCAGTGGTTTTTAGACTGATAGCCACTGCACTCAGGACTTACAGTTCCGCCAATTCACGCAATCGAGGAATGTTCTAGCCTATGTTTGCCAACATCCAAGTATCAAGAGCCGCCCACAACAAGCACGGATTTTAGTGCCGCAAATATATATTGGTTCAGCCACATACCCTCGACTCTCAGCATGCCACGCAGAACTCGAGCATGTGCGACATGCCGCCAGAAGCGTATAAAATGCGACGCTACGATGCCCCACTGCCTCATGTGCACACGATTCAAAAGACAATGCCCCGGCCCCACCGATGCACCCCTTCTCTTCGTGGACACGTCTTCCTATCCATCTGGAAAGAAGCCTCGCGCTAAGAAACCCTCACCTCAAGTCACCTCTCTAGAAGTCGCTCGACGGTTTGAAGACGGCAGAGGCATAGCGGTCGGCGTGGGCTCCCTTCCCGATGAGATGGCATTCGTTCTGCAAGTGGACGTCAGCCCGAGATACGTTTTGGGCGAAGCGTTCTTCCAAAACTTGACCGCGTTCATGTGTGCTGAAGGAAGACATATGCCTGGTGCAGTTCGGCGGACACCGAGCTGGTTGCATGCGCTGCCGAGGATGGCTGCTGCGCCTCCTCCATCTGCATCACAAGGCTCGTTGGCTACCCACAGAAACGAAGCGCTGAGTTTAGCCCTACGAGCCACAACTGCAGCCTTCAGTAGCTTGGAATTGAGGAACGATGCTCTGCTGCATCATGCGTACGGGCTATATGGTGGTAGCTTGCGCACTCAAGGAAGAGTACTGCAAGAGAAGGGAGACAAAGCTGGAGACCTATACATGATCATGACAAGTTTGATGTTGACCTTGTTCGAGTCAGTAGTGGCGAGTTCTGGGGAGGGATTCGCGTTGCACAACGTAGCTTGTGCAAAGATGATTGATAATGCACTCGAGCAGGCTTCGAAAGCGCAGGTGGATAAGAAAGGGAAGGGACCTGGTGGAGGCGAACCTGGACCCATGCTTATCAACGCCTTCTTCCACGTCAGGATACAGCTGTGTTTCGTGTACCTTACCACGTCCAATTCTCGGATACGCGACGATCCGGTCATGAAACGCGTGCTTTTAGAAGCCTGTGGCTGGACGCAGGAAAGGCTGCCACTCAACATGCAGATCATCACACCCTTGGCAAAACTGATGGAACTTCAATCGATTTCACGCGAGGCTACGTCATCTGTGGGTCTCGAGCGCGAGAGAGAAAAATATACAAACGCGAGAGAAGAGGTCAACCAGTTATGGAACGGGTATAGACAACAGAGTAAAGGACAACGACTATGCTGGACCAGTCCTGGTACAGGCCATACTGACTTCCGGGATCCTTTCACGGCACTGACATACGCGTACTTCAGCGCCTGCCACATTCTCCTTGGCCTGCTGGCGCCTACTTATGATGCACCCGTTGGGCATTCAACGGCATCCCTCCCCTTCATGCCGCCCCAAAGGTCAAAGTCGATATCGTCTAGCTCCTCGACATCTAGTAATTCTAGCCCAACCTGGCACTCACCTGATACACCACCGAGCTCATCCCCGCCTTTGAAGGATTTCGACCCTTCATTTCCGCCACCTTCTATGACTGACCACTTCGCGCTCATCCTTTCAGTTTCTTGGTACTTGAGGCTCCGCGACACGGGCTTTGCTTATCTTCGGCTACATAACCCGCTGTTTCTTGTCGCCATGTATGCGCCGACTTTGCAACATCGAAATCTTGCTAGGATGGTGTTTGAAGATTGGAAAATTGGTGCATTGAGGGGCATTGGATGGCTAGCTATTGCAAAGCTTGATAAAGAACAAAGGGCAATAGAGAGCTATGGGCCGTAGTCTGTAGACTACACGGAAGAGCTATAGACGATGTGTCCACCTTCTTGTTGTATTCTGTCCGAGTTTTAGTTGGCCTACATGGGTTTAGGGATGAGTAGGTGGTACAAGAGCTGTGCGTCTGGGATACTGCGTAACTCATATAGACTATAGTTATGAAGGGTATGGAATTCTGGAAGAGCATAGACGCATGCAATCAGGTCATTCATGTGTGCATTAAAACACTTCTTACTTTGAGACACGTACATACACTATCCGTGGTACTAGCAACCTTAGCTCGACAGTAGCCAGGACGAGGACGTAGGATTGAAATTCACACTGCATGATTAGAACCATCTGCGGTACAGAACAGCAACTACATAGCAAATCACTAGTCTTAACATCCTCGAGAGCGAAATGTGAGATGATAGCTGACACCAAGTTCGACAGGCCCCGCTTATGACTAGCTCACTCCGGACCGGCGACCCCGCTACTATCCGAGCCGACTTCCTGCAGTCATATAAGTGCGGATCCAGTGTACCTGGCAAGCGAGGACGAAACAAACAGCTACCATAAGTAAACCCAATACCTCGTGATCCCAAACCCAGTCTTCACCCACAATGGCGCCCACACTCAACGTCGGCGTCTTCATTTACGCTGGCGCCGACATCATGGACTTTAGTGGCCCCGTAGAAGTCTACTCCACGCGCCCACCCCCCGGCACGCCGCAAGTCTTCTCCGTCAAGACTTTTGCTCACACAAACCCCGTCGGTGGCGAGAATAGCGTGCTCGTCTATGTCCCTGGCGCCTCGTTCGCGGAAGTCGAACAGCAGCTCGAAAACTACGATATCCTCGTTGTCCCTGGCGCGCACCCGGATATCATTACGGAGTTTGTTGCTAGCGAGCATGGACAGAAGACGCTGGCGCTTCTGCAGAGATTCGCAAAGTTGCCGCCGAGAAAGGAGGCAGGGTATCGGATTCTGCAGTCTGTGTGCTCGGGGGCTGTTATCTTGGGTGCGGCCGGTGTGCTGGCGGGACGGACGGCGACGACGCATCATATCTGCTACGATATGCTGAAAGAGTATGCGGATAAGGCTTCAGGTGGCGATTCTGGGATTAACATTGTGAAGAAGAGGTGGGTGGATGGCGGGGAGACGGAGGCTGGCGTACGGATTGTGAATGCCGGAGGGGTTAGCTCGGGGATTGACGCGAGTCTTTGGATTACCGAGTTGGTTGGTGGGAAGGAGCTGTTCCAATTCACGGAAGAGATACTGGAGTTTGAGAGACGGGGAGAGGGGCAGGCATGGGGAGTGAAGCAGGCGTGAGATATGTGAATGTCCGCTTGTAGTACACTGTTGTTGGGTGTGCTGATACTTCACATAGGATTTTAAACTAACTTCTATATATTCCAAGGTAAAGCTAGAGCGTTCTGTATACGACATTCGACACATCGATGTCGCGAGTACACCCTCGACAACGTACTCGAGAGTGCAACGTCTTTCAACCCAATCCGAAAATCCGTTTTACTGCCATTACACTATGGTTGCCAATAAATTCTCACGTCAAATTACTAATTTGACGACAAAGTCTTCTAAGAATTCATCTATCTAGCCTCGTCTCGAGCGACAGAAAGGTAAGGTGCGCGTCAGCGCCTTGAGTCTTCAGTACAACATCCAACGCGTACAGAGAAGAGTCCTGCCCGAGCCTTCGACGTACTGACTTGTCTTCCACGTCCTGGACCTACCACGAAAGATTCGCGCACGCAAACTCGACACTCTATATTTCCATAGCGCGCCAAAATCTGTCCCCAGAACATCATCTACGCGCACTACATGGCCCTCACAGTCCCACCCCAGGTCCACGTGAACTCCAAACCGTTTGACACCCTCCTCTCAGTTCCTGGCCCTCTCCCAAGCCTGTGCTACGCAAACCGCAAAACGCGTTCAGAATGCACACCACTCCTCTTCCTCGACACCGAAATCATCGTCCTCAACGTCCTGGCCGTGCAACGCCTCGCGCACTACCTTCGTACCCCCATCCGCGCCCTCGTGATACTTACCATCTACACTCTCGTCTTCTCCCCCGCTATATCCTGGCGCGCGCACCTTGCGCATGCCACCAGGGTACTGCTCGCTGCGTGTCCCACCCTGCGCCACGTAAAAATCGGGGTCCCGCATACTGTGTGCGTGAGAGAGAATTGGGGTATGGTTGAGGAGGCAGAGTTCGGGTTCACAGACGTATGTGTTCTGCGGATGCGCATGAGGAAGGAGGTCGTTGATCAGATGGATCTATGTTGCTTGATTGACTGCAAGACGTTGGAGACCGTCACGCTGGTGTGTCATGAGGGGGAGAGGGTGGCGAGGAGCTTGGGCAGTCGGAGGGAGGTGGTGTTTATGCCGTTGATTGTGTGGGTGAGGAAAAATATCTGTGGGGGGTGGGAGGCTGAGGTTGATAGTTGAGTACGTGGGTTGAGTAGAAGGGGAATAAATTAAAGTTTCGAGAGGATCAGATGGCGTGGAAGTACTTGGTGGTGCTTTCCTATATTCTTTTGGCGCTGGCAGTCCAGCTTGTACTGATAATTGCACAACTATCATCGATTCCGTATCCCATGTACCCATCCATCCGACTGAAATTGCGAAACTGCATTAGCTTTTTTGTTTTAATATAGCTTGCGCTCAAACAATCCCTTTGACAGGACGCTTTATTTTCGTCCTGCAAATCACAAAATATGATGCTGGAACTGTGTTTTGAGCATGTTGTCTTGGAATGTGATTTCCCCGGTTCCATCCAAGCTAGACGTATTTGCAGATCGCTGAGGGACACTTTGGGAAATATCAGCTCGCAGCTAGCCCAGGGGAAGTGGTTGAAGGCAATTGTCGGGTGAAGAATAGAAGAGAAACTGCTATTCAAGTGCGCGATGATATGTTGAGATAAAGAGTGGCTTGCATTGAATGCTTTCGATGCAGTTCGTTCGGTTCGAGCATATTCAATGTCTGCTGGAAGCACTTCAGCCGCACACTTTTCGAGTGAGAACGTTGAGTGGCTTGTGAATGCGAGGTGCGAAGGATATTTTGCCCTAGTTGTAGCTCCATCTAAGGCTACCTCAAGTGTGCCCTATCAGACTACTTGGAGAATGGATGTGGGCGTTTGTGGTTCTATGCATGTTGAATTGAGCCGGATTTTGCATCTTCCCCACATAGGTCGGATGTTTCTGCTCAGAAAAAAAGGTCTGTCAGTACGCGTGGACAGGTGCAATCGATTGGATACCTATTGCGAGCGTGAAGCTATGTTAAACGTGAACCGGCGCGGTAAGGATCGCTTTCCATTCCACTGCGTTCATTCCACATCGCGTTGTCAACTGTAGTACCCGCCTCATACATCCAAAACCGCGAGGCATAGTCATGATCAACTGATCGTATTCTTCAAGTCGAAGCACCAACTCACAGCAACTTACTGCGGCTATTGCGAGCCACTCGAGGCGTTCTGGTCCATCTCGTACATATAACTCGGATAATTGATGCCATTCTGCTCACCAAGGCTTCCATCCCCCAAAGCTCCAGCTCTCGGCCACAGGTCGTCCGGATTCAGGCTAAACGGGGCGTCTTGGTCGTAGCTAGTCATGAACGGGTTCGAGAACATGAACTGGTTGTTGTAGGGGTATTCAAGATACCGATACTGCTCTGCCTGTGAAGGCATCTGGGTCATCTGAGAAAGAAGCTGCGGCTGTTCTTGGGTTTGTCCGAAGCCTACTAGCAGCTGAGGATCCGTCATTTGGAGGTTCGTCGTGACTGGGCTGAAGACGACATCCTCGGGCTGGGTGTTAGCAGCGAAGGGGCCGCTGTACCACTCAGTTGGCAGCATTTGGATCATGCTTCCCATTGGTGGGTACATAGTTGGGTCTGGGTGAGCATGACCAGAATTGAACGAAGCATGGTGAGTCTGTTCATGTGCAGGATTGGTGTCGGTCAAGATCTCGTTGAATACGGTCTGAAATTTATGTTGCTGCAGGATCCGGATGACGACTTTGTGCGCTCGCTCCACAATGGTATCAGTGTGGCGCATCGCACCGAGCCAGTGGAGCATCTTCTTCACGCTCTTTTTGACATCTGATCGATCGCCTTGCATGTGGTTCAGTCCGTAGGATAGTTCTAGGAGTAGAACTGCCATCGCTTGCATGACTGTTCGTTTAATCAATAAATCACCAGGTCATACGAGGTCTAATAATACTCACTCATATGAACGATCGACCACCAAGGACCATCCCTATACAAGGACTGGGGGTCAGAACTAGGCAACAACTCAGCCAGACCAAGCGCTGCTGCCACGCAAGTCTCTGCGGTCCGTTGATCGAACAACGCGGAAGGATCGCTTTGATCTTTAGTCTTCCGTCCAGAACGACAAAGACATGGACGCGTGATCAAAATTCTGGTGCTGAAGTAGTAAAACCGTAGCAAAAGGTCTTCGCGCGGGCCCTCGGGTTGTGGAGACAACCGTACACGGAGAATATCCTTGTCCGGTAATGCACCTTGCTTCCAGTCGTCCAGCTCTTGGAGTAGTCTGGGGATGTTTTCTTGAACGCGCTTCCAAGTGAACTGGGCGGTACGAGGAGAGTAGAGCTCAGACAAGAGCTTCTGCATGATGAGGCCGATTTTCAGATGCGCATCTAGATACGATCGCGGAGATTGCAGTATACGACTTTCCTCAGACATGCTACCACTAGCCGGTGTTTGGGAGCTTTCCTTTTTCCAAGAAGGCTGAGTAGGGTTGATAGGGCTGATAGGGCTAGGCAGATCTTCAGACAACGTTTGGGGCAGTGCGACCGTGCAATCTTCATGGCTAAGGACGCAAGGCCGCCCAGTGATAGCACTCAGTTGGCATTCGATAGCATGGAGGGCCCACCAAGTACGCAGGATAGTTTCCTTCTTGCTGAATGGTATGTTCGGATCCTCATTGCGCAGGTGGAGACCAAGGGCCAGAGCTAGGCGAATAGAAATGCCGATCATTATCCACCCTCTGCTGACATGCCCGATAACTTGATAATAGAAAGCCAACAAGCCAGACTGATGATCGTTAGCAATGGATGCCCATATAGTCGCTGAATAGTACGACTCTGATGGAGAGCCTACTCATTACCGTTGAACCTACCACTTGTATCAAAGCCAAATCTGGCGCAGCAGCGAAAGGCCAGGAGCCCAGCAAACGAACGCTCCTCGTCATATAGATCAGGTGATCCCGTTCCTCTCCCTGCCACTCAGCATTGATCAAGTGCGAGTACCGCGCGCCTATGGCGAACACAACATTCAAGATTGCCAACCATCTATCCGGAACGGTGAACGGGCGTTCTGACTTCACAGCTTCAAAATAGCGTCGGAACTGGTCTTCGAACTGTGGTGGGAGGAAAGGAAATGACTTGTGGACAGTTTGCTTGTAGCACTCAAAAAGTTTGGATGCGGCCTCCTTTGGGGGCAGCTCGTAAGGATCGACGTCCACGTCCAGCTCGGCGCTGTTCGCATCGAGATAAAACGAAGCGTCTGTAACAGAAGCAGACGAGATAGCTTTGTGTGCAGAAGGCTGCTGAACCAAGTTGCTTTTATCCGAGACTGCATGTTGGTCAGGGCCCTCCGGTTTGAGTTCATCCTGTAGAATCCGTAGCCATTGGACTCCGGAGCCCTGACCTACGTAGCCGGTTGACCGCGATTTTCGGTTGCGCAGGAGGTCTTCATCCAAGAGAGCCAAGGCTTCTTCTGAACCGATCAAATCGCGGGCGTGAGTTGCTGTAGGTGGATGTCTGTCGTCATCTTTCTCCTGCTCCTCAGGTACCGATAATTTCCTTCTTTTTCCAGACTTGCCTGAGACCATTGACATGGAGTCATCTTCGAATTCTTCGAGCGCGTCCTGAATCCGGGCTCTATCGGAGTCGTCGAGACTTGGTCGCAGACTGAGTTCTTTCAGCAGAAGAACAAGATCCTTGTTCTTGCTCGTAGCTGATTTGAGCCTGTCACGACGGGCTTGGTCGTACACACAGTCCAGGTCGTTTGCGATACAACTAGCGCAGCGTGGTGTGTCACCAGAGCATTTGATCTCTGGAGTCATTCAGAATTGTCAGTGCGAAAGAGTACTTTCAAAAACGACTTACTCCGCTTCCTACAATTCAGGCACTGTGGACATTAGCGTCAGCAGCCATGAGGTGCACAGCACTCACAGCTCGTCTCGCGCGCGGTGCCCTCTGCTCATGCTTTTCTCCCGAAAGGCCTCGGGACGCAGGATGTGATACTCGGGGTATCGCGACCTTTGGCGCACCCGCAGTGGGAAGAGAGTCCATCAAAGCCGGTACTCAGCTATTCGATTCGGATTGGAATAGGCGACTAGACTCCGCGGACCGACTCGTAAACCCTGGGGTCGAGACGTAGGGTTGCGGGATCCTCGCGCGACATGGAGGCGCCAAACTGTTAGGCCGGCAAGGCTTGAGCGTTGCGCGGTTTGCTGTTTTTTGAGTTCGCAAACACCGGATGAGGTGCGATGGTGCCGTTTTGCTGTGGATCTCGATCCCACTTTCCAACTGTACTGCTCCCGTTGCACAGAGCGCGCTTAAGACCTGCTAGCGAAAGTTGGAGCGTCTTTGCACTGGCACGGGCCTCAAGATTCGACGAGAGCCCTCCGGCGATGGCACTCAAGTAACGATATGATACAGTCTCATCTGGGGTTGCGATTTCGCTATCAGAAGCCATGGCCTCTGGGGTCGACGTCATTGGGCGGCAAAGTGTCCCAGCCTATCAGCGGCCCTGCCTGCACTCGTTCCTCGAAGGTTGAAGCATCCCAATCTTATGGCCCAGCCTTTCGAGCCTGTTACCTCAGCCCCCATCCCGAAAGAGGAGACGACCAAAAAACCGTCTCAGCGCTCAAACACGTCCTCCGCTAGTCTGGATCTCGATTTGTTCGACGGTTAGCGCCTCTGGTCCTCGGGGAGTATAGCGCAGGCATGAAGATTCTCTAGGGCACTGCACAAGAGCCCATGTGCATTCAACAGGCGGATGCGAAACCCGAAATCAACACAGGCCATGTCTGGAATCCGGACGAAAGCGCAGCGTATGGTTGCGTCCACAACAACATACAACCTGCGCTCTCGAAAACTGAGGTCTATGTATGAGGGGAATGGTGAACAATCCACAAATCAGTCGTCGCGAGGAAAGAGCAACCACGAATTTCCTCTGACATCATCGATCAATCCACACCCATCAAACACTAGCGCGAATGCGACCACATTGCCTTCGTGCGCTCTAGTGTTTGCGAAACTGCCCAACAGTTGACGGGTATTAGCAGCGTGCCAGAACTTGTCCTGTGTACCAAGCTTCTTCGCGCCTTCGTCCGTCACGCTCGGCAACTGCTGCGCGCATATCGTCCACGTTCCATGCTGGCCATGTTCGCCACCGCATCGAGATCCACCCCACGTTCCATTGATCCACACAAAGCACTGTACAACTGCCGAATGAATGGACGCGTACGTGTTTGGAAATCACTACGGAGCGCTGCCGCCTCAGCTTGCGCAGCACCGCCCCTCAGCGTACCGTCCGAAGCGCAGTGGGCTTGAGCTTTCTGTCTGAAAATGTACGCTACGCTACCTCGCCGAACCTGAGCTACAGACCCTGGAATCGTCCTATGGGCCAACGGTTATTGCCATCCAATTCCCATCCAATCGTTGCCGAGTCCGAACAACGCGATGCTGCCAGAGAGGGGTCGGAGGCCGGCTGCTCCGGTTTGTATACGCCCCAAGCGACGCAACTCGAGTGAACTGTTTTCCTTCAAACGCCTCTACGCACGTCGCCGCACCGCAGCATTGTGGCGGAAGTCTCGCCCACTCCATACAGTCCTTGCTCCGACCATTTATTCGTCGGTCGCGGGTTTATCTCCCCATACTTGGTGGTCTCGACGTGGCGCGGGAATATGAGCGGTTGCGGGATCTTGAGCCGCATAAAAGCTCATTGGATGCCTGTCGTTTGCAGATCTCAACGTTCAGCGGATCTTGGGATACGTCAACCGCACAAGAATTCCCGATCATGTTTAGTCGCGGTGGGGAAGCGCTATATTAGGCTGCTGTACCCGCCGCCACATACATCGCAATTTTTCTTTTGTGTTGTTCGGTGTCTCCAGGCCTGGGTAATCTAGAACGGTGATTGAAAAGCGACACTGCTTAAATTGGCACGTTGCGAATTGATCCCTGTAAATGCGGGAGCAAACGACGAGATTGACTTTCCTGTTTCAAGCATGCTAAGTTTGCAACATCACCATAGCAACAGTGAACATGTGGAATGCAAAGATCGCGAAGTCAGCTTGTTCGATTTTTCGACTCGAGTAACCTGACTTTGCGAGCGATTCGGGCAGTGCACAGATCGCTGCATCATCTTCTTTGTTGAGTTCATATTTTTTTCCATCGCCAAATCAGGCACCTGCTCCTAAACCGCGGCATCCCACGGGGAGGCTCGTACAAGCTTGCTCCAAAAGCTGAATCCTCCGAGCTAACAAGACCATAATGAAGTAATACAGGATGAGAGAACTTCTACACCGTAGAAGAAACTTTTGAACAAGTGTTCGGGTATCAAAATTCGTGAAGACATAGACGGGCAAAGCAGCGCGCTTCGCTGAACAGGGATGGCAAGGAGCAGGCAGGGGAAAGCCTCCCTCATATGGACTGGTCTTCTTCGTCCTCGTCAATGTCGTGGAGGAAATCGAGACCGCTGTAGTCGTCGTTGTCTGGCGTGGAGACGGCACTGAGGATTGAGCCGGAGCTCGACGACCGTCGGTGCAGGTCATCCAGTTGGAGTGACGAAGAGCTGGTCATGGGGCTGGGCTTTGGCCTCTTCGATTGCTGCTCTCCCATCCCGGGTGCGTCAACGCCCAAGAGGTCGCCAGCGCATCGTGCAAGGTATTCATCGACGGCCCAGAAGCCACAGCCAGCGTGTCGCAGGACTTCGTTTTTGAGCGAGAGGACTTCCTCGCGAAGCATGGCGACGTTCTCCTTCAGCGCCTTATTCTTGGACGAAAACTCGCGGGCACGCGCCTCGAGCCCGTTGATGTACTCCTTCTTGCGTTGCCTGCACTTGTGGGCGGCTACGCGGTTCTTCTCGAGGTGCGACTGGCGTGCCGACGAGACCTGGAATGGGAAGCCGTCGGCAGTGTAGTGCTCGACCATCTGCGGAGTCGACTTCGGCCTTCCTCGCTTGCGCTTGGGCGGCTGGCCGTCTTGTTGGGGCTGCTGGGTCTGCGGGGGAGCGAGGTCCTTGTTCGAAGACTGCCGCGAGGTGCGACGGCGCTTCGAAGCGGGCTCGTCTTGTGCTACTTGGGGTTGGTAATCTTGCAGTGCCTGCATCTGATGATCCGGAAAGAGAGCCTCGTTCTGGAGCTCCTCGAGTGGAATGGACCCCTCTCGGATCGGCTCGCGTGGTGGCTCTGCGGGAGACAGATCTTCGGGGGGCGTGACTTGGCCGTAGCGCTCGACAGAAGCAGCAGTGAGCAGAGAGGGTGGGATGGTAAAGGCAGATTGCGAGAAGGAGGGCGCGTTGCCGAGAACAGCAGCCCACTTGTCGGACGACGAGACGATGCCGTTGTCAAGAGCGAGGTAGGCGTCGTTGGCCCACGAGGGCTCGGCGAAGCCGTGATGCATGTTCGCTTCGACCTCCATTGCGGTGGTGATCACTGGTGGTAAGGGGACAGTTGAGACTTGTATTGGGTCAAGGTCTGTCAATGTGGAATACGGTTGCTTCAAGGGCAGAGAGAGCGCGGAAGTATGTTATACCAGGTGGCGGCTAAGAATACCGAAGCATGCGCCGGTGGAATGTGTGGCAAGTAGATGAAAACGGTAGCGAGGTCCTGAGGGGGATCAGAGCGGCAGAGAGGGGACACGCTGGGCGGAGGAGCTATAAGAGGCGTCGGGAGGAGGGACCAGGCGGGAGATCGCAATCGGCTAACAATGGGAGCAAATCCATCATGGCCAACTTGAAATCCCATCTGCTGGCAAGATCAACTTGTCTGCGAGGGATCGGTCGATGAGAGGATGCACCAGGCGACGGACAGGCGAAGCGAGCCACACAGACGCCGCAGAGGCGCCCGCGCGCGCCATGCAAAACCTGCTCCAACATGGACTTCGCGATCGCGATCGGGCGCGCACTGCAGCGCCAAAGCCCTCTACTGCTACCGCCCGCCCGCAACGCCAGCGGCAGCCGAGCAACCGCAGGCCTCACTGCGGTCGCGTCGTCTGTCGTCTGTGCTGGACGGCCTGTTCTTGTGCTGCTGCGCCGGGGCTGCTCGCAGCGTCAGTCAAGTGGCACCACCAGCGTCTCGCACCGCAGCAGCAGCCGGACACGCCAACCCCACACGCCTCCTTGCTAGGCCGCCCTCTAACACGCTGCAGCCGGCGTCTATCGTTTTATCGTTTGGCCGTCCCAAACAGACGTCCCAAACAGGCTGGTGCGTCCCGCGCGCGAGGTCACGTTGGCCTGTCTTCCCCGACGCCCTCCGAGCGCCCCTCGAACGCGTTCCTGCGCCCTATGCCTTGACAGCATTCGGCGCCGGACCTCTTGAGCCTGCGCCGATGGAAACCCGAATGACCCTTATATGCCCGCTCGTCGCGTCGCCCTGGGTGTGCGCGACGGCAAGCCCGTGATCATGCAACGCTATCTTTGTGCAGATGGCGCCTCAGTCTCCATGCCCTGGCAACCGTCGCCAGCTGAACACGTTCCGCACCTTCTGGAACCTCGTCCAGTATCCGAGCTCCATACGGACTCACGGCCTGAACGCTTTGCTTGCCAGTGTCCACTCATACAGTAGCCCCAAAGTGCTCCAGTAGCTCAGGAACCCAACAAAGCACCCATTTGCGCCATGACGTCGCCTGAAAAGCACGTCCGAGGAGGCGACTTTCGCAAACCTGGGGTGGGCCCTAATCCTCCCTAACAACCACCTGGGACTTGCGGAAATAAAATCCGCGGCCAATCATATTGCAAGTTGCTTCTTCGCTACCAATCGCCATCATGCCTCACAACTCTAGGAAAGGGTCCAAGTCGCCAACCCTGGTCCAGCTCGACAATGCTTCTGTCCGGCATGTCATGACATCTCCAGAAGCCGACGAGATGCTTTTTGCGAACACCACCTACCTGTAGCCTCCAGAGAAGCCGTTCAAAGAATGTTGACTCCGGTCAATGCGTATTCCATCGAAGCGACTGTCGTCAGCATACTCGTTGACTTGCTTGCTTTGAAGGCCGCCAGATCTAGGCCTACATCCCGGCATCGCGCAGTGTTTGATGTACCATCGGAGAAGAAATCCTTCTAGGTGTAGTGGATCCACCGTGCCGGCAAGTTCACCATCCTCATGCCGGTTGACTTGGTCTGATCGGATTGTCAGTTTGCCCATGACGATCAGACAATTTTCCCGTCTCGGAGCAAGCTTTCCCATGTACAACCGTGCGCGATTTCACCCTGACGTCACCTTCCCGCGCCCACACGACAAGCTGAAAGCGCTTGCGCTTGCGCTTGCGCTTGGGCAGAAGTGGGCAGTTTCGCTACAGACCCTGATGCAGTTGGGCATTCCTCTGAGCTGGCTGGATTCTGACTCCAAGGGCAGACAGCACCCATTTTCAGCCGTTTCTGAGACCTGACCCAATACAACGTTCGAGATATGCCGCATCGTAACTATAGCCACGCTTCACCGTGACCACATGGCGTTCAGCACAACAGCCTGGAACGACCTTCCGTCCAAGTAAGCACTCTCGTCCGTTGCCGTGTCTCTGGATCTGCGGCAAGGAACCAAAGTAGTTCTCTTGACAGATCCTGTTCTCAGCTGTAACCATGGGTCTACTTATGCGGGGCATGATGCCTCCCGAGACCTAGAGGATGGAGAACGTCTTTGCGCATGTGGCAACTAACGTCACTGAGACTCTACCGTAGAGTTTTTCTTCTCCCGGTTGAGCTACAAATAAGCGATCTAGCCAGGAAACAGCATAGATCGTAAAAGCGGGGCAACAAGGACGTACAGTTTGTATTGTTGGTGCAAGCTGTGAAGTAGCTCAACCGGGAGAAGAAAAACTCTACGGTACCGTGCAGACGACGAAACAGGGCGACATCCTGAACGGACAGTGAGCTTGGGAAATGTCCGTGCGGAGCATTACTGCATTCGTTGGAGACGATGTCTTGACCCCGCTTTGATGATGCTCGGTCTTCTTTGCCGTGCTCATTTTGCACGTTGAGCATGTGCCTGTCACTTTCCAGGGTGGGGCTGGCACCTAGTCGGGATGTTGGTGAGCAAGAGCTTACCCCGCAGATCAGTTGCGAGTTGCAACCATATGCCATTGGCTGCGGAAAGCTGATAGGACCAAACAATTCGAGATGCACACAGGGCTTTGCGCGCTACGTCATCCGTGGGACCGCCCGTCTGATCGATTTTATAATCCAATGTGCGAAGTTCGAGCTTTGTGGAAGTGTTGGCTGCTTGAATGCGAATATATCTATTGCTCCCGCTCGCTGCAATGCTGGAAATTACCTTGCCAACTCGACTCATGTTTGATCTTGCCAATCTGCAACCATTCCAGCCTGAGATACATGCCACTGCTAAATCGGCTGTTGTCGCATTCAGTGACATCGGGATTGACATGTAGCTTTCCATCGAGATTCGTGCAAGTTTCTGGGCAGCTCTCACAACCGGATCATGAACAACAATTCGGACGGCATAGCACGCTGCTTGCTGATACGGGATCTAACATAGATTAAGAGAAACGAGGAATATAGGAACACGGCAATAGCACGATCGCGTGCGTCGAGCGAACCGCATGAAGGGTACCATGAGCTAATCGCACAGTCTACCAGCCGTTATCCCATCCGCCCGCACTCATATTCGCGACTACAGTCAATCGGGTGATGCCAGTTGCTCGGGTAGGCATACATCATTGCTATCGCGCAGAATAAGATTCCTCGAGAGCATGTTCACTGTCTGGAGGTTGAGTCGCAAGTGAGGAGCTATTTAGAGAGTGCATCACAGCTGGTTCGGGCACGCTGTTCACTTCTACAACAAGCGTGTTGGTAAACAGCTACAAAAGTCCAACCACTCGTTTCATTTCCCCAATCAAGGTTGTATAAAGGCAGTCGTACAGTAAAGAAGAATCAGCACCTTCTCCATCAGGTTTAGTAGAGGCACTAGTCCTCTCGAGCTATCTCGGTCGTTCAGCCGCACCTCTCCTCACCGAAACATCTATCGCATCCTGGCAAACCCGCCAACGATCTCCACTCCTGCACCTTCTCAGCAGTACATCACAAGATCATGGGTTTAACAGAAAAAGTAGAGCGCTTAAACCTGGCCGTCCGAGAGAAGCCGTTTGAAAGCTCGGCCAGCAGCCACTGGACAGCGCAACCACGAAGCGGCCTCCTCATGCTGCCTCTCGAGATCCGGAAACTTGTGTTTGACCACCTGATTGGCGGGCCTGGTATATGCATCTCCGAGAACGGGAGATGCGCGAAAGGCGTGGAAGTGCCGACCCGATATAGAACGTTAGGCGGTCGACCACTCATCACGTGCGACCACCGCAGCGAAAACCAAGGGAATCCTATCAACGCGCTATATCTTATGCTGGTCTGTCGTCAATTGTGAGACGCCATCATCCCCCTACAGCATCAGGACCAAAATCTGAGTACAAAGGGCTTGCATACTGCATACCCTTGGGTAACATACTGTACTCAGACCTTTGTCATAGTACTGTAATACATACTTGTAACCACTGACGCCTAGCAGCTACGCCGAAGTAACCGACATGCTCTACGCAACCTCACGCTTCATCTTCCACGACGCCATCGCCTTCCTCCGCTTCTCAACCCGCCTCTCCCCACCAGTCCTGCACAAACTCCGCTCCATCACCCTCGAAGCCGGCTCCAGCGACAGCTCCTTCTTCGAGCGCCCGCTGCGCTACTGGTCCGACGTCGAAGCTGGCCACGAGGACGCACACCGTCTACCGTCGCTTGCAGCAGAGTACTTCAACGAACCGTACTACCCCTCCCTCCTCTCCCGCTGCCTGCGCGAGCCAGAGTACCACTACGACGTGCGCGATCCGCAGGTGCCGAGTACGTGGGGCGCGGTGTGCCAAGATCTGGGGAAAATGGCGGGGCTGCGGGTGCTGAATGTGGTTGTAGCGCTGGAGTCGATGCTGGTGTGCCACAAGAACAGTGTGTTCGATGAGGCGAGGGGCATGAGCATTGATCAGGGACAGGCGGAGGGGTTCATTTTTGCGCCGCTGGTCGAGGTGAAGAGGGCTTTGGGGGGCGAGGCGGAGGTGGAGTTGGTGGTGGACTGGGCCACGCTTGATGGGGAATCGGTGTTTGAGAGCTTGGCTGCTGAGGTGGGAATCAATTTTGCAAGGGCGAGGATTGAAAGCTGGAAGAAGGGCATGGTTCTGGGTGCAAACTACTAGGTAGAAGTTGAGGGATTGCTTTACATCCTGGGTGACTTCATTTACCCAAACTCAGGAAGGCATCCTGGAACGCACGGAGACGGTACGAAGCCGGAGCTGTCACGAAGCATGCGATGTGGGATCGTTCCTCCGTGCCATTGCGGCGCACTGCTGCACTGACAAGTCATCGTCAACTGAATTCCCGCTAACGCAATAAAAGCCCATTCTATCATCCTCCTCCCATCACTTTTCAAGACAAAATCTTCTTCAGCGCCTCGACAAGCTCCCGAATCTCCTCTTCGGTGTTATAGTGCACCATGCTCACGCGCACCACCCCTTCCGGCTTCAGGCCCAACACCTCGTCGCACAGCCTCTTGGAGTAGAAGTGGCCCCATCTGATCCCGAAATTGCTAACCTTATCCACCTGCTCCACAATATCCCTCGAGTTCCTACCGTCCACCACAAACGAGATGGTCGGCACCCTGACCGTGGAGTCTGCTGACGTAGATCCTAGCACGGTAATGTCGTCTCGCGAGTTGAGAAAGTCGAGCAGGATGGTCTGCAGCTTGCCCTCGTGGGCGGCGATGGCATCGCTCTTGTCAGCAAGGTAGGTCACGATCTTTGGGATCGACTGGACATTTTCGTAGTTGGAGGCTGCGAAGCCGAGCTTGTCTTCGAGGGTTTTGGTGGGGTTGAAGTAGTGCGGAAGGGGCTTGACGTGTTCTTGGGCGGCATTGCTGGCGTACAGGACGGCGATGTGTGGGCCGTAGACCTGGATGGTTGGGTCAGCTGATCTGCCCGAATCGTATGGGATGTGTGGAGGGTGGCTCACCTTGTACCACGAGAAGGCGTAGAAGTCGACCCCAAAAGCCTTCACATCGACTTGGCGATGCGGCGCAAAGCTCACCCCGTCCACGCAGAACAGCGCCCCAGCTTCATGCACCGCATCCGCTATCGCCTTGACATCGTGGATTCCCCCGAGGATATTGCTCACGTGCGTACAGGCGACAAATTTCACTTTTGGCCCCAACAAGGGCTTGAGGTTCTCAGGGGTGAGCTTCAGCTCCGGCTTCGGCGACTCCCACCACTTGACCGTCAGCTTGAGGCGGTCTGCCATGACAAGCCAGGGCTTGACGTTGGTCTCGTGCTCCATTTTGGACAGGATGATCTCCGAGCCTTCGGGGATCTTCATGGCGGAGGACAGGTTCATGAAAAGCTGGGTGGTGGAGCCGCCGAGCACGATTTCGTCGCGCCCGGCGTTGATGTATTTTGCAGCCGCTTGGTAGCCTTCTTCGTACTTGGTATTGGAGATTGTGCCTGCGGTATCCTATCAGATCTTTGATATCCGCCAGTCGTGTACAGCTTCTACTTGCCAGTGTGATACGACGCCCCCAATTGTACATTGGTCTTGGAAAGATACTGCGTTATAGAGTCGATAACATCGTCCAGTGTCTGACTTCCGCCCGCATTGTCAAGGAACACCTGGTCTTGCTTAAGTGCGGGGAAGCGCTCGCGGGCTGCGGCAACGTCGAATGTGTTTGACATCTTGTGCAATGGTTAAGATTGAAGTATGATAACAATTAAAAGAGTCGAGACGACAAATCAAGGCTTTATATACACACAACCGTGATAATGCTGATGGTGGACGGCATTATCAAATGGATGCACGACACATGGGGGTAGTGAGGGGTTAGCCGAATGAGGCAGGCGCTACGTCTCCATTGCAATGACGCACGTGCTTCGGTCTACGGTCGTTCTACATATTGTACACTGTATAAATTACGATATTGATAATGACAAAATTAATCGCCCTGGGCTGGGTATAGAGAAAGGAGCCTCTACAAGCATTGTACATTGACACGTCAGATGAGACGGGATGCACATTGCGGGTAGCATGTGCCCAAGTAGCGACGGGTAGCGACGGGATTGTGGGCAGTTGTGCGTGGGTACACAGCCACTTGAAATCAGAATGGGGCAACGTACCGATGGAGAGAGCTGCTCTTGGTCCACTGACTCCAAAACCCCGCCAATAAGATCTGAAAGTAACTTCACCAAGAAATCGTAAAACAGGGTGTTGGAAGCCAACCTCCAAACTTGCCTGACGTAACTGAGATCAATCGATTCGGCTTCAAAAGGTCATGTAATTGGGCAAAACATCTCAGAGTTTGGATCCACAGGAACAAACATAACAGGAGGTCCACAGAGACGAGATTTTGAGTATTGTTGCCCTGCGCAATGCCTGCCCTTGGCTAGAACACTATATCTGTACTCATGTATAGATACTACACTTTAAGTCTGCTTGTACGCCTTCCACACTGCGGCCTCGAACTCCTTGATCAATGCTTGGCTCTCCCCATCACCCCAGGGAATGACCTGCGTCGCAAAGAAGTATGCCAGACCCTTCTCGCGATTCGAGTTCCAGGCGAGATTCGCCATCCCGTGCCACCCCAGCGTGCCTTTAGGTTTGGAGAAATCACTTCGGTCGATGTCATGGGTGGTCAAGAACCCACCGAGCCCTTGGTTGGGAGATACCCCTTCCATACTGAGGCCTACAACCGGTGCGCACGCGATGTCCCACATTGACCTCTGCAGTTTGCTGCCTTCCTCAAACTGTGGTGTGAACATCAAGTCCATCGTCTCTTTCTTAAGGATCGTAGGACACTCCTTGAGTGTGTCGGCTAGCATGCGCATATAGTCATCGATGGTGGAGTACATCCCAGCGCCGCCACGCTCGGCTTCGGGCTCTTCCCATATAGGCGTCTTGCTGGGTGCGAGTGTGCCATCCGCCTGGCGCTCGCTCATCTGCATCAGCTCCTGCGCTACCTCGGGTTTGCGAGAGAGGTGCCAGGTCCAAGACTTGATTCCCAGCGGCTCAGCAATGTTTTGCGTGACGTGATCTTCAAAGGGTATCTTGGTCAGCCGTTCGACAAGCAAGCTCGCCCAGTCGAGATTGGTGCCTAAGAGAAGTCAGGGTCAGCGGAAACGCCTTTGTAGAATTCATATGTTGATTTGTACCTACCATAATTCCACGCCTCTCCAGCCTCAGCAATTCGAGGATATGAGATCTCGTTGGTGCGGCCAGTGAATGGGAGTTGCGCAATTTCTCCACGTGAGCTACGCCACATTGACAGCGTGGGGTTGAGCCAATCGTAGACTATGCCGCTTGAGTGCGTTAAAAGCTGTCGAAGTGTGATAGGATTGGTGGCTTCGCGCATCTCAAAGAACTCTTTTTCTCCACTCGTCGCAATAATTGGCTGCGACGTGAGTTCTGGCAGGTGTTCACTAAGACTTTCGTCGAGTGTGATAAGGCCGCGTTCCACGCATTGCAGCGCCGCAATGGAGGCCACGAGCTTTGTGCAAGATGCTATCCAGTATACTTGGTCAGGGCTGAGGTCAGGCGCGTTCTCCGTTGCGCCGTTAAATCCAGCGACATATTTGTAGACGATGTTGCCTGCCCCAGTGGGTCAGCCTGACGTGCCTCAAAGGTGTTTCGATTCACTCCGAAGCGTCTTTGAAGGGCTGCATAGGTGTCAATCGTACCAGTCTTGTCCACCACGGCCACTGCTGCCCCAGGCACTTTGTTGGAGCCTCTCTCCGTGGCGTGCAAGAGCACCTCCTCGAAACGTTCCATATCGCGCAGCGCTTCCGGCGTTCGTAGTTGTTGGTAGTTGGTGGATCGGAGGTGGTGTCGCTAATGCAGCTCAGATCGCTGCTGGCTTTATGAGGAGCGCAAACAAGGAAACGCCAAGAAGAGGCACAGTTCGTGTCCCATACCAGACGTGGAGATAACCTTGTCTCCTATTTGCTGAGACAAGCAGGTCTCGCATGCGTCGCTCGGAAAGATCATAAACGCGAACGCTACATATGTTTTTCGGATTGTGGACGTGCAACTGCGGCGGGCCCTGGCTGATCATATTTGTAAGCTCGCCATGCGACTGGCCGATATTGGAAAGCAGGTATGGTGCCCAAGGGTATGGTTGTCTAATAACCCCAGAAAGAAGTTTGCGTGGTGTCGCGTTGATACGTGGCTCCTAGTGGTCGCTGCTGGCACATCCTGGCAGCGCGAAAAGCACAACGGGACCATCGGTCCCGCCTAGCCCAATCTGCAGCAGTGATTACATACGGATCCTTTCCGATGAACACACTCCTACTGTCTGCGAACATATATGATCGACGTGGCGCTCTAAGCTGCATAGTCAGGCGCACAGAGTGGAGCTTGAGGGACGGCCCGCTAGCTCGATCCAGTGTTAGGCGGGATTCCGTACACGATGAAATTCTGCTTGCCGTTCTCTGCACACCTGATAAATGCTTCGCGGTCCTGAGCTAGGGAAACTCGTCTGAACCGCAGAGAAAGGAGTAATAAGGGTTTGGTCATTCACTGATCCAAGATCGAGGTCCATCGAATCTCTGTGATGTGATGGTTGCTGCCCATGCGTGTTGCGCTCTGTTCTGGAGTGGTTGTTGTCCTGATAAACAGCCTGGCGGCGTTCGTTCTTGACTTGCAACAGCCGCAACTCAGGACCGAGACATGGGCTATTGATTGCGGTGTTGTAAGTTGTCCACAAGCGACGGATGTGATCGGGAAATTCGCCCTCTTCTTTCGTCACCCCTGCATCAGCAGCAGCCTGGAGCAGTGCTTCCACGTCCATGGAAAGATCAGAAAGGACTTGCAATACATCGTCGCACCTTCGCCGCTCTGAGGCCGTGGCGCTATCTTTTCTTTTTTGATAGGCACGTTGCGCTTCGCGAACCTGAGCCCGGCGTTTCTGGGCCGTTTAGTTTCTGTGCAGCATGACGAGAGTGCAGTAGCTACCTCTACAGCGCTCTCATCTCGCGCTGTGTTTACCCGTGGCCTGCCTCTCCCTCTTCGGGCTGGTACCACGTTTGCTTCAAGAGAGTTGTTGTTATCTGAAGCCGATGAAAGACCGTCAGTCACAGGGGGTTGGTCCAGGTCCGTGTTGTCCACAATAGGATGTAGCCACTTCGTGATGTCAGTATCGCGAGTTCAATCACGTTGAGACACATGTACTTGTCCTTGGGAGCATACATTGCCATAGCCGAGGCCGTATCCAGCATGCACAATAGCCTCATCAAGGTGCGGCTTGTCCCCAAGAAACGCGTACATCATTCCCCTACAAGAAACGAACTATAAAGTCAACTGAGAGATTGCAAGAGATTACAACACTGCGGCCGCCTAGAGGGAGAGGAAAGGTGAGACGCAACGGATCATTTAATCAGGAAAATCAGCTACCAACATCCGTTGGCCTGTGCGGCGGGTATCTAGCGCGGGCGCTACCTGGGCCCTGCTGCAACGCCTGGCATCCATCTCATCTCGCACTCCAAAACGACCCGCCACGCACGCCGGCAGAATTCCACCCATTTGCTTTTGGGGGCCACAACGGACCCATCACTGTCCTCGAGCTGACCACGATGAGAACTAGTCGCGCTCACCTCGCGCCACCAACCCCACACGATGCAAGGCCCCAAATAGTCACCAATTGCCTCCAATCAGTACGGAAGGGAGGATAGTCCGAGCCAAGTATAGTGCACGCCACGGTCCGGCTTTATTGTCGCGGGTGCTCCCATCGTTTTCAATTGCACTCCAGCGCACCACATGCCGACGCTCACCCTATCCCAATGCTTCACCGTCGATAGCAAGGACCCATATGCTACTGGCCTCGGTACTATTCCTTAATAAACCTGAAATCAGCCAAACCGTCTCCCCAATCCAGGCAGGCCTTCAGCTCGCCATGCCTTCCGCGGACGAACTTGTGCTGCACTCCGCGAGGCTTCCGTAGTTGATACGGAAGATAGCCGAGTGCCCCGATTAAGCGACGCGGAGGTCATCTCCAACGAGCACCGTCAGCGAAAACGTACGCGCAATGCAAGGCCAGCAACTCGTGGACGAACTGTGTTACGTTGGGGTATCCCCATACAATCTGCAATTAAGCAGGAGCCTTGAACACGCCCACCAGGCTGCCAAACGAGGAATACCAAAAACCCGATTCTTGGAACAGCTTCTTGGTCGCCTTCCTTTCTTGGAACTTGCGCAATGCGACCGTCGGAGGATGTTCCGAAGTAGTGTCGACTTCCGGTTGAGGTCAGTTTTGCGAAGAGTGAGGACACCGCTTCGCTCCAGGGCATACGAGAAAGTCCCGAGTCCGTGGAACGTGGTCTGCTTGAATTAATCCTTCGATCACGTGAATCGTGTCACCCTGGAAGTCTGGATGGTTCGGGAAGTCGACAATTTCAACTGCGGTTTATGCCGCAGAATTTTTCCACTTGTTCGCCAGCATCAGCAAATTCACGCAGGATAATATCAAGTCATACGACATGACCAGACTCAGCGAACGCCTGAAAAATTGCGTGCTTTGTCGCCTACGGAGCAACTCCATATCGCTCTCGGCTAGCGCTGATGATAGCGATGATGGGGATAGTGGGCCTGGCTCGCGAAGACTGTATGTCTATGGCTAGACGTTTTAAATTCGCTCATGCACACAGCTTGATGCGAGAACTATGATTCGGTGCCATGTGGGCGCCCCGAGATTCAAAAGCCGCTCAATTGGCGTGCAGTCCATCCAGTTGTACGGCGAATCTCGGTCAGACAGTTTGTGCACGTGGTGAGTTGCGCTGGCCTAAATCCTGTTCTGCAACGTGGAATGACAACTAGTCGAATGTAAGCTTCTACTGTAGTATTGATGCGGACTGTTATTAGTAAAGATGTGTCATCACCTTTTCGCACAAAAGGTGTCTTGATACCAAGAGCCAAGCAGCGTGCTTCCGTCTTGTCACAGAGCCCCAGCTTTACTGCAAGAACGGTTCTAGTCGCATTCCATACGACAGTTCGACCAAGTCTGTGGAATAAGTCGGGCAACCTTAAGACACAATGCGTGCAATAATATCGTGAGATGCGGGTACGATTTCAGGGTCCAAACGCAAAATTCAACTCACCTTCGCTGGGAAGCTCCGGCTCCATGGCTGGTCAGCACAGACGCATCTCACACTCCCCTGTCTATACTAATTAACAGTTATTAATTGTCTGCTGTGTCTCGCCGGTAAATTTGTAGCGATCCACGTTGGCGACCGAAGCACGACTCCTATACACGTGTATACGCAGCGAGCGACTTGCAGCAGCTGACTCGAAACCTTCGAACCAACGTAACCCCGGTATCCTGATAAGACTGGGGTCGGAGAATGAAAACACGTTAGAAGATCAGCTCCTCTAGGAGTTGTGACGTAGTCTACTTCAAGAAAAGTAACCTTCCGATCGTGAGGTGCAGATACCACTCCCTCATGTGTCTGGCTGCACTATCATGTTGTAGGTTTAGACACGTATGAGAGCGCGAGATCTCCTAAGATAAATTGGTTTATCCATAATCGTTGTTTGGGCAACCTCACCGCTCTCGAAGTCGAAAATCAGCCTCTGAGCTCGCAGAAAGTCTTGATAATACCAATCTAGCTAGTAATTAGGAGGTCGTTCGCGTTGTTATTGAAGAGCTGGTCTTTCTCACGACAAACATGCCTACCTCGGCAGCTCTCAATCAGCTACAGCCGCTCCATAGAGGCAGAAATGGTCTACAGTTATAGCGCTAATGCGTCGGAGCGAAGAACGGAGGGCTATTCAGTTTAGTGGTCGCTGACTGTGTTGGTGGTATGGGCTCAATTGCATTTTTGTAGACCCGTCCAGTGTCATTGATCCAAATTAGAGCCACTGGAATCTGCTCTTTTCGACGCTCCATGTGCTGCAGAGCCAGTTATTCTGCATAAAAGCGTGTTTCCCCGTCTCTGTCCGTTACGATCACTTGCTGAGGGGATTGAAAAGTGCGGCTTCACCGAGTGAGAGACACGTCTGCCTGCAAACAGGCCAGCCATACGACCGCGTTTGCACTTACCTTCACCAGCGAATCCGTCGCCCGGTTGACGCCGTATAAAACTCAACGCATATCACGACGCTTTCTATCATCCACCACAACACCACACTCCCCGCCCAGCTGAAGATGCCGCCTTCAGCCCCACGTTTTTGCGGCCAATGCAATCGCCAGCCAGCCGAAGGCGAGACTCGCTTCCGATAATGCAGCCGCTGCAAGCTCGTCGCGCGTGCGGCTGAACTACATGCTACGCATGACTTGGCTGCAGAGATGCAGTACGACGCGAAAGTGTATGAGGGACACGGCGTCTCTTGTGGTATACGCTGTGGGATTTTGAGAAGAGTCAGGTTGAAAAGCAAAACAAGGCCAATCATCAGGTCTCTCCTCGGTTCGACTGCGTGTTCTTCAGGCTCGGGGTTCTTTCGATCGTGTATCGCATGCGCAAACCAGAACATGTTGGGTTCGATTGAATCGGAAAGCTAAAGGAGAAGTATCGCCGACAATCTCGATCTTGCTGTCATTCGTCTGCCAGCTTAGATTTTCTATGTCGAGTAGCAGAATTCTGCAGAGTCATGACCTGGTGGGTGGAAATAGGAAGTTGGCGTAGCATGGAAGACTTTCAATACCCAATAGGTGATCCATGCCGAAATGCGTGACCAATTACTCTTGCATTAAACACCCCTGTGATGCGCTGTCTTTGAAGTACTAGCAACGCGGTGAATGATTCACAATTCACTCCAGAAAACAACAAGAAAACAATACACAGTAAGTGTCATTGCTTTCACTATGCCCGTGTACCATTCCACACCCAATATCTACCGTAAGATAATGCATGAAAGTCCCTTTTATTCAATACAAGAAGTGATGTGCCAAGCGACAAAGTCCCCAAGACACAAGAGACTAGACCAAAAAGTCCACGACGAACGCCACCAACGCCGTGACTAACAAGACCAATTCATCCATACGCCGGGGTATATCCGAGAAACACATTACCACCCCGGAAGACGCCGTGTCACGCCGATAACAATCCATGACGCAGTGTCTCGCAGTGCAAGATCATTCTAGCAAACTCCAATTCACTGCCAATACACACCAAGAAGGGAAGATAGACCGCTTTCGCGTCTAGACCTTCTCGCGGTGCTCTAGGTTCTGCGAGGCGATGGCCTCTACCTTGTCGATCGCGCCATCGGCATACGAGTCCGTCGGCTGCCACTTCGCAGACTTGCGCGGCGTCGTCTCCTCGAGCATACGATCGACCTGCTCCAGCGAGAGACCTTTGGTCTCGGGTACAAGGAAGTACGCGAACAAGACGCACATGGTGCAGGTTGCGCCCCACACGAAGAAGACCTTGCTCTTGAGGTTACCCTTGTCCTCGTCGACCATGTACGGCGTGATGTAGCCGATGACGAAATTCCAGAGCCAATTGGAGGCTGTGGATAGAGCGACGCCCTTTGCGCGGATGGGGAGAGGGAATATCTCGCCGATGACCACCCACGCAGCGGGGCCCCAGGTGGTTGCGAAGAAGAAAATGTAGAAGCAAGTGAAGACAATCAGACAGAGGCCGGCGGCCTTAGAGCCCTCGTCCACGGTGCCTACAATGGCGATGATGAACTCGCAAACCAACATGCCGACGGCACCGTAGATAAGGAGCATGCGACGGCCGAGCTTCTCGATGGTCCAAAAGGAGATAGGGGTCGAGACCACGTTGACGATGGTGGTGATCATGCTGATGAGGAACTCGTTCTTGATGCCAACCTGCTTGAAGAACGTGGTGCCGTAGTAGAAGACTGTCACTGTTAATTTGTGGTAAAAATAAGAGGGGGCATGACCATGTTACTTACTAAAATTGACACCGGTCCACTGTTGCATCATTTGCAGGGCAATACCGATGAACACGCGACGGAAGTTACCAGACGGCGCCCAACCACCGCGGAAGCAGTCCAACCAGCTAGACTGCATGTGCTCAGACTCGAAGCGGTAGTTCGCCACGAGCTCAGCGAGCTCGTCCTTAATGTACGGTGAATCAATCGGCTGACCACGAAGCTTGCTAAGGGAAACCGCAGCATCATCGAGACGGCCCTTCTTGACATAGTGGCGCGGTGACTCGGGGAGCAGGAACAAACCCGTGCCCAGGATCAGAGCCCAGAGCCACTGGAGGCCCATAGCAATGCGGTAAGAGCTAGAGTTGTCGATGGCGTGTGTACCCTGGTCGACGACGGAGGCGAGCATCAGGCCAATGGTGATGAAGAACTGGTAGCCAGAGACGATAGCACCGCGGACGGCCTTGGGTGCCACCTCGCTCATGTAGAGGATGATGATGGCGGAAACGAAACCAACACCAAAGCCAGCGATAAGACGACCAGGAACGAGGACACCCACGGACGATGATGCGACCTGAAGGACAACACCGACGGAGAAGATGATGCATCCAGCGATGATGGTGGAGCGGCGACCAATCCAATCAGCGACAGAACCCGCGATAAGCGCACCGAAAAAGGTACCAGCAGAGAGAATAGAGACGATAAGTGACTTCTGCCAGGTGCTGATGGTATAGTCGGGAGCCGTGCCAAACTGCTTCTTGAACGCGTTCATAGCAAGCACACCAGAGATGTAACCTATATCCACGAAGTCAGCGCAACTCGAGATCATGAGAAAAGATACTCGTGATTTCACTTACCAGAATCATAGCCGAAGAGAATACCACCAAAGGCAGCAAACACACAGAGAAGATAGCCCCGAAGGGTGACAGGCGCCTCGACGCGCCCGTCGCCGCCACGGGAAGCAGCAGAAGGTGCCCAGCGCATATTGACCGGACTCGTCGCTAAGTCAAGCTGATTTCAAAGCAAGGGGTGCCGAGTGCTGCGTGTGATCCGCGTGCGTTGGTGTGGGATTTACTCGAGCGGGTGTGGTGTGGAATGGAATGTGGTGAGGCAAGCTTGAGAGCAGCGCACCGCGTTTATATCGAGGCGGTAGCAAACGCAACAAACGCACCGATATTTTGGACCTCGATGGCTGGTGCGTCCGGAAGCGGTCGCGGCGTGGCGCGTGATGCGTATCGTGAGGTGAAATCCGGGGTAGAGACAAAAGATGAGCGAGGTGTGAGCCCGACGCTTTGGGCGCTCCGGAATGGAAGGCGCCTATGTCCCGATCCGGGAGACGGAGCACCTCATCTACCAAACTTGACGAGAGGTTCATAGATCATGTGCTCGATCTCGGACAGCTATTTCTTGTTTTCAACTGCGTTGTTGCTGGAACTCAAAGCCATTATCCCATACGCAGTTCCTAGAACCCGTGCTACCATGTCATTCAGCTTTACTACGAGAAATTGATCCTGATTGAATTTCACACCACCAAACTACGCTCTACGCATTCGGAAATGGTCATGAGACGTGAGAGTGATCTTCACAGCCACACCCGAAGCGGCCCGCCGCTCGTTTGTCCAAGACATTGAGCCGCAACAAAAAGCATTATGATGAAGCACCTACTCAATGCGGCGGCGAAACGAACATACCTTGATTCTGAGACAGAACAAAGAGACTCGGCTTTGTCGGATGTCACGATACGTGACGTGTATCCAGTATCGCGCAATACCTGAATCGTTTTAGTCCAACCCAGAACACTCCGGGAAATAGTACTTGGACCATCTGGACGTAGGTTGTGCGTTTCCCGACGATGTCGGACTCAACGGAGCCCGCTTCCTGCACCGAAGGCGTGGTAGCGATGACATCTCGTGGATATTGTACCGGACATGAACACCCAAGTAGTACAGTGGTGACCGAAATTGGTTTCCGGTTCCTATAAGCTAGCGCATATAGATGCCGGCCACCTGTGGTTTCCGGCCGCCTTAGCAGAACGCGACATCTCTACCAATAGTTCTATAATTGCCACTGAGTACACATAGATTCAAGCGCTTCAGCTGCAGTAATAGCTGCAGCTCTCTCTGCAGCGCTTAATATAGTAGATCTACTATGTTGCGCAGCTAAAGCCTCAGCTGCGCGCATAGCCTCCCTAATGGTCTCTACCTCTGCAAAGCGTTGATTTGGGTCTTTTGAACGCGCTTTCGAGGGCGCTGAGAGCTAGCAGTCTCTAACTGCTGCTCAAGGCGTCTTCTCTCTGCCTCTAGTCCTGCAGCTCGAGTATTTGCTACTGCTACTGCCTTACCCGCTTTCTGTAGTAGGAGCCTCGCCTTGCGACCTAGATTCTCACTCACGCTGAGCTATATAGAGATCCCTAGGCCCCTGAGGAGTGGAGAAGAAGTCCTGATGCTGCTGCTGAGGCTGCTGCTGCTGAGGTGGCGTAGTAGGCCTCTGGGAGACCTGCGAGGAGGCAAGCACCTTATTGATGTTGAATGGACATAGGCCGGTTGCCTGCCAGCCAGCACGAATTACCCTCTCTGTAAGGCCTGCCTCCCTAGCTTGATAGTAACAGGTGATAAAGCGTTCCTTCTTGATAGGTGCAGCATCATCAAGCGAGGCAAGCTCCTGAATCTGGGGGCGATAGCTAGACTTGACTGCAGAGAAAGGTGCTAGGTCTAGAGGCTGTAGGACGTGTGAGGAATGCGCAGGTAGATAGAGGAGCTGTATTTGATGTAGCCTACAGAGCCACATGAAGTCAACAGTCGCGTGGCTGCCATGTCCATCTAGGATCAGTAGGCGATACCGGCCGTCTCCTGCACCTGTCTCAGGGATGAATATCCGCTGTAGCCACTCAAGGCCTATCTCATTTGACGTCCATCCATTCTTAGAGGTTGTATAGAGCCAGCCAGGAACTGAGGCTGGGAACCAGGTACTTTGTAGGCTTTGTCCTTTGAAGATGACTGCGCAGCGTAGTTTCTGGCCTACTGCTGATACACACTCAATCATAGAGACCCACTCGCGATTCTCTGGTGATCGATTATAAGCCTTCTTTTTCTGACTACTAGAGAGTACTCTAGAGTTGGCACATACCCCTAGAGCAAGCCCTGTCTCATCCATATTCCAGGTATCCTCAACGCGTATATTTAGACGCACTCTAGTCCTCTCAAAGAGCTCTAGAAAGGCGCGTACCTGCTCTGGAGTAGCTGCATCAGCTCTCTGAGCATCTAGCTTTCTACCAATAACAGAGGCGATTCGTGGCTGGCGCTTGATAAAGTGGGATACCTAGAGCTTGCCAACAGGCTGAGTATCGCCATTCATGCGTAGGATTCGATTGGCCATTTCTCGGGCGCGAGCGTGTGAGGGAGGGCAGGCGCGTGCGTCTTCATCGAGGATCCAGTCTACTAGAAAGTCCTCCTGCGCAGGAGTCAATCGCTGCTGGTGCTGATGGCTGAGCGCGCTGTTTGACGCGCCACTGAGTCGGCCTTGTAGGGTAGATCGAGGGATATGGTAAGCCTTTGCAACAGCGCGTAGACTAGTATAAACACCTGCGTGGTAATCGCTGATAGCTGCTTGTATAGAGAGCTCACGGGCATCCATTTTTATAGATTGTTGGTGGAGATATCGCGTGTTCTGTGCAGGTGTCGCGTTCTGCCAAGGCGGCCGGAAACCACAGGTGGCCGGCATCTATATGCGCTAGCTTAGTAGAAGCTAGCTACAGTAGCCTTTACTTTAGATTATTCGAATGTATTATGACTGAACAAATCGGCTAACTATTAAAAAGAATACATAAACCCATCTGGGCCGAAGTTTACTGACAAATGAAGGCTTTTGCAGCGTACACCGATTGCTACAAACAGCCTTCCATAAAGAGATTTCCCTGCGCATCCTTGACCTATTTATGTTAGGCTTATGTACTAGGGAGCATTGTAGTTACTAACCAACGCGTATTCCATTCTTCGTAAAGAAGAACTCATCTTTATTCATGTCAGATCCACACCCAATCACATCGCCGACTCCATAAGTATCACCAAATTGTACCCCCTGTCCCTTTCCTAAGAACAGCTTGCCATCGTCGCCATGGTATGCCCACGACCCCTTCTTCCAACCCGGCATCCCTGTATAGGGTGAGGCTTCATGACAAAACCCAATTCCAATCATCCTAGGACTAGTTAGGACTATCTAACAACTTAATCAGTAGATACTAAGGAATAATTTCATACCCTTTCATCTCCACATTATGGATAGTGACCTCAAAATATACGAACCGCTGGCCTATAGGAAATGGATGGTCTGATCTTATCTGCACTATGTACTTGCGCTCTTCGGAGTTTAGCTGATCTAAAGCAATTGTAAGTATAGGATATTATGCGAATAGGCCTCCAACATACCACTGATTGCAGCAGTTCCATTGCTTGTTATTTTGATGGTAGAGGCTCTTGGAGCTGTAAGTCGACTCGGCGCTAAACATTCATTCCGGATAGACTGTAGATCATATTCATGGACTCCAAACATGTCACGTATTTCTCGATTGCCGGTTTGAAAGGCGATCATCGAAGGAGTCCACCCATGCTTATCCCTAGCTGCAGAATCAGCACCTCGATCAAGAAGCAGCCGAACGATAGGTACAGAGCAAGTAAGAATAGCCGCCTGGAGTGCGGTGCCATAGTCTTCACCTTGCGCATCGACATCGGCGCCATTTTCGAGTAGCAGCGTTACGATCTGCTCGTGGCCTCCGTAGGAAGCTGCATAGAGCGCGTTACCGAAGTATCCACACTGCGCGTTAACGTCGGCGCCCTTGTCAACCAGCAACTTCACAATCGTCTCATAGCCTCTCTCTAAAGCCGCATGGAGTATGTTACCGTACTCTCCACACTGCGCGTTAACGTCGGCGCCCTTGTCGAGCAGCAGCTTCAAAGTTGCTTCGTAGCCTCTCCTTAAAGCCGCCTGGAGTGCGTTGCCGTACTTTCCACCCTGTGCGTTGACGTCGGCGCCCTTGTCGAGCAGCAGCTTCACAGTTGCTTGGCGGCCTCCCTCTAAAGCCGCCTGGAGTGCGTTGCCGTACTCTCCACCCTGTGCATTGATGTCGGCGCCCTTGTCGAGCAGCAGCTTCACAGTTGCTTCGCGGCCCCAATGTGATGCCGCCTGGAGTGCGTTGCCGTGGCGTCTATTTTGCGCGTTGACATCGGCGCCCTTGTCGAGAAGCAGTTTCACAGTTGCTTCATGGCTTCCCTCTAAAGCCGAGTTGAGTGCGTTGCCGTAGTCTCTGTCTGAAGCCGCCTGAAGTGCGTTGCCGTACTCTCCACCCTGTGCGTTGACGTCGGCGCCCTTGTCCAGCAGCAGCTTCACAGTTGCTTCGTCGCCTCTCCTTGAAGCCGCCTGGAGTGCGTTGCCGTACTTTCCACCCTGTGTATTAACGTCGGCGCCCTTGTCGAGCAGCATCCTGACTACCTGCTCGTAGCCTCCCTTCGAAGCCGCCTGGAGTGCGTTGCCATAGTATCCACCCGGCGTGTGGACGTCGGCGCCCTTGTCAAGCAGCAGCTTCACAACTGCTTCGTGACCTTCCTTTGAAGCCGCGTAGAGTGCGCTGCCGTACTCTCCACCCTGCGCGTTAACTTCGGCGCCCTTGTCAAGCAGTAGCTTCACAGTTGCTTTGTAGCCTCTCCATGAAGCCGCCTGGAGTGCACTACCATACTTTCCACCATGCATGTTGACGTCAGCGCCCTTGTCGAGAAGCATCCTGACTACCTGCTCATAGCCTCCCTTTGAAGCCGCCTGGAGTGCGTTGCCATAGTGTCCACCCGTCGCGTGGACGTCGGCGCCCTTCTCGAGCAGCAGCTTCACAACTGCTTCGTGGCCTCTTAATGAAGCTGCCTGGAGTGCGTTGCCGTACTCTCCACCCTGTGCGTTGACGTCGGCGCCCTTGTCGAGCAGCAGCTTCAAAGTTGCTTCGTGGCCTCCCTCTGAAGCTGCGTAGAGTGCGCTGCCGTACGCTCCACCCTGCGCGTTGACGTCGGCGCCCTTGTCAAGTAGCAGCTTCACAGTTGCTTCGTGGCTTCCTTCTAGATACCGGTGGAGTGCGTTGCCGTAGCCTCTGTCTAAAGCCGCCCGGAGTGCGTTGCCGTAGCGTCCACCCTGCGCGTTAACGTCGGCGCCCTTGTCAAGCAACATTTTAACTACCTGCTCGTAGCCTCTCTTTGAAGCCGCCTGAAGTGCGTTGCCGTAATCTCCACCCTGTGCATTGATGTCGGCGCCCTTGTCCAGCAGCAGCTTCACAGTTGCTTGGTGACCTCCTTCTGAAGCTGCGTGGAGTGCGTTGCCGTAGCCGTAGCGTCCACCCTGCGCATTGACGTCAGCGCCCTTGTCGAGCAGCATCCTGACTACCTGCTCATAGCCTCCCTTTGAAGCCGCCTGGAGTGCGTTGCCATAGTGTCCACCCGGCGCGTGGACGTCGGCGCCCTCGTCGAGCAGCAGCTTCAAAGTTGCTTCGTGGCCTCCCTCTGAAGCCGCGTAGAGTGCGCTGCCGTACTTTCCACCCTGTGCGTTGACGTCGGCGCCCTTGTCCAGCAGCAGCTTCACAGTTGCTTCGTCGCCTCTCCTTGAAGCCGCCTGGAGTGCGTTGCCGTACGCTCCACCCTGTGCGTTGACGTCGGCGCCCTTGTCAAGCAATATTTTAACTACCTGCTCGTAGCCTCCCTCTGAAGCCGCCTGGAGTGCGTTGCCATAGTATCCACCCGGCGTGTGGACGTCGGCGCCCTTGTCAAGCAGCAGCTTCACAGTTGCTTCGTCGCCTCCCTCTGAAGCTGCGTAGAGTGCGTTGCTGTACCGTCCACCCTGTGCGTTAACGTCGGCGCCCTTGTCAAGCAGCATTTTAACTACCTGCTCGTAGCCTCCCTTTGAAGCCGCCTGAAGTGCATTGCCGTTGCCGATGCCGTAGAGTCCACCCTCACACTGCGCGTGGACGTCGGCGCCCTTGTCGAGCAGCAGCTTCACAACTGCTTCGTGGCCTCTTAATGAAGCTGCCTGGAGTGCGTTGCCATAGTATCCACCCGGCGCGTTAACGTCGGCGCCCGTGTTAAGCAGTAGCTTCACAGTTGCTTCGTGGCCTCTCAATGAAGCCATCTGAAGTGCGTTGTTATAGTGTCCACCCGGCGCGTTGACGTCGGCGCCCTTGTCGAGCAGCAGCTTTACAGTTGCTTCGTGGCCTCCCTCCGAAGCTGCGTGGAGTGCGTTGCCGTACTCTCCACCCTGCGCGTTAACGTTGGCGCCCTTGTCAAGCAGCAGTTTCACAATCGCCTCGTAGCCTCGGTATGAAGCCGCCTGAAGTGCGTTGCCGTACTCTCCACCCTGTGCGTTGACGTCGGCGCCCTTGTCGAGCAGCAGCTTCACTATTGTTTCTTGGCCTCTCTCTAAAGCCGCCTGGAGTGCGTTGCCGTACGCTCCACCCTGTGCGTTGACGTCGGCGCCCTTGTCGAGCAGCAGCTTCGTTGTCCTGACATGTCCGGCTTTTGCTGCGATATACAACAAATTCTGGCTGTGGCTATTCTTCCTATGTAACTCAACAAACCTCTCGTCTCTTTGAATCGGGAGCATATTCTCTAGTATAGCTGACAATCCGAATTGTGCTGCAAGATGTAACCCTGTACTGTTCTTAGGATATTGCTGGCTACTATCAATGTGATTAGTGGCAACAGTGTAATCCTCGTAATTCCTGTCTCGAACTGAGGGTCTCGGAGCGAAGAGTACCTGAGTAGCGCTCGAAACTAACCAGCTATTAGAAAGAAATAAACAGGCCAGCGAACACATATTGCCTTCCACCGTTGCAGTATGCTCTCCCCAGTACTTAGCTGCATAGTCTAAGAACGTGCTCCCCTGGAGCTTCGCTGCAAACTCCATATCAGTGGAGCAGCTGCCTGTTTTAAATACGTCGAAAGACAGGTAGGTAAGGCATGTGGAGGCAATGTATAGTTGAGCATCTGGATCCCACGTGTCTCCAATGCGCTCGAAGTACTCCTGCGTAGTATAGTGCACGAGGCGAATGACAGCGCTTTCTTGGTCGACAACGACAAGGCCAGCGCACACGGATAGCAGATCCTCGACGTCTGGTATATTTTCTGGGTCGAGCTCTGTTTCCTTTGGCTCTATTGCTAGAGCACAGCATAGCTCAGCTGTGGTAAGCGGCCTCTTCGCATACGTAATCCATGACAGGGCTTTCTTAGCCAGTTCGTAGTGGCCGCCTAACTGGGCCTTAATTCTCTGTAAAGCGTCCTTATATGCATTATCGAGTGCGGCTGAGCCTTTTAAGAGGGTTTTTAGCGTCGTCTTAACCTGTCTCGCCGTTGTCTTATCTAACAAAGAATCGATGTGTAGGCGAGCAAGAAGAAACCTAAAAACTTGTAAGTTTAAATTATAGAGATAGATGATTAACTAACATGCCGTCTACTCTGTCCAGGATCTTCTCTTCCACCATTCTCTGCAGCACAGGGTCACGCTGAATGCATCTAGGCAATCGGTGCGTCTGGCCGGCCACGAATCGTCTCACATCCTCATCGCTAGCTCGTATTTCTAGCTTCTCTGCTGTTTGAAATTCAGCCTCAATCTCAGGTATAAACCGCGCAGTGGCCATGAGGCGAACGTCTCGTCCCGCTTGTAGCTCCCGAAGTCTGGCCAGAAATTGGGTGCGAGTGCCGTCGCTAGTTCGACACTCATCCAGAGCATCGACCACGATATAGACAATTGAATACTTTGCAACTACTTCTTGGACGGCGCTGAAAACTTCCTTAAGCGATGGCTTTGTCCCTTGGTTGGCATGTTGCTTATACAATCGCTCTACAGGCCCCGCTGCCGACGGTTGGGCCTGCACCAGCTGCTTGACAACGGCTGCCAACATGCTTGAGGCGTCCTGCGCTTCCTGTGCTTTGTAGTTATAGTACACGTACGCAACTCCGACCAGGCTGTTCTGCACCCAATGTAAGAGGTGATTAATTGCAATCGCAGCCACCATCGTCTTGCCGGCCCCAGGGATCCCCGGGCAGAAAAGAGTGCTCTTCGACTCGCCGAGCCACCTTGCAACCTCGGGTGCATCAAGAAACCACTGGCCCGTCCCCTCCTGTCTGCGACCTATGATGTCCGATTGCTGAGCGGGGTAGTCAGTAGGTGAGATCCATTCCATTATCTTGCCGTGCTTTACGTCGGCTTGGTCTTGCTGGATCTTATCTACTCCAGATTGTATGGCGGGCACGAGAGTCCGAACGAAGTGGGTATCATCTTTAACAGCTTGGGACAGTTTTCTCCTAAATGTAAGCTACATAAATCTCCAGCGCTGCTACGAAGGCTTACAAGTGGTCTATTTGCAACGCAATCTCCACTAGCGTTTTGAGACGCTCTATTCGATCTAATATGCTAGTGATCTCCTCCTTCTTGAATTTCCATACTAGCGCTTCGCCTGCCTTCTTTAATCGACCTCCGTCGGTCATCTTAGTCTGCAGCGCTTCGAGCGCTTGCTTAAACTGGTCGAGCGGTCCGTTCTCGACGCCAAGGGCTCGGACAGCGGTATACCACGGTGCATCGGCGCTTCCCTCCTCGAGACGAAACCTTAAACTGAGAAGGAGGCTGTGTACGTTTGAGGCCTCAACAGCACAGTTTGCACGATCTTTTGAAGCATTATTGACGTCATTTAAGTACCCAAGGACCTTAGCCGAGAGTTGAAGAACTGCGATGATGCTGGCTGTGACGCTGAGTGGGTCCATAACTAGAAGAAATCGATCGAGGAAGCAAACGAGTGAGGACTAGCTGTTGGAGAGGAGAGTGGCATCGTGTAGGCAGCGAAGTTACAAGCGCCCAGGCTGAGGGTTGCCGCAACAAGGCTAAACAGCTGCATGTGATGTGTGTTGTGCTGCGCCGCATCGTATCGATAAGGTTAATCAGGGCAGGTTTCGATCGCCATTACCTTTCGCGTGTCTCTTGAGATGTTTCCATGGCGCGTGCCAGAGGCAGGTATGATTCTCCGCCCAGCTAGCCACTGGCTGCTGGATGTTCCTGTTTGGAGTGGTCATGTGACGTTCCCAGCCACCTGATCCTATATAGAACACTTACCACTCCACTATAGAATTGACACCTCAATCAATCAATTCACCCTACTTCACTTCGAATTCATGCTCCCATTTAACAGTTCCCACTATCAGGGCGACTGCAGCGCTGCAGATACCTTGCTGCTGGCTAGAACTAACATAACTAAAGCGGCAGCTAAGCTGCGGCGGTAGGTACAGTATGCTTACCAATTGCTATACGCAACACAAGAAACAAAACTTCGAATTGCCACCACTTACAAGAAGGATGGCCGACCTACACCGGCCCTGACCTTGTAAACGTTCCAAAATGTATAGAGAACTAGAGAGAACAGATAGGTCGATGTACATGTGGCACAGCTTGTGATGTTACTTCCTGCCAAGCCTTATGTGCCACCCCTGCACAGCGCTACTATATATTTAGTAAAGCGCCTTCCAGCGGCCGTGCGCGCAGAATAGCCGAAGTATAGGAACCAGAAACCAATTTCGGTCACCACTGTAACCATAGGTTACCCCCGCTGTCTTACGTCAGGATACCAAATGTGTAAACCATGGTGTTGGAACACGCCTACTAGCTCTTGTCTTATGCTCATAGATTGTCATTTGGAACAAGTACACACGTGAAGGGTATCATCGCTTTCGATAACTATATCATAACTCCATGCGCACGTCGTCCCAGGCCTGGATTCGACGCCGTGTCCTGGCCACACCCCAGTCCTCTAATCGGCCGCAGAGGTGACGAAAACCCTCACGCCCTTCGATTTGAGGCTGGTGACGGGGATGAAATAGTCGTGGGCCATCTCAACGTCCGTAACGTCAGCTTCAAAGAGCTCGAATTTGAAGCGGCGGAACATCATGCCGAGAGTAAGGTAAAGCTCCGTCCACGCCAGACTGCGACCTGTTAGCAAACGTAGGAGCAATCGGGGACAGCTGTTGGGATACTCACGTGATTCCCAAACAGGACCTCGTGCCACGACCAAACGAGACCATAAATCTATCCAGCGGGATACCATCGCTCGTCTTCGGGTCGTCCAGCCACCGCTCTGGGATGAACTCGCGAGATTGCGGGAAGAGAGCCTCATCATGGCTCACGTCAGGGATGCTCTGAGAGATACACGTGCCGGCAGGAATGATCCACTCTTTGTAGTGCAACGGCTTGTCGTGCGTTCGCGGGTTGCGCGCGCTCAGGCCGTAGCCCATGCGCACGGCTTCCATGATACAGGCCCTCAGGTAGGGCATCTGCTCAAGCGATTGAAGCTCAAGGGTGGCGCGGTTCGGGAAAGCTTTGACAAGGTCGGCGTGAAGTCGCTTATAAATCTCAGGCTTGTTGATGATATGGAAGGCAGCAATGCCAAGGGCGAAAGCCGTCGTTTCGACACCGCCTCCAATAACAATCTGGGCTGCCAATGGATCAGCCCGGGGACCTTTGCCTCATGTGGTCTTCTCACCTTCATCTTCGAGCCGCTGCTGCGTCTTATCTTCCGGTGGGAGCTGTTTGGAGCCCAAGATTTCCTGGAAGATGGTCTTTTGCGCATCATTGACCTTGACATCATCGCCTCTCAAAGTACGGGCGATTACTTCCCGTTGATCCTGTACCTGTTTAGATTCAATGTAAAGGCTACGGTTAGCTGACAACTTACACGCTTGAACTTTAACAGGGGCTCAGCTGCAGGCTGCAGCCACGCAGTAATGCCGTCCGGAATCGAGTTCATAATCTGACACAAGTCAGTCCAGTTAGAACGACTTGGGTAACACCAGGACCCACCGGGAAGATTGCAGGAAACTGCGTCGCCACGTGGCCCGTCGATCCGATCTTGATGAAAGCCTCATGAAAAGAGGCAAATTCCGGGTTCTTAAGCTGGGCATAGTTGAACCCGAAGAAGTAATCCATGATGATATCTCCGGTCAACGCGGGGAAGGCATGCGTAAGGTTCAAAGGCTCCTTGCGACCCTCAAACTCTTGCATGCGAGTCGCAAACGTCTCCACATGCCGATGGATGATGTGGATGAACTCTATGATGGACCTCCGAGAGAACCTAAGAAGCATCGTGAGCACAACGTAATGTAGCCAAGGATGCCCTGCATTCTATCATGCAGAAACCCACGAAAGGGGCTTGCATACATAGGACTCAGAGCTGCACGGCGCCGTTTGTGGACTTGAGCATCAGGTGTTGGGAGCAAGCCGCCCTCGCTGCCGAAGCGCTTGTCCCATCCTTCTTTGTGGAGATGTACATTTTTGGGGTACACGCTCTCGAAGAAGCGCGAGTCCCTAATGTGGAGTTCTCCGGGGGTGACCCTTACAATGGGCCCTGAGACAGTGTCAGCCATCTACCGCGCGAGCACATGCGACATCGGGGGCGCACACACCATACTGATCGTGTAACTGCGATATCTTCTTCGAGTACTGGCCATTTCGAATGATCTCGTAGTAGGCCTCATACCAAGGCGTTATTGCGGCCAAACGAGGCCCCGGAAACTTGGCGAGGGGGTGGAGAAACAGCCGATATAGCACCAGACCAGCCCAATACACGGCGAAGGCGACAACGGCGACGCCCGTCAGCGAGGTTGAGGCCATGGAGACACGAGCCGTAGCCGTGGTTCAGACAGTCTGCGGCTTCCAAGGGTCCTGCCGAGGGGGACGAAGGTGGCATTTTGTCAAACCGCGGGAACTGACAAGCGCACAGGGCGCTACTCCTGCAGCGTCGGAATGTTGCTTGGTCGTGGTTTGCTGTCGCGCTTTTCGCGCGGGTGAATGGCCCTCAAACGGCCTTAGCAGCCGAGGGAATGCGCCGCCAGCGGGAAAGCCCTTGCCGCGTGGAGCTCCGCGTGTGGAGCATCCGGGCGCCAATTCAGTGACAGGAGGGACGGCGCCGCATCGGAAACGCGCTGGCGACTACCGGTATTGCTGGCTTGCAGGCCGTATGGAGCGTCGGCCGGACGCCCGACAAATGGGGCCAACTGGTGTTGACGAGTAACTGGGACTCGAGGGGGAACTGTGCCGACTTTATTGGCGACACGCCATTCACAATCCCTCGCACCTGTCCCTGCGAAGAGCTCGCCAGGGCTGTGAGCACTGAGGAGCCTGCGCATTGAAAGACGCCATGTCGGCCGCCACAAGCGTGCCCGCGGCGCCCGATCCAGCTCCCGCACCAGCTCCAGCACCGTCTGCGGAGGAGCTGCCGCCAGTGCCAGCGCCCGCCGATCAGGACGCGAACCAAGAAGTGACGACCCTCGAGGCCGACACTGCGACGCCGTCCGACAGCGACGCAGATTCCGCCTTTGACGGCGAGTCCAGCGCGAGCACGTCGCTGGCCTCGTCCATCCTCAACTACGAGTACTCCAACGGCCGCCGGTACCATGGCTATCGCAGCGGCGCGTACGTCCTGCCCAACGACGAGGACGAGCAGGACCGCCTCGACCTGCTGCACCACATCTTCCTGCTGCTGCTCGACGGGAAGCTATTCGCGGCGCCCATCGCGCCGGCGCGCGTACTTGACATCGGCACCGGCACCGGCATATGGGCGTTGGATTTTGGTGACGAGAACCCAGGCTCAGAGGTCCTCGGCACCGATCTGTCGCCCATCCAGCCCAGCTGGGTGCCGCCCAACGTAAAGTTCTACATCGACGATGCCGAGAGCGAATGGGTGTACAGCCCGCACGAGCGCTTCGATCTGATCCATGCGCGCGGGCTGTCGGGCGCCATCAATGACTGGGAGAAGCTGTGCAGGCAGTGCTATGAGAACTTGCAACCCGGCGGGTGGCTAGAGTTCCAGGAGCCCATGGCGTGGGTCGAGAGCGACGATGGCACCATAGAGCGTGCACACAATCTGAGGGATTGGCAGCAGCTCTGCAATGATGCAGCCGCCAAGTTTGGCAAGGTCATAAAAGTCGGGCACACGCTCAAGGAGCGGTTGTTGGGCGCGGGTTTTGTCGACGTCCACGAGAAAATAGTAAAGGTCTGTACTTTTGATATGCAACGTCTTACGCCCCACGATAAGCGAGACTGCGGGGGACTCGGGCGAGACGTTTGCTCTGAGCGTTGCGCGCATCCGAATGATTGCTGACCCTGTCGCAGGTCCCCATTGGGCCGTGGCCGAAGGATCCAAAGATGAAGGAGATTGGCCGCTACCAGCGCGAGCACATGGTGATAGGTACGTCTCGCGCGAGTCCTCCGCGGGCACCACACTCACACGTCGCCAGGCATCGAACCGTACACATTGGGCTTTCTCGGGAAAATTTTGGGCTGGAGCGAAACAGAATGCAAGATCATCATTGCAAAGGTGCGCGAAGAAGTACGAGACAAAAACCTGCACATGTATATCCGGTTCTACTTTGTGTACGGACGGAAGCCGGAGAGCGCAGTGCATTGAAAAGACCCTAAAAGCCCGGAGGAGCCTCCGGATATTCTTCTTGTTCATGAGTTTTCTACGATTGTATGAAAGGGAGGATCAGTCATTGCATCTTATACCCTAGCAACAATGATTGCCGCTGGAAGGCTGGCACCGTCTCATTTATTCATCTACCATATCAGCGAATGTAGCCTCCAGATCCGAAAACTCGTTTCGAGCTCCTGCAGCTTTTCCGGAAACACCAACCCCCCTCCCTCCCTCGCAAACTCGTCCCCAAAGACACCCATGCTTAAAAGTCCAAAAACACCAATCTGAAGCAACGAAGACACCAAACTCCTCTCCAAACTTCCCAACAACGCCCACGCTGAAGAATCCCAAGAACACCAATCCGAACCAGCCATACCATCCCAACTCCTCCCATATACATGGACCTTTGCAGAGATTCTTTGAAGACAGCGCCGAGCCGGGCCGCGCCTCCCCTTCCTCCATTACATGCCCCATCCACACTTCCATCCCTACCCTCATCCCCTCCATCCATCCATCACCCTAACCCAGCCCTCCCACACCCCCACCCACGCGCTTAAACCCCATCAAAAAGTACAGCTCCGCCTCCCTCGAACTGCACCGCACCTCATGCTTCTCAATCTGCACGCAGTGCGTGGACGACCCAGCGTGCCTTGGCGGAGTTATCGGTGTGGTGATAGTGAACGTTGGGGGAGAGGGGGGTGGTGAGGACATTATATCGGTATGGGTGTGGTGGTCAGAGCCGGTGGTGGTTTTGGATTCGGCAGGGCGTGCAGGAGGCGAGGGGCGAGGCGGAGACGGAGTGGTATATCGATCGTGGGGCGAGGTACGCGGTGTGGTGTGCGGATTTGGCGTGGTGCTGCGGTCGAAGCTGCTCGCAGCACTGCGGAATGCGGCACCGTTTGTGGCGACTGACCACGACGTTGCGCGACCCTTTCTCTGCCGCGATGGCAGACCCCCTTGTATCAGTCCTCGAGGCGTAATCGCGTATCGTGGCAAGAAGAGATTCTTCGCTGCGGCGTCCAAGTGTGCGTACACCAAGTCCACGCAGGCAGCCCTCGGGACTTCGTTCGACCCCCGCTTCGAAGACACTGTTCTTTCACACAGTCTCCTCTTACTCAAGAAGTACTCCAAAAATCCCGCATACGAACACTCTTTGGGTGTAGACGACCCCGCGGTAGTCTCGCTCACGTGGTACCGTGCTCGGGTGTTGAAAATGCCTCAAACAAACAGTGCCCCAGGCTAACCGTCTTACAAGCTAGGAGGATCTATGGTACTTGTACGTAAAATACATGAAACCGAACGCCATGTGTGCTACGGTCCCCGGGTGAGGTGTTTGGTTGTTCTTCAATGCCAATTCGCTCGATCAGAGTACACCGATGGTCTCATCGCACACCATCCCGGGGGCATATGTGCTGCGTAGCACACGACGCCCTCGGCGCACACGTCCTGCTCGTAGTTCTCGGGAACAAAGTGAGGGCAACATATGATATTATACAGTCGTAAATATAAAGCTTGCAAATCAATTCACTATGCCGTAGCAGTGAATAGAACAAAACAATTCCACGCCTTGCTTGCAATGCTTGCAAGCGTCCCCAAACGCCGAATTTTCCATTCCGCAGTGCTGGGACGCCGCCCATGCCTGTGTCCATAACCCACCCAAATTTTGCCAAATAGATTCACGAAAGTGGAATACCCGAGAACACCATGCTGGCAGGTAGGTATCAAACGCTAGAATCAAGGTAACAAATGCAAATGACTCGCGCTGCCTGCTCATCCCTCGCTAACGAAGCAGTGCACCCTCACGGTGCCATCTTCGCTGCCGCTGATGAGTCGGGAGTCGCTCAGACCCACACAGTTTACTGGGCCCTCGTGGCCGGATAGTGTGCGTTCGTGTTTGCCGGTGCGAGGATCCCAGATCTTGATCAACTTGTCTTCAGCTCCAGAAACAAGACGTAGAGTATCGGCAGCGAGACTCCAAACACCTTCAATGTGGCCGAAGAAGCGGTGAATGGTGCGGCCAGAGGGAACGTGCCAGAGGCGGATCGTTCCATCGAGCGATCCGGTGAGCATGTAAGTTGGCGGAGCCGGCCTATCCGGGTCGTTGGGGAAGAAAGTCTCAGTGTTCGTAGCCTCAAACGAAGAGCCTGAGTTCAGGTTCTCTGACGCGAGCGATGCCGTATCAGAGTCGTTGTGTGCGTTGGGCAGGAAATCCGCTTCGTCAATCTCGAACTCGGCGGGAAGAGGAAGTACTTGCTGGACCTGGCCAACGTGACCTTCGAACGTCTTGATGCAGGTCCGTGTGTCGAGATCCCAAAGCTTGACAGTCTGGTCATCGGACGCAGAAAACAACGTGCGAGAAGGCAAATCAATCTTGACAGAGTTGACCCAGTCCTCGTGACCACGCAGTCGGAACTTCTGCTTTGTGCCGAGGTCATGGACTGCAATGGTGTGATCCGCAGATCCTGATGCTAACAGCTTATCCACCATATGCAATCCGATGACTCCAGCTTCATGAGCCGGGATCGTCGTCTTGCATTCGCCAGTCTTCCAGTCCCATACCTTCATGGTACCGTCCAAGCTTCCAGTTATCAGTCGCGCATCATCAAACTGCAAACACCGTACGGGGAGTCGATGTCCTCTAAGGGTGCGGATTTCAGTGCCCGTGTTGACATCCCAGACCTTGATGGTGTTATCGTAGGATCCGGTGATGAGCGTCCGCTCGTCAAATTGGAGGCACATGACGCCATTCGTGTGCCCTTTCAAGACACGCGTGGAGTAGCGTCCGTATTTCCAGTTGGTTCCCACCTTGAAGCGGTCCTTGTACACGTCTTTCCACGGCCTCTTCTTTGGCTGGTCGAAGTAGGACGCCTGCTGGTCACGAAGAGATACTTGCGTGGTGCAAGGGCGCTTGCACGATGACTCTGGCGATGAAGGGTCATCTTCAGCAGAGCGCTTGGATCCGGAGGTCGTCTCGGAGAGGTCAGACGTGTGAGAGACCAGAGGGGCTGGCGGGGTGGGTCCATCTACGGCAGGGGTGATGTCGATGTCGGGCGACCACTCGTTGAGTCCTCGGCCAGAAGCACGCAGCTGAATGCGCCTCTTCTCAGTGCGAAGTCTCCGTTGATCTAGTAGAGGCAGACCCCAGCCGCACTTTGTGCACTTCCTGTCAATGTGCTGTTCGCACATCTTGTGCCATACGACATCGTCGTCTGCGAGTTGTCTCCATCGCTGGCTGACTTGTGCGGCTTTGCAAAGGGAGGTTGTGTCGAGGTAGCACAGAATCTTGAAGCCGAGCTCCGGAGGGAGTGCGGAGAGGAAGTCGATCTTGATGAGGTTGCGGACGTTGGAGGAGATGAAGGAAAGCTGGGGGAAGCAGCACGTCGAGAGGATGCCTTGGAGCATGAGGTTTCGTTGTCTGGCAGGTGCGGCGGAGAAGAGGGACCACACGTTGGCGATGCTCTGCTGGTCGTTTTGCGACTCTCTCCCGAGTTCCTTTGCATTGTTAGCGACGCCTGCGACAATTGGTCCGTCGTACATACATCCTGCAGCTGCTCCATGGTCGGCTCGTCTGCTTGCTTCCTACAGAGCATGTCGGGTCGATGGCGGTAGCAGTACTTTGTGTTGGTGTGGCCCGAGACATGCGGCTCTGCTCCGCCGCCGAGGGGGTTGTACTGCTGGGGTATGTGCTGGGCGAGGTAGGGCGCGATCATCTTTTCGATCTTGTTTGAAGTGTTCTTGTTCATGAAAGAAGTGTTCTGGTCGGTGTCTTGTTCCCCGTCCTCCCCTCTGCGGTGTCGCACGCGATCGCTAAGGCCTTCGTGGTCGTGGCCCAGCATTAGAGCGGTGTGGGGATCATGTACCCCGGAAGGGTGATCGCGCAAGATGTCAGAATGTTGCGAAACGGACGTGCGCCACGAAAGCCGTCGCCGCGTCGGAGGGTTGTGCGATGGCGGGAGAGAGGTCGGGTCGGTTGCGCAAGGTTCGGCGACATGAGTGATATTTGACGCCATTCTGGAGGGTTCGGGGCGATGGCGCAAGGGAGAGGGTCCCTATGAAGGTCCCGGCAGTGGCTCACTCATGGAAGCTGGGCCGGGCAGCGCAGAAGACGAGATATTTCCCAAGATGGCGTGCTGTCTTGCCCAGGGTCCTGCGGCTCCACAAGCGGTGAGCGAGACGGCGGGGGACCACGGCGCCGGGTCGCGGGGCGGAGGGCTGCTATATGGGCGCTGGCCGGGCGCGCGAAGATAACAGCAGGTGCTGGTGTTCCTTTTGCGCGCAGACTGCCTGGGTGCTGGCTCGGACGGTGCAGCGTGTGGGGGACGTGGGCAGGCACGATGACTTGACTAGCAGGAAGTCGCCGCCGAGCACCTCAGAGCACGCAATCAAGAAGCCCGGCAGACGCCATCGCCCGCGCCCAACGGCCAGAACAGGACCAAATTGTACCGCCCGCGCCGTGGCACCGTGCTGGCTCTGCGCCGCAGCCCGACCGTGGTCGAACGCTGCCACAGTGCTCACATCACGCTTCAGTGGTTGTATGCTCCCACGCAGGCAAAACACTGCACGTCGGCATTGATTGGCGCGCGTTTCCTCGCGGAACCCTGGCACGAGAGGCGCCAGCCGCCAGCCGCGCCGCGCCCCACACCCTTCGCTGCTCCACCGCCGACAGCCGCGATGCTGCAAGCGTGCCTACTGTTACATGCGCCTGTTGCCTGAGCTCTCACCACCGACAATGCCCTCCACCAGCGCGCATCGTTAGTGTTTACGCGTCGAATGCATGCAGGAGAAGATGTGACTTGATCTCTGCGCCGTCATATACTCCAGGCTGTACTCCCTGCAACTGACAATCAGCCGCGTGCGATGGCCTCTCCCCCGTCCCCGGCATCGTCCACCACCAGCGCGAACTCCCAGAGGTCCCTTCACCCAAACAGACCGCAGACGCTCGAGGACCTCGTGACCCACTTTGTAGCTTCGAAGCGCTCCCTGCAGACGCAGACAATACTATGGCGCGCCAACGACATCGTGACGTCGGCGCGCGAGCTGCTGGAAGAGAACGCCGTTCTCGCCGCCAAAAACACGTCCATCAGGAACATGGTTGAGGAGCAGGTGGACGCGCTGGAGGCTGTGCGTCGCGGCATAGACGTCGTCGAGGGCGACGTGCAGGCTGAATTCAAGGTATCTCCATCTCTCTATGCGCGATATGAGAGGACTAACCAGCCAGCAACTGCTACATGACCTAGATACCTCGTTTGCTGGCTTGAAGTCGACCCTCGCCGTGTTGCGCGAGACGCCGATAGAGTCTGCTCTTCAGCCCTCCGGCACGCCGCAGAAACACCTCTACGATTTCATCGACAACACGACCGTGTCCGCTCTCGAGGACTCGCTCAGAGCTTGCATAGACAGATACAATGATGTTCACTCGACGCTTGAGGAGAGCACCGACGCTTTCGATACCTCGCTCGAGAACCTCCAGTCCTCCATCATCAACGTCCCGAAGACGCCCGTCACAAACTCCATCCCGAGCCCCATTCCCAGCTTGTACCATGATCTTGAAGGACACGCGAGAGAGGCTGCACAAGCTTTCCAATCTCTTGTCAAACACTACGATTTATGTGTGACGGCTCTTCGACACACCGAAGGCGGCGCTGCTGCTGTGACGCAGGCTACCGGTGATGCCTCGTTGCCATCCGCCGATGATCACGGTCCTCCTCCTGAGCCGATTTCGGAAGAAGAGCGCCAGGAGATGCTGAGTGTACTGGAAAGAGACGCCCAAGAAGTTGAAGATGTCGTAACCGAGATTCGCGAACACGGTTCCGAGATGTCGTACCTGCTATCTCAAATCGACAATCACATCACTCATCTTCGCAATGAGGATTCGGCCTTGGGCAGTGTCCTCAAGATGATAGCGAACATTGCAAGGGAGGTCAAGGGTCACATTGCCACCTCCAGAGCCTTCCACACCTCGTGGCTGGATGACACACGACCTACACTGCTGAACGGAATCGAGGAGTGGGAAAACCAGCGCGACTTCTATGAGCGATTTGATCTGGCATATGCCGAGCTACTGGTGGAGATAGCATCACGCAGGCGGAGACATGACAAAGCGAAGCGGAAGGCTGAAGAAGCGCAAAAGGAGCTGGACAGGCTGCACGCCGAGGACGAGCGCGCGCGCGAGCAGTTTACTCTCGCTCAAGGAGACTTCCTACCACTAGACATCTGGCCTGGTCTGCGAGATCCCCCCAGACGCTACGAGGTGCGAGCTGTTGCGGTTCCGCATGAGCAGGACATGGAAGAGGGCGAAGAGGCCAACGACGCTGATCTCGTGGCCAAGAGCATTCCACAGCTAGGCCGTAACGTCGTGGAGCGTGCACTGGTCAGGGTCAAGAGAAGGATGTGAGCCACTGAATTTCGCACGAAAGCCGACGCTATGCGTACCGCCGTATGCCACCGAGACACGAAAGAGATCCGATTGCGCTATCTCGCTATGCTACAGGCTCTTGGCCCTCATGAGTCATCGTTCCAGTGCCTACGCCTGACCGTAATTGAGGTCATAGATGACTAAGTGACGAGTACTCGAAGCGTGAGTGCGCGGAGGAGGGATTAGCTATCCAACTGAAGCTGCAATGATTCCGAACTTCCAACCACCTAGACAGAGTGCGACTGATTCGGAATACGAATTCTCTGACGAAAGGATGGCTGGTGGCGACTGACCGCGAAGAGCTTCTGAAGGCATGACAGGAGCAAGTACGTAGTTGTGTCTAGGCGAAAATGTCCAACAATAGATACTGGAGAAGTAATCACACACGGACAAAACTGTCACCACATACTGTATAGGTAAGTCAACGCTTATGAATTCTTTACTTCAGTACAATTTGCTCCGAATGCATTCTCCTGTGATGATGGACGACGGGAGTAGACATGGACTTGGGCGGGGGAGAACCAGATGAGTTCTTGCAGGGGCAAAGACATCAATAATCCCGTCTGCTTTGGCTGCGCTGCCTGTTTTCGATAGGCAATGTAGTCGCTATAAGAATTCGGGATGGACTATCAAGTTACCATGCCATAATTGAAACATAGAGGGAGTTAACACATGATCAGGTGTGCTCTAGAAGTCAAGTAGTAAGTGTCCCCCTGTGATGCGAGGTTCGAAGACGTGGCTACCGTGGATTTCACTGAAAGCCTGCTCCTAACGCCTCCAGCGGATGCGGCGCTAGATCGTGCTGCTAGCCCGGTGGGTACCTGACAGCGTGACATCTTCACTTTAGTTGAGACGCATGATGCAGACTGCGTTGGCATCTAGATAATGATGGTGGAAGCAGCTAGGATGAGTCGAAGCGTATGTGGCGACGGAAATGTCTGGAGTCCGCGGAAGTTAGGTGGAAGCTAGGCAGTCAGGAAGAGAAATAACAACCTTCTCGACTCATAGTTGATCATTCTGATCGTCAGGGCCACCGAGGCACACAAGAGCGAGGTTGGAGGGGTAGGCAGACCGCCTCTGTAAGGCTGATCAACCCCGCTATACTGCCCGCTAGTGCCCACTGGCGCGTTATCGATACTCTCACCGAACTTTTTATGCCCCTCGCGCCTCGGAGTCACGATTTGTTGCATACCGCCGCCACTATATATCACTGCCACGTCCGCGCCTTTCAGTAGTACCAGCACGACTTCACAAGCAACTGTTTCGACCCTCACATAACTTTCCGCAGCATTGACACCTGTATTTTCGCCACACGCTACTCGATCATTACTGCGCGCAACCATGGCGAGCACCGAATCCACCGTGCCTACCACGAACGAGCCGATTGTTGGCGAAGAAGGCGAAAGCGATATTGAAGATCTTTTCTACCCGTCTGACGACGATGAGGTCCCCGAACTCGTGGCTGGCCCGAACACCCAGAAACAATCAAAACCTTCCGCGAACACCAGCGCCTCTCTAGACGACCAAGTGGCGTTGCTGTCGAAACATGCAAGCCGAATACGTCTCGACAACAGAATGGCCGGCATGGGTGGAGGACCATCAAGAGACAAGGACAAGGCTGACCGGGCCACGAGCGAGCAGGTGCTGGACCCGCGGACACGCATGATCCTGCTGCAGCTGCTAAACCGCAACATTGTGTCCGAGATCAACGGGGTCATTTCTACTGGAAAGGAGGCGAATGTGTACCATGCCGCTACCATCCCCGAAGACGACGCGCAGCCACTGCACCGAGCGATCAAGGTGTACAAGACGTCCATCTTGGTCTTCAAGGACCGCGACAAGTACGTGACGGGCGAGTTCCGCTTCCGTACAGGCTACAACAAGAGCAACAACCGCGCCATGGTCAAGGTATGGGCAGAGAAGGAGATGCGCAATCTCAGACGGATATACAACGCTGGCATTCCGGCTCCCGAGCCTCTATACCTGCGCCTGCACGTCCTCGTCATGAGCTTCCTCGGCGACAAGAAGGGCTGGCCCGCCCCTCGGCTCCGCGACGTCAAGTTCGAGGGCCTCACAGCCGAAGAGGAGGAGCAGAAGTGGACGAGCATATACATCCAACTCCTGGGCTACATGCGCACCATGTACCAGACGTGCCGCCTCGTCCACGCCGATCTGAGCGAGTACAACCTCCTCTACCATGAGAACACGCTCTACATGATCGACGTCTCGCAGTCCGTCGAGCACGACCACCCGCGCTCCCTCGAGTTCCTGCGCATGGACGTAAAGAACGTGTCCGACTTCTTCCGCACGCGCAACGTCAACGTGCTCTCCGAGCGCAAAGTCTTCATCTTCGTGACGGGCGAGGAAGGCGGCAAGGAGCCCGCCGACATGGAGAAGTACGTCCGGGAAATGTTCGAGAAGAAGGACGCTATGAATGAGGAGGACCAGCTGCGCGAGGACAACGACGAGGAGGTCTTCCGCCAGCAGTACATTCCCCAGACGCTTGACCAGGTCTACGACATCGAGCGCGACGCCGAGCTCGTCAACAGCGGGCAGGGCAACGAGCTCATCTACCAGGGACTATTGGCTGGCAAGGCTACGGACGGGACAACGGTGTCACAGAATGAATCTGATGCGTCGCATGAAGGGAGTGATTCAGAGGGCACGTCAGACGAAGATGACGAAAGCAGGTTTGAGAAGGGAACCCCGAGGGGGAAGCGTAACATGGACAAAGATGTCAAGCGCGAGCACAAGAAGGCGGTCAAGGAGGAGAAGCGCGAGAAGCGGAAGGAGAAGATGCCCAAGCATGTGAAGAAGAAGATGGTGTCGCAGTCGTCGCGGAAGAAGTGAGGGGATCCATCGCACGCGTTTACAGTCCGCTTCTTCGATGTTGTTGGTCCATGGTTGGACTCCGATCGTACAGAGTAAGTTTGTTCCTGATATTTCGCTAGGTGGAAGGTTGGACTCGTGACGAAGAAAAGCCCGGCACTTCTGGACGTCTGTCAGGGCGTGGTTTTCGCAGGATAGCCCGTCTGACGGGCGCCTGGAGATAGATGTCGCCGAATAGCTTTCCTGTGGCCCTGGCTGTGGGGTTGCTTTGCGGATCAAAGAGAGCACTGAGAGTCGTTGGTTTCGCTATTGGCCTTACAAAACATCGATGTACAACTTACTAACGACGAGTAGACGAAAGCTCACGAAGTCGATACGCAGTGCCGTGTCGAGAGATCCGGCCCTTTACTTGTCTGGGCTGGATAGAACAGAGGCATGCACGAAGCTTCTAAACCGAACCCAGACGCTTAGAAGGGGTCTCATCTGACAATGAGTAGTTGCGCGCACGAGCGCAATACAAATAATATGCAATGCTTGACGCCGAGTCGAAAGCCTATATCTACAACCATCATCGTACATTCCCCAAACTCCTGTCTTTGATACCCTACAACATGTTCTTCCTCCAGGCCCTCGTGGCCAGCTTCTCAATTTCCCCCACCTCGACCGGCCCCTTAACCTCCTCATCCTCCAGCGCCTCCACAATCGCATCCGCAACCGTATCTGCCTTGAGCGGCTTAATCCCGCCCGCACCCATCAACCAAGTCAACCGCCCCCCCACAGCACTATTCACCATCGCCGCGACACCCCCCGCCGCCGCGATCGGCAGCGTAAACGTCCGGCTCGAATCGTACATGAACGGCGCCCGGATGAACACACTCCGCATGCCAGGAAACCTGCTCCCGATAATATCCTCGGCCTCCCTCTTCGTCGTGATATACCGTTTCGGCAGCACAGGCGCCCCCGCCGCCGCACTCACATACAAATACGTCCCGACGCCCTTGCCCTCGGCCTCCTTCGCCAGACTCACCGCACTATCCCGATTCATAACCTCGTACGTCAACTGCCCGTCTTTCTCCTGCGGCTTCAACACCTCCCCCTCTTTCCGCTCAAACGGGTTCTGCGTGCCCGCCTTCGTCGCGCTGAATGCGCGCTGCAGCCCGGAGATGGGGGACTCGCGGCCGGACACGACGCCCTTGTAGTCTGCTTCGAGGAGGATGCCCATGGTGTGGATTACGGCGGTGGCGGAGGCGAGGTGCGCGGTGTATGTGGAGGGGTCGAGGATGTCGCCTTTTTCCCAGGACACGGAGGTCGACCAGGAGGGGGCCGTGGGCGAGGAGGTTACGGCGGACCAGGTGGGCTGCCCGGAGCGCGAGATGGAGGTTACGGCCCAGCCGCGTTGGATGGCGGCGCGGCAGATGCGGCTTCCTAGGGGGCGGTTAGCGGTAGAACGTGGGATGCGATACTAGTAGAATTGGTATGTGTAGCGTTCATCGTGGGGTAACTCAGGGAGCTTCGCGGCCAACAGTCTCGTGAGACTTTGTTTGCGCGTGATGAAAGAACTTGGAAGTTGAATCAATTGCTGCAGGACTCACCGAGGAAGCCATTGCCGCCGCAGACTACGAGCTTCTTCTTTGCTGCTGAGGCCATTGTTGTGTCGAGAGCAAAGGAAGGAAAGCTCGAGACTTGCGGCTCAAAATGGCGAGTGGTGAGGTCACTCCTCCGAAGCTATCCACCAACGGCGGGACCAGGCCAGGGTCCCACGCGACTGCTGCCAAGACTCCCGCGGCGAGCCCCAGATTTTGGAAGCCATGTAAGCTGCTCAGCATCTCAACAACATAGCTTGGGAGTTCCTCCCACACGGCGCACCGACCGACATTTAGCATTCGTTGGCGCGACCCCATTTCTACTTCGGACGCTCCGCGACTCGACCATCCCGGACTTTAGCAGACGCAGCGGCGGCGCGCTCTCGCAAAGATGCCCGCCCCCGCAGCAAACAAGCGCGTCAAGGTCAGCAAAGGCACGCATGTCCTACTATGATCGCGAGCTAACAACGCGCAGAACAAGCGCGTGAGTCGCAACATCAGTACGCAAGCTTCAACATCCATGCGCAACCTCCCTAACACGCACAGTCATCGGCTCCGAAGCCTGGGCCCTCCCACCCGTGGGCCATCCCGACCGTCCCAAGGGCGTGCCCGACGACCACACCAAGCGCTGGACCGTCTACGTGCGCCAGCCCGACGGCGACCCCTCCCTCACAACCTGGCTGAACAAGGTGCAATTTAAGATATTCAATACCTACGAGAACCCGCTCCGCACATGCGACAACCCGCCCTTCCAGGTCACCGAGACCGGCTGGGGCGGCTTCACCATCGACATACGGTTGCATTTCCAGCCCATCAGCGGCGAGAAGGCGCAGTACAGGCAGCACTTCCTGCAGCTGGAGAAGTACGGCGACGAGAAGCTGCAGGCCGAGCAGGAAAGGACAGGCTGTGTGAGGAGCGAGTACCTGGAGGTGGTGCAGTTTAATGAACCCACCGAGGCACTGTACGAGGCGCTCACCGCGGACGACCAATGGAGCTATCTTGCGCTGGGCGCGAAGGGTGGTAAGAAGACCTCGAGCATGAGCACGGGACCCAATGGACGGCCGAAGCGCGGGTTTCCCAACGGCGAGCGGAGTGCGCAGTTGCCGGAGAAGGGAGGCGACGACATACCTTTCAGCCAGGAGCAAGAAGCCGAGCTGATGAACCAGCTCAAGGCGAAGATGCAGATGGTCGAGAAGGCACTGGAAGAGGAGAACAAGAAGAGAGAAGACACGGAGAGCAAGCTCAAATCGCTGAGGGCTGAGCTGGGACACGAGGCTGCGCAACAGGCGGCACAACAAGCGAGTGGCGATAGAAGTCGGAGGAGGTGAGAAAGAGGGGGACGAGGGACATGTTTGAGATTAATATGATTGAATTGCGCTGCTAACATTTGGTGTGCCAGTGGACGGCAATACCAGAGAACGAGGAAGGCGAGAGGATCTAATTAACGACATTCAGTTCGCGAGGCGTCAAGTCCACTCGGATTGAACCAGGTATACCCCAGTGGTAAATTTCACGGAATTTTCGCACGGCAAGTGCATTTCCAGGCGTTGGCAGACGGAAACGCTGTACTAGCGTACAAGCAGGAGGCGTTGGAGCCAGTTCATCGATACCTCTCCCTACTCGAATCCCAAATTCATCTTACAAAGACGCTGATACTGTCATCCATGCTGAATTCCAATGCTCCCAACGACCAACAAACGCCTAAACATTTCCATGCTAACGCCGTATACAAAGCCACTATGCCTGCCCTCAAACGCTGCCCGGCGGGGGTTTATGCTTCACAGTCTCAGAATCAGTCTCGCTCTTAAAACCACCATCTTCCTCTTCCTCGTCATCACGGGCCCCCAGCGCACCCCTTCTGTCCGCTCAACCGCCTTCTCAACTCTTCCGTTCCATATTAGCACCATTGCATTCACCGCATCACACCCCTCCCCTTCCTTCTCCCCCGACGCCAAAAGTCAAAAAAAGGCAAAGATGGTGAACTAACACTCTCAACCCTCTCACTTAGCGCCGGCGTCGCAGGACTAAGTCCCAACGGGCTCACCATTTTGCGCTTCCCCGCCATAGCCTTGCTGCGTGCGGAGCTCGCGTCGCCGCCGAAAGCGGCTTCCGACTGTGCAGCTACTATGGGGTACCTGCCGGAGTGGGATTACTCGTCTGCGTGGATGTTGATGCGGGAGGGGTCTTTGCGCTCGCCCGTTTTGATGAAGTTGTTATCTGGGGGTTGTGTTGAGGGCTTGTCGAGCAGGAGGAAGAGTGGCGGGCGTGGGTAGGTGTGATAGCGAGGGAGGGGAGGGGCCGAGAGGAAGGCGGACCATAGTGGTGTGCTTGAGGTTGGTGGTACATGGAGTGGTACATTTGGGGATGGGTATTTCGTTTGTGATGTGAATTGCAGTTCAAAAGCAAAACAGTTATGTGCTGAGGATGAACAATCGCCTACACAATTTCCTATGAGTTGTCCGTGATGATTGGGCAGTGATGACAGCGAGCGTATGGATGCTAACTTGATACATTAACGTGGTGATTGACTTCAGGTCATGCGATTTCCAGTCTGTCCAGATGAACCATGTATATGCAAGGTCTAGGGCGTAGCGCAGACTCCACGGGAAAGTAGGAAACCCGTTGCATGCAGTCGATTTTGCACTTTGGTGAGCTCGTAAGGTGGAACTGATGTAAGAAAACTATTCCTCCGTTCTAGCACAAGCGTCATCGGAGGCGCTGAACCGCAGACAGGATGTACTAAATTGGTCAGAGTCTATTAGGTCTGCGTAAATCCGTTCCGGTGATCTCTGCATGTACAAGCACTAGGGCTGGCACAAAAAAAGGGTTCCTTGTGTACACCTAGTCCTGTAGGAATACACTACAATACAACTATAAAATTCTAATTTAATATTAGATCAGCAAACCTCAAAGCCGTAAAAAGAGTACTTTTGCTATCAGTTACTGTGATGTATGGCAATTGCTCATGGTAATCTTAATGAGGAAGTAGGAAGTAGGAAGAACCTTCACCCAAGCACCTCAACGGCGTTCACCAAGCCGGACGGTGCGCACAACAAGCTGCAAACGTCGCGCGGAGATGACAAACGTAACTGCGTTTCTCGCTTCAGTAGGTATTGTTTGGGACCGTGATGTCACGCAGCTTTCTTTGACGGAAAGCCCTGACTATCCTTCCGGCCAATCACGACTGCAGGGACCGTGAGATTCATAAGCAATGCCCTCACTCAGCAACTCTAGCGATGTCGAGTTGACTCATCCTTCGCACCTCTCGGGTTAGGTAGCACGGGCCGAGGCACATATACTTACATGCGGTGCTCCGGACTTCATCCGTCCTACACTGATTCCTTTGTCGCCGGGACCAACAAGCTGAAAGCCCACGCCTCCACCAACAGGCGCCATACTTGGCAGATAACAGCAACGACTGCCTGACAACCACCACAATTCTTGCCGTTATATGTGATTACTATTGCACACAATGGCATCCAACATGAGGAAGGCATCTCTCCGCGAGACACTGTCCATCGCCCACACCGCCGAGTGCAAGCTCCACCTAGCCGTAAACCGTCCGGACAGAGACCTGAGGTTCATGCTCGGGCACGCGCTCACACTTGACTCGGTCTCATTGCGATTAGTCGAGATTGAAAAAGAAGTCGCCACAATCCAGCAACCCAGCCATGCCACTGGCATCAAGTTCCAGGCCGCTAATAACTGCCCGACGAAGCGGAAGACGAGTCCGCCTCCAAATAGGCTCAGCGAGATGCACGCCAGCGACGAGGACGAGGAAGACGAGGAGGAAGACGACTACATAAGCAGCGACGACGACCAGGACGAGCTGTCGCTGATGCGATTCCCCTCCGGATCCGCGAAGCCGCCGCAGGAGCCACCGGATCTTGTGCCGTCAGAAGAGGACTCGTCGGATGAGGAGGGTCCGCCGTCTCCAGAGCTGCCGAGCGAGGACATGCTGCGCGATATTATGAAGGGAGATGGAGATGAGGGTCTCATGAATGCGTATGCGGGTGTGAAGAAGTGTCCGTGTCATGGGCACCATGAGGATGCGCCGAAGATACAGAGGATGTGGGAAATACCAACGAGAGAGGGCGAGCAGAGGGCGGATGGCGTGAGAATGGCTGTGGCGGAGGTTGCGGCGTGAAAAGCTGGTACCTAATAAAGAGGCGTTTGAAAGAGGGTTTTCATCTCAACCACATTGAGCAATGTTTTGTGCCCAGCGCATCACCAATAAAGGCGCCAAGGGAATGAGGGCGCACGGCGTATGGAAATTTTCCTTATAAGAGATACGGCTGACAAGACCATACCAAAATGTCAGACATGTAAGCTCACTCGGTTACCATCAGATGCTCACATGGGATTCAAGATGTGAGTGAAACCTCAGCTCTACAAGCACTTCTATGCAATTTAGTAGTCAGTTAATGATGTACGTGAGGGAATTGTGAAGTTGCTGAGACAGGTCATCGCATTAATTGGCAGGCTACACAAAGTATGTACAGCCTTCTCGTCCCTCTCAATCAATCACAATTATCGCCAAAAGATCCAAATATAGAGGAGTGTCGGATGGATACCTCATCCGCGACCGTGTAACAATTCCACGCGAGTAAGAAAGAGCATGCAGAGTGGATTCGATTGCTTGGCAAAATTTAGAAGGTGTTCTTGCTCGTTCGTGGCTTTCCACTCTCGCCAAAGATGCGGTTGATAGGCTCCGCCTCGGCCTTCGCAGCTCGCTTCTGGGGGGTCCTTACGTAGCCAGGCTCGGGCTCAGCAGAACGGGCCTCAACGTCGCGTCCCTGCTTTGCCCGGGAGTAGTGTTCCGGATCCGCAGATCGAGGGTGCGAACCACGTCCGAAGGGTTCTGGGTCGGCGGATCGAGGGTGCGAACCACGTCCGAAGGGTTCTGGGTCGGCGGATCGAGGGTGAGAACCACGTCCGAAGGGTTCTGGGTCGGCGGATCGAGGGTGAGAGCCACGTCCAAAGGGTTCTGGGTCGGCGGATCTGTTGGATAGAGCTTCGGCCTCTTCCGCGGCCCCTAGCCTGTCTTCATCATCGATGCTTCGTGCGTTCTTGTTTCTGCTGAGGGCAGGAGAGCGTGCCTCAACCTCGAGCTCGCGTGAGTTCTTGTTTCTGCTGAGGGTAGGCGAGCGTGCCTCCATTTGAAAATCACGTTGGTGAACTCTGCCATTGAGGTCGGGGCGATCGTTCTGTCCAATTCCGTTGCTCTTGTAGATAGGCTTCGCCTCGGCAACAGGGGCGGCGAGGATAGAGAGCGAGAAAGTAGCGACGATAAAAGCTGAGCGCATGATGGCTGTGATGACCAGTGATGTTTTGAGTTTTGTGTTTTTGGTTTGCAATTAGTGCTCAGCACTTGAAATTATAAACAGCAGTCAAAGTAGGCACAGCCTTGAATTGAAGAAGATTTTTAAAGATTGTTGGGTTTCTGTCCTGCTACAAACGACGACAATATGACTTTATACATCTTGAACAAGGCCTGATGAACGACCAAGCGAGAATTGGGAGAAGTGACTCGAGTATCGAAGCGCTGGCTGCGCCGTACAGGTGAATGAGGCTGTGAGTTGATCGTCCTGGACGTTAATGCGGTTTTTTAGAACATCACATCCCGATCGGGCCTATCTAGCCTCAAACGGAATCAGGCCCAGGCGCATCATTGGTCCACCCATCGAAGCCGCCAACATCTTAAGCGCCCGGGTCCAAAGTACCTTCCGGATAAATACCCTAGCAAACAGAGCATTTCGATTATCGACTGCCGATGAACCGTTGACCGATACAACATGATCGGTCCTTTTTCAGGCCCGTCCCATGACTATGATAGGGACTACGCCGCAGCGCTTCCTTAATATCCACTTGTTCATGCAATGCACGCAGCTTGGAGCGGAAGAGGTGCACAAGTGACATCGCCATGGCAATGATCTACAGATCTAGGGTCTGCAAGCTGTGACTGGTCAGTTCGGCCATGGGGTACATGAGCATGGTAGCTAGTCCATGAGCCATGCCGCAGTGCTATCGGGATGTCAGAGACGCTCTGAGCTCTTTGACATGAGGTTTACCAATAACCCAGCGCCTCAGTATTGGGGAGTACACATAGCTTAATGTGATATAGTTAGACCGTAATTCTCGAGACCTGGAGTTGATGATGAGGGAGACTTGAAGGAAATTGCAATCCTCGGAACTGATCAGTGAGACCCGCTACGGGAGCAGAAACGCGCGTACTACAAGAGATCAGAAGCGAAGGACTCGGCTGTCATAACTGAGAGTATGTGATATGTACAGGTTGCAACCCCCTACGCCTACTAGTTGATGTGAATGCACACTAGAATGTTCAGCAGCGTTGCATACAGACATTTTGGAGTACATATCTGTTTACAAATTTCGATCGCGATGATCTCATCTACACGAGGGCGATCTCGTATGGCTGACCGACTGTAGCATCGAAACACAACAAGGCCAAAGCTCCGCAGCCGCATGATCTGTGTCTGTCCCAGCTTAACTTTGCCGGATATTGAACACCAATCACAGTCAACAGATATCATTGAGCATATAAACTGGATACAGACAGTGAAAAGGTTCTGATTGGCACTCCTGGGAGCACTGCATACCAGTTGGCGTGACTTCAGCCGCCTATACTTTGGGAGTATATGACAGTGATGATATCAATGAAATTTTCTGGTGTGGTAGTGACATGAATAACACCTACCTTTGAGGACATGTTATATCGATTGTTCGCTCATAACCTGAAGACCTGCGAGGCCTTCATGCATGAGCAAGCCTACAGATTTTGTGCATGATGTACGGATGTTGACCACGGCATCTTTCTTTCACCATCAGCCCGCTGACTATACGAGCGGCCGACTTTGGGATCACTGGTTGAGCGATGAACGCACTAGATGCTTGGGAGGAAGCGCTTGCGTTTTGAGCTTGCAGATTATGTAGGACCTCGCTTTCAATATAACCAAGCACATGAACAGATAGCGGATGAAGCGGAAAAGAGCTTTGCGGGTATCTGTTCCACGACCTTGTGGTCCCAAATGCGACTCCCGTTCAGCCAAATACAGCGCTTAGTCTGAGTCTATCAACCTCATCTTCGATTGAGATGGGCCCGATCATCGACTTCCTCCTTGTGACTCTTGAACTCCAAAACCCAGTGATTGTGGGATCAATCAATGCCATGCGCTTTCCAACGGTGGTATATGGATTTTTTGAGGGGGAGCGGCACGTTTCTCGGAGCTGCCATCGGAGCCAGAGGTCCTTCGCTCATGCACACGTGGCTCTTTTTCACATCCACGTATCATTCTTTGCTCTTGTTCTGGAACCTTGCTCATCTCCAGCATCGCAATAGCTTCGACCGCGGTGGTATACAGTCTCCGGCTCAGCATACCACTATCCAGTCCCTGAGACCTCCTGATATTCAATTACAATTGTGCAGACACCATCCTTTTTGTCCTCCCAGTGCCAAGGACGAGTGCTCCTGTAGTCTGGCTCCGGCTCTGGCTGAGCCGATCGGGGTGATAGCTCGTTCCTAGGAGCCGCTTCTGCTTGGGGCTTCGGCTGTCTTATTCCGATGAAGTCTTTCGGATCAGCTGACCTTCTCCCCCAACCTCCGCCTCTGGTGTACCGGACTGAGAGTTCATCCGCCGGTGCTGTGTCGTCCTTCTTAAGGTCTCGTGCATCCTTGTTCGAACTAAATGTGCGTGCCTCAACCAGCTGGACGGCATTATTAGCACATAGTCAAAGGGTAGGATGTTTGAGACATACAGATCCTTCGATCTGGCTGCCAGAGTTCGCCTGAGGAACCGGAGCGGCGGAAACAGCGAGCGCAAAAGCAGCAACAATAAGAGTGGCGCGCATATTGAAGGCGACCAAGTTTGGTTTGTCGTTGTTTTGGTAGTGGGAAGTGACCTTGCTCAGCGCTGGGATTGCGATGGAAGCAGTCAAATCTGATACTGCTTTTGAACAGAAACTTGTCTGCAAAGACAAATAATGGACAATGTAGAAGATAGGTTTCTGTTGCTCTGGAAGCTTTCTTGAGGCCTACCGCAGATGGCAGATGCCAAAAATTTATATGACATCCTCAGTTGACTCCGCATCAACATGAAAGTCTTACCACAAGTGTGGGTCGAGTGACTCGAGTACACAAGCGCTTGCTGTGCCACAAAGTTTAACAAGGCTTCAGTCGATCGTAACACGCAATCGACGTGATGTGGAAACATCACGTCCTGACGCGAACAAACTATTCCAGAAAGAGATTGGAACATAGAGTGCTCATTGGCTCAATGCTGTAGGCGCCGGCTACCCTGCACCACAATCCGCCACAATGTAAGCGCCCGGGTGCGCGACACCTGCCGGATGAAAGCTGTAAGCAAATGGCGTCAACCGTGGACAGCTGGCATATCTTTGACCAATCGCTACATAGCGGACTCCACTTCGGCTCGGGCCATATGCACTACGCCGCAGCGCCTTCCGTGAATATCGTGGACACCCGGGGGTGTCCTCACCTTTCATGCTGCGCGCACACCTGCATTGTAATTACTCGGTGTACAGTGATACTTTGGCAGTGCATTGCGATTGGGAACCGCTTCAAGGCATACTTGCACTGCTCACTCCAAGTGTAAAGTATATGGATTCCTCGAGATATATTGAAGGGGCCGTGAGATGTTCAAGGGAAATGAACCAACCGTTTCAGACCAAAAACTAGAATAGCCTCAGGTTCAGATTCGCGAAATGCAATCACAGCCTGTCATCAAAGTCTGGTAGAAGTAATATGGAATGACTACTCTAATGTTCATGACATACTGTTCACAGAGAAGCTACAGTGTGGCTGGATTCCCACTGCTCAAGGTCGTTTGCATTGGCTAGTTGAAGGCGTTCATATACCAGCGATGCTCAAGTCCGTCAATTCCGCAGATGAGAAGACTTATCCGATAATTATACATCCTAACGCTATAAGTCGGTATGTGAGCTCTTCTCAAATTAAAACCCAACTTGAAGCAGGCTCATGGGACGTAGCAACCAGTCTCGGGCCATGCATTCGCTATTTTTCATGGTTTGCGCATATCGGCATTGCGTGCATGCACGGCTAGATTACGCACGATGGCTAGTCTCTCCCGTCATGCGACTGAACTGCATCGACCAGAAACTAATTACAGCAGAACAATGCCATACCCAGCTGAGACTTTTTATGCCCTTGCCGGCTGCGCTTGACCACTAGCATACACCATACACCGACTTCAAGTCTTACTGCAAGGGTGTTTTACATACTTGTCCGCAGTGAATCAGATCGCTCGCCAGCTGCTCGGCCGGTGATTGCAGAACTCTGCGGTGTTTTGCAAGCATGAAGTTTCCGCCTATGACGGTTGCGGTGATCGCTCAGGCTGATACTTGTTGTCTGTTGTGTCACCCTTGCACACAGTTGATGTTTCGCACCCGAACCCAGAACTGAGGCAACTGATCACTGTCACCCACACAAGCATTTCATGTTTCGATTGGGATGGCAGCATTCACGCCAGCATTCAATGGCCTAAGGGCAGGAAAATGAGATGCGAGCAAGTCAAAATATGCATACAAGAGCCAATCGAGAGCAGAATTGATGGGACGGTTTTCATTGACAACTAGTCTACATAGTCATGTATACTTTCCGTCCCATTCGGCATCCGCATCGCCCTCTTCGGCGAAGGGTCTTGTCCTCCCAAGCATGTACAATAAAACAACAAACTATTACGAGATGAAGTGACGGTAATAACATACGTTGGACTCCAGGGAAGGTGTTGGAAACGGAGAAGAATCATGGCTAATTGATACGTGGCGTTCAGTGAGCGTTCTGGAGGGTAGCGCTGCTGAAGCCACGAGCCTTCAAAGCCTCGATGAGTCCGCTAGCCCAGGTTGAGCGCTTGTGTCCTCCACGAACGTACGGCTCGGGGCGAGCTTCGGCCTCGCGCTTGTGACCTCCACGAACGTAGGGCTCGGCCTCACGCTTGTGACCTCCGCGTACGTAGCGGGCTTCGAGCTCCTCGTCCTCTTCCTCGGCCTCGCGCTTGTGACCTCCACGAACGTACGGCTCGGCCTCGCGCTTGTGACCTCCGCGTACGTAGCGGGCTTCGAGCTCCTCCTCATCATCTTCGACGTCACGCTTGTGACCTCCGCGAGTGTAGGGTTCAGCCTCACGCTTGTGTCCTCCACGAACGTAGGGCTCGGCCTCGCGCTTGTGTCCTCCGCGTACGTAGCGGGCTTCGAGCTCCTCCTCATCATCTTCGACGTCACGCTTGTGACCTCCGCGAGTGTAGGGTTCAGCCTCACGCTTGTGTCCTCCACGAACGTAGGGCTCGGCCTCGCGCTTGTGTCCTCCGCGTACGTAGGGCTCGGCCTCGCGCTTGTGACCTCCGCGTACGTAGCGGGCTTCGAGCTCCTCGTCCTCTTCCTCAACCTCGCGCTTGTGCCCTCCCCTGACGTACCGAGTGACGAGTCCATCAACATCGGCTTCTTCCTCGTCTTCAGCATCACGCTTGTGTCCCCCCCGGACGTACGCCTCACGCTTGTGCCCTCCCCTGACGTAAGGCTCGGGTGAAGCAGATCGTCGGACGCTTCCTTTCCTGGTCCATGGCTCGGCAAGGCGGGCTTCGAAGTTTGACTCTAGGGGAGCTGCTGATCGGCTCTCAGCGTTCTGAACTGGTGCGGCAAAGGCAGAAATAGCCAAAGTGGCGAGGATGATTGTTGATCGCATGTTGTCAGATGTGTATTATTGTTGCTTGGAATAGTATGATTTTTTGTTGTTGTTGCGATTAGTGCACAGCACTGAAGTAGATTAAAGCAATAAAGGTAGGCACAGCCTGGGAGTAGAAGACGACTTGCAAAGAGTGCGATGGGAAGATCCAGATCCTCTGCCCTTCGAATGATGGGCATTGATGGGCATTTATCCATCTCAAAACACCTTCCGCCGCAGATGGGATCGTATCCCTTGTCAACGCTGATTGGCTAACTGCATAGACTGATCCTATGCTGAAGCGCTGTACCCAATCGTTGTGTCATGCAGGTGATAAGGATGCGTGATTCCGTGTTGATAAAAATAAGTGCTAGTCCAGGCTCTCATAGGCTAGATTCAGGTGCAGGCAGGCATCCTCTAACCGCCAGGAACCCGACCAACCGGTTCACATCCACCTCCCCCACTGGGTACGAGAAGCATCGTTGCCCAATGAGATCATGCTGGCCTTCATCTTGCGAGCATGCACCAACCAGTGTAGCCGTGCACCTACCACTTTGGCTTGGGCGCATTCGCGACCTAAGCGCTTGGCTTCGGTGTAACCGCCCGGCGTTATTGCATTGACTGTAAGCCACGCGAACGTTCCTGAATGGCCATCTGACACTATTGAATTCACTTTGGTGGAAGAGCGCTGAGCGTGCGATTGGTGGCATTGAACTTGGCTGTACCTGTATGCACTCCGCCGCAGCGCTCCGGGTTGCTTGAGCACATACGGAAGGCAGCAAAAGACACCGTTTAAACGAGGGCTCCTTCGGCATCGTGGAAGGTAACCGAGGCCTGGCTGTTCGCTTAGTCGCGGTGTTGGTACGCAAGGTCCGGAAAGGACGTGACGATCCGTCGGTTGTCATCGTTCACATTGCTTCGGAGATCACCGGGTGGAAGTGAGTGATACCATATTACTATGTAGTCTTGGTGAAGAGAATTACAAGATACGACAGCTTACGAAGCGTCGTGACATGAAGAGAAGTTTCGTAATGATCGTGGTCTCATATCCAATGCGCAGGCGGCACCGGCGGCGATTGTTTAGCTTTGGGAGCGGATGTTGGTGAGGGGGCTTTCTCTGATGCGGGAGAAACAGCAAGGAAATTGTGCGCACTGCTCGGGGACACGCTGTTCCCAGAGAATCGCCAGCCTCTCTTCGGAACCCATTTTACCTTGACCTCCTTCGCATGCAAGCGGGGAGTGCCATGTTGCTTTTCATCTTCCATCTTCTGCGTCATGTCCTTCGGCAGCCCGTAGAAGAGTGATGCAATAGCGGATGTTTTCCACACACCTACCCTATCTTGCTCTCTCGAACTTCGGATGACCGTCCCAAGCAAGAAGATGCCAGTGAATGCAAGGAGGCTTATCGGAAGCGACAACCAAACCCAGCGAACGTCGACGATGCTCTCTTTATCCCATGCTTCACCATGCACCATGTCGGTATCGATTCCGGCGGATCGCATCAGATTAGTCATCGCCGTTGCCATATGCTCGAAGTGCAAAGAGATATTGTCGTATTGGAAAGGATTGTAGGTGACATTCCGAGTATAAGGCTGGATGGTTTTCCATCTCTTGTATCGTAGCATGGCGTCCTTGGGCTGAGTGCTGTTCACCAACGTGAAGTATGATGGGAATGCGTCGTCGAAAATGGATATCGTCAACACGTGAGTGTTGTTGTCGATATGATACATGGTCCCAGAATCGCTCTCGATGTATGCATCCTCGAGATAATAGTACTCGTACAGGTCCCAACTGTCGGTGCTGCCTTTGATCGTGTTGGTCAACCAGGGAGATGCCGTTACTGACCTGTTCATCTGGACTTTGGTAATTTCTTCTGAGTAACCACCTTCAGAGTAACTTGACAGGATAGTATTGACAGACCATTGGACCAAGCATTCGTGGGCGATGGGTGTACCGTTGTTGCGGACATTATCGATAGATTCGCCCGAGACGATGAGTACATGTGCTAGGGGATCCCGACTGTTGTTGAATACGGGTTCATATCCGGGCAAGAACTTGCGTGAGAATATGTCATAGAGCGCTTCTGAGCGTACAATCAGAGTTTCGTTTGCCCATTGTCCTGTGCTGGCTGTGTTGTAGCCAGTCATAAGCAGAGGCTTTTCCGCCTTCAACCACCATCCACAGGCAGTGCCGTTCGGGAAAACATAGTTGGTCTCGCCAGAGAGATCCACAATAGGATGCTGCACCCAGTCGAGCGATCCCCAAGCACACCTGAACTCCAACTTATCCGTAACTTCGGCGCATTCACTGTTGACACCAAGTGTCTCGTACTCGGGCCAGGTACAATTGCTGTTTGGACATGACAAGGGGACTTCTGCCCGTACCCCTCTTCCGAAAGCCATTGGTGATGTGCCGTTGTCGTAGAAATATCGAGCAACTACTCCGAGCATTGTGTTGTCAGGGTTGAGGTTTGTCAGTTTATCCACATACTCCTGGCCTTTCGCGAAGGGTTCATAGCCAATAGCCACCGGTATAGTCCCTTGTACTGGTTGGAGCCGCCAAAGCTCGGGGTATTCCACGACCTGTTGGAAGAAAGGGTCCAGCGCAAGGGACATGATGGTGACAGCGGCGCCCAATGCCGCGAGAGACTTCCCCCTTGTCCGGATTAGCAAGAGAAAAGAGCCCCAAGGCCCACGAGAAGCGCTGTCAAAGATCTCGAAATCCCACATCTTCTTTGAAGTTTCGCCTTGAAACCAGCTCCATTTCAACTGCCCTAATGCCTCCGACACAGGTAATAACAGCGCACCAGACGCAACCTTCGATAGAACTGAGATATAAGCGTTCAATGTCAGACCCAGGGGCCAAGTAGGGATACGCTTGTCCTTGTGGAACATGAGCATGATGAAGATGCCAGCCATGCACGAAGCGCTAAGGGTCCAGCTGATGATCTCAATCAACCATCTCTTGACCACGCTGCGAGAGGCAGTGTAGTTCCAAAGCTTTTGCTCAATACGCTGGGCAAGATTTGAAGCTGGTTCTATGGCTGGTTCACCATCTTCTCCTCTCTCGGCCGTGCCGGGCGTTATTGGGCTTGTGTCCGATCGAAATGGTGCATCCGGTATGCCGAGCCCCACTTGGCTTTTGCGGTTCCAATCCCGTTCGTCAAACTCGGTGACTGTTGGCGAAAGCGGTGAAAATGCATTGCGCCGAAATCTAACGTTTGGTCTGCCTTCTGGATCAAGCTGAAGGGTGCGGATGGGAGCTTGGGGTCTCGACCAACTTTCGCGTGGTGTCTGTATCGTTAGGGTAGGTACGGCGAGATGTTGTCGATACGATGGTGCTCTGGGAGTATAGGCTGGTGGTGAAGGTGACGGTGCGACTGAAACGCAGTGTATTGGTGTATCCCTAGAGCTTGTCTCGCAGGTGGGACAGATGAACTCGGGGGCATGCCGTGGGTGCGGCTGTGGTTGTGGCTCTGAACGTGCCACGGTCTCAGATTCCGATCGTTGCTGCTCCTCGCGCTTTCCGCGTTCGTCACTCTCGTCGAGATAAATGGGAATGTTTGGATTTGATGACCAATATGGGGAAACTGGAAACCTGGGCATGGTAGACTGAGGGGCACAAGCATATGTCCAGTCCAGACTGGCTCACTTGCCAAATAATTATGAGAGTAAAAAGATGTACGCCTGCGGACAGAAAGGAACAAGAGGCTCAATTGTAGGACACGAACACACTATGCCTTTAACATAGTTTACGGCGTTTGTGGCACGGTCAATCTGCCCAGATCCGGACTATATTTGGAGAGCTTAAACGACAGGTGTGGAAAAGCGCCGGGAGATCTTACACCTCTCCAGTCACAAGCATGATAGTGTCGAGCAGCCACGCAAGTCAAGCATGCTAAGCAGCAGTGAGCCTCAAATTGCTATGTTGACATCGGTTGAGCTGAAGGATTTAGATCCTAGAACACGCATGCTGGATAAACAATTGACCTTACAGCGAGCCCAAATACGCGCCGGACCGTTCAGTTGGCGCTCGCTTACGCATAAGCACTACCTCGATTGGCACTGGTTCGTCTGGTAGCGCTGGGCCTGATCCTGAATCGCTTCCTCCACCAATTGGAAAACAGTTTTGTTTGCTACGCGCGTTGAATACCCTAGCTCAGTCACAACTAATTCAGAACACTCGAAACACGGACCAGCATCCACAGCGCTTGGTAGCACTGTCCCGTCTCCGCCATGTTAATCTTCCTATCGACACCCTGTTGATCCCTGCTGCTGCGTTATCGCACGATTAAGCTGCACCCGATCGAGCCGCTTCAACCCCGCATGAATACGCAAGAGGCCACAATCCTGATGTATTTTGCGGCACAGCCTGTCGATTGTTCGCTCGCAACGGCAAAAGCGATGATATGCTTTAGCCTGAACAGGAGATATCCGTGGGCTTGTACCCTGTCCACCGCATTATGCCTGGATAATATATCCTACGGTACATCAAGATCATCGAGACTGAGCACGAGTAGACATATAACTTCTGCTTGAAACCGGTTGACGCTGCGTACGACTTCGGACTATTCACGCACAAGTTGACGGCTGACTCATGGTTGACACGAAATCCATCACCGGAGAGCAATGAGTCCGATGCAATAGTCACCTGCCCGACTTCGGGAAAGCACGATCCATGGGTTCAGCGCAGTTTTGCGGCGTAGCAACAACAACCAACCGTCTTGGCCCCGCCACCCGTTCCCCGAAAGAATCGGTATGGGGCGTCCCGAAAGAGCACGGGATACCGTTGGCTACGGAGTTGAAATAACTGCTTCGTTATATGGCTACACGAAGGGCAATTTGAGTCCATACTGATTCACAATGTTGACGTTGGAGACTTTGGAATCCGACAATGCGTTCAGGATAGCGCCGCGGACCGAACCCATATGCTCGTCCGGCCAGGTTGGACACACTATCGCCACACGTCACATCCATGATTCGTTGTCTGTATATTGTCTAGCCATTTCAATTTGTGGCCAATTGCATCACGCTTTCCCCGAGTTAATGTGCACTCGTGATATCACCCGTGGTAGCCACCCTTGTGGCCCACCGTGCTTCACACACTTAACGGCACCGCGTCAGCGATCTTGCATGTGTGGACACGGCCTGACTGCTTCAAGAGGGATCGGGCCGTCTCCCGGTCTTGCAGCAACTACTGGGCTGGGGGACACTGTACATCGAATGGACTCTTCACAATGATTGGAGCTGATTCTTTCTGTCACTGAAAAAGCACTTTAGAAGAGAGCGTGTCAAAGGGTGTCTATAGCATTAGTATTGCGCTGCCCACAGCCCAGGAACGACATGTTTTGAAAGCACCGCACATTTACCCACCTTGGTTTAATGTGATCCTGCATAAGAAGCTTGCTTTTGATGTGCTGCAAATTGCTCAAGCTGAGGTGGAAACGATCGCCCTATAGGCGTACTCGCCGATGATCTTACCTGGCGAATTCAGAAACAAGTCTAGATACTCGCGCGGTAGGCGGCTAGTGTATCAATGTCACGAACCCTAGGCCTCGTTACCCACCACCCTTCAAAAGGTGCGACGGTGCCCGACCGCTGGCTTGCATGCGAATACCACACACTTAATCGTCACCATTTAACAAATATCTGAGGTGATAGAAGCCAGTTTTCATTTGAAATTGCGGCGATCTCATTATCTGGATATACAGCCAAAGCTGAGGGCAAGGTACGCTTTTCGTAGTTCAGTGACCTCGTTCGTACCGTTGATAGCCGATACAAACTCTGCATGATATACTGGCTTCTATTCTTGTTGTATCAATGTCTTTGTCAGACGTTTGCAACGCCGCAATGGCAGCGACCTCGTACGAGGCAGGCAGTAACAACAATCGTCACGGCACGGCACGGCACGTATCACCACAGTCGACCAACACGATCACACCATCCGTGTCAATCTTGTCCTAACATGGTTATTGATTATTGTTGACCGATTGTTGACTCTTTGCGCGCTGTTACAAGGTCCCTTGCTCACTTCACTCCACAGTCGAGATAATAACATGGTCTCACACAAAGCTATCACGCTCTACTTCGTTGTCTTAGTCGCTGTGTTCACGCTCCGAACCAGGATCTCGGCATAATACAACTACGTTCAATAAATTTGGAAATGTTAACCCATCACAGTTTTGCCAGCCCACCCATAACCTCCCTCGCCTCCCTCTTCACTTTCTCAACAATATTCCCCGCCTCCTCCACCTTCCCCACACTGCCCACCCCAGTCCCCGCCCAAATTGCGGCCCTGCCCTTCCTACCGGTCGCATACCCCTTATCCTCCCCAAGAACGGCCTCATTATGCAGCCTTTGAATTTCTTCCAACCCCACCCCGTCTACATGATCCTGATAACTCTGCACCACCAAACTCCGCCCATCGTACGCTTCCGGCCACACATTAGGCCCCCTCAACTGATCAAACAGCTTACTCCTCCTCGTAGCCTGGCCCCCATCCTGCGCCTCCAAAACCGCCGCTTGAGCAATAGGATGAATCGCCACCTCTTTGCTCGCCAGGAATCTCGTACCCATTACGACACCTGCAGCACCTAAGGCAAGCGCAGCAGCGACTCCCCTTCCATCCACAATACCCCCACTCGCGAGCAGTGGTATATCGCCGTGCCCTTCCCGCCGCAATGCATCTGCAGCCTCAGGAACTAGAGAGATGATACCCGCAGCCTTCTCGAACCCATGACCCCCTGCGTCGGCGCCCTGGAGGCATATAGCATCCGGGCGCGCGTCTTTGGCAACATGCAGCGCGGCCTCGACGTTGCCGACCTGGATCCAGACTTTCGACGTCGGACTTGCTTCCCTCAGCGCATCGACCCACGCTGTGTAGTCGTCTAGCTGCTTCGCTGCAAACAGCCATACCACCGCTGGCTCAAACTCCCGGATCACGGGTACCACGTCCTCGATCTTACAAATGAAGGCTAGGATGCCGACGCCGAGTGGAAGCGTTGGCGAGTCCTTGATCGCGGCGTTGGAAGACGCTGCGAATGTAGAGCGTGCTTCTGCGAGTTGGGTACGCAGTTGCGACATGTCGTTCAGGCTGCCGATGAGGCCGAGGCCGCCGGCGAGAGAGACTGCTGTGGCGAGCGGGGCCCAGGCGAAGCCGCCCATAGGCGCGGAGATGAGGAGGGGAGGGGAGGTCCATGGGAGGTAGGATGATAGTGTGTGGGACCATTGTTGGGATGGCATTGTGCTGGACGTGCGTTGTGTATGTTGAGTGTCGGATGAGAGGACGGTTACTCTGGAGCATGCGAAGAGCTTCCAGCTGGGAGCGGAGAGGGATGTGTATCCGGCAATGAACTCGTGTAGTCGGAAAGATGACGCTGGCTGGTCGTGATCTTAGTCCATAGATGGAAACGGCTTACATCCTCTTTTGGCCGAAGTGTGGGGAACGTGAAGCCAGAGCCGCTAGCTTAGAGTTTGTAAGATGCAACTTAGTAATCTCAGAGGCGTGGACCACAGATGGGTTGCATAGCGGAGTTAACGACATTCCACTCGTGGCATATGTTTGCGAAGCTTGGATAAGGTTAATGGATCCTGCGTTCGGTTACACCGGCGGACATGCTACCTACCTACGTTCCGCGGACTACCTTGTTTGATCACCAAAACCCAGCAATAAGCCCAGACAGCCTACTGTACATCAGTTCAAGTAAACACGGATGGTGGTCGCATAAGAAGCAGATAAAAAGATTTTCCTATACGGAAAATGTCGACGATATAAGAGATGGATAGCGCAGACTATGCTGTGGGTATAAAGCTATGCTAACCCCAAACCCGCCAACCGAACATAGACACATTGAACTTGATTCGCAACAGGAAAAGCACTGGCCCAACCCAGCTGATCAGGCCTCGCGTATGAACAGCACTCGTGTGCGGCATCTATTAAGGGGGAAGCCTTCGGACGGTAGAAGATGAAAAGAGGAGGTGTTTATTTGGCGGAGGGCTTCTTGATGAGGCCGGAGAAGAAGGACATGAGTTTTTCGTTGTCCATGTTGGCGGGATCGGAACCGTTCACGGGCGGTGTCGTGACAGCCTCGGACTCAGTGGCTCTGCTGGTCTCGCGCTCCTGTGGAAATATTAGCATTGGCATTGTGTCTAGATTGGTTGCAAAACGTACTTGCAATCGCTTAACCATCTCGTCAGCGTTGACTTGAATACCGCCCATGTTGAACTGCACGGGACCAATGTGCTCTTCCACCACGCCTGATGCATCGTCCGTGTACGTCCGGTAGTTGTCCACGTCTTTCTTCGCCGCTTTAACCTTTGCCTCTTTCTCATCTTCGAGACGCAATTGGTCCAAGAGCTCGACCTGCGCCTTGAGGAAGTCCTGTGTGTCTTGGCTTGATACCTCGATGCCGTTCGTCTGCTTGGAATTCAGTGCGGAAAGCGGGAAGTCCGATTCGGGGTTGCGGATCGTCTCTTCGTAGATTGTGGTGGCAGTGGGGCCCTCATCTTCTTCTTCTATCTGCTGCGGCGGAGCACTGACTTCCTGCACCTCGCCTTCGGCTGGGACTTCGCCGTTCGTGGCAGCCCTGGTTTGTTGCGGGATGTTATCAATGTCGACCGACCAGTTCTTGCTGACTCCCTCCACGTCAAAACCGTCCCTCAAGATTCTGATCTTCGCCCAAGAATCCCAGTTCGGCGGAACCAACACTCGATCGCGATCCGTGACGTTGTGCTTGAGTTGCTTCTGCTTCAGGAGGGACTTTATTCCCAAAGTGGAGTGAATGAGCGTCTGAAGCGATCCGGGGGCTGATGGCATAGTATATACAAGGCTGCCACCGTGCTTGAGAAGTATAGTCCGCAGATACTGCAGGATGAAATCGAACTCCTCCTCCTTCCAACCCCGCTCTCGCTCCAGAGACTCGATCTTGTCGGCGTTCTGGCAGACGACGCATAGTGGTATGCCTAGGGGTTCATCCCACTCTCCAGGCCCCAAGGGTGCTGTGACGTTCTCCAATGCACTGTTTGCCTCGGCGCCGCCAAGATTGCGACCTCTGTCTCGGTGGACTGTTATGTTCTCCTCAAGCACCTCCTTCGCATCGATATCGAGAGATACGATGAGCGACCGCAGAACGCGGATCCAGTCCCGCAGCTGTCTTATCCATAACCATGGGTGGTTCCAATCAAGCAAAATAACGACTAGCATGTGCGGGAGTGTGCGAGGATGAAGGTACGGTTTTATGAGCGGCGTGAACGATGGCGAGGGGGTTGTGAGGAGATATAGAGAAAGACGAGCGAGCGTATCTACACGGGTCAGTCTCCTCCCTGAGCAGGGAGTCACTCTGTATACCTTCATGATCAGTGTCGAGCACGTCTTGATATGTGTAGCCCAGCGCGAACTGGTTTGCGATTGGCGGCTTCCGGCCTCTATCCGGAGGCCTTCGATTGTTGGTAGGATCTGTGGCTACCGATTCAAGGAACTCCCTCTGTGTTTCTGGTGTACCGCCTGTTCACATTAACATGTGCCCCTGTCCCACGTCGCCAGTATGGCCTACCAAGTACAAGCAAGCTCTTCTCTGGCAGACGCTTTCCGCTCGAGATATTGTCCAGCATGGGCTTCCATATCTCCTCCTTCTCTTGGTCGCTGCTATTCGGCCGCCGCACGGGGAAGTTGGAGCTGCGCGCGCTGGCCATTGCGGAGTAGCTCGGAGGTTCTAGATGGCAACGTGACGATCATGCGCGGATCGAAAAAAGGGTTAGCGCAGCGCAGAGCTGGAGCGTGACTGCGCGTAAATGAGGCGATAGACGGCGAGGTGTGTGTGAGGGTGCTGCGGGGATGTTGTGGAGGTTTGGACCCGTTTGTTTGACGACGGAAGCTTTCCATGCAGGGATGCGCGACCGCCAAGACAAAATGTCTGGCTTGCCATCACTTTCACGACCTTCTCTCTACACACGCCGACACTGCCATATCTCGCTCTGGCTACGTCACGGACGTTGCGAATTACTGAGCGCACAGAATCTATCGCAAATTGACATATCGGAACCACTGCGTCTTCCCGTTGCGCCCTGCCCCCGCGCATGCGCAATCCGCCATGAATTCCATACGCGCGATCCAGCAGCTCAACAAGCGCGAGCTTGAGGCAGGCATCAATCCAGAAGGCTCATGGCACACCGACTACCGCGACACGGCCTTTATCTACATCGGCGGTTTGCCCTTTGAGCTATCCGAAGGCGATGTTATCACCATATTCTCACAGTTTGGAGAGCCTGTATGGATACGGCTGGCACGCGACAAGGAGACGGGCAAGTCGAAGGGCTTTGGTTGGCTGAAGTATGAGGACCAGAGGAGCTGCGACCTGGCTGTGGACAATCTCGGAGGAGCGACCATCATGGACAGGGTGCTGAAGGTGGATCACACACGTTACAAGCCAAAAGACGACGAGGACATGGGAGACAACACGATGGGAGAGGTCGATGTGGCAGCGGACGAGGACGGCGGTCGACGAAAAAGACAGCGCACAGAAAGCGAAAGCGACTCGGACGACGACCGCCCACTGCTCCCCGAGGAGATTGAGCTGGAAAAGGCTATACGCGATCTTGACGAGGAGGACCCGATGAAAGAATCTATGGTCAAGAGGCTGCAGGAGAAGGCTGAGTCTGCGATTAAAAAGTACAAGAAGAGCAAGCGGAAGGAGAAGGAGCGGAAGCATCACAGGCGCCACCGCTCACCGAGACGAGATCGGAGTCGCGATCACGACAGGGAGCGTAGAAGGATCAAGGACAGAGACTCAGAAGACGAAGACCGTCGCAGAAGGAAAGAGCATCGAAGCAGGCGTGAGGATGAGGATGAGGACCGGCCTAGAAGAAAGGAACACCGGAGTAGGCGGGGAGACTCCGAAGGTGAGCGCCGGCACAAGAGCTCGCGGCCACCTCGAGATGGCTCGAGTGACAGGGAGGAAGTCAGGAATAGCCCGCGAGACGGAAGGGACCGCGTCCGCCGTGATCATAGTCGCGAGCGGCGGCGCTACAGTTCAGAAGAGGAAGACCGGAAGCGTTCGCGCTCGAAGCGGTCACCTTGATGATGGTAGTCACATTCGACAGAGGGTAACAGCATGGCTGATCCCATATGTACCACACACACACGATACACAAAGCCGTAACCAAAGCCTCATTTGCCGTGTTCGGAGTGATCTATTGCCCCATCGCGAGCGGCAAGGAGCTTTTAGATGACGTGACGCTCTTTAGAGTTGCTAAGGTTTTACCGTAGGAATATCATGAATACGCGCGTAACATGGCCAAGAAGTACTACCCACAGCTGAAAGTGCACAGAGCGTGTAACCTTGTACATCCTCTCGGCGCATTGCTAGCAATAGAAGAAGTATTGCTCTCCAGATCAACCGCGAAGCACTGACACTGGGATTGGCCTGTTCTGCGGCTGCCGTAAAGGCAATCTCAGGCATTCACTCATTTCGGGGCGTACGAACGGACCACGCGACTCTGTTGACAGTGCACCAGTGTAGAGAGCGCCGATGAGCAAGACGCCGAAGACGGCGAGATAGTTGTGAGTTAGTAAAGGGGTCTGATCCATTTTTTCACGCAACTCTTATGTTCGCTCGAGGGAGGATCGGTCGGGCTATGGCGGACTTTTTTACTGATATATCCATGGCGAAGGACGCGACAGAACGAACATGTGAGCGCGGGCTCGTTGCGTTCACCAGCATAGAGTTCCTTGCACGTCTATGCGCATGTGTCTTTTGACCCTTGATTGAATTTGGAGAGTACATCAGAAGATGTCACGGGTGCTGGCCATTTACAGAGTGGTAACTCGCAACAGAAAAGGTCACTCGTGAAGGTTGCTCGAGTCGATGCTCTGGATGCTCGTGTGATCACTACTCGTATGGCATATCTTCAGTCAATCACAAGGCAACTTGAAGCTCCCCTTGCTGTCGCCCAAGGCGAGCCCTCCTTTACAACACCTCACAAGTGTGAAACGTGACACTGGGAAGGCAGGCCAGCCTCGAGCGCAAAGTACTGCCACGCAACGTGTTGCGCAAAAAAAAACTGGGTAGAGTCCACCTTTCATCAACAAGCGCGGCTGTGCAGCGCATATACCGACGTCTCACTCGCTGAAACTGCTCGTTTGTCTGCCAATCTTCATTCCCCTGGCCGTCGTGGTGTTTTGTCCGGACGGTTCAATACAGCGAGCCGCGACGGGCCTAGCGAGTGGCCAGTGGCGCCGATCAAGCTCGCGCTTTGTCCACGTTCCCCACAATGGGTCATGCTTCACTTCCCTTAGGAAGCTTACTCGTCGTGTGTTTGCGACTCCGGTCCACAACTTCTCCCGGGTGCTGCCCTCGCAGCGACATTAACGCGCTGACACACGCAGGAACACGAGCCGGGCGGCCCACAGCAGCAGGCTCAGCCACGTCGAAGGCTTCGCACTTGCCCGAAGCAGGACGCGAGCAATGACGGTGGTGCAAGCCAGCCGACCGCCGCCGACCGCTTTGGGGAGTTGGGCCTGTTTCGATGACGGCAGAGTAGTGGCTGCTGGCTGGCCGCGCCGTTTACTGGCCCCAATGCCGCCTGCTGGGTGCGTGACGTGCTTCTTCCATGCCGCTCGACTGCGAGCTTGCTGGTGCCGGATCCATCGTGCTGCGCTCGTTCGTTCGCGCATTCCTCAGCGCCTTAACCCGGCTGCCACGGATACTTGGCTCTACCTTTTCTTACACCCACTTACCTGCCGATACCTCCGCCAATCTATTGCCCTAGAATTCGGCTGCCATAGACTGTCGCTTCCTCCCATTCACTCGCTTTTCTTCGGACCCTCTCACATACACATGTTGCAGACATGAGGCTACTATCCGCCGCCCAGGCTTGGACTGCCGTGTCACTCTTGGCGGCGAACCTGTGTTCGCTCCCCGCTTCAGCCATTGTCCTCGACCCAAACAGCCAGGACTCGGTGCGCGCCGCTTCAAAAGATGTCGCCCAAGTGCTATGGTCCATGTATGCGACCACCGACAATCAGGTCATCTCCGGGATAACCGGATTATTGACATACCCGCCTTACTATTGGTGGCAAGCCGGTGCTATGTTTGGACAGTTGATTGACTACTGGTACTACACTGGTGATGACGGTTACAACGATATGATTCGCGACGGTTTAATACACCAGGCAGGAGAGAAGTGGGATTTTGTGAGTTTTGCTCCGACGCAGTCCTGCAGTCGCGCATTGTTGCACAAGCGCGACCAGCCTCACGGGACACGCCTGATTTTCGCGACAATATCTGACGCACTCTAGATGCCAGCAAACCAGTCCAAAGATGAAGGCAACGACGACCAACTGTTCTGGGCCTTCACGCTCATGAGCGCCGCCGAATACAACTTTCCCAACCCTCCTGATGGCACGCCCGGCTGGCTCGCTCTCAGTCAGTCAATTTGGAACCAGCTTGCGACACGATGGGAAGCTGCCACATGCGGTGGCGGAGTGCGGTGGCAGATTTACCAGTGGTTGCCCGGGTGGGGCTACAAGAATTTGGCCTCGAACGGTGGATACTTCCAGCTGTCAGCTCGGCTGGCCCTATTCACCGGCAACTCGACATACGCAGACAGGGCAGTGGAGATCTTTGACTGGCTACAGAACACGAGCCCGCTTGTAACCCACGACTACGTTGTCTACGATGGTGCAAATGTTGAGGCGAATCCAAGCAAAGGGGATATGGGGAACTGCACCAAGCCCGACACAAACCAGTGGACTTACAACTACGGCATCATGATTGGAGGCGCTGCCTATGTAAGTTATTAACGTGCCCATTTTAAGGCGCTGCATTCTGTGTGCTGTGACGTGTGCTGACGTTGCCAGATGTACAACTACACGAACGGTTCCGACATCTGGAGAGAGCGCCTGACCGGATTCATCAACAAAACGGCGATTTTCTTCCCTGAACAGAACAATGGCATTATGACTGAGCCTTGCGAAGGACCGCAAAACTGCAATGGCGACATGGTGTCTTTCAAAGGCTACCTCGCCCGGTGGTACGCCGTATCCGCCCAAATCGCCCCGTTCACTGCACCCATGGTCATGCCCCACCTACAGAAGTCAGGCATAGCGGCCGCCCAGTCTTGTGTTGGACCTTCCGCCACAGGTGTTGGTGGTTCCTACGAATGCGGAAACCGGTGGTACCAGAATGGCTACGATGGCAAGTCAGGAGTGGGTCAACAATTAGCTGCCCTGAGTATCATTGCTGCAAATATGGCACCATGGTCGAAAGCTCCTTTGACAAGTCATTCCGGCGGCACCAGCGAGGGTGATCCCGGACTAGGTACCGGCGAAGACGAAGGTATTCCGAAGCTAGATTACGGCGTCGCTACAACAGGAGACAAGGCGGGCGCGGCGATTCTCACGATTTTCATGACTGTTGCAACGGTCGGCGGCGCATATTGGCTGGTCATTTAAGTCCAATAGCACGACTTTGATATCCGGTGTTTTTGGAGTCATCTTCACGGCGTTTGGAGGGTTTGTCGTATCACGGCCTGGTGGGATTGGGACCTGGCTTAGGCCTGGGTTCACTTGCATTGGAAGGTGCATGCTACGATATGCACGGTTGGATTGTATATAGGTACGTGCGGGAGAGAAAGCGTTGCGAGCAAAGCTACGCGACAATTGAACATAGGACCACGATCTATTCGATACTGATTTTCTCAAACATGAGCGGCTTCGGCTGAAGTTAATCGCGTACGTCGAGACGGTACTTACTAACGACTACATTCCGAAGACTACATACATTCCAGAACTGCCAGTCCCGTGGATGGGGTCGTTGGTATCCTTGGCCTTTCTTCTGGTTGCGGAAATTGGAAGACGGGCCACATACGCTACTAGGCAGATGTACGCGCGTACCTGGGGCTTGCTTGGGAAGTGGTAGAGGGACGCCGATCTTCGCCCAAGAATTAAGAGTTGCAGGGCTGTTTTCCGTGCGCGCGATAAGAATAGCAATGGCCTCATGGGCTACGGCCATTTCGTATTATTGACTTGATTGAATGCGGTTTTATTTCTGACAACACGACGATGATGTCAATTTCGCTTTCAAGTCGCGCGCATCCCTGGGTGGCCGTCACACGCAAGACATCTCCAGAGTTTCCACAGGGTAGGAACAGCCTGTTGTCGCGTCCGCAACGCGCGCATCCCTAGTCGGGCGTTCAGCCGCCTACGTTATGTACGATGTTCGATTATCGTGATCCTCCGGCCCTTGCGCAAGTTGTTGTACAGTTTTCCTTGGTTTTGCCTACCAGCCGGTGCGCGTAAACTGTCTTAGAGATTCCACAAACTAGGAAACAACCTACACACTCCAATTTCTTCGTCGCGCCTCCTATGGACCTCCCGGTATAGGAACTTTGGCATGCGTATCGCGAAACACACCTGCCGATTTAGAATAAGATTATGATGATCAGATGTGAAGACAAGTCCGGAATACGAAGCGACGTCCACACATGTATAGAGTGCTGGATTTCGATTGGGGCGAGTACGACGGGATCGTCGCAATTCTCGCTAAAGAGGTGAGGGTTTGGGTATAGTGTCGGGCGCCGTCTGTGGACGACTCTTGCATCGAAGACAGAATGTGAGTATAAAGCTGTATGGCGGTCCTAAGATATTCGCATGTCGAGTTCAAACTGAACTCGGGATTCAAGTAAACAACGTAACCACACAATCATGAAGTTCACACCACACCTCTCAACGCTGGCCCTCCTGGTGGCAACATCCCAGGCCGCAGTTCAAGGCTTCGACATCTCGCACTACCAATCCACGGTCGACTTCGCAGGCGCGTATTCAGGTGGCCTTCGCTTCGTCTACATCAAGGCTACAGAAGGCACGACCTACACAGACCCTAAGGCACGTACATTGTCTCCACCTCATCTCCCCATTCTTCTAGCTGACTCTCAAAGTTCTCCCAACATTACAGCGGCGCAACAAACGCAGGCTTCATCCGCGGCGGCTACCATTTCGCGCAGCCTGGCTCGTCCTCTGGCGCAGCTCAGGCCAACTTCTTCGTCGCGCACGGCGGCGGCTGGAGCGCTGATGGCATCACACTGCCCGGCATGCTGGACCTCGAAGTCGCCAATTGCGGCGGCCTCTCGACTTCCCAGACCGTCGCGTGGATCAAGTCGTTCTCAGACCAGTACCACAGCCTGACGGGGCGGTATCCGGTTCTCTACACGAATCTGAGCTGGTGGACGACGTGCACGGGGAACAGTGCTGCGTTCAAGGACACGAGTCCGTTGATGTTGGCGCGGTGGGCGAGCGCGCCGGGGACGATCCCGGGAGGTTGGCCGTATTATACTATCTGGCAGTATAAGGATAGTAATGCGTATGGGGGTGACAGCGATGTTTTCAATGGGGATGAGGCGGGTTTGAAGAGATTGGCTAGTGGGTAAGGGATTATTAGAGTGAGGGAGAAATAAGGGACGGTCGCTTGCGTGACGGATTGTAGGGATTCTGTGTTGTGGATGTACGGTTATCGCAGCGCAGCAAGGAAGGGATATAGAGCTCAAAGCATGACTTCACGATGACTGCTCGACTGTTGACTTGTCTTCGGAGCAGCAGAATCTTCATCACAAAAGACGCACGCAAATTATGTCAAATTTATCCAGCGGCGGTAGTTTTTTTGTTCTTCGTCTAGAACGGTTTGAAGTATCTAGGAAGAGAAACGGCAAGTCCACCACGGAGCATCGTCCCTTGCTTCATCGTTAACGCCCTTCCCGCATTCCACGTTGCCGCCTGCCATAACAATGGCAACCGCTCCTTCTTCGGGTACCACATGTTATGACACGCTACGATTTTCGCCTCCAAGCCCTCTCTCCTACAGCATACAACTTTTTTTTTGTCACACATTCGCCACACTCCTTTACCCAGCACTTTTAGTCGCTCACTTACGTTATCGCTCTTTCGACTGTCGCTGCTACGACGTCTTCCCTACCGAATTATCGCAGCTGAGCTTAGCCGGCCACGATACTTCAGTGGACAGCGAATGGTATAGCGGCTTGTTTACAAGAACAGCGTTTGTCGTTGGCTTTTTACAGCAGCTGCAAAGTATCGTGACTCATGCCTAGCGCTTGAGTGAATAGAGAGCACTTTAATCCACTGTGCTTGCGTCCAGATACTCTCTCTCGGGTTATGGTTCCAGCATATATTGGTAGGTTCAAACAGCGATACGGGCAACGAGTTGCTGATATGCGCTAGAAGTATCAATTGGCTATAGCGACCTCAAAATGCGGACAACAGCACTCACCACGCTGTTCCTGTCACTCCTTACGCTAGGCGAAGCTATTCAATTTGCCGAACTCTTACGCTACACGTCTGCTTCCGGAACTGGAGTCGATGCGATTTCAGGATTGCCGCCGAATTCAGATACTCCTGCGATGACCCAAGCTCCGGACAGTTTGGAAATGCAGAACCTCGAGTGAGTTGAGCGCAGTATCAGAAGCAACGGCGAACGCTGACAGTTCCCACAGTCTTCGTCAAGCCATGCCAGTTCCAGCAGCTCCAAATGCTGACGTCAAAGCTGCCGTTCCACCAACTGTGTCAACATCTACAGCAGTAGCTCCTGCGGTTCCTCCTGCAATTGTCCCCGGCGCTGCTCCGGCCGCACCGCTGGCAGTGCCGCCTGCAATTACGCCTGCACCACTCGCTTCAGTTCCCCCTGCGCCTGTGGCAACCCCACCGGACGATTCTGGAGTCTTCGTCACCGTACAGTGGGTTGAGACATGGATTGGCGGTACCTCTAGAACATGGCTTCCTCATACAATCACACTACGTAACGAGGCGCTATCCAACGCCGCTCCACTTCCTGGCAAGGGAAGTATAGGCATGGGAACGCTCACAGGACGACTGGGTGTTACAAAGACAATTGTCAAGCAGGGCGCTGCGAAAACCGTAGGACCGGAGTGGAAGGTGGGAGCCATGGCGGCCTTGGGCATGGGAATTGCTGGTATAGTTTGAAGAGCGTGACTATGCCGGAATCGGGGGGTGAATACTTGACGACGATATGAGCGCAAGTTCGAGCAGAAACATCTGCGTTGGGTATAGTCTTGGGTGAAGTCGATTCGGAGGAAGGGCGTTGCATTATACCCCAGCGGCGTGAAGTAATGATTTCTTGGGCGAAGAGGCTGAACACCAGATAATGGTATATTAATCGAGCAGCCTAGTTGCTGGTAGCTTATTTTCTGCGGAACAAATGCCATCGAAGTTTCTCTCGTTGGCACGGCCTACCAAAAAAAACATTGCTTGACGATTGGACGAAACCTTTAGATCGTCCCAAGATCGACTTGTGATGGAATGCGACCTTCACGGACACTAAAGATCGAAGTATACGTGTTGTACCAAATGCCCACCTCGTTGGCCCGGTTGCCTGAGTCACCGATGCAGTGGCAGTCGCCGCGCGCACGCAAGCGCGCCAACAAACCTATGCCCAGGCATCCAGCAATCGAAGCCGAAAGCAGGAGACCCTGGGACTTACTGTACTTCCATCATCCCAGGAGACGAAGATATCAACAAGTTTTTATTGTGGGACAGCGTCGCAGCCAGCTCACGGTTGCACGCAGGTGGTGAGCTGGTCGCTGGCGGTGGTGTGACGTGTGGCGCTACTTCGCTCACCGTGTTGTTATCGCGACGCACGGACCGTCTCATTCGGGCAGATTCGCTGTCCAACAACGTGATTCTAACGGTGTAGGCATAGTCAATATTTTATTGCTTCATTTTGACTCCTTTATAACGCACTAGTTTTCCTTCCCATAAACCACCATCGTCTCGCCATTGTCTCTCGCAACAACGATTAGCTCAACACCTACGTCCGGAGAACCTTCCGGATAAAGCCAATACCCAACACAGGAGACTAGCTCTCCGATGACCGCAACCGCGACATCGCCAGTCATTATACGACCAGCGTTTCCAATACCATCAGAAGAATCGACACCGAATACCTCGAATCCATCGACACCAGCGACTTCACCGCCTCAATCGCCCATTGGCACGTGCTTCACAGCCGCAGCTGCTCTGCAACACCCAGCACCGCAGCCGACGTACCCCCGGGCCACTTTATATCATCAAAAAAGCTCTCTACCAAAATCCAAAACCAATCGGTCTAGGAGAGAACAACAAGAATGGCAACATACGCCCTCTACTACCATCCAAATCCCGCCGTGGTATACAACGGAGCGAACGCATATCCCACCATTGAGCCTTCGCATCCCACACTCCAGCTACACGCCTCAGAACAGATCCTACCGCGACCAACAGGGGAAGTCCAAAGCTCCAGGGGCGCTCTGTTTGATGACCAACGCGAGTCCGTACCCTCGGTAGGAAGTCTGCCCAACACGACCTCAGACCAAGAGGCCTCCCTGTTCTTCCGACTCCCTGCCGAGCTCAGGAACCAAATCTACGCCGACCTCCTCTGCCCGGACGCTGTGAACCTTCACAGCATCACGAACCGAGAAAACAACCTCAATGTGCGACACTACAACCAGACCTCGACCGCGACTTCCCTGCACCCAGCGATCCTGTCCACGTGTCGCAAGATCCACGACGAAGCGACAGCCCTGCTCTACGCTCCGCACATATTCCACGCGCATCCGTCCCTGCTGGCTTCACTGCCCCACCTCACATCCTCTGCGAAACCCGTTCTGTACCCTAGCGTCACAAACCTCATCTCGCGCTGGCAGATTTGTCTCCGGCTGGACACGGATCCGCAGTTCACTGCCGCTCAGGCCGCAGCTGCGTTTTCTGGGGCAGAGTATCTGGAGGTCAGGGTGTGGCAGGCGCAGTTCGAGGCGTGCGACTACGCCGTTTTGAAGCTATTCACGGCTGTGCGGGGCGTACAGTTTGCACGTGTGGGAGGCGATGTAGATGCCAAGTTGGCGAGGTGGTTGGAGGGACAGATGATGTTGCCGAGAGGGGAGGGGGCGTGTCAGAGCGACGAGATGTGCCCGTGGAAGGGAGTGGGTGAGGTGCTATGTGGGAGGTGTTATCATAAGGCTTCTAGTTTGGGGAAAGGTGTGATGCGATTGCAAGAAGTCATGTGAGGTGAGGCGTGTCGTAGCAGGATAGACTAGAACTGGGGCATGGGGTGATCGGGAGTCTGGCGTATTTTCTTATTTTCCTTCGTATTGTCTCTGCGAGCGTCAGATTACGCCACAATAAGTGTAGAATAGAATCACATAGTCGGTTTTGTATGCACCGATGGGACGTAACATTGCTCATGACAATCAGCCCCGTACTAGTGCATCTGGTCCTTCGCCAATCCATGGAAGTGTCACCCAAAGTCAAGTTGTCAAGTTCACAGCACTTAAGTCTCACAGTGCATTGACCCTAGTCGAACAAGGCAGTCGCAGGCATTGCATTCCAATTCCAGAAGTCGCAAGCCTACCCAACTATCAAGAAACATCCTCCCTTACCTGAGCCTGGTGGGTTGCATTATCCCGTACAACCGACCGAGCAGTCTCGGCGACTTCACCTCAAGACGATGCTATATGCTCGGAAAACAACCCAACCACACTCGCGCCCCACACAATCGCAAGATCGCAACGCCCATCGAGCACTCGTAAGAGACCCACAACTCCTCTACCCGGCTCCCCGCTCCCAGTTGTGGGATGTCTATCCTCACATCGTGTCACACCACCAACGGCCATCACTGCTCACCGCATGCTTACTATGTACCTCACGACGCGAACCGCATCGCAAACACGACCCACGTGTGAAGCCAAGCCCCCCCTCCTCGAAACGGCAGTTCCACGCACCGTACCCACAACCCACACGCAACGGCCCTCGCACGCACGCTGGCGATTCTAGACCTGCACCCCTGCGCGCATCCCAGAGGTGCCCACTACCAGAGTCCATGAGCTGGGATGCTGGATTTTTATGTGTCACCGGCGGGGCGCGACAAGAGCCGCATGTCGGCAGTGAGCCGCAGCGGCCGGGCTACGGTCGGGAGGCCCCGATGCAGGGTCTGGATGTCGCTTTGACGGGGTGCGTGGGAATTGTGCATGCGGCGAGGTGGAGCGGCGTGCTGTGCGTTGGCCCAGAGAACAGGAGCAGAGGCGCGGTGCAGACTGCATCGTGGGACTGTGCCGTGCGGTCTTGGAAGCCAAGTGCGAGACAGCGCCGAGCGCCTCGCTGCGATCTTGATGCGCGCCATCTGATAAGATGACGCTGAACTCCGAGGCGCTCCGTCCGAGGCTATTCCGACCTCGCGTTCGGAGTTCGAGCGCCGGCGGAGTGCGACTCGTCATGTGAACAGGTGATTGCGCGACTCGGCGTGGCGTGATGCGCCATCCCCAAAACAGAACCTCGACGACAAGCCCTGCATAATGCAGGGCGTGCGTGCGTGCGACCGGAAACATGTTAGGAGCGTCACATGGGCTGGTGGAAAACTCTGTTGGGATGAGGCAATGGCGGGAATCCTTTCAAGAGTTCCCGCACTAAGTATTATTGTGTGTGTATGTACTACGTAAGCCGTTTGTAGGAGATTCGCAGCGTGAAAATACAGACGATTCCCGTTGGCGAGGCGGTAAGCCATCGAGCCAGTGTCCCATGAACGCCGCGCTAGTATACAGTACAGAGCCTGCTTGTTGAAGTAACATGAGAACATATGTAAAGAAGAGAGGTATCGTAAGAGCCAAGATGCTTCTGTGATGGTAATCAACAAGGCTCGACAGCTCGAGCTAAACAAGATGGGGTATATCCTCCGACGAGAGACCGGTGCAAATTCAAAAACTTTTTGTGTGTGACAGTAAGGAGATTCGTGATCATGAGGCGATGGGTTAGACGGGCTCAAGGACCAAGGTGCAGCTCGTCGTGCTCGTCGTGGAGCGGTGGGCCGTCGTAGTCGCCAATGTAGGTAGGCGGGCTGGCGGGAACGTCCTCGTACAGGGGGGGCTGCTCCTCGTCCCAGGAGATGCCCATGCCAGAGCGCTCGGTGAGCACAAGGTGGAACTGCGTCCGGAGGACACGAGCAGCGCCGGTCGGAGTGGCCTGGCTCAGCTTCTTGAGCGGGGCCCATTCTTCGGCGACGACCATCTCGATGACCAAGTTGTGTCTGACGCTCATTCCGCTCTGGCTGTCCATGTCGCAAAGAGGGTTGTGGGCAATGTTGCATCGGGCGCGGAACTCGCAATCAATGTTGCCCTCGGTGAAGTCGGTCTTCCATCCGGTCTTCACCTCCTCGCTAGCAATGGTGCGGGTGTCGTCGTGGAGAATGCCCTTTCCTTCTCCGCCGACCTTGTTGGCGTGCTTGGGGCAAGCAGGAGAGATGGACTTCTGGGTCTCCTCAATGCGCCAGTTGAGCTTGCGGAGGCGCCAGCGCGACTGCGAGTCATCCTTGGTCTGAGTGACGCCGGAAAGGCGCATTTCTACACCAAAGTCGCCAATGGGGTGAACAACCGGAGGGAGCTTCACCGATGCGGTAAGGTTGGTGGGAGGGAAGATGCGAATTGAGTGCTTGTCGGGGCCGGGGACGATGGAGCGCTTGATGTCAAGAGCGCGCTTGTACTCGAGCTTCTTGCCATTGGACAAGGTGCCGACTGCATCGAGGTAGTAGTCGAGCGTTGTAATCTGACCGTGCGTAGTTGCAGGCAAGTGTCCAGGGATGAGATGGCTGAAAGGGAACGAGTGCTGGCCAAAATGCAGCTGGACGGCTCCCCGCAGAAACTCCCACTTGTGGATCTCGGTAGTCTGGGAAGTGCAGTCCGGGCAATGCTGGTGCACGGGCTTCTTTGTTGTGACCACAGCGAGGAGACGCATCTCCATCTTTTCGAGCGTCACATTTGGCTCGTGCACCTCAAGGTTCAGCAAGCCAGAGATGATGGCACCAGTGGATGTTTGCGGCGAATTGAAGAAGACCAGGGGCGGCGACTCGACAACCATGTTGAGGATGGCAGCAGGCTGGGGCTCCGCTTTGGGACTGGCCTTGGGGCTCTTCTTGAAAGAGTTCTGGCGACCGCCCAGGCCATGGCGTTTGAAAGCCTCCATGACGAGAGATTCTTGTGATTTGTTTTTTTGGGAGGGGCGCTCGACGGAGTAGACAGGGGGGAACAGAGGCGGTATGTCGGAATGCTTCTTCTGGCCTTTTAACTGGTCGAGGGGCGGCGATGACGCAGGCGCGGGGCGGACGAGAGAAAGCAGACGGCCCGGCATAGTTCTGGGCTAGCCGACAAGGAAGGCTACGAGAAAATCTGGGGTGCGTGAGAGCTGCGTCGAGGTGTGCTGGGTTGCGATAAGAAGGTGCAGATTCGAGTGGGGTATCTCCGGGAGGCGTCGATAGTATTCGCGGGCGTCGAAGTGGTGCGCTGCGAGAGACGGCTATGAATTGATCTTGTGGGAATTCAATTGATGGAGCAGGGCAAGCGGACAGAACATGGCGGTACGGTCAGATGGCAGGACTTGGGGCCGCAGGCCTTTTAAAGAAGTGCTTTCAGGTGTCAGTTGAACTTTTACATGATGGAAATTCCGTGACTGGACTGGTAGCCCCGTGCAGCAAGTGTCTGATGGCATGGCGCAACCGCCTCCAAGCTTTTCACAAGCAACGCTAGCCTTTTTCCAGCGGGTGCACCCCTGCTGGTACTCGTACATTTTTGGGTCATGGGATGAGGCTGCTGCTGGCGCACGGGCTGCCGCTGCTGTGATCGCCCCAGTACAGGCAACTTGGCCAACCTCACCTTCACGCGGCGCTGCGTGTGCAGTCCCGCCCGGCCTGGCTGGCTGACTCACTGCCATTGCGCCTCTGCTGACCAACGTTGCGTACCTTTGGCATTGTGCAATCCCGCCTCGTGTGAGCTCCGGGGCGCGCCTCCTCCGGACGTCAGCTTTCGCTCGCCGACGGCCAAGCGGCCCCCATCGTGATTCATCTACGCTGCGCTGCGGATCCTGGGGATGTTAGGTACCCGCGACCGTCTCCACCGTCATTGGCCGTCACACATGGCACGAGGATCGCGAGACCTGTCCCCCGCAATTCTCAGGAGGCATGGCGTTGTGGCACGCTCAAACAGGAAGCGGGCGTTGCAGTGATTGAGCATCTCCGAGGAGCTCCCCAGACGTCCTGGATGGTCGCTGCCCCATCACAACGTCAGCCCTCTGGTGCTGTTTTCGACTCCTCTCACTCCACGTGTGCCACTGTTCGTCAATTGTGCCACATGCGACGCCACATTTCGCAATTCTTTCACTCACTTTCGATTTTTATGCCAAGCCGCCGCAGCTTTAGGTAATATAGAAAATTTTCTAGGGACTGGTCCCGTCAACCAAGCGGAGCACCGCATGGTGCCCGTGTTTAGGCTCGCCTGACTCACCTCACCCACATCCTCGCCGTGATCGAACACATCGCGAATGTTTCTGTAACGGATCTCCACTTGCCAGCATTCCAGACCTTTCTGCAAACCTACCGACTCCCCTCAGCCATCAACCAGCTCCGCTTGCAGTAAACATTACCGAGCTTCTCCACCGCTCGGACAGTGACACTTGGGTAGTACCGCTGATGAGATGGAGCCATCCCGCTCGCATACAGCTTGACCACCATGGCAGCTTCCTCAGCGCATCTCACGATGCTCCGCTTCATTTTGGCACGGGACCTCATCCGGAAAGGCTAAGCTAGCTGGATCGCCTTCCGTCGTTAAGCGCGTGCATCGGTCCAGTTTCGGGGCATAATTATGCATCCTCTGCGTCCCAACATGGCCATTTCCACACCGCAGACCCACTGCAACCGTTTCGCGGTGGAGCTGACGAGCAGTTTCTGCGCAAATCGTTGACGCCAGTCCAGCAAAGTACTCCTTCGCGTCTGTGCCTTTGACACGTGCTCCAGAGCTATGGTCTGGCCACTCGTCCACCATCGTCGTGTCAATGTCCCGCTTGCGCCATTTCAAAGTTTCATGACTTAACACCTCACAACACTGGAGCCTGCTCACCGCTCATCAACGTGACCCCTCACCCTCGCTGTACTGAGCGAAGACTGATATGAAACGTGGCTGCCCGCATGCGCTGTCTGGTCTGGTCTGGCCTGGCTTTGACATAGGAGCTCCCTTCTCCATCGGCATGCGGCTTGTGGGGACGGAGCTGAGCGACGGTCAGCCCTACGCGGCATTCCGAACATTCTCTTCTCACCGCGGCATCCCGGTCTCCACATCATGGCCCCCGTTTGCATAGTTTTCCTGACCGCCTGCAACTGGGAACCAAGGCTTGGTGACAGCCATTTTGAAAGCTTTGCACCTGTTTTCGATTCCTTGGTCTCTATCGATCTATGCTGCATAGTGGCCGCGTTCGGAAGCGGACCGAACTATTAACGCAGGGCCTTTGCGCTCCATGCTTGCAAGTGTCCCTAGAAGGCAACCACGCTTCTAGTTCCCGCCATGGAATCCTTCTCCTTTGCTCACGAGAACACCCTGCGTTGACTCCAAAGCCGTTACGATGCGGCGTTGTCGTACAGACTTGCCCCAATCGTCTTAGCTGGATCTCAGGTCCCGATTGGGAGCTATAATGCGGTCGCTGACCTTCGCCTCGACGTGGGTATAGCTTTGACCTCCGTCAACATTCCATGAATTGATCATTGTGACACGAAGCTCGATGTATCGAGTCGAGCAGTCCGGCGTCTTTCAATTGCATACCCAGGGTTCAAGGTTTCAAAAGAACCATACCGCCCGTACTACCAGTATCAATATGGTGGTCATCAAGTGTTCATAACTTTGGTGGATATCTTCCTGTGTTGTAAGCCGCTCAGGTAAACCTCCTGTCACCAGCGTAGTTGCTATAGACAAGTTATTCACATCTGGGACCGCTCCATTAGCAAGGTTCAAACGTGAAAAGCCTACTTTCGGATTGCTGTCTTCCCGATATGATCCACGATAGATCCATCTTCCGCATGGACAGGGCAATTGATATCGTTGCGCGGTTGAAAAGGACTAGTTTCTGCGACGACTTGTTCATCTCAGTGACTCGACAAGCTTGGAAATGAGGCCACCAATGTTGACGGCGGACGACTTGTACACAATACAGCGCCCGAGCAGAAGTCTGAGTACGGTGTATTGCCCCAGGTCAGGTTCTATGCGGACTAGCTATACCGATACCTTTTTCATGATAATGTAGAAGTCTTTGCCTGTACGATTTGTCTTAATTCTGAAGAATGCACACGTGGATTAAGTTTACCATCGCTATTACCGAGAAGCACAAGTGAGAGCTTCACACGCTAGTTTCGCAAGCTCATTCTTATACCTCGACGATGCACATTCAAATCAGAGGCATGGCATTTTGTGATACCCATCCATATCTAATTACCTTTCCATTGGCCGGAACCCCTGCATTTCCTTTGGCGCGTTGATAGATCGACACCATGGATACTCACAACCTCCACCACTAGCATGCAAGTCTGCGCGGGGTCAAGTTGATGGTAAAAGAAAATGTAGGGATCGGATAAAACAACTTCAATCAAGAGCACTACTACACAAATCTAGGCACACTTTACGACCCGAGCTACCCAAACTACAGCTAACACAGAAGATTTCGGAGATTGAGTGTTAATTTCCGTGTTAAGGTTGTGCAACCTTCACTTCGCGTCTGTGCTCATGAGCAAGACTGCAAGACTCGATGAAGATATTTCTTTTACCAATCGCTGAACTGCCGGCACCTAGCATACATTCCTTCCCGCCTCCAAATTTCCTGATATTTATCGACGCGTACTGCTTGCAACAAAAACTCTAGCACCTTCGTGATACTCAAGCCGACAAAGAAGCGCATATTGACACAACCTACTAGTACGGCTGCGATGAAGATGCTCTCCATCCTTTTTACCATTTCCTCGTTCACGATGACCGCCATAGCTGCGCCAACCTTGCAAGCTCCCACTGGCCACCACCGTACGTCAATATCCTTTTGACGGCCTCCCTACTCGCACGTTGAAGGCCACGAGACCATCCTACATGCACCCACTAATCCACCCCAGTAAACTGCACCTTCACTATCCTTGTCACAGAAACCTGCCACTTTAGCACGGCCCCCTCCCTCAGCACCTCCGCCGCAATCACCTCCATCCTCTCACCCTGGGGCGCCTCCATCACAAACTCCACCGAAGCCCTTAACATTGACGCCGCGCCGCTCTCCGTCTATGCCAGCAGTCCGCAGGAGAGTATCGCTGGGAGACTGGACATCGAGCGCCCAAACAACACGAAGGTCGAGTTTGGGTGGACGTATGGACCTTCTGGTGGACGGCCGGTGACGGTAAGGTGGAGTGAGGATAGAGAGGGCACCGAGGGGCGGTATGGGTGTGCGGTAAAGCAGAATTGGGATGCGCCTGAGGCGAGCTGTGATGGGGCACACCCTGCAGATGAGAGGGTAAGTGGTTGACTTATGGTGGGAAATGCGAAATGTGCTAACCAGGTGCAGGAGAAGGTATTAGACTGCTGGTTCAAGTGCAATGGGATGGCTGACTCGGAGTCGTGAGCGAGCTTGGGGTTAGGTCTGGAGAGGTGAAGTATAGTGGTATGCTCCAAAGAGCATAGCGTTACCCTACGATAGGCTTCTTATCAAATATTAATCAAGGGATTGCATTACCGCGCCGGGCATCTGATCGGAGTCTCAATAGACAGCGTTTGCCCTGCCCTGCCTTCACCTCGAAGGCCACGTACGAGCTCGGCTGCAGCGTCCAAGCTTCGGTCATTTGTTACTGCCTATATATAACCTATCCATACGCGCACAACCTCTATCAAGCCCCCCAAGACCTCTTTCGAAAGAGCCGCGAGCTCACCTCTTCGTCTCCACACCCAAAACAGGCGACTACCCTTCGAGAACTCCGAGCACCTGCAATATGCTCTCGAAGCTCTTGTCTCTCCTCGCGCTCGCCGCACTGGCGGTCGCAGCACCTCAGCGTCCGATCATCGATGGAGTCGATGCCCGCAACGTCCATGTCACTCGAGACGCCCGTAAGTACTCCGTTCGCAATTTTCCCCCGCCCGCTGACCTCTCAGCCTAGGCAACTGCACCTTCACCGCCCAATTCAGCGAGCGCTGTGCCTTCAGACCTTCCAGCACCACGAAGGTGACCTACGCCAAGGTCTCCAACCTGCTCACCCCTTCCATGTCCGCGGTCCCCGTCCCCGACAATGAGCAGCCCATCTCCCAGCAAGCCCTCACCGTCCCCATCACCTCCCGGAACGAGCTCATCAATGGCAACCTCTCGATCGATCGCCTTGCCGGCGGCGACGGCTCGGTCCACTTTGGCTGGGACTGGGTGAGTCCAGCCTCGCATGCGCCCGAGATCGTCACCTGGACCGAGAAAGATGACGGTGCGGAGACACGGTATGGATGTCGTATTGATCAGCCGTGGTCGAAGGATGGGATCACGTGCGACAAGGTTGATCCGGCGGACCGGCGGGTGAGTTGGAGTCTTTGACGTGCTGCGTGTGAAGTGGTGCTGACCGTTGTAGGATCTGAAGCTGAGCTGCTTCTTCAAGTGCCGTAACTGAGGAGCCAGGTGGAAGACTTGGGGATTGAGATATGGCTTTGGAGAAAAGTTGTGATACATTAGCGAAGGTCTCTTAGAGTTCTGGGTGTCCTGATGCGGCTTTGACATTGGCTCCCGAGTGATGGGGAAGTATACTTGCCTACTATGAAAGCTAGTAGCTGGGAATACTCATCAAAACTCAGACCAAGATCTGGTGTACCACTGCTGCTCCGTTGAAGGTGGCCTACGCGTTGACGTCAATTGCGACAGTACAAAACCACGAGGTACAGGAACACCCCTTTTGGTCATATTGTAGGCACAATCTCCGTATACTCTTTTTTCTGTCACAGGTGTCGAACGTACCCGTCGGTATTTTCGTAGTCGTCCCGCTCTATCTTCCGCCTTTCGCGCTCGCAACTATCACCATCCCGCCCGCACAGCTGCCTAGACACTCCACTTCTGGCTCTTGTTACATATCTTAGACATGTTATGGACGCAAAAATCACGCTTATGTCCAAGGACACCATCGTCGTGCGCACCTGATTCAAGCTTCTCCTTGAGGTATACATGTGTCGAGCGGAAAGGGGGTTCTTCAGGGCACCGTTCGATTGAAGGAAAGATGCACTTCCCATTAGGATCCGTGGCGCACCAGCCCGTTATTGATCCCTCTTGAACCTTTAGATGTCGCAACGCAACAAAGATCCACGGCAGAGAGACGGATCGGCAAGCTGTACCATCCATACCGCACGATCGAGTACTTTTTCTCGGCGGTGGAGAGGGCTCAAGGTATGTTACGTTGCGAATGCGAAGAGAATTGCTGCGAGCTATGTTACCAGCAGTAAATCCTGTGAGTTAGGGTAGTTTGCTGACGAATCCCACCATCTGGGGAGGTATAACTTAGAGTGATGATAGGATGATACGGCGGAGATGGTAGGGGGAGTCGATGGGTGGAAGTGCGTTCGATATAGGAGCAGGGAATCGGTCGAGATAATTCTCCGAATTGCTGTTGTGGAACTACACCTCCCATTAGAAGTACGGCTGTTGCCTTGCAAATCAAAGGAAAGCAGCCAGCTCATCCTGATTTAGATAAAGTTGTTTATGGAGTCTATAGTAACGTCTATTGGGTATCCTTTGTGCACTTTCTTTGCGCCATCCATCTGGCGTTCGGTCCCCTCCCCATATCCACGCCATCATGCTGTATACTAGGCTGTGCTCTTCGCGCAGAAGCTGGAGCGGTATTCTCCCCGTCGGCCTCGGGCGCTTTGTCGTTATTCCCCTTATTCACGCCTCGGCAATCTTATTCGCAGCCCAAATATCAGGCAGCGTGGTATACACCAACCCATTCCACTCCTCCTCCGACCCAAAATCCCGCGAATTGAGAAGAACAGCCCAGTCATAGTTCTCCTGCCCCTCACTGCGCGCATACGCCCGCGCGCCCGCCACGCTCCCATCGCGAGACGCCATCCAGTCCCGGCCGCCGATCGTCCAGACAGCTGCGGATACGTTAGCCATCACTCCAGCCCGAATCGTGAAAGGGACACTCACCGTTATTCCCAATGAACTTTGCAATCGTACTCGCCGACGCCCTCAGCCCAAAAGACCCCACAACCTCCTCCTTGATATCGCCGTCTCCACCTGCGGTAGCCGGCACAAGGACCTCCTCCTGCGGAAACAGGGGACTCAACCCAGTGAACTTCGTCTCCTGCACAATGCGGTCGTTGAAATGCGTCTCCGCAGCCGTAGCGAAGAGCTCCGCCTCGATCCCCTCGCTGAACACGCGCTCCTTGAGGAAGTCCATGTACGGCGTGCCCGTTAGATTCGCGACGATGTAGCTCAGCAGCATGGTTCCAAAGTTCGAGTACGCGTATCCGCCGTCGCCGGGCGTGAAGTCCAGCGGCCGCTCGACCATGTACTCGATCATGTCGCGGAGGGTCTGCGGGGTGGAGCTGTTCTTGGACTGCGCGACGGAGCGGAACATGAAGGCAATATCCCCAGAGACCGATCGATCGTAGCCTGCGGTGTGGGAGACGAGGTGCTCGACCGTGATGTTGTTTGCGCGGGGGTCGGCAGGGTTGTATCCGAGGAGCGGGTACACGGTGGTTGTGAGGTTGAGCAGGCCGTCGTCGATGAGGCGCTGGGTCGCGGCGTGGGTGAACATTTTGCTTACGCTGCCGAGGAGGAATTTGTCGGAGGGCGAAGCGACGGCGCGGTCGCTTTCGGCGAGGGTGTAGGCGCGTTCTCCGAGGAGTTTGCCTTCGCGCGCAACAGCTACCTGGGCCTGACGGATGCCGTTGCGTGTCATCCAGTCTCTCATGGTGGTGTCGAGCGATGAGGTCAAAGCGGTGTTGTCTTCGAAGCCAGTCATCTTGCCGTTGGCGTTCCAGTTCTGGGAAAGGGGCTCGGTTTTCTCGGCGAAGATCGCGGTGTAGAGCACATCGTCACCCTCACCCCCGCCTTGAAGGTGGACCAGAGAGAGCCCACTGGCTGTCTGAGTGTGGATCTCAGCAGTAAGTTGAGCCTCAGTCAGACCGACCTTCGACACCCACTTCCCGACACTGGTGTCCTCGAACAAGGATGAGATGAGGTGATCGTTGCTGACATCGAGGTATGTCGGCCTCCAAAAGCGCTTCTGAATCTCCGCATCGTACATCTTCTGATAGTCGATCGTGAAATAAGTCGTCTGATAGTGCGTCGACTGCTTCCTGTTCCCGATGTTCTCATGGCCGACGATGCAGAATCGGCGGTTGGAAGGCGAACCGTAAACACTCACGCCTCTGACGATGACATTGATGTCCATTGTGACATTCTCATATGCATACGGAGTATCCATGCCGCATTTCTGGACTTCCGTGATGTTCGATCGCTCCATCACACCAGCGAAGACTGCCTCCTCGGCGGGCCCAGTGGCGGCCACATGCGTCGACACATATCCCTTGCCCTTCCACTCTTCGTACCAGGCGTTGAAGGCATCCTCGTCAGCGCTCGCGATGGTTTCGAACTCTGCACCTTCAGCCTTGGTCCAGACAGCCGCATACTTGACGTCCGGAGGCGTCCCGAAGGCACTTAGTGATATGACTCGATAACCCCCTGCCTTCAAGCTCTTGCTACGCTCCTCATGTTCAGCGCTTGTAACGCCATAGTAAACGCCCCCGGCCGTCCCATTCCGCCTCGAATGCACGTTTCTCGCATCGTCGGTAGGCAACGCCGAGATAAAGCAGACTAGTGGCAAAAGATGCAAAAGCGAGCGTGAGAAAAGCATCGTGTCGAAAATTAAAAGTAACAGACGTACAGAGAAAACGAGCGTGATAGCACTGCTCGACCGCTCCTGCAGACAAACATCGTATTATAGAGCACACTGCTGAACTGTGCTGTAGTCCTCTCTAGGTCCCCTGGGGACGATCACTACGAGGGGACGACGCTCAATGCACTGGAGTGGACCTCGGCGGCTCGGTCGAATTGTCTGCGTGCATTGAGTATGAGCTTGAAGATCTTCTATTTTTATTCTGGTCGACTCAGGAACCCATTGGGATGCAAATACAACGCGGCAAAATTCTCTCAGCCGATGATCAAAGTCGATGCCCATGTCAAATAGTGAAAATCGTTAGTGTCGCGAACCGTCTGGGTGACTGTATATCGGCCAAGTTTCAATGGTGTTGAGCGCTGTGGAGGCACTAGACGGTCGGCCCGCTCGGAGATTGGGCAAACTCGAACCATGACAGACGCCAGCGAGCGCGACGCAGGTCCTGGCGTACAATCGCCAGGTTTGCCCTGCCCCGAGTATCCCAAGCCTGCACCGATCAGCCATTGCACCTTGTGGAACCGTCCAGGGGCGGTCACGTGGCACACGGGCATGTTGCGGCCCAGCTGAGGCCTGCATATCAAAGGGGTGCTCCATAGCACTGGTGAGAGCGATGAGAATGCTGGTAAGAAGGTACGCCGAGCTGCAACCTCCTTAGTGAGGCATATCCTCTCTACGCCTGTGGTACTGGCAACAGCTGGCTCTCACAACCAGCTTTCCGACTGGGGTCCACGCACATACCTCGCGAAGTCAACAATCGAGATCCCGCTTCCTATGTCATCGCTGCCCGAGCGCCGCCAATATCCACGTGCTCTAGACCCCAGCTACGCCGCTCCACTAGAACTACACGCCGACCACCGCGTCCTCCGGCGCGTGATACTCGGTGCCGTGCATTGGCAGTGCAGCCTCAAGGAAAAAAAAATCCGCATGAAATCGGCTTACGTATTGCCTATTCTGGTGGTAACACGCTGTACGCAGAATTCAAAGCCACTACTGTAAGAATGTTTGTAGATGATATGCGTATGTATTGTAAATGCTGTTCTACTTTTGCATGCCCTGTTTCGCTCCACCATCCCGCCCAAAGCCCTTCCTAGTCCCCCAAAAGTGGTATCGATATTCCAGCCAAGCTCGATAAAATATGCGTGAATAAAACCTGCCGGACAGCAAGAAACGAAGCAAAGAGAAAAGCGAGGCCTCGCACGTCGGTCGGTCGAGGTCCTCCGTAGAAACAGATGTGTGTACAAGAATCGAAGGGTAGTAAACACTATTCAAATGATAGTAAGAGGGAAAGGGTCCGGCAGAAGAGCAGCGTTAAAGGTGTGCGCGCTCGGAAGAAGATGCAGAACCATAACTTGTACAAACGCCGTGCCGACTCGTGCTAGATCGTGAAAAGGACATGGAATGAATGTGAGGCCGTCGAGTGGATGACGACTGGGCGCAAGCCGTTAGTCCTGGGAGAACAGCTATAGTATGGCCCAGCTCAAGAAACTGACGAAGATCGAGATGTATATCGTGTGCGCGCGGAGAAGTCTTCCGGCACCGTTCCCATTGGTGGTATGGTAAATCTGTTGTCCTGGTGTTTTGCCATCTTCTTGAGAGAAGAAGTATGTTTTTGCGTTGCTGCCATCGGGTGCCACGGTCTGTGCTGGGACGGAGCACACTTTTGAAGAATCAAACTTCGGGCACTGTTTGCTGTACGTATTGTGACGTGCAGTATCAGTCGAGTTGAAGTACGCCTTGACGTATGACACAGTCATCGATGTGTCGGCTGATGGAGGGCCCGCTGACCATAGTTTGTCGCCGTTGCTCCAATGGTTCAGAAACATGTGTCCGGGCTCACTGGGAATGTTCTCGGTCATCTCGTGCATGACTTTGCCGTCAACGTAGAAGACGACACTTTCCGGTCTCCAGTCGAAGCGGTACTCGTGGAACTGCTGGTCCGGCCGGAAGGGAAGATGCTGAATCTGGTATCCAGCTGTGCCGGATGCATCGTAGCCGTTGTGCACAGACTGCGGAGACTGGAGAACGAGCTGGACCGTCCCTTGGGATTCGTTGAACTGCCTCGAGAGAAATTCCATGTCGATCTCTTGCGAGTTGTTGAAGAACTATTGCAGTCAGCGAAGCAATCCTTGTTGGCAGTAGAAGCTTTGTCCTACCCAGAAGAAGGCGCCGCATGTCCCGCTCTCTCCCGAAAGCTTCATGCCTACGCGATAGCTGCCGTAGAGAGTGTCGTTGCGCACAGTGGCCAATTCTGCACCACCTACGTATCCACTTGAATGGTCGCCGCGCACCCACAATTTCAAGCCTGCATCACCCCCGTTCATGGAGTCTCCAGACCAAACTTGCGCGTTCTTCAACGGGTTCAACTCTGCGTTTGCGACACTAAAGTTCTTGCCATACGGTCCTCGAGCGTCCTTGGCCGAGACATTGTACTCCTGTGGCCGCCAGCCGAAAGCGGTTATGTTGTCGCCACTTGTGTGCAAGAAGTCGTTCTCCAAAAGATCGGTGAAGACTTCGAACTCTGTGCTGTTGGTCCCATTGATGGAGTAGCCGCACTCGCAGTCGGCAACCGCTGGAAGGCGCGTTAGCATCGAAGGATCGCGAGGCGTTGTCGGATTTGGAAATCCTAGTATGAATACGTACCGAAGCGAGACAGTGTAAGGACTAGCCACGGAAGTGCGCCTATGGCGTCGCGTACTTTAAACATTGCAGAACAGAAAGTTGTAGTGAGCGTATAGAAGGTGATAAAGGTTATTAACAAGGGGGTCAAAAGAGCGACAGGAAGGGCGAAGGCGATCGAGGGCCACGCGACTCAAGTATTTGAGCGAGCCAGGACTCAGGAGGGGCGAGTGTGTCTGGGGAAAACGGCAAGAAGACCAACCCTCCTTCGGCCGTGGCAGCGGATTCAACCTGCCCAAATCGAGAGCAGATACTCTTAGCCAGTGGAAAGCACGGCCCTGTCTGCATCTTAGGTGCCAACCGGCGTTCTTTCAGGTGCGGCAGGACAGCTAGTAAGATGATGGCGCCCGGCCTGTCGCCGAGCAAAAACGGTGCGGGCAAACAGCGGGGACTGGAGATTTGACACCGAGTTGTTTGGCGTGCGCACAGCTGTCAAAAGTGCGAGGCGGGAGCGACGGGCCCTCCACCTGTTTGGTCTGCAGCAACAATGCAGAGCCTCGATTCCCAGACCGGGCCAGCCAGACGTCCAGCGGCGGGCTGCAGACGCTGTGCAACCAGCCCTCCCTTTTGCATACACCTGTATCCCTCGCCAAAGACCGGGAAAGTGGTCGTGTGATGCCGAGGGCAATGCATTCGGACAGCCCGCAATGTTTGCCGCAAGGAGAACCTGGGTTGTTTCGAGCCCAGCTTGCTGGAAACGAGAAGGGACGTCTTGGTAATGCCTTGCGGGACGAGCTTTGGCCGTGCAGCAGAGCTGGCAGGGCGACTGTCCTGATTTTCTCTGCTTGGTGCCGTGCGAGGGTGGCTGGCTGAAAGATGACCTCCACCTGACCAGCGTACATATACACTAGCAACAGTCGCTATCGAGCAGTGTAGCGACTCCGCCTCTGATCTTTGGCTTGCCGTGTCAACCGGCAGACGTTGTGTCCTTGCCCCACGCAAAATTTGCGAAACGAGCCAATCATATATTCCCGATCGCCTGCACTCCACCAACGCCCAGCCTTCGCGTGCGCCATCAGCACTCAGTGTCAACAACAACGAGGACCAAACGAGGACACCTACAGCATTCGCATCTCGTTTCATTGATTACAGACATGGTACGTAGAATAGCATTCCGAAACAGAAAGCCTCTGGGCCACAGATCCTCCTGACCCAGCGATAAACAAGATCATCTGATATTCGCAGTGCTTCGTCACATGTCTGTCGTAGCTTGTACCCAAGCTTGCGCATAAAATGCCCAGTAATGCGCGCCTTGGGAGTCGTGTCCGTGAAAGCAAAATAGCGTCGTTTCATGCCCTGGAAACGCCGAGTTGAATTCGTATCATCAACAATGTCAAATGCGTTCGAGGGGTATCATCACAAGAATCCAGACTCAGAGAGAAGCCTATTAAGCTGTCAATCCACTGAAAACTGCAGTTTAGACCATGCCATCACTGACCTTGCAATCTTCTCGTCTTCACGTTCTCGGGGCTCGACTTGCAGACTCGTCTCGTACATCTCGTGCACGTCGCCAGCCGAGTTCATGTTTGTCAGAATGTAATCCTGTAGTTCCGGTACAGGTTGCAGCGGGTAAGGTACGTTCTGGTACTGCTGGATGTCGCGAATCACCTCAGCAGTCTTCGCACGCTTGGCGAAGTTGATGAGGTTGGTCTTCTTGATCAAAGAAGGGATACCATCCTCAATGAACGTCAGATCGGTAAGGTACACACCTGTGCTGTCAGCCGTTACTCAGAGCTAGCGGAATCATGCTACCATACCGAAGAAAGGAATACACGGTGGGTTCGCCTTGTGCAGTGTCTCTCGGTAGTCTGTGAAGTTCTTGGTACTACCCATGAGCTTCCGCATGTTCTCCAACGTTGTCATCGATCGCGCGTTTACAGCTTGCCACGTCCTGTTCAGTCGAGCAATGGGCGCCGTGCCAAGGGCAGATATGATCGAGGTCAGAGTCGAGAAGTTGTTCAGTAGACGGCATTTCTCTGCTACATTTACAAAGTGCTTGATAACGATCACTCTTCGCTTGACGTCTTGTTGAGTTAGGATCATCTGCGCGACCCAGTTCGTCAACTGGTTCGAATGAAGGATCAATGCCTTCACGTTCGAGGCTGGATCAGGCTCGCCAGGCGCCAGCTTCTTCTGCCATGTCTTGTTGAGACATTCGGTGGGCCGAATCTTGCCGTAGAGTCGCGACTCGATAATGGTCAACTGCCGTCCAAATTCTGTAGGATCGATGTCAAGGAACTTGAGCTTCTTCATGTGCTTAGGCAAGATCGGTTGGGGTGTCTGCGCGTTCAAAGTAAGAACCATGCGCTTGGTCGGCATATCGGGGCCTCGAGATCGTTGTTCAACGGATGTCATCAATGGAGCAGCACCAGGGGTACTGGTGGTCGCTACATGATCCTTGGCAAAGTTGTACACCCTTTGGATCAATATCCTTGCCTCTTCGTCATTGCCTTCCATCCAGTAGTTGTCGAACCAACTCTTCAGAATATTGACCACACGGAAACGAATTGGCTTCTGCTTCATGTCGACCCAGGTTTGATAGTCCTCCTTCGCAAGTCCGTACGGCGGCTGGATGCTCCATCTCTTGACGAGCATCTCAAATAGCTCCGAAGCAGTTGTAAATGAACGATAAGTGAGGAGGAAAGTGTTATTGAACGCAGGGTCTAATCGATCATGTCGTGTCAATTGTTCCACAAGACCCTGCAACGTACCTCCACGAAGCTGAGGTGGATTCGTCTTGTGATCATACGAGATTTCACCCTCGTGATCGAGCTTGAGGAACTCAGGCACCTCTTCAACGGTTGTTTGAGGGATGTTGGGTACTTCGCCGAAGAAGTCCTTCAGCTTCTTGCTGCTGTTGGCTGTACGGACTGGGTCCACCACCTTATCTTCCAGTGACGTTCCTTCGCTGTATGTATGCGATTGAGGCACATCTTTGAGAAGGGGCCTTGAACTACTTGAGCCTCCGGGGACATGTGAGCCTCCTACTTCTGTATCTGTGTTTCGTCGCGGGTCATTGCGCACTGCAATGTCAGCCAGAGGTACAGCCTCTGACATGTGCTGTAGTAAACCGAATTGTTGCACGATACTGGTCTCCAGATCACGCGACACAGCCCGACAGCCATTGATCCTTTCTTCCAAGGAGTCGCCACGGTTTTCAGCCCATTCATCGGCTAACGGGGCAGCAACACCTTGGCAACTGATGACCAGCTCTGAAACTAAGTCATAGACCTTTTGCTTTTGAATGCTGAACTCGCCCAGTTGCTGCCCCTGCATGGTCGAGCTAAGGGCAGAGAGGTTGATAGACTCGATTGTGGAGATCCAAGGACGACAAACGTCCAAAACCTTTCCAGCTGCGTTGCAGACGCTGTCGCCGATGATCTGATGTCTGTATGGCGTGACTATCTTGTCACGGACGACGAGCTGCTCATCGAGCCTGCGAATACTAGAGACAATCAAGCGCTTCAGATCTTCAAGGCGCTCCAACACACGAGAGTCGAGCTTCACAGTAGGTTCGACCATCGACTCATAGTCTTCTTGGTCGATGAAAGAGGTTGGGGCTGAGGCGTTCCAAACGTCCACGCCGTTGTTGTGCCAGTTGCCTCCCGCAGCATTTCCGACCACGAAGCCAGGAACAAGGCGAGGGATGTCTTCCCCACGCTGTTGTCGAGCGACCTCAACAAACCCGTATACACCGTTCAGCACGCCGTCGGCTTCTTTCAAGCACTTGGAGTAAGAATCTGGTGGAGGAAAGTCTGCTGCAGCAATATGGGACGAAAGGACCAGCTTCGAGAACCTCGACATGGTCTCGCGGAAATGCGGATAGAGGGCTTTGTTGGTCGAAATGATAGAAGGATTACCCGAATGATTGTCGGTTGTGCCAGATCCAGCGGCAAGAATCAGTCGCAGATGGTCGGAGATGTCTTCTGCTCGCTTGACGAACTCGGAACGATCGCTATTGTTGATTGCCTGCCGATAGCGCTCAATGGCTCGTCGCATGTCTTCAACCATACGGTTCCACGTCAGAGGGACAGGATTTACATCATCGTAAAACTTGCGAGAAGAACCGGGTGTCATGTGTGACCCGCCCGTAGGGTTGTTAGCAAACGAGGTGGCAGTGGTTCCGAGAGGGGGCAAATTGGCGATTGAAAAGCTCGTACCATTTGCATCCGCCGAGCGGTCGAAGGAAGTGTGTTGGTTCATGGAGTCCATGGACGTTGCAGGCGACACGCCGTCTGAGAGTCTCTTGCGCCCCGGCTGAGAGGAGCATGTTAGTATATACACGCACTGTGTCTGACTGCGCCGAGCTTACCAGAGAGCTATGCGAGCCCATCATGCCCGGACCCTCGAGGTCCGAAGCTGAGTTCTCGTCGTCTGTGTCCTCCACACTATAGCCAGAAGCCAGCAGCTCGGGCGGCGGCCTCGAGGAGTCTGGTATGAAGACGTTGGCGCGGTCGCGGGGCCCGTTCTCGTTGGCCGAGGGGGTCTCGAGGGGCAGTTCCATGGTGCTCACACCGGTGAGTGTGTTAAAGTAGAACAAGCGGCCGTCGGACGTGGCCTGGGGGATCCAAAATGCCGCTTCCTCTTCCTTGTTGTTGTCGCTACCATTGCGCTCAATGGGCAGGATGGTGTCGTTGCCGTTGAGGGACTCGGTGTCAGAGTTGGTGTAGTCGGTGCCGCCGAGCTCGGACTGGGTGTCGTCGTCAACGGCATCTGCAGCGTTCCGGTCGTCGTGCACGTCGTCGTCGGCGCGGTTGACAACCGCGCAGTAGTTGCTCGGGAACCAGCCGCGGACGCCGTTGATCACGCCGTCCCACCAGCCGCTCTCGAGCTGTGTGATGACCTGGATGATGTCGCCCTGGCGGAAGCTCAAGCTCGTGCGATCGTCGGCGTCGTAGTCGTAGAGCGCGCGCACAAACATGCTCCCCGGCGGGGGCACGGTGCCGTTGAACGCCATGCTGCAGCCTCGTCGCGTTGCTGCGCGGGGGGGATGTGCGTTTTCTGTGAGACGGAGCGCAGCGTAGCGTTCGTTGGCCCCACCGGCAGCTGCAGGAGCCCTCGAACGGAAGCCCTAGACGGAGGCTGTCGAGGTGATGTTCAGGAGCTCCGCGTGCTGTGGGCGGCGGCGCTGCGATCTGCGTATGGAAAGGGGATCGGTGTGACCGCGACTGAGCGCTTGCGACGGAATCAAGGGCTAGCTCCCATTCGCGGCTGAGGAGCGAATGAGCAGTGCAAACAGGCGTGCGGGCAGCGACGAGCAGCTGGGGACGCGAAAACTGGCGGGTTCTGGGAGCGCACGACACACCAGGAGGAGCTTCGAATCCCGGCTGCACGAACCGGAGGCTGCAGCTGGACAAGACTCCGTGAGGGATTGCACACCGGAACTGCCTCAAGATGGGGTTCCACACGTGATCACTCGTTATCCTGGAACATGCATACTGTCCACAGCTTCGCCATTGGCGCATCGCACCGCAACGCAATTCGTATATGCCGGCGAGTCTATACACCTGCACATTGTTTTGACACGATTGAGGGACTTCGATTTTATATTGCCTGTTTACATTCGTTGCATGCAGCAATCTGTGTACGTCTTGAGACGTATTGTCGCTGTCTGCGCAAGCATAGAATTCCCTACCTGTCAAACCGCGACGATACCTGCCACGAGACAGCCATGGTACGATGAGCCAGCATGCTCGACATTGCCCCACCTCAACTTCAGAAGCTCACATCTAGACCGCCTCTTTGAGGGGCGGCCTTGACGGAGAGCAGCCCTGTTGCCGGCTGACTCAAGTCCAGCGACGTGCACCTCCGAGTCCCGAGACGCACGGCTCTGAGCTCGGAAGGGAGTCTTGGACCGACAAACCCTGTGCACGCACCGTAACGGGATGGGCCGTGGTCATAACCATGGAACATCCACCTGTCATCCGGCTGCAGGAGAATCCCTCAACCACGATGGCACCTGTGTACTCTTCCAACACCACGCGCCCCCAAGACTTTGTCAACACATGACCGAACGTGAATGACACTGTTACGGGCCGCATTCGAACCGTAGGATACAACTACCGTTATACACCAGGGAATGTGCAGGCCTGACCTTGCCGGAAGCTGCTTAATAACGTTAGCCGTTCGCGTGGAAACGGACGACGTGCGCCTCTCAGCGCGGGTGGGTTTGAGGCTTTAGCTAGCTGCTCTGAGAAAGTATGTTTCCATGTGAAGAGCAGTTGTCAGGGCTGCCGTGCTATGCGCACATGGCTAGAAAACTTTGTAGCACAGCTAGTTGCAACAACCAGTTTGAGGGGCTCTGTCTGTGTTCAAGCGACGTGATGTTTTGCGAAAGCATTGACACATCATTGACATATACCTTCCAGCATTAGGAGCATCTTCCTGGCAATGCCTTCCGTCGAGCATCAACAAATCAATCCTACGCCCACGTCGTGCTCCTGCGCAACGGGAAGGTGCCGCGATCCGCATATGAAACCAGGAGCAGGCCCATTTCTTCTGGAGCATTACGGGATTCGTGTTAGCGCTGGGGCTTGACGCAAAAGCAATGCCCCTCTTCCAAGCAATGCAGCGGAAAATGGAGGGGTGCATCTCGGGAGGCTCGCTCGCTGACCGTTTCTCAATTCTTTCCGGTGATGAGTGTGGAAAAGAGAGGTAGGTGACGGTTGGTTGGACATGTACGTGCTCGGCAAGCGAGGCGCGTTTCCAACTCTTTTACCGCCGGCACCCATGTGTAAGGATCGAGGTCGTCGCCTACAATCCCTGGCGGCGAGCGAGCTCAGCGGGGCAAAGACCAGACAAGTCATCTTCTCGCTAGGACGGGTCCAGTTCTTGGTCTCCTTGTTGTGCTTTTCATCTTGTTGCGCTCCGCGTGGTAGGTATGGCGTAGTATGCGACCGGGTTACAAGGTCGGAAGTGCCTGCACAAAGTCCCACATGCAACCACGACTGAGACAACCTCAGGCCTTCTCATGCGACTCGCGATGGTGCTAAAGCTAGGGTGGTGGGTCCGGGGAAGGATATCCAGCTCCCGTTGCTACGGGCCTTCGCTAGGAACGAGTAAGTGGGTGCCGATCGGTCCCGGCGCATCCAAGATTATCGTGCGCGTAGCCTCGCTGTTGGTGAAATTTCGAGGCCCGTCCTGGCGTCATTGCGTGAGACAAAGGCACCCCCTTTTCCCACCGTCGTCATAAGATGGCATAGCGAAAGTGGGCTGAGAGGGGCGTCGCCCACCCCTCCCGTGGAATTTTTACCGCTGTGTCAGTAACTTTACGCACGAAGACGTGCCGGAAGGCGGTGTGAATATGCGGTCGTTGGCAGAAGTGGACCGGCTGGAGATACATAGGGCATAGCGAGGCCATACCGCTCTTTTCTGGATGCTGCACAGCGAGCCAAAGACGAATTGACGGCTCCGTCGTACAGCACTCTGGCGCGACTAGCCTTGGTTCGCGAGGCAGGTACCTGGGTACGGGCTGTTGGAACTTACGGGCGGTTGGCGGGCGGGCGGGCGGCCATGCTGCGCTCTAGCCAGCTTGCGGGTGCAGCACTGCCGGCGGTCTGCAACGCGGGATGCACTGCGCCATGTCTTGCGGCTGTCTGTGAAGTTGCCCAGGTGGTGTGCATGGGAGGAACGCGGTGGTCTGTAGCTGCAAGCTCCGTTTTGGAGGGGCAAGAGCACCCCGCTGCGAACACCACTGTCAACAGTGAGGGGCAGCCGCGCATCCGCACCCAATACATGCGCAAGTGAAATAAACGGGCGGCAACCTTGGAAAAGTAACGAGAGCCGCACCCGCGACGGACGTGGCACCAGCACCACGCCCCCGGCTTAGCCTCACTCTGCTGGGCTACAGCACTGACGGGGGGGCTGGTTTTGTCATTGGCTGCCCCTCGCCTTCCCTCTTCCCCCTCTCCTTTAGTTCGCTAAGGTCGTCGCTTTTGCCCGCGCTCGCCTTTCACCCTACGTGCATCACCTACCTCTATTTCATCCCACCTGCCGTCGCAAACAACCAACGAGTTGTCCATCCATCCGGCATCTACCCGGTACGCCTTTTTCTATGCGAACACCGACGTCGACGCGAAGGAATGCTACTAGATTCGCCCTGCACGCTTTAATACCGTCGCGCACCCGGCAGCACCGCCCTCACACCCGAGCGATCTCGCCGTAGAGACCCAGTCTCCCCTCTCTGCCGGTCCATGCCCGCTGCTGCTATGACCATGGCCTCCGCCGCCGCATCGCCCGCCGCCCGCAAGACGGGCTCTGCACCCGAGAAGAAGTACAAGTGTCAGTTCTGCAACCGCGCCTTCAGCAGGAGCGAGCACCGCAGTCGTCATGAGAGATCCCGTAAGTCACTGTCCATACCTTGATAGAGTCGTTGCGTGATGGCGGCGTCCGCGGAGGCAATGCGCCGCGCCCCAGTGATGTCTGAGTGCTCATGGTAATATTGGTGCGACACAACACTATCCGCAACGATCGCGCATCGCACCTTCGCGTTCGCGTCACGTCATCCTGTCCTCCTTTACACGTGCGGGATGGCTGCAGCGGCTCTTTTTTGATGCTTTGTTGATGCGCGGAAGTCGCGAAGCTTGCGCGTTGCGGGGTTTCTGTTGCTAACTACCCCTCACAGACACCAAAGAACGCCCCTTCAAATGCCACAAATGCCGCAGCACCTTCGTCCGTCGCGACCTCTTGTTGCGCCACGATCGCACCGTTCACGCAAAAGATGGCGGCGTGCCACTGACCAGCGAGGTCAAACGCCGTACCAGCAACAAGACGCAAGAAGAGTCTGCCGCACCGGGCCCGTCGAAAGGTGTCATGGCACATGAGTCCGCGACTACTCTGGAACAGATCGAGGCCAGCAGTGAAGAGATGGTGGACATAGAGGCGGCGGCCATGTTGATGACCGACTTCCGCCACAAGGCCATGGCTAGCCAGGAGCCTGAAATGTCTACCGAAGCCCCGAGCGCTGTCATCTCGCCCACTGGCCCCCCCATGATGGAGCCTGCCGTTACCTACCCTGCCCCGGGCTCCATGTCGTTGCCACAAATGCCTTGGGGGGACTCCATGGTGCCCGAATCTAGGACACACGGGGCCCAGGACACGCATCCTGCTTTCAACAGTGCCAGCGCTCTCAGCTCGCACCCCCACCAGCTGCCGCCGCTAATGGAGCGTAATATGTCAAACTCCAGCATCCCGCCTACTTTCCAGCCAATGAACAGCTCCGCCGCTGCCGCTGGTCTCGGGACGCCAGGTGCACTCTCACCCTATCCCGGTATGCTCGGCCCTGTATCACCTGTTGATTACCGCAGATCTCCGGGTCCCAGTCAAGCACTCATGGTTGCGCGAGCTCCTCAAGTAGAGAACGATGAACAGTGCGCAAGGATTTTTGAGAACATCAGACAGTACGACAGCGAAAACGCTCTGTTGGATACCTTCCACTTACCAAGCCTAAACACTGTTAACAGGCTGCTCAAGACATACTTCGACCTGTTTCATCACCATCTGCCGTTCTTGCACCCGGCCACATTCCGGCCTACTGAAGTTGCAGCTCCGCTCCTCCTTGCCGTGCTCTCGATCGGTGCACTGTACATCTTCGACCAAGATCAGGCATACATGCTCCATATTGGGTCTAAGGTTCTCGTAAATCAATTCTTGCAGAACAAGGAAAACTTCAGCTCCCGCAAATGCCCGCTCTGGACCATGCAAAGTACTCTACTCAACATGATCTTCGCAAGCTGGAGCGGCGATCCGAAGGGGCTCGAGTGGGCCTGCTCCATCAAAAGTCTTTTGGCTAATATGGTAGCTGGAAACCGATATGAACTCAAGCTTCGCTCCGAGGCTCGAGAGAACGCGCAGCCAAGCCATGAAGAGTGGACCGTAGACGAGCAATGTCGCCGCACTTACTACGCAGTGTATATCTTCTTTGGGCTCATGACTCTGACCTACAACCATACGCCCGCCATGGGCTTCAATGAATTCGACACGCTCGAGCTTCCGTCTTCTGAATCTCTTTGGACGATGGAGGTATCTGACGAGGAGTCGTGGCGCGAGAGCGTTTCAGCATCCAAGATCATTACCTTCCGTCAGGCCCACGACAATCTTTTCCAAGGGGAACCAGCTCAGTACAGTGCTTTCGCTACCCGGGTCATGATCAACGCACTGTTCTTGGAAGTATGGTACCACAAGCGCAGCCCGGAGGCTTTGCAGGATGTTGTGACTGAGTACAAGTTGAGACTTGCATTAGAGACCTGGGAGAAGTCCCTCGACCTCTGCGAGCCGGAGACAGTCGTGGTCCAATTGAGTGCGCCGCACAAAGGTCATCCCTTGATCTTCAACGCCATGGCCATGTACAGGAACACTCGGACAAGGCTTGTGGTAGATCTGAAGTCCGTCCAGGAAGCTTTGCGCTACCATGACTCCTACGAGGTTGCCGCCGCCATGACCAACGCACGGGACAAGGTGCAGCGATCGGAGGAGATGATCAAGGTCATTCAGGAATGCTTTGACTGCATCGAAGTCGCAGCTGTTCAAGGTATCCGCTGGGTCGCGCGTACTTCAGCGACCAATTGGAGCATCGAACACCCTCTGACCGGAATGGATCTCATGGTCATTCTTACTCTCTGGTTGTATCGCCTAGAACACGACGAGGAGCCCGCTACCGAGGAAGAATTAGCAATGTACAACAAGCTTCGGAATCTGTTTGATGACGATTCTGTCGATGTGTATGGTGCCAAACTCAGCTCTACCGTGGCTCGGCTCTGGGGTAGCATGATAGATGAGGTGGTTGTTTGGGGGTAAGTAATCGCCACTCTCATACTAGATCAACGCTGACAAGTACCAGTATCACTAAGCTCATGGGTGAAGCCTTCAAACTCCACTCCCAGGCCCTGGTGGGTTACGAAGACGCCATGTCTGAACGCTCAGGCTCTGCGACACCCTCCATGGCTGCCGGCGGTGTCCAAGTGCTCGAGATGCAGATGGCTTACTAGTACCACCAGGTCCGCTCCTTACGACTTTGACGACATTTCATTCTTGTCTCCACTTTACCTTTAGACTGTTTGCACATCTCCACCTCCATCATGTCCCGATTGTTTGGAGCATGGCTCGGAGTTCGGTGTGCTCTTCTCAATTTGGCTGCATAGTGTGCTGAGTTCTTATTTCTGTCTCCACCGATCTCAAGTTCGGTTTTAAGAATGGGTTCAATCTGGCGCACGGGGCGGTCTCGGTCCATTTGTCGACACAGCTGGGCTTGGACTTTGCCCCTAATGGACATGGGGTCACTCTACTAATACCTTTTCTACTCTTACATACCCTCTCGTTGTTTTGGAAATCACTATTGGTGGCTGGCCCCATGCTGCGCTTCTTGTTTGTTACAGGTGTGCTGCAGCAATCCGTTAATGTTTTGTTTTCTTGCTTTTGGCTTCCACTATATTTCCTCATCTCATCTAGTCTAGTTTCTTATCGCATATACCACTAGTGCTTGTTCCATTTGTCTTCGCGACGGCGGAGGAGGGAGGAAGTCGGGTCAGTGGGCAGTGGATATTTTTAGGGGCGCTGCGGGTTGCTATATAGTCATGTATAATAGGATGCGTTTGGTCAACTTCGGCTGCTTCCTGCTCAAGTACGTGAAGACAAGACTTCGGACGCTTTTGGCTCAGATCTGTTGTAGAGGCGTTCGATATTACTGCACCCACTGTGCTGTGAGCGTGTGCGCGCCATGCCAAGACATCCATGGTGCCAAGGCGCTAAGGCTGTGCAGCTTCGAAATTTTGGACGGAAAAAGTGCGAAGCTCGCCAGCCAACATCAAGAACGCGTCGGCCCGCCCACAATCTTGAAATCAGTCGCATTCCGCATAGAGCTACTACATAGCCCTTGATTGCGACCTGATATACTGTCGTCCCGCATTACCAACCCTTGCATACCAGAAGCCACTGCACGCGCATTCACAATGGGCAAAGACAAGGAAGAGAAGAGAGTGAAGGATAAGAAGGAGAAGAAGGAGAAGAAGGAGAAGCGCTCCGAGGTTGACGGCGTCAAGAAGTCCAAGAAGGAGAAGAAGTCGAAGCTCAATGGCGATGTCGCAGAGACCTTGGAGATGGAGCTCGACAAGGATCCTGAGGAGAGCATGGTAAAGGTCGTGGATGCGGATGGCGAGGTTGCGCCCCGGGACATTCCCGCGAGCGCATTGGTGCCCATTGCGGAGCCTCTCCTCGAGGAGACCAAGGACGTCAAGAAGGTGCTCAAGACGGTCAAGAAGTGTAAGCCCACGTCATTCCACGTCGGTTGAAGATTTGAAAGCTAACGATTACCCCAGCTGCTAAGACCAAGACTCTCCGCCGCGGCGTTAAGGAAGTCGTCAAGTTCCTCCGCAAGTCGTCCTCCAACGCACCCCCCTCGTCCGACATCTCCAACCCCTCTGCCATCGTCGTCATTGCTGCCGACATCTCGCCCATGGATGTCATCTCCCACATCCCCGTCCTCTGCGAAGACCACAACGTGCCATACCTCTTTGTCAAGAGCCGCGCAGAGCTCGGCGAAGCAAGTGCAACGAAGCGCCCTACCAGTGTCGTGCTCGTAGGCCGGGAGCGAGTAAGCAAGAAGAAGGACATCAGCGACGATGACAAGGCCGAGTGGGACGAGGCATATGGCACGCTCCGGGACATTGTCATCAAGGCAAGCAAGACGGTGAGAAAATAGGCGGTTAGGACTGAGGCTCCGTTCTGTGAAAAATGACGGCGGGCGTTTGGCGTTGATCGGCCTAAGGGCTTTTTCGGTACGAGGTTTTTATTTCTCGACGGCATTGTACGAAAGCTTCAATCTCGCACGCGACCCTTTTGAGTCGCCATAGCGTTGCGACAGTTAGGATTGTCTAGATAAAGCAGCTTACTTACGAACGTAACCGAATGCTCCAGAGGTTCACACATACAATTGAAGGTACAAATTTCGTCGTATGATACGTCCCTCTTGAGAACGTCGCTTTCGAACCTTCCAATCGCTACTGATGTTAGCAACTGTTCTAGATCAATTAGATATCTCCCCGCGTTTAAAGCGGACGCTGCGATAAGCAAACATGTAATTCAACGTGAACGCAGGAAGTATACAAGTAGACGTGAGTCGGAAGAGGTCCCATGGTCTGCTAGTCCCGGGTCTGCAGTATCGGTCTGGCTTCGTGGAGGTACCGTTGCGGACCACGAGTGTGGGTACAAGTAAAGAGCTTCAGACAAATGAAATTTCGGTTTCTCAGCGATCTCTCGAGTGAACGTGCGAAGCAGGGGCAAAATGCAGTATAAAATCACAATACCGCAATCCTTCGCTCAAGATCTACAACATAGCATGGTTCACACATCAGTATCCTTAGTTGAGGGCACGGCAAATTTTGCATTGCTCTATATACCCTCTAAAAAACCACCGCCCAGACCCATTTTTGAGCAATAGACTCCATGCACATGCAGATCATATCGCATAGCCAGATCGTGGGATCTAGTCCTCGTCCTCGTCGGCCTCGTCGTTGACGACGTTGAAGAAGCGGAGCTCGTACACACCCTTGGAGGTGGAAACGACGCGGAGCCAGTCACGGAGCTGCTGCTTCTTGAGGAACTTCTTGGTGCTGCGCGACCGTTAGCAATGTGTCCCCTCGGCTGCGCGCACACATAGACGTACAGGTACTTCAGGTAGCGGCCAGAGAACTCCTGGTGGGCAATGACCTCGATCTTGCCATCTCCCTGCTGGGAGATCTGGATGGTCTCGCCGAGGTTGCCGGTGCGGCCCTCGACCTTGATGCGGTCGTGCAGGAACTTCTCGAAGGCCTGGATGTCGAAGATCTTGTCGTTGACCGGCTGCGAGCAGTTGATGATGAACTTCTTGGTGATCTTCTGGCTCTTCTTCGCGGCGGCACCGCCGGTTGCGCGCTTCTATAACATGTACTTTAGCCTACTGTTCTGTGCGAGGGAGCGCTGCGCTCAACCTGGCGGACAGCAAAGCGGTGGACGTACTGTGGATGGCATTGTGGTGGAGTGGGGGGTAGACGCAAAGAAGTGGTTATCCTGCGCTGGGCGTGTGGTGTGGACTTTTGCTTAAGAGGTTGTCGAAAAGTTCACGGTCGCTTAGCTTTTTCGCGCGTTGTGTGGGCGCCAAGATATATAGTGAAGGGCTTTGATTGGCTGGTAGCGTAAGTGCGAAGATCGATGTGGGTTCTTGAAGCATCAAGCATCACCACTTGTCGAGACACGATCCGACGCCAGCGATTTGTAGAGCTGTTCATCAAGAGATCACCAGAACGAACTCAAGGGATTTTTTTTAATCGGATATGTTATTCATACATTACAGTGCGTCTAGTGTACATTAAACCCTGATTCGGGTCGCAGGTCCAACATTCGAACCGATCGTGCTCCAGCACGCCCCACAGAAAGAGAAGTGGCTATCTATAATGTCATGGCAGCGAACAATGCGACCAGTCCCAGCACACCATTAACAGCAATCGATGATCCAGCACCCGGGGACTCAACAGGTGCGCTACCGCTCGGAGCAGGTGCGCTACCAGACGCTGTGGGAGCGCCAGACGTCCCAGGTGCGCCGGGAGCGCCAGGAGTTCCAATGGTCGTCAGCTGGCCACCAGCAGGGCCCGTAGTTGGTGCCGTGGCGTTTCCTGTCTTTGCTGCAGCGAGCTTGAATGCATTGAGAGTGTTGTGAGAGTACTGCGGTGGGTTGATCACAGCGACCATGCCTTGTGCGCAGTGTGATTTCGGGTTGTTCTGCGGGCAGTAGAGCCAGATAGGCTTTTTGTCGTCTTCGATCGTGACGGTGAAGGTTTTGTTCTAAACTCGACTGTCAGCTCATCTTCTCTCCTTATTTCTACAGCATGATGCTTACAGCGCGGCCAGCTGCGCTAGGAACGAAGCCCGAGAAGATACCAAGTCCACTCGCGCTGGGGTTGCAGGGGTTGTTGAAGTCGGCCTGAACGACTGCGTGGTTCTTTGGGTAGAACTCGAAGACGATTTCATCGCCCTTGTTTGCATGGATGGTGTCGGGTGTGAACACGAGACCGTCTTTACCAACTGCCACGGTCTGAGTAGACGCGGCCGGGCTTCCTGTGCCACTGGGATAGACGACTGAGGTTGCAGTACCGTTGGCTACGGGGTATCCATAGTTTGCAAACACCAAGGGCAGAGCACCCAGAGCAACGGCAATGAATGAGGTGGAAATCATCTTGAACGAGAGCAGCTAATGAGACAGGGAACTTGAAGAGATCAAAGTGAGGAGCTGGGTGTGGGTGTCGTGTGGATTTTCCATCCTGATGGAGCTCGCAGCCTTATGTATCTCCCACCGAGTCGCCCTTTGTTGCGTCCGGGAGTTTCAAGCGCCATCGGAAGCCACTCATCAGCAAAGATATTTCGGTGTCGTTCCAGAAGACGCATCTGCGCCCCACGGGAATCACTAATCCGGGCTTGGGCGTAGCGCGGAAGTGAGCATGCAAGCCAAAGATACGTTCTTTCTGGGAGAGTGGCACGACCAGCAGAAAATGGCTGGCGTAATCCATCTTTCTATTCGCTCGCTTCAAAGTAAGTCTTTGGGGGCGCAACGGATGAACAATAGCCGTTGTTGAAATGGGCTGGGTGGCGCTTAGCCGTGCTGTATGAGGCTGAGCATGTACCCCCATTGAGAAATTTGAAACATCTATGATTGGATCTTTGTGCTCGGAATACGACAAAGTTATGTCCCCGACCAATTTTGCTTGCAATTGAATGTCACGAATGGGACTTGAACGCGTCTCGACCAAGGGAGGTTGTCAGCGATACATTGGTAAAATTGATGCAGGGGTCATGCACGTATGACCGACGAATGAACCGAAATAGTCTATATGACAAAGCGAACAGCTGTATGTAATATTCCGTTCGAGCGTGAAAGGACCTCGTAGTCGCTTCCCCGACGATTGTGTATCTACACTCCAGACTTGTTATCTTTTCCACGCGAAGCCCGGATCTCGTCTTCTCCAAGCAGCGACATCTGAGCACCCGCATCTGTCCCCGTCACGACCTCCAGATCGCAATTCTCTTCTTTCTTTCTTCCGAATCTAACAGTAGCTAGTACCAGGTAAGGCGACAGAGGAGTCACGCCATCAGAGTCTCTCTCCTTAACTTCAACACCCAGCTATGCGCCCCGTGAAATGCGGAAGATAGTTGAGAGGTTGTTGTAGAAAGTGTCCTTGCTCGCAAAAATGGCAAAATTCCCTAATACTACAGAGATAGTAGTGAAGAACGCTGCAGCGCCGTATGCAGCCACGATCTGTCTGTACGAGAGTAGACCTATACGGTCCGCGAGCCGGTTGTGTACCAGTTGATCGTGGCTCGTGGGTAAGCTGCCATGAAGTCGAACCTGTGTCTTGGATATAGCTTGAGAGAGACATGATGAACAGCAGGTACAGCGCGGTACTTATAGACATCGTCCGTACAGTCGTAGTCACAGAGGGTTATCCCCCTGAGCTGCCCAAGACGCTTTAAATGGCAGCTTTGGATGAATGCCTCGAAGCAGTCGGTGATGAGGACCTGATCATGCTCTTTCCGGATGGCAAAAGTCAGACCATTGAACTTCACGCCAAGTCCCGAAGTCTCGTGGTGGCGCCGACGGCAGACGTATTAAGTTAGAGCTGATTCGCTTCCATAGCATCAGCGTTGCGAGCTGCCTCGGAGATGAAAATATCGGGAAACGGCTATATCCGACGGTAGAATTTGCATTGGCTTCCTTGTTCACTACTAACGCGTCGTCGTGAAGCCGACCGTGGCTTCGAATGGTCCCGGCGGTTGGCACCAGAAGAGTCCGCCTGGTTCCGTCAGCGTGTACTCGTATATCATATCTCTGATCTCGCGAGGCAGGCCGAAGAAGTAGTTGGTACCATGGCGAGGTTGTGTGGATTTCGGTGCCGGGGAAGACTCAGAGCGAAAGTACTGGATTGTGTCGACCTAAATTGTCATCAGTGGCTCACTTGTATAGAGGCAGATGTTACATCTGTACCTTTGAGATTTTCAGATCAGCCATCAAGGTATCATCAACTTGTGCGTCTGTCGAGCCTCTTTTGTGGAGCACTTGGCCGATATTGAGTGTTACAGAGAGTTCCTAATTGTGGCTCATCAGAAGAAGACCATATCGAATCTTTCCTGGCAAAAATGACTGTCACAAACTCAATCACACACAAAATTGATATACTAGCGTAAATCTTCATGTAACAAACCCCATCCATAATACGACCGAAAACAACAATACACTCCCAATGAGCCAGTGTCGCGTAGCTGACGACATGTTACATGCAGACTTAGGCAACGAAATCGAGATTATACTCCTAGTCTGGTTCGGATAGAATGCCAACGTCAAACATCTCTTAAGCTCTGCCACATATCCATTGTGCCCTCCCCGAACATGGTCCCTAACCCACCAATAGTGCTGCCTACTCGGATTCGGTTCCGCTCGAATCTTGTCCTCATCGAATTCGAGTGAAGGAAACATTGGGAAACGATTGTCTTCGACATCTGTACGTGGGCGCCACCAAAGCTTGCTATGTCTAACTTAGTTTCGCCTTCAGCATAGATATGATTTTGGAATGATGCCTCAGTTATTGTATAGAAGATGATAGTGAGTTTAATGAGGGCTGTTGGAGAGCATGGAAGATTTCCATCTTGGTGCCGCTTATACCGAGGAAGCGACAACCGTTGTGGCTGCTAGCGCCCAATGAATGTGGGTGTAGAAGCATTAACATGTCAAGGAAACCATTGAATGACCCCAAAGCCCCCATGACATCCTGTTACATACCTCAACATACGAGGGGATTCAACGGATCAATCCAGTTGACTATGTACCCTGTGTGCGTTCTGTGCACTAGGCACGTGGTCTGGTCGGAGCATGCACTTCAACTCGTCCATCGAACTCACAATTCTGCTTGCGCTGTGCGTGTGGAACTGGTCGCCATGTTCAGTCATACAGGCAAGAGAGACCCGATCAGACAGCACCGGGGCTGCGATCATACGCACGATGTTGGAACAGGACCATCTGCAGCGACAGATAAATCGCCAATAGTAATATTCAGTGACAGCCCACATCTTCCATCTACCCTTCACCTTCAACCCAAGAATTTTGCAATAAACTCCGCTACCTCCCTCGGCTGCTCCACCATCGGCAAATGCCCCGCCTTATCCACGACCTTCAACTCAACCCCACTCCCCAACGCATCCGCCATCCCCTGCATCGTCTTCGGCAACACGCCGTCACCCGCACCCGCCAAGAATGCACCCTTCCCCTTGTACGCGCCCATCCTATCCCTAAAGTCATACTGATATAGCGCCTTGACCCCATCCTTGAACCCAGCCAGTGAATTCGTCTTCACCATCTCATTCACTCTCGCAATCTTCTTCGCCAGCTCAGCATCCTCGTAGCTCTCTTTCACGAACCACCGGCGCGTAGTCATCTCGGCGAGCTCCTCACCAACGATGGGTTCCGAGGTGGTTGAGGACTTGAGGCCCTCTTTCTCTGCAACAGCGATGCGCTCGCCCCATGCCTTGGGGTTGGATTCGGGAGCGAAGGAGTTTGTGTCACAGCCGACGAAGGCTGTGACGCGCTCGGGGTAGGTGAGGCCGGCGCAGAGCGCGGTAGCGCCGCCGAGGCTGACGCCGACGACGCTGGCGGTCTTTGCGCGGAGGGCGTCCATGATGGTGATGATGTCGCTGGCGAGCTTGTCGACTGTGACGGTCTCATTCGCAGATAACGGGAGTGCGGTGCGACCACGCGAGTTGTAGCGTAGAACGCGGTACTTATTGTTAGTGAACTGCAGGAACTCCTTGACGAAGTCATCCCAGATGCCGTACTCGACTAGGATAGAGTTTGAAAGAATGAGGAGGGGCGCGTTGGGATCGGACGACCCTTCCAGGCGGTAGGGAAGGTTAACACCGTCTGATGTGGTGATGAAGGAGTCGATCGCCGGAACGGCGTTGTTTGAGGAAGCGGGATATGTCTTTGTCGCTCCGTCTGTGGATTCTGCCAGAATGGTGTCGGGCGAAGTAAGGGTTTGAAGGTCTCGTGGTGCTGGCCCGAACGTGTAGTAAAGGTTGTATACCCTTCTGAACTTGGACGCGACCACATTCTCGTAAATCTTGCTGGTCCAGTCCGTAGTAGTAGCCTTCTTGAAGTCTGGACCACCTAGCCCGTTCTGCGGCGCGTATTCGTGCAGCGCCAAGTACACCTTTTCTCTGCCATCTTGCAAGTCTAAGTAGCTTGTCACAAAGCGCCTCGTCCGACGCCAGCCAGGCACTTTAGACAACAGAGGGACATGCTCCTCGCGGTACCACTTGGCCAATTCCTCTTCTTTGCCTTCACCCTCTTTCAAAGATAGGTATACAGCGACTACGACGTTGCCCTCGCCTTCGTTTTGCACCTCTTCCAAGACTTTGAAGTCATCCGCCTTCCACTCATCTCCGTCAACTGCGTCATAGAAGCGCCTATCTACGTGTATCTGCTTCATGGTATCGCGCTCTCTCTGGCTCTGAACAGGCGCTTTGCGAAGTCGCGTGTACACGTCTTTGGTGAGGTAATCCATATCGTCGATGTCGTAGATAGCCATCCATTCTGGCTGCTCCTGCGTACCGGTCGACGAGGATGCTGGAAGGTCGTTTGCGCGATAGCGGAAACCATTCTGGCAGAAAGAGAGACGGAGGCGACCGGGACCGTGTTCGTTATTGTACCTAGGGATGTGCTTAGCATGCCTGGCGAAGTGAACCCTAAGGCAAAGGGGTGTTACTCACCAATCGTGGAATTGGGCAGGAGGCAGACCCTCCTTGGGCTGCATCGTTACATACAGGATGCCGCGGGTAGTGCTCTGAGACGCCATGGTGGGTGATGTGTTGTGGCAGTGTTCTGGGAGAGCTGATAATGAGACTTAGGGAGGATATGTTTTCGTCCAGACGAATGTGAGAGCTAGTGAAGGTAGGAATCGCATACCCACGGCGTTATGATGATGTTCCCCTCAGATAATTGGGGAGCTCGCCGATGACATTTGCCGGACACACTAGTGAGCCTGGAGAGCTGCAAAGACATTTGCCCCTCATTCCCCAGCTGGTTCCGAGGTCGGAACGGAATTCGGAACGCGCCCATTGCGTCAGGACAAACCTGTAATCTATCACTTTTTTTTAAGACAATCTACAGCTTGGATTGAACGCCTACGGTTCTGTTGCGTAGCTCGCTACGTCTCGTATTTTAAGCTATCCCAAATCTACGTGGCGATCAAGCACCGCCATAGCATTCAAAGCCACAGGTTGGCAGGTCCGTGTATATATACTTTCTGATCATATCAGTCGTACCAAATAGCATTCATACCAAAGCCCTTCTCTCCAACTTCGAGCCTTGCAACCCTCGCGAGGTACTCCTTGTGCCACCTATAGATCTCGACCCCACCCTTCTCATCATCCGTCAGGGCTAGCCACTCATCTGTCCAAGGACACGGGCTGACCGCATTGCTGTGACCTCCGCTAGTCGGTGTAGGATTTAGGCAGATCTGTCGCTCAATCGATCCAGACTCTGAGATCTTGAACGCTGCAATGTAGCCTGTAAGATCGAAGGAGTTCGCGCGAGATGTAGCGAAGAGATAGTTCGAGGATTGTGTAAGGAAGACAACATCGGAGCGGTACATATGGGGGTTGGGAATGTCTGAAGTATATCATTAGTCCTTGTGAAGTGAGCTATTTAGAAAAAGATGGACTCACCAGGTGGGATCAGCGGGAACCATCTGTGTGTATAAACAGGCAAGTGTGTCTCCGGGTCGATAACGTATTCGCAGACCCTGTTTCCTGCTTCCATCAAGGCATATAGATAGCGTCCTGAGGGATGCATCTCAACCCATCTCGGGTGGTCTTTCTTGCCCTCCGCTTCTGTGAACCCAACGGTCTCCAGTCTGCCTTGGTCGTCAATCTTCTTGTGGCACCATACACGGTTTGCCCACATATCTGCACTGTACAGGTAGGTCTCTGTGGGATCGAAGACCATGCCGTGGATTGCGGACTTGTCGCAGTACTCATAGTCTTGTATGTTCTCCTTCAACGAACCGTCGCTATTGACGTTGAAAATGTTGCCGTAACCAGCGTAATCGTAGAACGGGTTGCAATAGACATTATACGGCGGCTTCTTTGCCGGGAGGAGGAAGATAGCGCGCGTCTTTGTATCGGCGTCGTTGGCCTTCGCTTCGCAACCATTAAACTCATCCAGGCTATATCACTGAGTGCACTTACGATGTCCGCCAATCTCGAAACTGCCTGTATGCACAATTTCGCTCGGACTGTCAACCCTGTGACTGCTCCATTTCTTCATGCTTGCGCCATAAATATTCTTCTTTTGATGCTGTCGTTGCCCATATAGATTAGCCTCTAATTCGCTCAATTTGCCTATGACGGAGCGACTGCACGTACGTCGAAAGCCATCCAGGAAATGGGCTCATCATGTGGAATTTCCGTCTTCTTGACGAGCTCCAAGGTCAACTTCTCATCGTCAAATGCGACCGTGATGATGACGCCGGGCTTCACCCAGGTCCCAATCATAAGATGGTGCTTTCCCATCTTGTTGCGACACGTCTGTTCCTCACAATTGCGAATGTCAATGGCAGAGCAAAGAATGTGGGAGCGATGTTTTGTCCACTGTGCTTTGTCCCATGTTTCGCACACGCCGAACTCCAAACCGAAGGTGGGGCACTACCGCTAGGTGGGCTGGAGACAGAGGGAAGAGGGGTGGATAAGTGTTTATCCACGATGACGAGAGTCATGATTGGATGAAGGTACCTGGCTAGCGCGGTTCCGCATTGAAGTATTCGGCACTGTGCTCGCGTGCGGTGACGCTTCTCATGGACATCTTCGATTCCGAAAATCATTGATCGAACAAACAGACCTATACTTATACTTCTGAGGATGAGGTGCAGACATAGTTCTTCAAAACAACGGGAAGGCGAAACCCGACCTTACCTACCACATTTCATGGCACTGCGCGACGGCGGATAGCTCCTCATGAGCATGCTGCGAAGACATGAAAGAGCACGAAATACGTGAAATAATCCCTGTATCAAGATATTGATAGCTCATGCATAATCTTCAAGTTGATGCCTCGCAATGGAGGACATATGAGTGTTGATCTGATGCTCCCTTGCGTCAAGACGAGCCTGTTAGATAATATTGTCTCAAAATGCCAGTATTGAGGTCTTCCAATAACTGACGATCAACAATGTAAGGGCGCGGATGCAAGGCGTTTTTGCTGTTACGCCGATATCGCCGAGAGCAGTTGGGGATGACATCTACCGCGTCTGCTACCGCGGGGAAGCACCGCGGGCAAGCTCCGCACCACAGCCAGCAGAGCTCTTGTAAGCTAAAACCCATACAGCTCCACATATTATCATCTCATGATTCCAGTTCCAGTTGCCAAACCTCCATTTCAAAGTCTTCTGAGAGTGAATTTCAACACCTCGTCCCAACTCCGCCGTTTCTTCGTCCTCGCACCTCTCGAGATGCGCGTCCCATATGCCCCCAAAGAGCCTCCCACCGAGGAAGACAAGCCAGTCTACGAACGCATAGCCGCGCGCCGCGCGCCTCGACCACTCATACCACTCGACCTCGCCCTCCTACACAACACAGCCGTAGCCGACGGCTGGAACTCGTTTATTGGCGCGATCCGTACCAAGACCTCCGTCGCCGACTCCCTCAAAGAACTCGCCATCGCGCGCGTTGCGGTGATCAATCACGCTGTCCACGAATGGGATGTCCACGCTGCGCTCGCGCTTAAGGGTGGCATCTCAAAGGAAGGACTGGAGACAGCGTACACAGCAGAACTAGTGAAGAAGGGCGATAAGGTGGATTTCGCGGAGAAAGGTGGATTGACTAAGGAGCAGTGGGTTGTTCTGGCATATACGGATCAGATGACGGTGGGCGTAGAGGTGGATGATGGAGTTGCGGGCGCATTGAGGGAGGTGTTGGGTGACAAGCAGGTCGTGGAGCTGACGGCTACGATCGCGGCGTACAACTGTGTAAGCAGGTTTCTGGTGGCTCTGGATGTTGGAGAATGCAACGGGAGGCCTATGAAGAAGGTCGAAGAGCTATGATTCACCGCGCAATGCACTGTACAATACTTCGACCTGTCAAGGGTCCCGACTTGTGAGCTGAACGCGGAACGTGCCGCGCCTCGCCTCGGCACAGGCACGCTTCCCCACGCTAGGTCTGTGCGCCTCCGCAGCTTCAGCCGTGAACAACCGCTCTGTGGGCCGCGGCTTTCATACACTTCAGTTCCTACACGGACACCGGAATGCGATTCTGCTTTAACACTCGAACTCGCGCTTCGCATCAGTATACTGTTCCAGTGATAATTCATTTTGTTTCCGGTGCGGGCAACATCCATCCGCACGCCCTAGCAACACGTCCGCCACCGTGACAGTTTCTAGAGAGTGCTTGTCTTCCACCCTGATTTCCTCTAGGACATTCAAGAGAATGTCTGCAATCACATCCAAAATGTTCGCCCGGAGCGTGCGACAACTGAGCCAACGTCATCCGCGTACGTTGTTCGTCGCCGGGAGACGACATGCTTCAACGAAGCATCCCAAAGGCTTCGTGCCACCTACACAGGCAGATTTGGAAGAGCTAAGGGCGAGCGTACAGGAATTTGCGAGTAAGCATACCCTCTAACTGATTAATAGAGACGTGGTGTCCTGAGGGATCGAACAAGCACTGACCTGAACTGCCACAGGACGAGAAATCCCCGAAGAGCTCGCGCAGAAGACCGACCAAATAAATGAGTTCCCGAACGAGATGTGGCGAAAGTTCGGGGAAGCAGGTTTCTTAGGTCCTACAGCCGATGAAGAGTACGGCGGATTGGCCATGGGATACCAGGCACACTGCGTGATCTTGGAGGAGTTGAGTCGCGCGAGCGGTACTTCGCATGTACCCAAACACGAAGGGACATGGCTGACAAAAGGATCCAGGAAGCATCGGGCTCTCATACGCGGCACACTCCCAGCTTTGCGTGAATCAGCTTTCTCTCAACGGCTCCGCAGAACAGAAGGCGAAGTACCTCCCCGGCCTGATCTCTGGCGAACACGTTGGCGCGCTGGCAATGAGCGAGCACTCGGCAGGTTCCGACGTCGTGAGCATGAAGACCACAGCCAAAGAGGTGGACGGCGGCTACATTCTCAATGGGACAAAGATGTGGATCACCAACGGCCCGGACGCACACACAATCGTCGTCTACGCCAAGACCCAACCCGACGCTGCCTCCAAAGGCATCACTGCCTTCATAGTCGAGACCAGCGCAAAGGGCTTCTCGGTCGCGAAGAAGCTCGACAAGTTTGGCATGCGCGGCTCCAACACAGGCGAGATCGTCTTCGAGGACGTTTTCGTACCCAAAGAAAATGTTCTGGGCGAAGTGAACAAAGGCGTGCGGGTGCTTATGGAAGGTCTCGATCTCGAGCGGTTGGTACTGTCTGCCGGGCCCCTCGGTCTCATGCAGGCCTCGCTCGACAACGCATTGCCCTACACACATCAGCGCAAGCAATTCGGTCAGCCTATCGCGCATAACCAGCTTATCCAGGGCAAGCTCGCAGACATGTACACGAAGTACCGCGCGTCGTCAGCCTTCACGTATTCTGTGGCTAGACACATCGACGAATCGCATGAGAACCCAGACATTAAGACGCAGGATTGCGCGGGCGCGATCCTGTATGCGGGTGAGAGGGCGAGTGAAGTTGCCGCCGATGCGGTGCAGTTAATGGGTGGCATGGGATACATGAACGAGGTTCCGGTGGGGAGGATACTAAGGGACGCAAAGCTGTATGAAATCGGGGCGGGGACAAGCGAGGTAAGGAGGATGGTTATTGGGAGGGCGTTTAACAAGGAGTACAAGGACGCGTAAGCCAAAGAAAAGTGATCTAGTATTTGTAGCGCATATATTCATGTTCTGAACCATGCAAGTAACCTCCTGAGATGCGCGACATCTCGAAGTATAGAGAGAGAGAGTTCGCTTTGGATTAGCGTACTGCGTATGACGCAAAGCTCTCGACTTCACCCACAATCCCTCGCAGCCACACATCAATCGATCGCGGCAACATGCCCTGGATCGTTCGCCATCACCATGGAGAGCACGCATCGTTGCTCATTGAGTATGATCACTGATCGCAAAAGTTCCACGAGCGATTAGAAAATGGTGCTAATGACTACTAATCTGTGTTGCTCTGCTCACCTCAGCAGACCCCTGTGCCGCGGCAACCCAACAGAGAATCAGAACATGCCGCATGCCGCTTTCCTTATGCAGGGAGCAGTGAATGCTTGTAATCGCTCGTCCTCTTCGTAATCAAGCTGCGAATGTATTGTAGTATATAAAGGAGACGAGAGAGCAATTGAGATGTATTGATACATGTACAGAACAATCTGCTCCATATCAAGGCAGGCAGGAACATCTTCAACGATACCTTTCTTCAAAAGACTCCGCGTTTTACTCGAAGACGCATCCACCTCAACATGACAACGCAGACTGCTTTGGTCGTTCAGACGGTCGGGGCCCCGGTCGTAGCCGTTTCCGACTTTCCCATCCCACAACCTGGCCCGAGGCAGGTTCAAGTTCGTGTCACCATCGCAGGATTGAATCCGCACGATCAAAAGGGCCGCGACATTGGTCTCTTCACAAAAGATTCTCTTCCAGCTCTACTCGGCAGTGACGTTGTCGGCGTTGTTACGGTCCCAGGCGAAGGTGCAACTCGCTTTAAAAAAGGCGATAGCATCTTCGGACAAGCTTCAATCGCACCTGGATCTGCTTCCAAGGCAACTCAGCAGTACGCGGTTCTGGACGAAGACTTCGCCTCTATTGTACCGGACGGTGTTTCCGAAGACGATTGCGCTACACTTCCAACCAACATTTTAGCTGGCCTCGTAGGATTCTTTGATAAAGAGCAGGGTTTGGGTCTTCCAAACCCTTGGAGTTTGACGGAAAGCAGGTCCCATCTGGCCAACTCATCCATCCTGATCGTAGGCGGAGGGTCTAACTGCGGCCGCTTTGCGACCCAGCTAGCGAAGCTGGTTGGCTTTGGAACTGTCGTTGTTGTCGGCGGCAAAGAGGAAGAACTTCGCAGATACGGTGCGACAAACGTGGTTGACCGTCATGGTGGAGACGACTTCGTACTCCAGCGTATTCGGGATATCGTGGGAGATGACTTGGTATATGCCTTCGATGCTTTCAACGCCCCTGTAGGTCAGCACTTGGCCATAAATGCGCTTTCCAATTCTAAAGAAGGCACACTTGCACGTTTGGTTTGGTCGAGAGGCGCTGTGGACGAGTCCAAGATCCACCCGAAGCAAGCTGGGTACGTTCTGAAGGGTGTTCTTGGATTCTCTCACTCCAAGCCAGATATTGCGATTCCCTTCTGGAAGCACATCGCTGAGTATCTGGTTGGAGGAAAGATCAAACCGCTGGCGTATGTGATAGAGCAGGGTCTGGATTCCGCAAAGGTGAACGAAGTGCTAGACCGTTATCGCGATGGAAAGGTGGTCACCCAGACCCATTTCCACGTGTCGGAGTCATAAGGCGTAATTCGAGAATTTCAATTAAGTTTTATGGTAATCAAGATTAGCACATTGATCATTCCGCGGTGCTTTAGCGTGTAGGAGTCTGCACTAGACTCGCACACGCCCCAGTTGCTTCTTACATTCTGACCCTAGCATACATAAACCCAGCTCTTCCTCGCACATGGTCTCTGACTCACTCCACTGTCCAGATAGATTGATAGCATTGACAGTCAACACTCGATCAGCAGCCGCTTCCACGGCACCTCCCGCTACCCCCACGATGGGCGGCGACCCCTATGAACGACAGAAAGCGTACGTGTTCCAGCTCATTTAGTGGATCTTATGGAATTTGGCGAATCCTTTAAGTGCAGCCTCCTCGCACCAGGGGACTACTCTGACCTCATCATCACACGCAAGGCTCAGCGCTGGAACGTTCACAAGGCCATCATCTGCCCTCGATCCAAGTTCTTCGCGGCCTCTGTTAGGTTCCCTGTTGGCACGTTACGTAAGGCGAAGCAAGCACAAGTGACATCCACTCAATCTTTTTGTACGAGAAATAAGACGAAGTAGTGGACCCCCCAGATGACGACCCTCACGTGGTGGAGCGCACGTTGACCTACCTCTACGATATCGAATACGATCTGCTGTGGGAATCCTACACGGGACACTGTTTCGAGATCCCACACATCCACTTCGATTGGAGCTTACGCGATGATGCCGACCGCGCAGAACGCTTGAAGGTACACTATTCTCTCGAACGCGCAAGCTATCTTCCACTCAAGAACCTCATGGGCACATGGATGCCTCCGGCTGGTATCTCACCGGATTCGCAATCGAAATATAGAATCCTGGATAACCGTGAGATACTCAATCGACTTAGCAAATCCGCAAAACTCAAAGCTTTCCACGATACTGCGAACACACCGCCTCAGGACCCTTACAACCCTCAAGACCTCGTGATGTACCATGAAATGGATGTCGGTCCAACAGGTTTTACGCTGGAAAATGCAGCAATATACCGCATAGCGGACAAGTACGACGTTCCGGATCTGCGTGAGCTTGCCTACATCCAATTGCAAGTCAGCCTTATAGTACCTGTTAGGTCTATTCAGGTAAAGATTATCATGGTTGATATACACCCTTACGATAAGAAGATGCTAGCTCACTTGAGCGCGAGGATCTACCAGGACATGGATATGTTTGGCATACGGGACGAGATCCGAGAACTTCTCGACAAGGATCCCGAGTTGGGCAAGCCCGCGCTCGAAGTCGCATATGATTAGGAACGTTGATGGGCATGGCGAGGAGGAAATCACAATGAAGGAGTATGAAAGACATGAATTATGAACTATGACAAGGGTACAGCACTGAGACAGAAGTCTGGGCACAATGGGCCTACACGTTGCCCACCCTAGGGCAACACATTGAAAACGCAGACTTCTCTCTCGGTGCTGTAGATGGATGCATGAACTTGGTAGTGCCCAAAGCAGGGAGGCACGCATTGGCATGATCCATATTTGCTACTCAATGTATACTTATCATGCATATAGTGATCCTATGTCACTCAAACAGATCCGCGAAGTTTGGATAATCATCCTCAGCTGTGGTATGTCACCACGTCGAAGCTCATGAGACGGAACTCACCTTCCCGCCAAATGTGCCACTCGGAAGCCTCATTAAAACGCACTGCCGACATTTACCTTACATATGATACCCAAACTGTCTTGAGATATCATGGAATACTGCTGTGTTTACATGTTAATTATTTGTGCGTTCGTTTGCTATGTACCTCTTATTCGCTTGCCTGTGGCACAGTGACTCATCCTTCTGCGCCTCGACACTCGGCGTCGAACTCTCCATTTCTAGGCAGTGAAGTTGGACTCCATGAACCCGCCGTCAATGTCTCAAATCGCTTTGGTCACAAACTTGCAATCGTCGCTCAACAGGTAACATATCGAACTCGCAATCTCAGACAACTGTAATCAAGTATCTATAGTAGAAGTTGCAACTACGGTCGTTGTCTCTCTCGCTCTTGCTGCTCGAATATTCACAAGGTTTCAGGCGCTCAACAATGCAGGCTTGGATGACTGTAAGGCTCACAGAGTAATAGACCTGGTTAGAAGATTGGACGCACTGAACTGCCTGCCGATACAGAATGTTCGAAATGCCCACCAGCAAGTAAAGCTAACATTGACGTACAGATCTTGCCATTGCCACCATGTGCCTCTCGTTAACATTTTGCGGAACAACACTAAATGGCACGACACAGGGACTATTGATTGTGAGCAAGTTCAGGAGCACTGCCAAACACTAGCGACATGGCTCGGAGTTGGAAAGCACATGTGGTACATGTGGGTCTCTGACTACAGTGCATACTTTCTTGCAGTAAGATCCAAGCGGACGCTGTATATACATACGAGATACTTCCAAGCATCAAGGGAAACATCGGCATTACGAAAACCTATTCATTGTCAGTCCTATTTTCTTAACTATCCAGTCCGTACATTCGACTTAGGTGTACCCCGTTGGGAGTATAGACCTCATGAGATCCACCTTCTGAACGAAGTAGTTCTCGTACTATACCTCCCTCTATCACCAGACATTATCTTCCGTCGCGTTGTATACGGCGTCATCTCCGTGGTCATTGCGTACACACTAGCATACAAGCTCATCATCATATTTCAATGCACGCCTGTGGCCGCAGCATGCGATATCTCGGTGAAGGGCACATGTATAAAGCTATAAAGTCTATGATACCGATGGTGGTTCTGCGCTCCTTTAACATCCTTATGGATCTCATAATGCTGGCTTTGCCCGTCAAACTATTTCTGAAATTGCAAATGTCGAGATGACAGCGGATCTCCCTTGTTGCTGATTTTGGGGCTGGTGTCTTGTAAGTTTTACTCTCGCAGGGCCATCTATATGGTCTGCCTCGTCGCTGCAATGAGCGTAGTCGGTGTACCGCTCACAATCCTCTTCGCACAGCGTATGCGCCGTCGCTATCGAACGAACGATCATGCTCCCAGCGCTCCTCAACAGCTCCGACTATACTTGGGACGTAGTACCGCAACTGGTCCGGGGTTTCCTAGGAGTGAACACAGGATTAGTCTGCGCCGCTCTTCCCGCTCTAAAGCCTCTATTCACCCGACATCTACCACAATTTCTGTCGTCCAGGCCGCGCGACTCCAACCGCGGGATATCTGATTCTTTGCCATTTCCAAATCGTTGGAGCGTTACCGCAATCGACGCGGTACCGGCCCGCAGGTTCCTGTCGCCGGGCATCACGGGGGCAAGAAATCTGACGAAGCTGGGGGGTGACGATAATGAGATGCATCTCTGGCCAAACCGGGGGAAGGGGACAGCGCATACTGGGAGCAAGGATGTTTCCGAGGAGATTGGTTTCAAGGCAATGTATCACAAAACGCATGGCAGCCGGAATAGTGTGCGCTGTTGTCTCGGCCGCCCCAGGCAGCATGAAACTACCAAGGCAGTCGTTGGCACACTCCATCACGGTTACGACTGAGACAAGAATTGAGAGATATACAAGTTCTAGTTCACACGAGTAGTACCAAGCCAGTCTGTTCTAGTTACAGACCACAAAAAGGTCCGACCACCGAAATCACACTATGCACCCGAACCCACCAAATTGGTTCACTTTTGATAAAATAGGACCATTGAAGATTTAGATGTCGCTGAATATGAGTATCATGGGAATGGGACGTCTTGAACAGATTCTGACCTGTACAAGTTCCTTCAATAAGTGGGATTGAAATTCAGCGACTTGCTATGAACATCTCCAATCAGTTCTTTTTGTTTTGGCCAGTTTACATTCGGTATCTTGCGGTGCACAAGTCCACTGGCCAGAACCCTGATTCAAGTTAAAGATTGATTTGAGCGACCTGACAAATGCCCGTGACGTAGCTTCCGTTGCTTCAAGATCGCCTCTGATCCACACCGTCCCGAACCTTGACATTATTGATCCACGGATAATTCTAGAAGTTGTTTCGCCCACTCCCAAACGAAACCTCCTAATCCTAAAAAGACCTAAAAGTATAATTAGCGCCTTGCAGCCACGCTACGGTGAATTCCCCCCGGTGTACTACGGATGATGGAGAATAGCCGCGGCATTTCTGAAACGGACTCATGTCGGCTGTTCCGCCACGTTCAATCTACCTGCACCCCGCAATTCATCAATCTCGCGTCCGCGACCCCACTAAATGCAATCAAGCAAAGCTTGCCATTGCTTCTGCGCCCAAGCATCCCACCGCCCCCGCGGCGCCATCGCCACAGCGTGACCTAGCAGCATATGTTCCACATCCAAGAACGGACAAGCATTGATGCCCCGGCGCTCCAACATCCCAGCATGACCCAGCATGACCCAGCAGGCCCCAACCCTCCTGAATCTACATAGATGAACACAAACAAAACACAGACCAGCATTTCGGTAAATCTCAGGGTGTTAGTGACGACGATGCCCTTCCGCAGCCAGAATGTAGCCTTCGCCCAATCTATCCCAGAATAGCGTCTCCGTCCCCCCGACCACGCACCCGGTGGTCTCCAAGCCCTTGGACGTATATAACCACGAGTCTTGTCCTCGAAACCAAGACACCAAGCTTTGCCCAGTCACCACTCAAGCTTCGATCACCACATCTGCCAGCCCAGTCCATCCAGTCAATCAATCAATTCACCATGGTCGCCTTCAGCACGCTCGCCCTCGGCCTCGCCGCCGCAACCGGCATCTTCGCCGCCCCGGCGGCCGAGCCCGCCGCCGAAGCTGCCTTCGACGCCCCAGACTTCGAGTTCTCCTCCGCCAAGTCGCTCGACCGCCGCCAGGACTACAACCAGAACTACAAGACCTCCGGCAACGTGAACTTCAGCCCCACCAACAACGGGTACAGCGTCCAGTTCTCGGGTGCTGGTGACTTCGTCGTCGGCAAGGGCTGGAAGACGGGAACCACTCGGTAAGTCCTTCAAGTGCATATTGCACACCCAACGGGGCATTGCTTTGGTGAATGCACACGCGCATGCGACTCTATCTTGGCGAGCCTGCTTTGTGACATCGACACTACTCCTCCATAGTACCTCGCTGACTCCCACTAGCAACATCAACTTCTCCGGCTCTACCACTGCCAGCTCCGGCACCGTCCTCGTCTCCGTCTACGGCTGGACCACCAACCCCCTGGTCGAGTACTACGTGCAGGAGTACACCTCCAACGGCGCCGGTAGCGCGCAGGGCCAGAAGGTCGGCTCTGTCACCTGCGACGGCTCTGTCTATGACATCTGGAAGCACCAGCAGGTCAACCAGCCTTCCATCCAGGGCACTTCCACTTTCTGGCAGTACATTTCCAACCGTCAGACTAAGAGGCCCGGCAGCGGCACCGTGACCACTTCCTGCCACTTCGACGCTTGGAAGAAGCTCGGTCTCAACCTGGGAACCCACAACTACCAGACCCTGTCTACTGAGGGCTGGGGCAACGCTGGTGGCAGCTCCCAGTACACCGTCAGCGGATCGTAGATGTGAGGTGGGATTGGGGGCTAGACTGCTCACTCGTGGGCACCTAGTCCATAGAACGCTCAACATGCAAAGATGGTCCGAGTGTAAAATACATCGAAATCGTCCTGATCACACTGCTCGCGCTAGCTACTATTTCACATAACGTGATGTCACAGCAACCTCCCATTTAGCTCGTCCTCACTCGCCCGAATGCGTCCCATCTATAGTCAAAACACCATGCCTCCGCGTTACCATCGCCATTATCCAATCCCGATCTAACCATATCAATACCTTATAACCTTGCCTGTATCCGCCTGATGCGACACTGCCCGATTACATAAATGCAGGTGTATCCTCCCTCTCGAGCGTCTGTCTCGTCGCGCCTGTCCTAATTCTCTGCTGTTCCTTCTCATTATACGGACTCCCTGCTCCGCTTCCCCTCGGCGCACTCCTCTCCCTCAGATATCTTTCCGCCATCCGCTGCCCAGGCGTGATTATCCCCGTCACACTGCCTCTCTCATCTCCGCAGATACTACTGAAGTTGCTTCGTCGACTCAAAGGCCGCTCGTCGATCAAAGCGTCAATGGTATGTTCTTCCAAGCCGGGACTCGGTTTCCTGTGCAGCGCTAAAGTGCTCGAGTTATGCTTGACGTGTAGCTTGTGTCTCACCCTTGAACGATCCGTATGTTCTATCGACGACCGTGGCGAAGTCGGTGGACCCAACATAGCCCAGGGTGACTCAAGAGGCATACGCACAGTGTCGTGGTCAATGTTGCTGGAGTGCCCAGGGCGTGGCATACGAGGCGGATCCGATGTCCTGGTGCTAGATCGACTCGCTGACTTCTTCTTCAGACTCTCATCTGAAGACAAGCTCTGAGACTGCAGAGTGCTTGATGCCAGTGGTATTTTGCCTTGTCCACGAAGCTCGAATGCGCTTTTCGGCCTTGTCGTGAGCTTGTTTGGAGAAATAGGCAACAGGTTCATGCGCATGTGCTGTTGCTGTGAACTGAGTGATACCGTGGACGACTGCGTTGGTTTACTGGTAATCGAAGTGTTTCCGTTTGTGCTCGTATCTCTTGTGAGCGGTGGCGCACTTCTGTTGGTAGCAGAAGACGACATTGAGAGCATCGACTTAGGCCTGTTCTCTCTACTGGTGAGAGGTGACAAGAACGGCGTGCTAGGCTGCTCTGGTACTGGTCCCTTCTTCTGCTTGATGAGGGGAATCGCTTTTCCGTTCATGTTTTCTTTGTTGTGGTCGGGCTCTTTGCTATCCCCTAGATTCGTCTTCAACGTAGGCTGTGGTGCCCAATCGACTGTCACTGGCGCAGAGACATCTGAATACACCTTAGAGATAGGTGATCGTTTGGATCCGGTTGACGAGCTGCTATCTGTAGCGTAACGCGAAGAACCACTAACGCGTGCACTGTTGCTGCTTGTGGGTCGCCCAGTGTCGATGAAAGGAAAGCGGCCGTTCATTGTGGAGGATCTTGGGGTGCTGTTGGCGGAGCGCGATTTTCCAGAGTGGTGACTGTCAATTGAAGAGTGCCTTTCCTTGTGGATGGCAGGAGTCCGAAGCAGTAGAGGCATCGCACGCTGCTCAGGCTTCGCGGTCGAAGAACTAACTTCGGCGTTGGACTGAGCTCCTTTTTGCTGTGGTGCTGATAAATTTTGGTCCGCTTGTGCAACTTCATCTTCTACCTCACTCGGTGTTGGCGCTGGTGGTGAAGATACTCTTGTGTCTGTGGACACCCTGGCCAATATGGTCGTTCTATCATCTTCGATCTGGGTAAGCTCACGACGATGCCGACTTGCCGGTGAATCGTTTCGAATTGTAGGTGTGTATCCTTGGTCGATCGTGATGTCTCCTTCCAATGGGCTACCCAACTCCGAGACCTCGCGGGATAGCCATGCTTTCCAATCTTTGCTCGATCTTGTTGATTCCGTCTGGTGTCGCGGCGACGGCGTACCGAGAACATAGCTTTTCACGGCATGGCTAGTTATGATGACAGCAGAACCAGATCCGTCGTTGATTTGATGGTCTTGCGTGCCATCAAATGACATAACGCTGTCGTTGGGAAGAATGCTCATACCGTCTGTAGCGCGTGAGTAGATGCTGGGTGACAACGGCGAGAAGAGAGGATTAATGCGAGGAGTCCTTGAAGCAAGGTTCACAGGTGTTGCTCGCAATTCAGTCGGCGTTGTTTCTTCGGGTGAGTCGCCTTCCAGTTCTGGTAAGGCTGGTATGCCAACCACGGTGTTGGGTGTGCGAAAAGCGGAGTCAGCAAAGTGTGAGGCCGATATGGTCCGCGCATGGGAGCGATAATGGTGTGATCCATGCTTTTGATGTTCGTCCAGAGGCGTCTTCCACCGCTCGTTGGACCGGATCAATCGCTGCTCGAGCTGTCCCGCGCTTGGAGTGACTATTGTGTGTGCGTGTGTATCTTCAACAGTGTATTGGTTACTGCGAAGTTAGCGCGATCCCTTGTTTCACATCGAAGTTTCATGTGTAGTCCTCCTAGGATGGAGATTTCTACAGGAACACTCACGTTCGTGCGTGCTTCTCTTGAACCATGGATGTAAAAGCCATCCGCTGTCGTGAGTCGGAGCTATGGCACGAAGCAGAAGTACCAGGCCTCGAGCTGATCCCACCCAGAGGTTGTTCCAAAACGGGCGAAGATTTATTCTCAACCGGGGTCACAGTTCGAATCGTTGACTTGATAGCTCTGCCCAGCGATCTGATGGAGCTGGTCTTGCCTTGTGCTATATTTAGACGGCGACGCGATACAGGTCTTTGGTCGCTGCTGGTGCTCGTACGACGTTCTCTGCTTGCACTCGAATGTAATTCATGCGAAGCCATCGCATGCAGCTCCTTCGTCGTGCTGGATTCAAAGACATCGCTTTCTGCACCAGGTGAGACATCGGAGAGACCTGGTTGGGTATTCCGGGCTTCGGTTGAGTCCATCTCTTTCATTAATGCCGAGAACACACGCTTCGGATCCACAGGCGTGGAAGTCTCTTCTAGTAGACTTTCCATAGGCATAGGATCTTTGAACGCCACAAAGCTCGGAAGAGGGACCGTCTTCCGGCGGAGTGAGATCGATGACATGCTCCTCTCTGCATCGCTACTAGTACTATCTTTGGACTCGTGGATCACGGTGAGGCGTTTAATGTCGCGCTGCGTGAGCGTATTGCCTGCGGAGGAGTCGCTCCAGCTTGTGACGCGCGAAGATAGGTGTGTAGTGTTTGTCTCGCTGTGGAGGCTATACATGAATATAATAAGTGATTGAGCCCTTCATGCGAGATAGATCGTGGCTCACCTTCGATTACTGCCCTTACTTCGGGTGCTGCCCCGCGATCCTGGGCGTGCTAAGGGCGAAGGCATTCTCTCCAGCAAGGACGCGCGTGACCTTACCCTGAATAACGTCTCGTCATCGGGACTTGGTACATCGAAGGTTTTGCTTGATAGTGCAGCATGAGGGGCTTGGTAGTTGAAATAATCTCGGCTGGCTTCGATCTGCTGAACGGGCATCGTTGTCGCGTGATTCGACGAGCGTCGAAAGACCTTTTTGAACTTATCCTTGATTGAATTGGAGAACGACCGTTTTTCCCTTTTCTTATTTGGCATTGCAAAATCCTCAATCAACTCCGCTGCTGGCTCGATTCGGGGTGGACGGCTTCTTGAGGAACCTGATAAGAAACCAGCGGATAGAGGCCGCTCTTTACTTCTCGCTCGATCTTGCCTCTTCTTGAACGGCGCGAGGAATAAGGAAGGCCGGTGTTTGACCTGACGGTGCTGCTGTTGAAAGCCTTGGAGATACTTGTCCCGGGCGTTGTTGATCGTGTCACCAGGCTCCACAGTGACGGGTATCTGAGGCGATGCTAGCGGGGAAGGGGGCATGTTGCGAGCCGGCAACACTGGCGGTAATAGTTCCGGCGTTGGACCAACGCTGGAAGGTGGAGGCGTGGCCAAGTATTTCGCAGGTGGGCGAGCAATTGGTGACCCCGTCTGGACGCTACTTGCGTAGTACATCGAGCGCGCTTTTCGTATCTGCTGCGAGGTGGCGGAGGAGGCAGCACTTGGCCTATGGGATCTTGGTTGAGAGCCCGGTCGGGCATTTTCGTTGAATGTAATAGACGGCTGTGCCGACAAAGGTCTGTCGCTCCCAGCCGCAGGGTAGAAAGATGGGAACTTTTCTTTCGTCACGGTCGGAACTCGAGGCTGCTGCTGTGCGCTAGGGGCTTGAGATGTGCTAGGACGGTTCACAGAGCGGACGCTGGACTCCCTAGGCGGGAAATGACTGCCTTCCGAAGTGAGCGACTTGCGACTGGACGTACTCTTGGCCCGTGAGAGCTCAGAGCTGCGCTTCGTCGCACGCTCAGCAGCAATCTGACCATGGGCCCGGGCAAAGGCAGTCGTAGCTGCAGCCACAGCATGGTGCTGGGCGATACCGGGATCCACGGTTTCGGGAGCAGATAGCTGGGGTCGATGGACCGTGGATGCAGACTTGGAGCGGCGAAGACGCGTGCCGGCCTCGCTGGAAGATCGGCCGAGCATTGCGGGAGGATAAGACTAATCGCCGTTGGCACAGTGCGGGAAAAAGTGCAATCAGACGTAGCGAGACTAGACTGAAGCGTTGTACAAGATTTGTTGTTAGCGAGGCGAGAGAAGACCCGGATGAAGGGGGGAAATGTGTTTGCACCGGGCCAGAGACAGTGCAGGTGCGGGTGCCATATGTATACTCGCATCGTGGCTCCTGCTATTGTTACGGGTGGCGATGCCTGCCGTGGATGCAAGCGTGGGCAAGAAAGCGGAGGCTTGCCTGGGTAGCAACCTAGACTCCTTCCGTGCACGTACGCTTGTTGAAGGGAGGAACGCTGGAGATATGAACGTGGACGAGATCACCGAGCCACTGCCGCCCTGAGAAAACCGAATCTTAATGGCCATGTCTCTGGGAGTGAAATCGTAAAAGAGTATCATGAATCAAGACTAGTGCTATGTTGCATGTCTTGTTGGAAGAGTGTCCTCTAGCGCGGAACTTGTTCCATGCTCAGCGTCTACTTCTTCTTCGTCTGTGGCAATCTCAACGTAGGCCATGTCTTTATCTTTCACGCTAACGAGGCATGACACCATCGTGGCTAGAACATAGAGGACACACACGCCGAAGAAAGGGAGCCCCAACCAAGCGTCCTTCATATCCATGCCCTTCTTGAAAGCCTCATTCAGGAGCGGTCCAGCGAACATGACGCCGATGTTCTCGGTCACAGCAATCAAGCTCATGAGCTTTCCTACATCAGGACTTGATTGGCCGCCAACAAGGTGCAGTGAGACTGATCGCATCGCGGCGCTCGATCCCGTCCCAAGGTTGAACACGAGCAGACCTAGGATGAGAATGGCAGGCTGGAAAGCCATGGCCATGGCGAAGAACCCTAAAGCTGTGATCAACAACGAGCCACGCATCAACCACAGGTCAGCCCAATGAACGGGTAGACGTAGATATTTCAAGAGGATGAGGTTGACAACGGGGATAAAAACAGCTACAGCAACAAGGTTCGTAGCGGCGCGGAACGACAGCAGATACGCCGCCTGTCTGGCTATTAGCCGAAAGCTGTTGGGTGCACGTGGGCTATACGTACCTTTGAGATCTCCCAGTGGTACCGCTTTGAGGCGTAGCGGATGAGCAAAGTCAGACCCTGCCTTCCGAGTCTGTTGACAACGAAGAGAGCAACAATCAGCGCAAGCTGGATATCGCTCGTCAGCAACAGCAGCGCAGACTTGAAATGTTTCAGCTGTGTCTTGAAGCCGTGTCCCTCGTCTTTGGCCTGCAGTTCAATGCTGGCATCGTCGCGATCCCGTGGCTCAGGCAGGTCTCGAAGGTGGAGCGTTTCGGGGAAGAAGATGCCCACGGTGACACCAACTTGCTGTATCGCAAGCGCGAGGAGGAGCGGGAGCCACAAGCCCGTCTCCATGAGCTTGGAGGCCATGATTGGGGCACACATCTCGGCAATCAGCACGGACGCGGTCAAATATAAGAAGATGTTGGTGCTGCAAGCTGTTAGCCACGCAGTCAAGCCTCAATGCGCAGTCGAGGCGTACCGTTGCTCCGGCGGAGAGATGTCGGAGATCATGGTGATGCCCAGCGCGGAAGCCACGACGGGCCCGCCGCCGACAAAGAGGAAGGCCGAGGAGAACCAGGTCAGCTGCAGCGGCAGGGTGCGAAAGTAGCAGATGAAGAGGATCCAGGCCGAGTTGAGCTGCAGGCCAACCAGGGACGCAACGAAGACCCACTTTCTCCCCCATTTGTCGGCGAGCGCACCGAAGGGTATCGCCAGCACGAGGCCTGGGATGGCATCGAACGTGTCCTGCCAGCCGAAGATCATGGCCAGCTGCTGCTGCACCTCGTCGATCTTGCACAGGGCCTCGGGCACGTAGCCGTCGTCGCCGATTTTGGAAGGGTCGTTCTCCTCGTAGTACCGGCGACAGATGTTGGCCTCGAAGACGCGGGTCTTTGGGGGCTCGGCGAGGAAGGCGCCCACGTCGACGATGGTGATGAGGGTGAAGGCCAGGAACACCAGCCAGACCCAGGGCTTCTTCTTGGTGGCGGGCCCGGCCAGCGGTGCGGGCGACGATGCGCGCGACGTGTTTTCCGTGGCCGTGGCCGAGAGGAGGGGCGCTCCTTCCTCGAGCGAGCCGCGCGCAGAGGACGTCTCAGCCGCCATGGTGCCTGGTGTCGATGGGAGAGGACGAAGGCACGGCGGCGCGACTTAAGCACAAAGAAACATGGACAAGGAGGAGCGGGAGACGGCGGCGTCAGCGCGCAATTGCATACGCCAACAGCCGCAGGATGCGACGACGTCTACCATCGCGGCGTAGCCCTGTTTCGGCATCGGCATTCGCGCCAGGGTGCGGAATTGGACCTGCATTCCGGTGCGTGATAGGCGCGTTTGGTGTTGGGGGCCGCTGACATAAGTGCGCACACACGCTGCACGACGCCTCCAGCGACTCGTCGCCTCCCGTCTCTGCAGCATCGTGACGAATGCCTGGTGCTTGGCTCTCGCAACGCGCATGCTGATCAACGCATCTGCTTGTCCGGCGGTCACCGCCAACCGTGTCTGCCTGAAGCCGCGATAGCAGACACGTATCTTCGGCAGCACCCCGCGCTCACCATGCACGACTGCGACTTAGCGGATCCTTCGGATCGCCAACAGCGCTGCCCGCTTGCGACTGCATTCTCGGACTGACATCATAGCATTGTCGGCATCACCATCTTTGTGGACAGTGACCAGACTCCAACCTGATTGTGCCATCGGAATCGGGATCCAGATGCTTACGATACTGACAGCATGGATATCTGTAGGAATGCCATGGCGGTAAGAGATGTCATTTGGCAACGGTAGGGTCATGAGAACTCTCGCAATCCTCTCTGTGACATCGGCATTGAGAATTGCTATGGCGTGCTGGTAGCACCAAGCGTAGCTTCCCAGCGTGCGACCGAAGAGCCCTTCATACGATGCTGTAATAGACAACGACCTGCAGTACCCAAAGGATCAGATACTTCTGGCTGAGACGCATTCAACAGCGTGCCTACGTGTGGTGCTCTTGTGTCCAAGCGTTGCCTAAGATCAGTTGGGCCTCCTGGGACGGCTCGACCTTTCGACCACGCAGATACTCGACCAGCTCTTGGCCCATCTGCTCGGGTCGTCACGAAGCATCCGTCCCAATAGGTGCTTCTTCCTCGGCATGCGTTCCTTGCGGCGTCTGTTTCTAGAGTCAATTCAGTTGTTGGGCGGGGTCGAACACCAGAAAGCTGAACCCAGCTGCTGCTGAACATCTTTAATGGATCCGACGTTTACCTCCTCTACGGTCGTTCTGCCTTCTTGAACAGACCCTGGACCGGCAATCCTGTCTTTATTGGTTTGAATCGATGCACCGAAGCAAACACATCGCCTGGGAGAGGTGTCATTCTTGACTATGCTGTCGCACAATATCAGTTGTCCTTGCACCAGACTGCTTGAACCTTGAGCTCTGCCCGTGCAAACTGCAGGTGGCGTGAGCAATAGGTGATCACGAGTCAACGCGCCAGTCACGCGTCGCCGGCTGTCGTCGCAAAGCGCCTCAACACCAGGCCTTACCGTCACCTACCGATCACCAAAGCATATTTTCGGTCTACAGGATAGCATGCGCTCGACCGAGCCCCAACCACTGTTCTTGAAACCGGATCTTGCCGATATCGCGCGTAGCTAGCCCTGCACCTGAGTCTGTAGCGCGGCTCATTGAGCTGAGCCGGCTGTCATCAGGCAAGCGTCCCAAAACGAAAAGCGCTGCAGTTTGCTCTGAAGGTTGAAATCACTACCTGACCTGGGTGCGAGGTATTCACTTTCACCATCATTGCTCGTCGAGTCTTGCTGAAAGTTCCTTGGCAACAAACCCAGCGTATTTAAACTATACCGCCCCGCCAATCTCTCCCTATCGATCTATCGCTCTTGCCCTGTTTGACCCGTTGGAAACATCTCGGAGGTTCGCGGTGGAGCTCCTCATCCTTCTCGGAACCGAACATTGACACTCGTAGAACCAACAGTCATGCGGGAGTCGGTCTCGACCGATCGGCCTTTACAGAACCAAGATCCGGCCCAAAACCAGCCCGATACCGCTACTAAAACGTTGGTTCATCAACAAAGTCCTCATATCTCAGCAAATAGCTCATCATCTTGCGATGATGAGATTCATCATCCCGCTGCATCACCCGTGTTACCACCCAATGCGATATCCGAATCACGAAGCCATGCCGACCTTCAGCGACTAATCCGTGGTGAGACTATCCAGACAGCTATGGAGAGTATCAACTTCTCCATTGGTATATTCGGCCTACTTCCTGTTGATTGCGGTTCTGACATACCATCCTAGGTCGCTCTTCTTCCCGCCGTCTTGCTGATAGATCGGACACAAACCCTGTGCGTGCTCGTCTTCGTCACCGCCGAACTGAGTCTACCATTGTGTCAAGTGGCGTGATGTTTGAGCTAATTGCTCGCACAAATTCAGCGCCGCCGACATCAGCAGCTCCTAATGCACATGTATCCAAGCCGCACTCCACCTTCGAAGGACTTCCTGGTGAGCTTAGGAACTGCATATACAGGTCGTTGTTCGCACGCCACCCTAACATCCTGGCCCTACGAGACAACCGTCTGTACAACATGTACGCAGTGCCTGGCAGGAAATCGTACTTCAAGTCGCTTCCTGGCCTAGCCTACACGAACCGTCGGACATATGACGAAATTGCGACCTTCCTCCTCGAAAACCATACCATGGAGGTCAGTGTCCTTGATGACCTTCACTACCTTGAGGACACGCTGGAACAGCTTCCTGGCCAGAAAGGTTGGAACAGTGTCAGGAGCATGAAGTTCACCAGATTCTCTGACCTCGCGACGTCTCCAGCCCGCACGCGTGAGCTCTTCGACTGTATAGCCCATTGCTGGAACATCGAGCAGCTAACGCTCCAGGTCAAGCTCGACCTTCTCCACATGCCTGAGCATGGTCCTGCGTATCGACAGCTCGCCTTCCTCAACGGCACGCCAGGTGTCAAGAGCCCAGACCAAGTCGCCGCAACCTACGAGCTCAATGTTTTGTTTGATCTTTCCAGTTTTCGAAAGCTTACCATGATCTGCGAATGGCATAGGGACGGTCCCGTTCGATGCACCCCACGCACGATGGCTACTTTCTGGGATCTGCAAGACTGGTTTGCACAGGGCTTCGCCGACAAGGCTGGTAACGTCATAGAAGTCATCAAATCGTTGCCGTTCAACGACCCAAAGGAAATGGGCGCTTGGACCGTGCGGATACAACGCGAAAAGAGCAAAAATACAGTGTGAGGACCTTTGCACCGTGCGGTCATCCTTTGCTCTCGGGCAGCAGCTCCACCTTGATTCTGGCGCTCACATCTGGCACTATTTGGCATTGTTCTTTGTTTCTCTCATGTGTACCCCACTTTGTATCATTCCCCCAGGTTTGCATTAGGCGGTGTATCAATAGGTAGATTTCCAAGCTAGACCGCGCAGGCGTGTACATGACGGATCATGATAGCGCTCTAAATTAAATCTGTTCGTTTGTACTGTGAATGAGCTCGAAAGTCGCCTTCACCTGCGTCCAGGGTTTGATTGTCGGGTGCGCTTGCGTTTGCGCTGTGCATACTCGCTCTCTTGGTGACCGCCGTTCTCCCACTTTGCCTGCCATCCTCTGTCTATATAAACCCAACGCCCCCTCCCCGATCTCAGGCCCTCATCCCGCCAATCGCTCACCACTTTCTGGTTCTCTTTGACTTCACGACTTCTCACGACTTCTAACGGCCTGTACCTCCACCGAGATTTCTACGTCTCCTCTCAACTTCAACCCCGCCAACACTACCTCGATTCCGCTCCAAGCTTCAGCACACAGCTCAAGGTCAGTCATACCACCTGCCTCTCACAGCTCACGGTATTGACCACCGCACAGCTCAACACCGACATCCACGATGTCCGACACCCACCCCTCCCCAACCCGCATCATTATCACCACCGAGCGTCTCCGCGTCTCGGCCGGCACCCAGTTCCTCCACCAACCCTCCTTCATCCCGGACGCCAGCGTCGCGCTCTCTAACCCCTCCCGCTGGAAGAACGTCGTCCTCCCCCTCATCGCTACCTACACCTTCCAACTCGGCTCCCTCCTGGACGTCGACTTCACGCGTGCACTGCTCGCCTGCCCCCAGCTCCCAAACCTCTACAAGGCCATCACCTCCGTCAACTTCCCGCAGTTCTACCAATTCGCCGGCATCCGGGACAACCGCACTTCCAACCCGTACCTCGACTTCGTCAAGGCGATTCCCAATCTTGAGCATCTGGCGTTGACGTTCCACTCCGCGGGTCTGACGGGCAGCGTGTACACGGAGAAAGATCGGATTGCCCTGGAGAACAACGGGAAGGTTGAGGAGAGCAAGGAGCTGAAGGTGCTCAAGAAGAAGGACGTGGTGGCGTTCTACAAGTTGGATGATGTTTTCGAGCTGAAGAGGACGAGGATCAGCAAGGTGACGTGCTATCTGATCGACTCGGAGTTGGTGGGGCACTTTGTCAAGAAGGGGGCCGCGCTGGACGTCTTCGAGGAGTTCCAGGATTACTTCGAGAAGGGCTTCAAGAAGGTGAAGCGTGAGATCCATGTCGATCTCATCGTGTGCCCGTTGCCCTTCACGGGCTAGAATATGGGTGCAGGCGGTAGGTGGTGTTGCATGATTCGGGGTCGCTTGGCTGGCGATGGGATTTGTATATATATTACTCGATGGGTCCGGTATGGACTCAAACCACCCCAAACTCTAGAGTTTAGGGGTGGCATTTCACATGCTTGGTCTTCTTCTGGAGGACCGAGTTTCTTCTGGCTCTGGCTAGAAGATCGGGGTGGTATTCCACACGTCGTGTTACCTTTGGGAGAATGCATTAGGAATCATAGGTCACTTCAGATGACCCATGAATAGATTTACATTTTTCAGATCTCTACTGTGTCTTTCCCTTCGGTGTTGTGTGAGGATAATTCATAATGGGGATTTGGTCCCTAATAGAGTGAGTCGAGTCCATTCAAGCATACATTGCATTCATCCAAGGCCCCAAGCGCTTGTTCTATTGACTCATGTTGTGATTTGCGATGATGTTCTGAAAATAACATAGTCAGCCATCACAAAGTGAGCCAATTCCATTCAAGCACCGTTTTCAATTATCTACAACCCATCAACCCTCAATCTCATGTAGGCCATGTATAATGATGATCCCAGTGAACAACAAAATTGGCTATCGTAATGCGAGCCAATTCCACTCACGCCTGTCTCTGAACCATCTACCTCCTACTAGTATTTATCTGGGTCATGTACACCGATGATAGCGAAAGAACAGGATGCTCGGTCATCGCAAGATGGACTGAGTCCATGCAAGTCTCACCTGTACTTCTTGTCACTCAGGCGCTGGTTCTGCTGCACTTCTTCGCCTACAATATCTACATGCCGAGACAGTGGCGAAAGCTTAGCACAGTGCACGCTCTTGAGTGTAGACTTGGAGTAGTCATCGTGGTACAGCGTAGATGCACAAAAGTAACGCTTATTTCGACTCAGCTCACTTCGTAATGGACGAAAAATTTTCTGGATGCGTCTCGAATTGTCCCTTTCCTGCTCCAGCGATGGCCTGTTCAGATTCTATCAGCCCATCGACAGGGCCTGTAGACAGAAGTGACTATTCTGAAAAAGAACATATGTACGGGTGATCGATTGAATAGAGTTTATCTCCGTGCTGGAGCGGCACGCTTCCCCTAATCATAGAGCACATCCTGGCCTTGCATCCAAACGCCACATCGAATATGTGGGGTTACGTGAAATGATAAGGACCAGACGTACAAAATAGAGCAGAGCTTGAGTCCAAGAAGTGTGCATACGTGTTTTGCAGATGCCGAACATCGATCTCGCGCAATTTGGCGAGTAGACAACGCGTAAAGTCGGGTTAGACGGTTGCAACGGCCAGTAATGCTGCGGTGATCGCTTGCGAACCACAGGTCCACAGCGGGTACCTTGAATTTAGATTGTCTGGGTATGGCTTAGCGCGCCGGGCCATTTGACGTACCCGCGGAGGCAGTTCCAAGGTCACAAGTCTGACATCCCAGGGCAACCCAGGCAATTATACGTCAAAACACTGTTTCACGTGAGTGTCGGAGCGGAGAGAAACTAATGGAGTGTTTCCCTATCTGGCGGCCTTGGTTCTTGCAATCGGAACTGCACCACGTTTCCGAGACCCCGAAGAACAATCCATCGAAGCTTTGCCACGTCGCCAGCCTGTAGCCGTTGACTCGATCACCGTGCACTAGATTTTTATCATGCAAGCTGCAGGCTCGGCGAGCAAGACATCGAAAGACGCATTTCGCTACGCGATGCTGTTGCCGAAAGAGCCGCATCTCAAACACACTGCTCATGGTGTTACAGGATGTAAATGAAAACTCCCACAAGAACGGTAATCGGTCCGTTTCGACGCAAGCATACAGAACTTGCAGACTGGAAAGATGCCTTCGAGGTACGGCGCAGCAGTCTCTCAAGAGGTTTGGCCGGATTTCCCCGGCGACAGTCGGTTGTTGTTCCCTCTCCTTTACGATCTTTTCTCTTCGCGTCCAGTTACACGCAACCGCGGGAACCTCGACGCTCAGGCTCCGAGTACGCAACATCGGAAATTACGCCTTTATCACAGGGTCGCGTGGCTTCAACTGCCGCTAAGCTGGCACCGCCTTCCCCAGACCGTGCCGTTGGCGCTATCGAGCCAACTTCGCCACCGTCGAACGGTTCAGAGAACCCATGCGCCTGGATGCAATCGGGGAACGTTGCCGGGTTCTCGACCTTGAAGAGGATAGTCGCTTGACTGCATGTTCGTCCACTCCTGATTAAAATTGCGCCGGCCACCCTTGTCTGCCGAGGCAACTTGAGGTCTGGACAACAGGCAACGTTGACGACCATGACTAACGAACCTACCACCACCAATATATCATTCTTGATGATGTCGGCGCTGCGAAGTGATGATCGAATTTTAAAGAAAATCTGCAGGATTGCGATCTTGCGGAAGGATTATGGTGCGCGTAGCATCCATGGGTACGAGAGTTGCGCTTCCACGTTCCTTCTAAAAGTCATGACCCTAGTAGGTGCGGGTGCGGCGAGGGCCGCAAAGCCCACATGTGGTCTTTCAGATCGAATAGAACCCCTGCAAAAAGACTTAAATACGCACCCACGCAAGGAGTACTGCGCACGCTTTCAGGGTTGCGTCGATCGCCAACCAAGCGTGGCAGGAGCTCCGACTATGCGTTGCCCATATTGGCATAGGTATGGGTCTAATGCAGTGATTGTGACAAGCAAGCCTAAATGAGGGGACATTCTATTGATGAGAAATACTAGGGAAAGGGGTGTCGGTAAGCTTGAATACCAACTGCGACGTGCTGGTATAAAGAGAGCTGGGACATCATGATGACTTGGCCAGGCTTCTGCAGCTCCAACCTCTAGTCACTCATTCCCAGAGCAGTTGTATGTTTCTATGCAGGCTATATCCCTACAGCTACTAACAAGTTCTTAGAGCCTGTCCATTCATTCACAATGCTTTTCAAGCAGCTCTTCAGCTCGGTCGCGGCGCTTTCATCGCTCGCGACCGCTGTTGACCTCACCGGATACGAGTACGTCGTAGTGGGCTCCGGTGCGGGTGGTGGACCTCTCGCCGCTCGTCTTGCGCTTGCAGGTCACAAGACTCTTCTCATCGAAGCCGGTGATGACCAGGGTCTCAACATCAACTACACCGTTCCCGCCTTCAACGCTCGCGTTTCCGAGGATCCCGCACTCGCATGGAACTTCTACGTCCACCACTACGCTGATGACGAGAGACAAGCCCGTGACTTCAAGACCTCGTATGAGACGCCTGATGGCGGCGAGTACACAGGTCTCTCACCACCTGCTGGCTCCAAGTTGAAGGGCACTCTCTACCCTCGTGTTGGCAGCTTGGGTGGTTGCACCGCACACAATGCCCTGATTGCTGTGTACCCCCACCAGTCTGACTTCCAGAACGTTGCCGATATCACCGGCGACGACTCATGGGCTCCGGATAACATGCGCAAGTACTTCGAGAAGCTCGAGGACAACAACTACCTTGCCGTGCAGGCTGGTCAGGGACACGGTTTCGATGGATGGTTAGGTGTTGAGTATGCGCCTATCACGATTGTCACTGAGGACTCCAAGCTGTTGAGCCTTGTTTCTGGTGCTGCTGCCGCACTCGGTGGCCTTATTGGCTCCGTCATCGACCTGACCACTCTCATCCTGGGCGATGCCAACGCCAACACCCTCGCGCGCGACCAGTCCCCTTCGCTTTACCAGATTCCTATCTCGACCGCCGACGGAAAGCGCAACGGCGCCCGCGAGTTCATTCTCTCTGTCAGCGAGGCTAAGACCGCCAACGGCTCCAAGAAGTACCCCCTCGATGTCAGGATGAACTGCCACGTTACCAAGGTTACCTTCGATGAGTCTGTTACCCCTCCTCGCGCAACTGGTGTTGAGTTCCTTGACGGCCAGTACCTGTACAAGGCCAGCCCGAAGTCCAAGGGTGCTGCTGGCACTCCTGGTTCCGCTAAGGCATCTCGCGAAGTCATCGTTGCTGGCGGTACCTACAACTCACCCCAGCTGCTCAAGCTTAGCGGCGTTGGACCTGCCGACGAGCTTAAGGAGTTCAACATCTCTGTCGTCGTTGACCTTCCCGGTGTCGGTACCAACCTCCAGGACCACTACGAGACCAACGTCCAGGGTAAGGCTCCTAGCAACTTCACCGCTTTCGATGGATGCACTTTCGACGGATCTGAGGCCGACGAGTGCCTCGATAAATGGAACAACCCCAACGCTATCGAGAAGCGCGGCACCTACGCTTCCCCTGGTCTCGGCGCTGCTATGTTCTTCAAGAGCAGCACTGCTGAGAACAACGAGTGGGACACCTTCCTTTTCGGTGGACCTGTCAACTTCCGTGGTTACTACCCCGGGTATGCTTTCAACGCCACCCATGACCATGACTGGTTCACCTGGGCTATCCTCAAGTCCCACCCTCGCAACACTGCCGGAACTGTCAAGCTTCAATCTGCTGACCCGCTTGATGTGCCCAAGATTACCTACAACTACTTCGACACCGGTAACGGCGACTACGAGAAGGACATCACCGCGCTCACCGAAGCCATCGGCCTCGCTCGCAAGTCTTTCGCAGCCCAGCTCGTCGAGATTGACGAGACTCTGCCTGGAAAGGATGTGACCACCGACGCCCAGATCTCTGACTACGTCAAGGACACCGTGTGGGGTCACCACGCCTCATCCACGTGCCCCATTGGTGCCGATGACGACAAGATGGCTGTGCTTGACAGCAAGTTCCAGGTCCGTGGCACCACTGGCCTGCGTGTCGTCGACGCCAGTGTGTTCCCCAAGATTCCGGGAACTTTCACTGCTGTCTCGACCTACATCGTCGCTGAGAAGGCCGCCGATGTCATCCTGAGCTCGCTCAGGAACTCTACCTCGGCCTAAGCTGATCAACGCACTCGATAAAACGGCCGCAACGTTGCCCATGTACATACAATAAATGTCTCATACTATGTTATGATCTAATATAATGTCGTCTCCTGCTAACCGTGTCTGGAAATGAACCTTGCCTGCGATTCCTGTCGGGAGCAAAGAGCGCAGGATGCAGCCCCGACTAGCTCTATCAGTTTTTTGCCAACCGTGTCGAGCTTACAAGTGGATCTTTTCAGAACTCCCACCCTTGCGTATCAAACGAGGCCAGAGAGATACCTTGCGCTCCGAGCTCCAACGCTCCACTTCGTCCCAATTGACGCACATTCTCTTCGAGTTCGACTTGGCGTGTGGCCGATATTCATCGTTGCTATCCCACTTGAATGTATACAGGCTCAGGTCCGCTTGACACATAATCGATATTCGAAGAGTTTCGATGCAGTGGTCTAGCGGCTTGGTCAGCGGCTAACGTACGCACGACTACAAAGACTGCTGATGTTGGCTTGATGTGCTTACCAAGATGATCGTAGAACCACTGCAGGTTCGCCTCCGTCAAATTGGTGAAGTAGACGTCGCGGTAGAGATGAAGCCTCAGCTGACGCTGTAGCACCATCAGTTTGCAAGGCATGCGCATTGCGGGGCTTGAATGATCCTACCAGACAGTGAAGTTCGTGATAGACTCCGAGAGCAGCAAGATAGCCATCTGTGTCTGCGACTCTCACTGCGTCGTCGATGGTCTCACCACCAGCGCGAAGCTCATGGTCTGTTGCTGCGAAGAATGTTGCTGTTCCCACATCAGTTATGTAACCCTCGAGAGCCAGCTATCTAAATTTGAACGCTTCCGTTGTATGAGATCCTCCCATGCCTTGGTATTCTCGTGTGTAGGAGATCCTGAGAAGCGGCTGTATTTGTCGTGGTCTACAGAGTGCTCTTCGCTGAGAACGTATCCCACCGACAACGGCTCTGGACATTCATTAGATACATTGACTCCAGATTTGTTATGACAGCCATTGACTTACTCCAGGGAGCCGAAGGCGGATTTTTGGCAAGATCAGTTCCGAAATGGAACATCGCAAGAGTAAATATCATTAGAATCAACAACCCGTGCAAACAGATGAAATAGAGCCTTGACGTAGATGAGCCCCAATTTAGAGTAGTTTCAGTTTTCTCCAATTCTTCGGTAGCAAGATCGTAACTGTCCCCGAGGGATGGGATCGAAAGGAGCAATTTTTCAGTTTCCATTGTATTAAGCGGCAACGAAGCAATGAGAAGAATTTCCGTGGCCCTGTGTCTTTGGACTCGTAACACTATATGCCCGGATCAAGAGGTAAACTTTCGATCACTGATGGATTCACCAGAATTGCCTATCATTCGGGGCTGTATACGATAGCATTATCACATCCCAGACCTTCAATTTGTCACGTCGGACATGCCACCAACCTGAATCTTGAGGTGACATGGTGTTTTGGAGATTGCGTCAGTCAACAATGGCTGGAATGTACGTCGTGTTACAAATCAAAGCCAAGCTGATGCACATTTATTGGATGTGGACGCCGCGCAGGGTCACTACCTTGATTCCAATGGAACGTTCATACTCTTTCTGATGCCTAACGGACATGAGCAGCCTGTTGCTAACATACATCCTGCTACGCCACCGGAGCAGAGTGTGAGATCGACGAAAAACCTTTCTCGATTAGCTCGGTATAGCATGCATGTCTTACAGACATATATGCACATGCTTAGCCCGCACGAACTGACTGGTCATGCGCATCTCAAAAGCAATTTCTAAAAAATTGAGCCCTTATCAAGATACGGAATGGGGGCCGCTGGATACGTCATGAAGCTGAATTGAGGCATTCGGGTTCGAGCCGAATTGGAAGGGTAATGCTTCCCTCAATAGAACGAATTATGTGTAAATATATAAGATACGGCAGCGAGCCGATTTCGTGGATCCTCAGACCTTTTTCATTAAAGTATTCCACTAGACCTCCTCATTCCAAGTACACCGATACTTTCCAACAACACCATGTACATCCATACGGTCCTCTTCGTTCTACTTTCTGGCTACATAACTTTGACAGCCGGACAACCGCTCCCAGCTGAAGGTAAGGCCACATTTATAGTATCCCAGTCTTTTATTGTGTCGTCTTGCTCACTAGACACTAGCAAAGGGCGTGACGGAAGATGATATTGTTCATACGGACAACTGCCCTAAGACTGGTAATGACCCCATATATGAGCTTTGCTCTTCCCCGAATTGCAACTACATGTCTGAACATGTCTATAGTTCCCATTCCGGAAGGAACTATCGAAGCTAAGCGCTGCGTCTTTTAGTTGAATTGATAGCGCTTGGACTGACTCAGCGTCTTATTTCATGTAGAAGGCCGCTTATTCTGTGTGGATGGCATGCTGCTAGCTCCTTCTTTGCACGTTCACTCTTTTGTATTGTGGGCACCTCATACTGATTACAATGCAAATTATTGCTCTTGTCGTCATTTTTACAGCATGATTAGTGATGTAGAAGAGGCCACTGGCTCTTATCTAGATCGTATCGCCTTCTGTGTATCAAACAAACATGGTAGATAGTCTCCGTGCCATCTTCGGAAGAGCACTCAGATTTCCGAATAGACGGGGGTCGGCTGCTTGCCACTTGAAGGTCATGCTCGCGTGATGATTGTGATAGGGGCTGCGCCATTTTATGTAGCCAAGAGGTGCTTAAAATGTGCATATACGCCCCCAAGCGTGCGCCTTCCGGACCCCAAGCTGGCTCGGGCCGAGCCATATCGCAGTGCTATAATCTCACACGGATAATAGAGGTACCTACCTGTCTGCATGTGCCACCGTATCCTTCCCGTCTAAGCGAGAAAGATTAGTCGGACGTGATGAAACGTACATCCAAGGCACGGGAGGGAAATATCAACAGTCCTAATAATGTAGGCAATCTCTTCGGTATCCGAGGATGACTGGAATAATTTGTGTACACATGCCACGAGGTAGTGATGTGCAGAGCAAATACGCTACAAAGATGAGGTTTGGGTCACCCGCTGCACTACGCCACAAAGGCGCACCAACGAACATGGGTATTCCACAGCTCTCGTCATACGCACCCATGGGTCGGATGCCTTTTGGCCTATATTATCCGGCTAAGCAGTGCCTTCCCAAATCTGACAATCCTGGGTTTGGCCCCAACTCAGATGCCTTTATGTGACACAACGCAGTCGCCTTCTCCAACCTACGAATTCGGACTTTACTTGCACACATAATCTTATCAACATGCTTTAACATGCGTCAGAATTGAAAAATCCCGCACAGCGAGTCCGATGCAGTGATAGCCTGGAGAAATAACAGTCGTTTGGGCCGTTGTTCTTTCGACCACATCGGAATCAACCATAGCAAACGATACTTCTGTCGGCTCAGACCATCGCGCTTATGAAAAATAAGGCTTTCCAAGCCTGCATTAATAATCTCTTGTTACAGCACTATGGCCATGTTGATGGCCACGCAGTCGCCCACAGTGGTCCTAACATTGACCATCATCTTGGGTGTTCTGGACGCTTTCGTCGTATCTTTGCGGTTTTACGCGCGTTCACAGAGGAAACAAAGGCTTCTGATTGATGACTGGCTGACTATTCCTGCAATGGTACGTGGTGCTGCGAAAATGCGGTTGATCAAATTTTTTACCGCTAACGCACATTTCAGGCTCTCAACGTCGGACTAGCAACGACTTTGATACATGGTACACATGTGGATGCAAATGTAAACTATCAGTGCTAACAAATGAAAGGCACCGCTAGACATGTATACGGGTACGCGACGCCTGTCCCCCCAACACAGGCAGCTGCCTCTCGTTTGCTGGAACGGACTTCTTGGACCGAGCTGGGCGACAACATCACTATTGCTGAGAAGGTAAATCTTGAACCTTAATTTCTGTTAAAATGGTTGACCATGGCACAGGATGAATGGATCTTCTTGTTGATATCGATACCTGCGCTCGGTTGTATCAAGCTTAGCATCCTGTTCTTCTACCAGCGTCTGTTTGTTATGAGCAAGCGCGACTGGCGAGACCCCAGGAACATTGCAATATGGCTGATGATTACTATTGTCACCATGTGGACGTTGGCTTTCTTCCTACGGTATCTCTTCGCTTGCGGCTTCCACTTCGATATCTGGTGGACGAACGCCATGAATATCATAACGTTGTGTGGGGACTTCAACACCATCCTTAATGCTCTTGCTATATCAGACTTTGTATGCGACGTCATTATACTCATCTTGCCTCTTCCCGCCGTAAGTGTTCCATTCTATGATTCTCAAATCAAGATCTAATTGACCAATGCAGATTTGGAAGCTGCGTCTACCTACCGCGCAAAAATTTACTGTCACCTTAGTCTTCGCTCTCGGCGGATTTTCAACAATTGCATCGATGATTCGTATGATCTGGGTAATTTGGCAAGTAAAACGTTCGCGATTCTTAGACTATCGATCCAGAACCGAGACTGAAACACGCAGAAAACTTTAATCCGGAACTAGACGTCGATTGTACATCCGCCTCGTTATTGTTATAAATGGAAACGCTGACATTTCCAGTACTTATCACCACGTTCCTCTTTTGGAACTATCTCGAAGCGACTACGGCGCTGTTAGCAGCTTGCCTTCCCACGCTACGAGGGCTTTTCAGAACATCTTCACTCGACTCTGCCATCCAAAGCTTGCGAAGTCGAATAGGTCTCAACTCAAAGTCACCGCTCAATTCATCGATTCGAAAGAAAGAACAGGATGAAGCATATGTTCTGAGGAGTCTCGACTCGGAAAGAGGCCTCGCGGCTGACACTCCTTCAGGCACATAACCAACAGCAAGTTTGTTTCTCAGTCCTTACCACGGCGCACCGCTCTTCATGTCAAATAAGGTCTTTTCGAATTCTACGTCTATGGTTTTGCCTCTTTTGAAACATATATCGACTACATAGAAATGTCACAGGCGCAGTTTGGGTGTCGGAGCGTCCCAGTGTTTTTGTCTATGGGCATATCATGTTGTGTAGATTGAAATACAGGAAAGAAGTTCGTGTCATACTGCATTCTGGACTGGAAAGCAAGCACAAATCTAGTATCTGCGCTTCGTATCTGTGACGTCTCCTGAGATCATGCCTGCCGTAACAAATCGGTGACTCCACTCAGACTTCTATTCCACTACGTTGCCTGGTGAATGCTGAAGTTCGCAGCGGCATGCATTTGACCAATGATCATTCGGGTCGCTGACCACCCCATGCCTTTCATCCTTGCGTGATGTGCATGAGCTGCCAACTTAGCCTCAGCGCACTTAAAGTATTATGCAGGGAGCGTAGACAGGGTTACGTTTATTGATGCTGACCACCGATGCACATGCATTCAAGTATCCGTTACTTTGGGATGGGGCTGCCGATGAGGGGGCCAGCTGTCTCGTTGCGCAGCACTGTGGCACGGTTCAAAAGCCGTGCCCCACTCGGAGCGAGAGGGTGTTACCACGCCAATACTCCTTGTCCTCATCGTTTTATCGAACTTCTCAGTCCCTACTCTCGATACCAGCTCATTTAGCACCTACGTAGACTTCAGAGATGTTGTACCTGGTGTTTTCCACCTTTATCGCTTGTCTCCTGGGAGCAAAGCTCACCGCGTACGTACGCCACACACTCCAGCAACGCCGTAATGGCTGTCTGGAGCCACCGTCCCTGCATCTCAAAGACCGAATATTTGGCCTAGATCTTTTTTTCAAGAAAATGCGAGCACTTAAGGCGGGAGACTATCTTGAGGGCAACACCGCTCTCTTCAAGCTGTTCTCGAGTAAAACTTATAGGAGCTATTCTTTCGGTACTACTACGTATCATACAATTGATCCGGAGGTAGTGAAGAGTTATCAATCCACTTTCTTCAAAGACTTCGGCATCGAGCCGCTCCGATATCACCTAGCCGAGAACTTGTGGGGCAATGGTATAGTCGTCGCAGATGGACAACGGTGGGCATCAGCGCGTAGCTTTATTCGGAGTAGTTTCGATGTCGTTCATACGGCCAACATAGATCGGTTGGATCATCATGTGCAAAGGCTCATGGAGTTGATTCCGCGCGATGGATCGACTGTTGATTTGATGCCGCTATTCAAGCGCTTGGTGGGAAGCCATATCTCATAGGTGGAGCGCTGGAGTGCTAATCAACAATTAGATCCTCGACACATCGAGTGAGTTCATATTTGGACAGTCACTGAACGCACTTGACGATCCGGACGTCACATTCATGGAAGCCTTCGAGTTCGCCCAACGAGGAACCGGTATGAGGATGATGCTGGGGCGTCTGAGGTTTCTGCATCGCGACGCAAAGTGGTATGCTGCATGTGATAAGGTCACGAGCTTCTGTGAGCAGCGTGTAGAAGAAGCGCTTGAAAGGCTGAAAAGCGGGCAAGAGCGTCGCACTGAGCGAGATCGGCTGCGCCTTGTTGACGAGGCAGCAAAGCTCACCACGGACCGGTACACCCTCCGCTCACTGATCTTGAGTGTCTTCAGCCCTGCACATGATGGAGCTGCTGTGGCACTGAGCAATGTCTTCTTTCACCTCGCAAGGCACCCGCGAGTCTGGAATAAACTTCGCGAAGAAGTCATGTGTGACGCGGACCGACCAATAACTTACGAGTCGCTCAATTCGTATACGTACTTGAAGAATGTCTTTCGTGAGAGTATGTTGCCCTCGATCTCCTGAGCCCAAGCACTGACAAGATCTAGCCCATCGCCTGACGCCCATCGTCAATGGCAACCAACGAATATGTCTCAAAGTAAGACCTCCATTATAGATGGAGAGGAATAGGACATCCATACTGATCAAATCTCGTTGCAGGACGTTATCCTTCCCACTGGCGGAGGCCTCGATGGTAACAGTCCGCTTTTGTGCAGGAAAGGCGACATCATCGAGGCCGACTATCGTACGATGATGCGCGACCCCGATTTCTGGGGCCCAGATGCGGAGGACTTTTTGCCAGAGAGATGGGAGAAGGTGCGACCAGGTTGGGAGTATCTACCGTTTGGTGGCGGACCTAGACAATGTCCGGGGACAAGGCTTGTTTTTACGGAATGCGCCTTTACCACGGTCAAGATCTTGCGCGAGTTTACCAAGTTAGAGAACAGGGATGAAGAAACGGAGTGGAAAGAACAGATGCGTATGACTTGGCAAAGCAAAAACGGTACTCTGGTCGGACTTGTCCCTGCTTGAAGGAGTTGAGTACTGGCAGGAAGATTTAGTCAACAACGAGTTTTCAATTTCATGACTTGAGCTCTTTCCTAACTAAGGTTCCTGTGGTGGTTATAATAACGCGGACGGGCGACCAGCCTTGTCTAGTCATACGTCTTGTCCAGGAAGTCATTTTAGTCATTATTTTCCCTCACATCTGCAGCTTGAAGTTGAGGTTGAGGTTTGGGTGAGCCTTTCAATTTTGGGGTGCTCTCTTTGTAGTCCTGCTTGTAGGGCAGCTTGTTCTTCTTCTCCCACTTTCCAGTATACTCCCAATGTCAGCTCCCCTGCACAAGAACCCATATATGCTTGATGTCTGTTACGAACTTGCCTACATTCCTTCAAGCACCTAACTCGCCCTTGGCTGGCGGATTTCTTCAATATGTCGTCATTGACGCGCTGCCAATTGCATTGAGAGATGGACCATGACTAAGAGTGGGATGGCGAGCTTGGATAGACTTAGCATTTCCAACCCACCGTATTTTGGTGGAGATTTCACAACATGGGCGCCTTGTACAACTTGAGGATTGAAAACAACAGACACACCGACCGCTTTTATTATGGAAGCGATCAATTTAGTGAAACAGCCGCACACGCGGCATTCGTACACGCACGATCAACAATACGCGCGCGCTTTCCAGGGTACGTTGGGCAGGAATGAGGGCGGACTGTCTTGAACTCTTGGCCAGCGGTATGCTGTAATGGGCAAGTTGACCATCTCAGTCCAAACTTCAAGCTTTTACTGAATGAGGACGAAACATGATTGTTGTATTGCTGTCGACTGGGTTCGCACCTAATCGATAGGCAACTGCTTATTTGTGCACGATGGCCCACACCTCACATTCATATAATATCTCTTTCGTTGCCAAGGCTGCAACACCCAGCACTGTGTCCGGAGGGCGATAGCCGTCAGCTTCCTTGTCCATGAATTCTATCCCTGAATTGCGGTTAGTGTGAGGGCATAGAAGGAAGGATAGGGTAGCATCTAATGTAGGATCCGGGATCTACTTACAATGGTGGCCCCACACACGTGTCAATTCATCTTCGCTCTCGACTCCGACACGCCCAGTATCTTTGACGATGAAGTGCTTCACATGGATGATATCGCGAGGAGTCGCATCCGCTGCCTTCAGCGCGTTGAGGATATTTTGGTAGGCGAGTTTGACTTGAGCATCGAAGCCTTCTACTATTTTATGAGTTTTGCCATCCAGACCGACCTGGCCGGCAAGTGCGATGAGCTTCGATGTCGGCAAGAGAGGCGTGATGGAGACTTGTGAATAGGTTGGTGGGGGCTCGGGAACGTCTGGCGGGTTGAAGGCGTGCGGCTTGTTCGACATTGTGGATTTGGTTGCAGTTACTGATTATGGAAAAGGTAGAAACTACGCGGTGCTGTGATACAATCTTTGAAGATGCGGTCTCGAATTTGTAGTTCTGCCGAGAAGAATTTGGTGATCGCAATGAGGGGATGACGACGTTGGCCCAGATCGCTACTGCACCTCATCCCTAGGGTTCATCACATCGGTACTAGCGCTCGCTTCTTCAAGACTAGTGTAATTTTGCCAATGATTGACCTTCGCTCCGCCAACATCACCTTCAACAGGCAATCCCTCCGTTCCGATTGACTTGCGTAACCGCAATAAGTTATAAGCAAGCCAGATCCAACTCGACTACTTTGCTGACAACCTACATGCTCAAGCCGGCAAAGTGCATTTTCAGCAGCCCCTTGGCTTCGATCTCCTCGCGCATTTGTAAGAGTTCGTCAATGTCCCAATTGCATGCCACCAAACGGTCTTGCAGAAAGTCTGCTTCGCGCGTGGCAGCAAGCCACACACAAAACGCACCCGGGAGCTCTGGTAGCAGTCAGCATCGCATCTGGAGTGGACCGGAAATCAACACGTACCTGGATCCTCGAAAGTGGGAATCCCGTTCTCCTTGGCCATGTCCGTCTCGACTCTACCTGGGTGAATTGAGAACGCGCGGATCTTCCCACCCGATTCTGCTGCAAGGTATTGCGTCATGCTGAAGGCTGCAAGCTTCGTCGCGACATAGTTCGACCACGTGGGAAAGGTAGGCATAATGAGTCCCACACTCGAGACGTTTATGAAGGTGGCTGGATCAGATCCGTTGCGGTCGAAGCCAAATTTGAGAGCCGCCTGGATCACGTTCAGCGTGCCCTTGACATTGATCTCAAAGGTCTTCCAGTAGTCGTCGATGTTGGTAGCTTCGAGAGTAGCGAGGTGGAGGCCTGCCGCATTGCTGACAACGACGTCAACTCTCTTGAATTCATCCCGAACAGCTTTGAAAACATCGAAGATGGCTCCAGTATCGGTGACGTCGGCTGTGAAGGTGCGGACCACTGTCAAGTGACCCCCAGCTCGGGCAAGGCCTGTGATCTCAGTCTCCGCTGATGACAAGGTAACCTTGTTCCGGCCCAGTATGACGATAGCGCTGGCTCCCGCTTTGGCGAAAGCCATGGCAATTGCCTTTCCGATACCCCGACCGCCACCAGTCACCAAAACGACCTTTCCCTTTGCAGGAAGAGCAGCGCTTGTTCGAGCAAGGCTTGCGTATAAGGAAGAATGGAAAGTCTTTGTAAAGACCGGAAAATCGGTAGAAGGCATAGGCATTTTGAGATGAAAGAATGAGGTTAGGAGGTGCTGGTAAATTGGAGGCAGTGGCAGAGTTGCTCAACTTCGGAGGGGCCTTCCCGTCTTTTATGTTGTGTGTTAGCAGGCCCTCATCGATACGATTTCCAGTAAGCCATATGGGCCCACATGAAGCCATGCAAGGCTTATGTTAAGCTTGACTCTCCTCGGAAGCACCCTTGGGGGCCTCATAACCGTCTACAGTAGTAGAAGGCGCATGGATTTTTCAGTACCTTCGGAGTCGACTCGCATGGGGGTTTGCCCGGTCTTCATGTTGTACACTGAGCACAAGCGGGGTTGGGTTGTTCGCAGGTAGATCGAGCACAGCAGACAGTTGCCTCTTCTATAGCACACAAACCCCACAGGAGGCCATGTAGCCAGATTCAGGGTTCAACATACCTTGGAAGACGATCAAAGATGTTATGGTCTGTCTTCACAAGGTAAAGTGTGCCCGAAGGATGCTGAGCTATGCTCTGCACGGCTAGCGCATCTGTGGGCTTACGGTTCTCCTAACGCGACTGGCTTACGCTTAACATTATCTTCGCTTCGCGTCGTCTCAGGAAGAGCATTGGAAAAACCAGCCCCTAGATTAAGGATATACTGCTCAGCGAAAACGGAGTCATGAACACTCAAACAGCGCCCGAAGGCCTAAACAAGCGTAGCTCAACTTGCGTCCGAAAGCGGACGCTCACCGAGGACAGACGTAGGCAAAATCGCGAAGCGCAACGCCGATACCGTGTGTAGCAGTCCATACATGGTATTACTATGGCTGACCGCGCTTGCAGGAGAGCGGAGAAAAGCGGTGCGAAACCCGACTCAACACGACAACAATGTCATTACCGGCTTATTTGATGCTGATGTGGAACAAATCCCTTGCCATTTGGGCTTTCCGGACTGTTCACTACAGCCGATCGATGACAGCATATTCGTAGAACCCATGTTCCTGTCAGACATGTTAATGCTCAACACTTCTCCGGACGACATTGGGCGGGTGGATCCTCTCCCAGACGCACAGGAGCATAACGAGTCTAGTCCGTCCAACGGCACGACAACCCTCTCGCTCCCCTGCTCTCCCCGTAGCATACAGCCACCCAATCCGGACCACACCCCCTCCCTCCCTTCGCTCTACAAGAACCACCTCACAATCCGCAAACTCAGCTTCTACGCCGCCCGCATCCAAAATGCGCTGCACCTCGGCCTCCCCACCTTCCTCGCGCAGAAGGACAACGACATCTCCCCGTGGTACTGGCACACGCAGTTCTCGCTCCTCATAACGTCCTCTTCCACTTCGCCCACGAACCCTTCCCGCTCCGCCCCCGCAACCTTCTCAAACTACGGATTCGCACCCACCCGCCCCATCCGCTGCCAACCCTGCTTCAACATGTCCGCCTCCGTCTCCCCCGACCTCTCCCCAACGCCACTCCAACGCTCCCACGCGCACGGCATGTACCTCGACGTTGTGCCGTTCCCCGTCTTCCGCGACCGCGCCATCACGCTGCTGGCGATGCAGCCGCCGGCGTTTGAGGAGGCGGAGCTGAAGCGGGACATGGAGGATGGGGGGCTGGTGGTATGGGGAGCTGGACATGGGAAGGCGGGCGGGGCGCTGGTGCGGGATCGGCGGAATTGGGAGTGTGCGGGGTGGTTCTGGAGGAAGTGGAGGTTGTTGGTTGAGGGGAGTGGGTTGGAGGAGCAGAGCAGGTGGTGGAGGGATATGAGGGGGGAGGAGGATGAATTTGGGGAACTATGATGATACGGGGAAGCAACGAGGTGTTATGTGAGACACTGGGCGGTCGCTGCTCATGAAATTGGCACCAAGGTTCGCATAAGAGGCCTCCAGCCCCAGTGAAAATCGACCATTGTCTCAAAGCCCCCTGACCCCAACCTTCAAGTAAAAAGGATCCTCCTCGATCCTCTTCCTAATCTCCCCGCTCTTTATCTCATCCACATCCCACTCACACCAGATGAACCTACCATGCAGAAACGCCGCCTCAGGCGACGCGCACCAAACCGCAAACCTCCCAGGAAGATCCGGACTATTCCACGCAAACGACTCCTCATCGTACCCCGCGCCCTTCGCCGCCTCCGTAAGCACAGCCCCCGGATTCATGCTCACAATCTGCATTGTCTCCGGGGAGGTGTCCTGTGCGATGAGCTGCAGCGCGAGCGCAGCCGCACTTTTCGTCAGCCCGTACGCTGGTCGATCTGCCGCGACGAGGTGGTTGTGGATGGCGAACGTCGACACATTGACTAGATTCTGCCGTCCCATACCAAATCAGTACGGCACCTTGCACACTCTTCCGTCAGAGAAACAGTAAACGGACCTTAGGCACCCTCCCCTCCTGCTTTTGCTTATAGAAACGCTCCACCATCTGCAGCTGCGCGCGCACATTGACATCGAACGCGGACCACACGTCCCCCAGCCCGCTCTCCAGCAGCGGCTTCGCGTCCGCCACCTTGACCGCGTTGAGCACGAGCACATCCACGCCCGTGCCCTCCTTCTCAAACCCCTTCCACAGCGCATCTATAGCCAGTGCATCACCCACATCGCACACAACGCCCACCGCCTTGCCTCCAGGATTTGCAGCCGCGGCCGTAAGGGAAGCAGCTGCGTCCCTGGTCGCGCCTTCTCTCCGGCCAGTGATGATGATCTTTGCAGCGGAGGCTTCGAGGAAAGCCGTGGCGATGGCGTAACCGATGCCTGCGTTTCCACCGGTGATGAGGACTGTTTTTCCGGCCTGGGAGAGCTCGAGGCGGGAGGGAGATATGGCGGGGTAGGGCGCCTTGTGGAAGGGGGTGGTGAGTGTCCAAGCTGGCGCTGGGACGTTTGACTGATTGGAAGCGGTTGACATGGCGGACTTGTTAAACTAAGCAGTCGAATGATGGATAGAAGAATTTGCGCCCAGCTGGGTGTTATATATTCATGCTGGCGTGAACTCATGGCTCCTTCCTCAGTTGCAGCGGGCGGTGGGTGTGCGGGCGAAATCACATCGTATCCACCCAGCGCTCCGCAAGTTGCGGAAGACTTGCGGGGCTCTTGCGAGATTCTGATTTCGCATTTCCCTTCCATCAGTCAACAGACGACTTTTATGTGTTGTCTGTGCAGCTTCCGTTCTTTGAGCTGCGGGAGACTTGCGGATGACCCACTTTTCTCCGCCGCTAAGAGCATGGGTGGTTGCATGGTACAGTTCTCGTGAACAGGCCGCGGGGCATCCACAAGTTTCTGCGGCGGATGTAAACAAGCGGACGAGAAACGGGGTTAAGGATTTCGGAAACAGGCGCGATCGCAAAAGAATGATAGATACCGGCAGGACTCTCCGTCTATACTCTAGGGTATGCACTCTCCATGGGCCACTCCACTCTCTCCTCGCCATGCCGCGACGGCACTAAACGCCCTAAACCCTAGTCCCAAAGTCCTAGAAGAAGCCTTTCGCCCATACAAAGTACAAGCGCTTACGCTCACTCGACAAAGGGAAACAAAACCAGAAATGCAGACCCAGAAACACCACCCAAGGGGGAGCTCAGCTTGGCTTATCGCAGCCAATGCGCCCCAGCAGCTCTTTGTGGTCGCCATGACCCGGAATGCTAATCCCGCTTGATCTGGTCGAGCGCTGGTTCTTGCTTCTCCGCACGGCGGCGGCGCCGTTCGCATTCATACTTTTCCTAGAGGCGAAGTTGAGCGACTCGACGCCGACTTCCTGCTCTAGCGGTGCGGCCGCCACATGGTGTGCCTCATATCCGGTCTTAACATCCTCCATCTCCTCATCGTCGCCTTCGTCGTCGGAACGGACGTCATCCGCGGAGTTCCCTCGAATGACGTTTACCACAACCCTCACGATCATGCAGAACCACAGAAAGATGATGGCTTGCAGACACAACAGAAGGGTTAGGAAGCTGAAGCGGATGGTGGGATTCCAGCAGACGGGCCCTTCGCGATCGGTATACGCCTTGACAAGATTGGGCCAAACAACGTTGCCGCCGAGCGCATCATAACGTTCTGTCTCGTTGGCGGCCACCATAGTACCATCAGCAAAGTAGCAGCCGGGCTCCATATCGATAGGGGAGTGCTTGTAGACGGAATATATCACCATCGGGAAGAAGGCTTGGCGGGTGACGAGCCAGACGACAACGAAGAGACCGAAGAAGATGTCGCAGATGTTGGCGTAGCCCATGTACTTCAACAGCTTGGCAGTCTACAAAACGCATTAGCATAGTGTGGCTTGCAGTAGTGAATGTCTGCACTTACCGGCAGTACGATGTCGACTAGATCCATGATACACAGAATGACAATGCCGACGCGGGTATGGTAATACCCGTACGAAAGGAACAGGAGCGCAATGGTGAAGATGTGGTGGGTAAACATCTCTGCATAGTCTTTCCGCTTCTCCTCAATATTCACAACCAGAATTTGCGCAATCCAAAACGCCCATTGCGCGAGGTAGTAAAATTTGGACAGACCGCAAATCTCGCGGAACGGCCAGCCTTTCCACATGCCATGCAGATTGAAGAAGTACTCGGAATTCCAGAGAATGTACTATTTGGCCGTTAGCTTTTAGTTGTTGTTGCGCACCGCTGTCCACGCACCATTCCAAGTGACCACGAGCAGACGCAGTAGCAGACCAGCCAGGCCTGTTCCTGGAACCTGACAAGGCCTTTCTTCGTCCTGATACCTCCGCACCTGGCCAATGGTGCCAGGACATAGTCCATTACGGCCACTCGCAAGCCCACGAACAGAACGAGCCACAGGGCGACGTATGCCAGGTCGTCAGTACCGCAACCATATTTCCCGTTCTCGGCATTGTAGTAGGAGAGGTGGTAGAACTTTCGTGTGTGTTGGCGCGCTCGAGGGAAGAAGATGTGCGTGAGGAACAGGAGGGAGAGGAGGTTGACCGCTATGCCTGTGCGCGAAAATTAGACCTTTGTACAGGGCTATATGTCTTGAAGAGTCAGGCTAAACATACCGACCTGGTGCTCGCATAGCTGCATGCACAGGTATGTAAAGAGCCCGTCATTCTCCGTCCGAGGCTTTGCTCTCTTATAAGGTTTGTGTGTGCCATTTGCGCCGTTCAAGCGCTCGTTGTTGCTGGGGGCAATACCTGCGGCTTTCCCCAAGCCGCCTGTATCTGAACTGCGACAGCTGATCATGCTGTATGTGGCGCGCTGAAGTAGGGTAGAGGAATCGACCAGCCGCGGGGAAGCGTGGGTATGGGGTAGCGGTCCACTTGAGGCAGGGCGTCAAGCGATGGCAGTATAGCGTCGCAAACAGAAACCCGCTTCGCGGTGAGTGTAGACGTCTGCTCTGCACAAGTGGGAGTAGAGGTGTTGAACGGCGATGTTCGCGCGACGATCGCTTCGGCCACACGTGTCAGGTAACGAGCGTTGGTTCGCTTCTTCTTCTGCTTCCCCCTAGGAATGAGCGGACATGGACGACGGGGTGAGGAGGTGGAGCGAGGAGCGCAGCGTGCGGCAAAAAGATGCGGTGGACGGGCGAGCGACCGATTTGCGGGGATGTGCGTTTCGAATGGGGAGACAGGCGGTGAAATTCAGGGCAAGAGAGCGCGGATCGCACCTCCTTTTCCTGTTGTTCTCGCGGGCTGCGCAGATGGCCTGCGATGATGTGCCGTCGTCACCCTCAGCTCGCAGCGGTCGAGGCAATTGGAACAGTGCAGGGCGAGTCCACTGTTCGGGAAGGTCGCAATCGTGTCAACGGACCCCCGCAAAATATCGACGGCGTGGTTTTGCGCACAGGTCCGTGAGCGACAGGTTGCAGGCGAACACGCAATGCAATGCAGGTGAGCAGCGAGGCAGCAAACAACGACGCTGGCAACACGACAAACGACGACAAGCCAGACAGGAGAACAGATCGGCTTCGCCCTGCGTCCCAGCGGAGCTTCTTCTTGTCTGGGCGGAGCCTCAGGTGGCCTGAGCGCACTTGGAACCTCGTCGAGGCTGCTGTTTCGTTTCTCGCCAGACGAGAAGGGGGCCCGCCTGCAGCCAAGCCCAGCGGCGCCCAGGGTCCACGACACCTGTGGCCAATCCCTTCCCACATGTGCTAAGCCCCCTCCGAACAGTGCCCCGCAGCGGCCATCGCCAGCTGCAGTGCATCCATGGACGTCACGCAGCCATGCAGAGACAATACAAAGCGGCCAGTCTTGTAGATCGAGTGGTATGCTATTGGAGAGCGTGATACGGAGTGATCCAACCTCAACGCAAAGAGAGCGCCCTGCCAGTACAGCCCCCAAGCTATAAACCCACGGCATGGACCGCGCCAAACAGAAACTACCGTGGCCAAACGCCTCGTATATACCCCATGCATGCCCGCCGCGCAACACCCTGCCCTAGTTGTTGTTCTGCGAGTTGAGGATCCTCAGGATCGCGAGGAAGAGGTTGATGATGTCGAGGTACAGCGAGATGGCCGCCGCAATCTCCTCCTCCACGTGGTAGTGGCGCATGATCAACTGCGTGTCGACCAAAATGTATCCAGAGAAGATCAGGGCTGCCACGACGCCGTAGCCAAGCTCCATGGTGGATGTGTGCGGGAAGAAGGCCGACATGAAGCCGAAGAGAATGAGCACCCACAGTGCGCCAAACAGATATGGTGCCCAGTGGGTGAAGTCGTACTTCGTCTGGCACGCAAACAGACTGAGCGCCACGAAGATGCCCAGCGTAAACATGACTGCCTGCAAAACGATGTGATTGTCCGTGAAAGCAATCACGACGCTGATCGAGTATGCTTCCATGAGAGTGAAACCGGCGAGGAACATGAGATTTGTAGGGTACGATTTGCGTTTCCAGAAAGTGAGGCCCAAGAATACGAAGGCTCCGATGAGTGACACCCACATGGGCCACTGATTCTCCTTGATGAACTTCTGGTACGGTTCAGACATCATCGACAGTCCGCCGAGGACGGCTGTGCCGAGGAGCTGGGCAGTCCTGTGTCGCAGTCAGTCTCATGCGCTAAGACAAGCCATGCTTCCAACTTACAAGATAGCATAGACCTTGCGGATGAAGGCCATGCGTATGTCCAACGTCGCCTCTGCCACCACGCCTCCAAACTTGAAGTCATCGGGCAAGTTGTCATGCTCGCTCCTGGGCACGCCTGAGATGAGAGCTTCGCGTGTCGGGTCTGATGCTTCCTGGTAGCTCGGTGGTGCCTGGGCGAAGCCAGAGGGCTCGTCGAGCGAGTCCCGCTGCGGGACGTTCGTGTATTTCGGGCCAGCCATTTCGGATGCTGTCGCGGTTTACCGTTCAGCGATAGCGGTCGATAGAGCCGCGCGCGGTTGACTTAGGAAAGTAGGGGCGTTGCGAAGAGGGAGCTCGGTGGCGGTAGGCTGTGTAGAAGGCAGGCACCGCCAAGCCTCAGTGACATAATCGCGTGGTTCTCGTGATTTCTTTGACACCATTCCCAGAACATTCCATCACATCCTTCGCATGTTTATTCTTCACGAGTTCAAATGTACGTCTACAACACAAGATCATCGGGTTACAGGTTTCGAAATGAACTTTAACGAAGCTTCACTCCTCAGAGTCGGATGAGAGCGCAACATCCTCTCCATCATGTACAAGAACACCAAACACTTGATCCAAAACATCCAGCAGTTGAACCTGTTACGATTTAGCCAAGTACAATACCATAGCTCGAGGATAATTTCTTACCTTAGTTGCCCATTCGACAAATTGCTCCCTTGTCACAGCTCCCTCGCCTCCAAACCCCACAACCGCCGCAGGATCTCCCCACCGCAGTGGAAACGCCGTCGCGAGCTCTCGCAACGGTTCCAATTTCTTTACTGGCAGACTCTCCGGCACCTCTACATCCCTCGCTGGTGCCAGCCGTTCCGCTAACGGCCTAAAGTCATCCAGAAGTTGGCGCCTAATGATACCCTTTGCCCACGTTCGCCACGGGTACTCCACTCTACTCACAACATCTAGAACGTCGTCCTGTGTTGGGACTCCGATAGGAGAACATGCTAGAGCCGAGTAGATGAACCTGAGTCGCTCTTTCTCCGAGTGCGTCCGTATCTCGTAGTCATCTCCTACCTGGCATGCTTGCCTGAAGGGTAAGCTGGCGTGGTCTGTCAGAAGCAGGACTGCTCGGAGCAGGGCGTCTCTTGTGAGCATGACTGGGTTTGTGAATGGGAAGTGCGCGTGCGAGGTGATCAGAGCTTCCAGGGCTGGAATTGCGCCGATCACAGCATTGTGCTTCTCGGCCTGGTGCTGAACCTGGACTAGACGGTCGGTAACTGAGTGCATCTCTATTTCTTCATTGGGGGATTTGGCAAAAGCTGCCATGTCTACGTTGAACTGTTCAATTTGAGCGCGCTTGATGACAGCCCCGTGCATGTCTTGGTTTCCCTCTGTGAGGGTGGCTAGGAAGAGGGTTCGTATGTCGTCTGCCCAGGGTCATGATTAGCTCTGTGTATGTCTAAGCAGGCTCACTTCTTACCGACTGTGGCACTCTTCTCCCATTGTTCAAACTCGACTTTCTTTTCAGCGTTCACTGCGGGCCTCTTGCGTTCTTCCCGCCAGAATCGGTACAAGCCAAGTATAAAGGACATCGCTGTGAATAGCAGATGGAGAGTAGGTAGTGCTGTAGGGATTTAGTCTAAGTAGGCTGCATGCGATTATGACAGAAATAATCAAGGTCGGGAATCCACGTTGCGTTCATGAGCATCCAAACTATGCTGAGGAGGTTACATGATGCCTAGAACGATTCTCGGACAATGCGAGACACTACGGGGCGGAAGGCGCAGCCGGGCGTGGGCGCAGCTCTAGCGAGATTTCTCGCGCGACTTTTCTCAGCACTGCTTGACGACCTTGACACGACTTTCTTATCGAACAATGGGCACTTCTCTGTGTCTTGATCTACCCTTCTAGTGCTGCTTCACCCCGCAGCCGGATTGGTCGGGCGCTGACGCTCAGTCAGCGTGGACCAAGTTTCAATGGGGCCAAAGCGCAGCCATGCTTCTGCCCATCGTGTCAAACAGCATTCTTAATGACGACTAGAACCCAAGCAAGAGCATGTCTTCACGTGCAGAATATGGAAAGAGTCTACCGAAGGGCCTGCAAGGCGTGCACAGCAACCAAACGTCGCTGCACGAAAGAGATACCGTCATGTCTTCGCTGTACGACCAAGGGTCTCAGTTGCTCCTACCCTGCGACCCGCCAGATTGAATCATCTAGTCTTGAGACTATCACGGGTTTACAAGAAACCATCGCGCCCCTCGATGTAGATCAAGACTACCTGTTTCTCGACGTCGACTTCAACAGCGTGGAAAGCATTCTACCCACGTCCGACCTCTATATCATGCCATTTGAGGACCCATATGTGAGCAATGAGCTTACCCCTGCGTCCGACAAACTCTGGTTCGTTACGAATGACTCCTGGCACATTGGACATCTGGGCCCAGGTCATGGACTGGAGTACATCGGCGAAGAGTCGCTCGAAGTATATGTGGCAACCGTCCAGGGGTGGTTCCGACAGTGGACTACAGATAATACTTGCCCTCTAATACACCGACAGCTATATCAGAAGCACATGCCGCGCTGCATCCAAGACGCATTCACAGCGCTCAACTCGTACCTCAACAAGACCCCCGCCACACAAAAAGTCGTCCTCCAGATCATCGAGGACCGTGCCAGGGATCTCATATATTCATACGCCACGCAAGGCCCGGTGGTTTTGCCTCTCCTCGAACACCTTGCCCGCGTCCAAGCCCTTCTCACATACAAGCTCATCTGCCTCTTCGATGGCGATATCCGCCTGCGCGCCCGCGCGGAAGCACACGAACTCACCCTCACATCTTGGGACTCGCTTCTCTGGCAGAGAACAACCGAAGAAATGACCGCCGGAAACCTACCCTCTCTTTCTCCGTACCCGCCTGTTCCCCTGACGCCGTGGAAAGCATGGTGCGTCGTCGAAAGCATACGCCGGACATGTCTTACTGTTCGCATCCTGCAATCAGTGTATGCGACGATGAGGGATGGGGCGGCGGCATGTCCGGGGGGTGTGGTGTGTACGTTTGGGGCCGGGCTGTGGGAAGCAGGGAATGAGCGGGAGTGGAGGCAGAGGGCGAATGGAAAGAGAATGTTTATGCAGAGTCTGAGCGTACGAGAATGGCTTGGAAATGAGGACCCGGGAAGCGTAGATGAGTTTGGACACGCGGTTCTGCTGGTAACATGTGGATTGGAGCGCAAGGGGAATTGGACGGATAATGGGAGTGCTTCAAGACGAATTAGGGAAGCTGGAGCAGGTCACAGGTCACCAACCGATGAGTTCAGTCGACGATACACAACGTGAGTGGCAAAGATGGTAGATGCTTCCAAGAACATACTTGTAACTAGAGGTAGACATTATGCTAACATACTAACAGTCGTGTACTCGTCACATGAATACAATATGCTATCATGCTCACTCGCACACGCTCCGCATCGAAATTCACTCCCTTTACAACCCCTCCTTCTCCTTAACAGCCTCACCCATCGCCTGCGCATCAGTGCGATAATTCTTAAACTTCCTCGCTGGCACTCTCTTAATGAACATCTCGTCGAGCTCCTCATACGTCCGTCCTGCCGTCTCAGGCTGGTAAAACCACAGATACACCAAACACAACACCGCCAGCCCCCCAAAGATAAATCCCAGCTTGCCCCCCAAGTTGAGCTTGTCGGGATTAAACAAGTACGGTAGGACAAACGACCACATGGTGTTCAGCGCGTTCTGCAGCGCCAATCCGAGCCCAATGGTCTTAATGCGCAGCCGCGACGTGGATACTTCGCACAGTATGGTGTACGCCGTCGCTCCGATGGTCACGTTGTACCACCAGCAGTAGAGCAGGATCATGCTGACGGCGGCCTTGGAGCCAGCGGGCGTGCCCGGAACGGCGCAGCCCGCCATGACGAAGAGGATGACGGTGAGCACGGCGAGTCCGTAGAAGGTGAGGTTGCGGCGCCCGACGCGGTCGATGAGATACCACGACATGACGTTTCCGATCAGCGAGATTACCTGCTGCACGATCTGCAGCTTGAACGACATCGCCGTGGAAAAGCCCGCAAGCTGCATGTAGTACGTGGAGTAGCTGGCGGCGAAGGCAATGCCTGAGAGCGCCTGAATGGACAGCGGCGCAACAGATATCATCGTGCGGCGAAGGTTGGACTTGCGGAAGCACTCGAGGTAAGTCACGCCCTCTGTTTCGCGCTTCACTTCTTCGAGCGTGTTGGTGATGAGGGCGAGCTTCTTCTTGCCTTCAAGTCCGCTGTGCCCGAGGCTGTGCAGCGCCTTGAGCGCGCGCTCCGGGCGGTCCTTGCTGACGAGCCACCAGGGGCTCTCGGGCATGAAGAACACGAGGGCGGCGGCTACGGCGGCGAAGCCGTACTGCGCGCAGAAGACGGCGCGGTAGGCCCAGCGGTTATTGTAGGTACCAGTCGAGTTGACGATGAGGGCGACGGTGAGGGGGCCGAAGGTGTAGGCGAGGGCGGTCAAGCATGTTAACATGCCGCGGAGTGCCAGGGGTGTAATCTCGCCGATATAGGTCACGGTGACTGAGGCGAGAGCGCCGGTGGCGAAGCCGTTGAGAAACTTGCCCCCGAAGAAGAGCTCGTTGGTGGTGGCTACGAATTCCATGGTGATTGCTGCGAAACTTACGACTAGGCATAGCATGATCACTGGCCGGCGACCGAGCCAATCTGCAAGTTGACCGCATCCCAAGGCGCCAACAACTGCGCTGGAAGGCGTCAGAACCATCCACTGAACAGAAAACTTCGCACTGCAGGGAATGAATGGGGACTTACGAAGCCACTGGAGCTCCCTGGAAGGCGGCCTGCCACTTTGCATCGAGCACATAGGCAGTGTTTCCATCTGCATCGATGTATGGGTTCCCAAAATCTTTCCTGAACTCTGGAATACTGATGACGTTGCCTGCAGCTTGGTTTTCAAAGCTGACCAGTAAGACTAAAAACGCGGACCAAAGGTCAGTGGACTGGTAGGCAGAAGGATGTTTGGGTAGAAGTAGGTGTCGTGGCGCCCCTGCAGTGCCTGGGCAAGAGTTTGAGTACTCTGTCTTACCCCAGGAGCAGCAGCACAGCACTTGAAGTTTTCAACTCGCACTTTAACATCTGAAAGCTTCAGATATGCTGCTGCGCTGGCACACCCACTCCGTAGCGCGGTATTACTTACCACACCAAACAGCATAGAAGCACCAAAGACATGCCCAGGGATATTTGCGAAACGAAGCAAGTTTGCCGGTCTCATGGTCTTCCTGGTTGGCCAGGTGTCCCAGCTGAGCAGTCTCCGTAGCAGTGGGTGCAAGCTTCTCGACGAAGTTCTCGTTAACCTCAACGGCGGAGGGTTTTTCTGCCATCGTGATGGGACGTGGGGACAACAAAGAAACAGCGGCCTTGAGGATGGCTGAGGACAAGAGATCAGACGTAGATGTGCACCCAGAACTGCGGTCCCGAGTTCCAGCGCTGTGGGTCACCAAAACGTGGGGATACTCGCTCCCTTAAGTATCTGGAGAAGATATGCGGGCCTCCGCATGGAGGTGATGCATCGTACCATGCACCGCGCGCGTGGTCTGCCCCAGCTCCAGGACAGATCAGGGATGCTTGCGCGCTTGCGAGACTTTTCCCCAGATCTGGCGGTGCGACGAGGTCTGTGTTTCGGACCGGTTCGAGATGGCGCTGGCCTTAACAGAGACTAGACCGATTAAGCGGCAGCGCCGACTTGATGACCCCCCGATGCAAAGCCGATTCGTTGCAGTGAGGACGACATTGCCGATGTTTTGCCGTTTGCGTCGTATGCGATCCGTGGAGGACTCTATTCGGGTCTCAGAAGCGCTGGCACGAATCGTGTGGCATCGAGGATTTGCCTACGCGTGGCATTGAGTGCACGATGTTTATTGAATGTGGAGAGCATGTGGACCAAGCTGGTCTCGAACAATGCTCCGCATTAATAGAACGAGTTCTCAAAGGCGCTAAGGTAGGTGTTGGGGTTCTCGAGGCTAGTAGTCTGATTTGACCGAGATGAATAGATGATGTGTAAGTGAGACAGGAGAACCACAGTTTCCAACCTGCTGTTCCTTCACATATTGAACGACAACCGCTGGCAACGAATTCGTCGGGTTTGCAGAAAGTTTTTTGGGGGATTAAGCTAGTGAAATTCTATGTGGTATTGTTCGAGTAACATGCTGAAAGGTCTGATTCATGGTCTTGGACTTCTCATATCAATGCCGCTGGCAGTATTGGCATAAATCCTTCCAAGGAATAATTCAAACTCAAAACACGTTCTCTTTATCGTCAATAATTTGTACTTTGATGCTGCCATTGCTCAAGTCTCCACATGTATGCAGTGCATCCAGCGCCTGCTCCAAGGGGTATGTGTGCGAGACGAGGGGCTTGAGGTCTAGGATACCGCCACCGAGACACTGCAGGCCCGCTGGCCAGGTATCGCGGTAGCGGTTGATGAATTTGAGATCAATCTGCCATTTTTAGTACCCTTCATAAAAGGTAGCCATTGTTACTCAACGCGCGACGTACCTCGGCGAGCGACAGGTGCATGAATGGAAGGTTGTTCATTATCTCGCGACCCACGCCAATGACCATTACAGTACCACCTCTTCTTGCTGTGTAGCATGCTGTGATGACGCTATTCTCCACACCGGTACATTCCAATACAACTTCCGGAGCGCCGTACTCGCCTACGTGCTCGAAGTTGAACAGCCTTCTGATCTCTTTCGAGTTTTCCTCGGCACTCAAGTTCTTTCGGATCTGATACGTGATAGCTGAAGGCACGAACTTCTTCGCAAACTCCAATCTACTGGGTTCCAGGTCTGTGATAACGATCGGATGCGCACCACTCGCTCGCGCAGCTGCTAGGGCGATAAGTCCAATCGGACCTGCACCACACACAACAGCCCCGCGGCCCAGAGACAGTCCTGCAGTATTAATTCCGTGCATGACAACGGAAAGAGGTTCGAGGAGCGCGCCCTCCGAAAAGGAAATGTGGTCGGGAATCTTGTGACACCATTTCGCAGGATGACACTTGTAGCGTTGAATGGTTCCGTCGTAGGGGTATACACCAGCGAATTGAACGTCTTCGCAGAGATTGTAGCGACCGTCCATGCAGAGGAAGCATACGCCGCAAGGAACACCGGGCTCGACAGCTACGCGATCGCCTAGACGACAGTCAACAATACTGGCTCCTAGCCGAAAAGCGCATCATTACCTGGTTGTAGATTGGTGACGCCCTCTCCACACTGTAGGACAATTCCTGCAGCCTCGTGTCCCAATATGCAATCGCCCTCAACGACCAACGATCCTATCCTACCATGTCTCCAGAAGTGAATATCCGATCTAGAGCTGTGTCAGTCGATCTACCCTGGCGCCAATGAACCGACAAAACTGTATTGACATACCCGCAGACACCGGTAGCCTTGATGTGTAGGAGGACCTCTCCAATGCCTGGAGCATACACGGGCGCTTCCACCTGCTTCAAGTTGTGATCGGCTGTCACTTGTAGCGAAGGATTTGGTAAAGGCGTCGAGATCGTAGTCTTTTTAGGTTTTACGACGCCATTCGCGTTGACGCCGTTCGTTGTCGTCTATCGTAGCCTATTAGTCTTCGAGAACGGCCAAGTTGCGGAACAACTTACAACGGAGGGGGACATTATAGCCGTTCAATAGTGCTCCTGCGTGCAAGGGTGCGGCGTGATTCAGAATCTAGAGTAAAGACCGCGAAATATGATCAAGTCGAGATGAAGTCAAAGGTCAAGAAGGAAAATACGCGTGTTACGCGTGTACGTATCTGCAAGAAGAGTTCGTCAACGCGCGTGGAAATTTTGCCAGGTCACACTGTCGCGCCTCTCGACGAACGGACCGCGATAGAACGGTGGCGGTCCGCGGGGTATGGAGACGATCCCCACCAACGCATAGGCTGTATCGGAGGAGCATACCTAAGCCATATGATTGGTCGGTAGGGTGGCTACGGTTACCACTTCGGGGAGCGGCGCCTAACACTGCCGCTTTTGGCACAGCCCATCCAGCCGCAAACTCGGGATTTCCTGAAAGAGTCATTCCATTACAGAGGGGGTCCAACAGACATTCAAGTCTTGTAAACATCCGCTGAAGCAGTTCCAGACTCTTTTTTCTTTGCGACTCTCTTCTCAATTTTTACTCGCTTTGAACGTCCACTTCTTTACGAAGACCGAACAATGCATCTTGCCGACGGAGCTCCGCAGGTCAATGGCAAGAGCCAGACTGAGTATGGCCAAAATGTGACCGTAGCGTTAAAGAAAGAAGAGCAGCTTGAGAAATCTTCTGTCCAAAAGCTGTCCAAAGAACAAGACATTGTACTGAAAACGTTTCGCTTGTTAATCGCCGATCTATGTCAGCAATTCAAAGGAGGACACCCTGGGTATGTGCATTTACCAGAATTTGCATCGCATTGGGTGCAGACCAAACTCGTGCACTGTTTCGAAGGGCTCAAGGCTGTCTTGTAACCAGTGTGGACAAAATAAGGACGACGCTGACTTTCAGCAGCGGTGCGATCGGTATGGCAGCGATTGGTGTTGCGTTGTGGAAATATGTCATGCGCTACGCACCTCATACGCCCACATATTTCAATCGTGATCGATTTGTGTTGTCAAACGGTAAGAAAATCTCACATGAAAAGGACAGTTGAAAGTGCTAATGACGGAAAGGCCACACATGTTTGTTCCAATACACATTCCTGCACCTCACAGGCTATAAAGCCATGACGTTCGAGCAGCTGAAGTCCTATCACTCGGATCGCATCGATGCCCTGTGCCCCGGGCACCCAGAGATCGAACACGAAGGTATCGAAGTCACAACCGGACCGCTTGGTCAAGGGGTTGCCAACGCTGTTGGCCTCGCGATGGCAACGAAGAATCTCCAGGCTACCTACAACAAGCCCGACTTCGATGTAGTTTCAAACCACACCTGGTGTATGATTGGCGATGCTTGCTTACAAGAAGGAGTTGCGCTCGAGGCGATTTCTTTCGCAGGTCACCTAAAGTTGAACAATCTGACCATCATCTACGACAACAACCAGATCACCTGCGATGGGAGTGTTGATTTGACCAACACAGAAGACGTGAACGCCAAGATGAGGGCTTGCGGCTGGGATGTAATTGATATTGAGGACGGCTGCTTCGATATTGAGGGCCTGGTAGAAGCATTGAACAAGGCGCGAGCAGCGACCGATAAGCCGACTTTCATCAACGTTCGGACCGTCATTGGCCTCGGCAGCGCTGTTGCCGGCAACGCAGTAGCACACGGCGCCGCTTTCGGTGAAGACGATGTTGCAAACATGAAGAAGATGTACGGCTTTGATCCTCAGAGTTCCTTCGTTGTCGGCGAGGAAGTGCGAAACTTCTTCGAAGATCTCCCGGCAAGGGGAGAGGAGTTTGTCCGATCCTGGGAGAAGAAGGTGCAAGCGTACGAAGAGAAGTACCCTGAACTCGCCGCAGACTTCCGCAGGCGTGTCGAGGGTCGCCTGCCAGAGAATTGGAAGGAGCTGATTCCGGCTAAGGAAGCTTTCCCAGAAAAGGCCACTGCTACCCGAGCGTCCTCTGGGCTCGTCTTCAATCCCATTGCTCAAGCTTGTAACAACTTCATGGTTGGCACAGCTGATCTTTCGCCTTCCGTTAACATGATATGGAAGGGCAAGGTTGATTTTCAACACGTAAGTGGTATTATTGTTAAACCGCAGGTGGTATGCAGACTAACATAACGCAGCCCGACTTGAAAACCACGTGCGGCATCACGGGCAACTACAGCGGCCGATACATCCACTATGGCGTGCGCGAACATGCTATGGCGGCAATCAGCAATGGATTAGCTGCATTCGCCCCCAACACATTTGTTCCAATTACCTCCTCGTTCTTCATGTTCTACTTGTATGCTGCCCCAGCAGTCCGTATGGGAGCGTTACAACACTTGCAGGTCATCCACGCAGCCACGCACGATTCAATCGGAATGGGTGAAGATGGCCCAACCCATCAACCGATCGAGTTGGCCAATCTCTACAGAGCTATGCCTAACCTCCTCTACATTCGACCAGGTGACAGTGAAGAGACAGCCGGTGCGTGGATAACGGCCATCGAGGCGAAGCACACATCGACCATTATTTCTACTTCCCGCCACACGCTGCCACAACTGCCTCAGACAAGGCGAGACGGTGTATCGAAGGGTGCATACGTTCTGGAAGAAGTTGAAGACGCTGATGTCACACTCATTGGCGTAGGTGCGGAGCTTTGCTTTGCCGTTGACGTGGCGAAGGAGCTCAAGAGTAAAGGAATTAAGGCACGCTTGATCAGCTTCCCTTGCTGGAGACTATTCGAAGCTCAGTCGCTCGAGTACAAACGGAAAACATTGAGGAAGCACCGTGTTCCTGCCGTTGTCATCGAGCCGTATGCGCCTAACGGATGGGAGCGATACGCTAATGCTGCGATCTGTGTGAAACGTTTTGGTCACAGCCTACCGGGCAAGGCAGCCTATAAGTTCTTTGGTTTTGAGGTTGGCACTATGACGGCCAAGATTAGCGAATATCTCAATAACATCAAGGCTGATGACATCCTACGCCAGGAGTTTGTTGAGCTATGAAGCAACTTGTCCAGAGTAGAGTATTGTGGCATTTCTGGGCGTTCAATTTCCTGGGCCGTGCATGTATCTAGAACATATGTTAATGAATAGTCACGAATCATATTGTTAAAGTGATCAGCACCCATTTTATGCTGCTGATGGATGTTGAGATGGCATGATCGAGCGACGTGACAGCGAAGCGAAGAGCCAAGGGCTGGGGCGGCCTAGATCTTAGGGCGTGATAGATCACGTGGCTCGCTAAATTCCAAATGCAGGTGTATTTCCCCACCCGTTGGATCCCCTGCATCTTCCCCAGCATTTCTGTTTTCGCAACATGCCCTTTGTGTCCGAACAGCATGGCAGAGGAGCGTCCGGAAAAGCGAAGACGGACTGCCGATGAGTCTGCGCCGGACGAGTTCATGGCTACGTTCTTGCCCACTCCAACTACCGAAAGCCAATTCCATGGACTGGAGAACATCGACCCATTTCTGTCGCCTGCAACAAGCTGGGGTATCGATGAGTTCGCGCACGATCCCATTTATCTGGCATCACAAGAAGAACTACGCGAACTGTTATTCACCACCGCCCGCTCTGCAGCGCCAACACGTGCGGGTACTCCTGTCGAGGATGACGATATCAGTGGCGAACCGTCATTTAACTTCAGCGTCAAGCAAATTCTGGCCAAAGGTAGACGGGTCCAGTATCTGAAAAATTATATCTCTGCAGTAGCGCGTACGTATATCTCAAACTGAGATTCAATCCGTCACACTGACTGCGTCTGTACCGCTAGCCTGGCTGGATATGTTCGACAGCAACCGCGCCTTTGCCATCCAACTGCCTGCGTTGGCCAAAGAATCATGCCCACTTCTATTTGCTATACTAGCCATTGGGGCTCGCCAACTAGAACGGAAAGAAAAAACACAATCGTCGTTCGATAGCCTCGAGTTATACCAGGAGGCGATTCGGCTTCTCACCCCATTGCTCCAGGCCAGAGACACTCACGTCATTGCTGCATGTGTCGTCCTATGCTGTCTAGAAATGTTCTCGGCAAGCGCGCAAGATTGGCGAAGCCATCTAGAAGGCTGCGCAGCCGTGTTCGACGCATTCGGCGTCAATGGGTTCAGCGGAGATGTTCTCCAGGCTGTGTTCTGGTGCTATGCAAGGATGGACGTGTGTGGTGCTCTCATCTCAGATGGCGCCGAAAGCACCTTGCTCAAACCTAAGAAATGGCTGCCTCCGAACGTCTCGGAAGAACTCGCTGAGTCAATGTTTTGCAACGCATCTTCCGCAGACATGTACGCAAACTACGCAGTGTACTTGTGCGCAAAGGCATGCGAACTCATCTCTGAGCGTAACAGATTCGTCGAGCTCGGCGAAGACAATGGCTGCAACACAGAAAGCTTCTCTGATAGATGGTTCAAACTATGGGATCAGCTCAGCCGTTGGAGCGCCAATCGGCCAAGAGAGATTTCGCCGGTTTTCACTACCGCTTCCCTCCCATTTCCGAAAGAATTCTTCGCCCACTGGGCAGCTATATCTTCAAACCAGCTTTACCACACTGCATGTGTGCTTCTGTTGTCTGCAAGCCCGAAGAACAAAGCATTGTTGGTACCCTCGCCCACTACTTCCATTCTCTGGCACGCCAAACGGATATGTGGCATCTCTCTAGCAAATCCTCATGAAGGATGCCTCAACAACGCCATTCAGCCACTCTGGATCGCGGGTCGCCTTCTAAGTCATAGCTCTGAACAGACACTAGTCGTCAAAACTATCCGCCATATTGAGGCCTTGACAGGGTGGACAGCTTGCTGGCGTGCTCGAGATCTTGAGCAATTCTATGGGCACAAGACTCGAGGCGTTGTATAATCAGGGTTGCCGGTCGATGATACAGCATCTGGAAAGAAGTCTGGCTATGATGTGGCACCCCAGGGTGGCTTATACACAGGCCGATTGTACCCAGAATTCTGTACAAGTACTGTAGCCACGACGGTCCGCTGCTCACCAGCCATTTGCCTGCTGCCATTCGACTGCGAGTTGTTCCACATGTTGCGAGATGTTCCATCCTGTAAGCTGCTGGACATTCTCTAACGTGCTCAAGATTGCCTTGTGCTGGCTCTGATGAGTGACCGTCTTCGCAGCTACGAGAAATGAGGCTACAAGACTTGGATCCCAACAATCCCAGCGATCGTTACTGAGAGAGATCCCGCAAACTCGATGAGCGTGCCAAAGAGCGGACATGGAGGGAGACTGAGAATGCGGTCGATCCATGAATCGCGGCTTGTTCTGCAGTAGAAGCAGCATGCCGGTGTGGTAGAGCTGATTAGCCAGCACAGTTGCTCCACTAGAGAATACGAGCGTTGGAAATCCATCTTCGGAAGTGGGAGCGTCCCTTGGGTACAGTTCGATGATGGGCTGAAAATCGAGGGGTCTGTGTTTATACCAACGTTCGAACCCGGCGACCAGAGTCTTCCACAATTCAACACGATTCAGCCCATACTGCTGCTGCAACCATCTATCTTCATCTCCGCGACTAAAAACTGTTGCATCGATGCACAAAGCTACAGCGTCGTGAGCATATCGGGCCACGCGTTCCGCATCTCCGGCAGAAACATATTCCGAAGCCGAGATAGATGCGGTTGGTAGAGGTATCCTCACTGTACCATGGCTCATCAGGGCTACACTCAATTCTGCAGACAATAGTCAGTTTATTAATGGACGTTGAGCCGGATCATGACTAAAAGGAATCTAGGAGCGATCGAGCGCGAAGCGACTCTTCGGTCCAACTCGGAACAATGTCCACAGCGGCCGAAGGTCCGAAGATCGGCCTCGCAATACCCTCTATATCGTACACATTGGGGATTAAAGTGCGGCATATATCAATCGAAGCTTGACACAGGGGTTCTGCCTGAATGCTGCAAAGCTGATGTAGCACTTACGAAGTTTTGCGATCAACCAAAAGGTTGCAGGCGCCAAAGGCCCATTCTTCCCACTTGGGTCTCGGTTAATTTCAAATAGCAGCGGTTCGAGCGCGTGTTGTGTATCCCAGACGCTATTCTGGTCATTCCAGAACTCTGACAGACTCGTGACCACGGCCTTCACTGTCACAAAGGCGTCTAACAAAGCTTCCTGTATTTTGTCTCCAGGTGGGTCCTTTGATCTTTTTATGGGCGTGAGCATGTTCCCTGAAACACCCTGTAACTTTTGACGAGCACCAATAGAAGCTTCTGCAAGAGCCAATATTTCAAGCTGGATTGGTGATGATGTGTTGGACAATTGGAGCACCTCGCAGCCGAAGCATTGCTTCATATCGCAAATATCCAACTAAACAGAGGATCAGTCAGCTAATTTTACGAACGGCGATATCTCAGTGCCAAATTTGAGTACTCAGCATTGCCTAGATATACGCAACCAGGTGGGGTTTAGACTTACCCAGGGCGCAATCTTGTATCGATAGTGTGTGAAATACTCCAGAATACGCTCATCTGTCATCTGGGGAGCCTCAATGGAAGGGATTGCGCTCACGGAAGGCCAAGATCGCAAGCTCGGGCTCTCTTGGTATTCTCCAACAACAATCGAGGCCGGCTCTGTGTGGAAATGATCAATGGCGACGCTATTTCGATTGGGTAGCACTGCATGGCCTGGCTCGGTAAAGTGCATCCTCGCAGAGTCGACTTCAGATACCCCAGTAGCATCCCCTCCATTATTCCCGCTTCCGAGTGCTAGTAGGCCATGCAAGGCGTACTCATAACGTTCCGCGGATGGGCTTTGAATTGGAGTGACTTGCGAAGCAGTTGTGCTCCGATCGTTCTGCGGCTTTTGTGATTGCCGGGGTTGCGTACTCACGGGATCCTTGGGGTTTGATTCTCCCCCGGTTTGTTCGGTTTCTTTCGGACCAGTGTTCTCTTCGTGTTGCGAGACGAACTTCTGGTGGTCAGTTTAAAATATAGGTCACCAGCTCATGGATGGCGCAAGCGCTGTGCATAACCGCGGGTTGACTGACCTGCACTTCCTTATAGCCTGCTTTGGTCGGCACTTCTGGGGTAAAATTATGCTTTCCTAGTATCTGGAATGCAGCTGCGTATTTACACTCGAACCCCTTTAATATGCAATTTTGGCATCTTGGCTTACCCTCGTCGCCTTCTTTACATCAGCCAAATAGTACTTAATCTCTGCGACATTACTTACATTTGCGGCGGCGCGTACGGCAGGTCAAGCAGCCCGTGCGAGATCTCTTCTGGCGGGACTTCGCTGAAGCGTCCGTAGGCTCCTCCGTCTGTCCCGCGATGTCCATGTGGCTATGGGCCGACAGCCTGGTGGTTATCGTAGTCGCTTCAAGGCTATGAATGATGAGTGCTCACTCTTCTGTCTGGGGAAATCATAGCCGCTACCGGCATGACTTCGGAGCTTCAACAAGGGGGAACCGCCACAGAATGCGGGGTCAATTTTGGAACCTCGACTTCTGCATCAGATTGCCTGAAGGAAAGTACCTATGTCCTGAGGCCGAAAGTGAATTTGATTCATCGCGCACCGGTATGATCTTTGCAAAGACCAAGTGGTGTTCTAATTGGACGTATCAGCCTCCATTCCAGAGCATGACCTAATCGGGTAATGTTAGGAGTCCGCCAATGAAAGCTAGCAGTGCTATGCAGAGTCTCCCCAAATGCCATGGGAACTCTCTTCTGGTTTCCCTGAAACCAAAATTTCTCCTCGTTATGTTCTACTTCCGAACCTGAATAGCCTTTACGAGTCTTCCGACAAACGACTTCTTCAAGCATGTCCAGAATTCAGCTCGCCTCTGGCCATGAGATGCCTCCATGGGGTTCGGACTACGGAAGGTTCCCAAGGTTACTGCTGCTGGCACTGTGTACAATGTGAGACACCATAGGCACTTTTTTCAAGCCCGCAAGTGGCTACCAACACGCGTCAGGCAATCAAGTTCGGCTACCGAATCTTTGACGGTGCATACGACTACCAGAATGAGAAAGAAGCAGGCGAGGGTATCCACCGTGCTATCAAGGACAGACTAGTCAATCGTGAAGACATCCTCGTCATCACCAAGCCATGGAAGTACGTAACATTTTGCTACTATTTTTACCAAGAGCCTTTGCCAGTGATCTTTACGCTGACGGTACGCCTAGCAGCTACCACAGCGAGGAGTATGCGCTCCCGATGATGACGGCACAGAATGAGGCATGGGGTCTTGATACATTGGTATTTTCCGTATGCACTTCCCGGTCGCACTTGAGTACGTCGGCCTAGAGGTGAAGTGATATCCTGTGAGTGAACCCGGCCTTTTGCATACCAAGAACAACTGATCTTGAACCAAAGGGCTGGCGTATGGAGGATGGAAAGACCGTTAAGTCTACTAAGGTCTGCATCCGCTAGACTTGGGAGCAACTTGAAGCAGCTGTGGACAAGGGCATCGCCAAGTCCATAGGTATGTCGAATTTCCAGGCTCAGTTTCTTTATGAAGTCCAGACGTACGTAAAGCACCCAATTTACTCGCTCCAAATCGAACACCACTCGTATCTTGTCCAGGAGGAACTTGTTCGCATGGCTCAGACACACAACATTGCCATCACTGCATATTCTTCGTTTGGTCCCCAACGCTTTCTCGAGCTGCCGCCGGCGTTTAGGCAGAGCACAAACGATGTTGGTCGCTGGTTGATGCGAAGTCAGTAAAGAGCATCGCGAGCAAGCACAACAAGACCCCAGCGCAGGTGCTCCTTCGATGGTCAACACAGCGGTAGAAATCCATTGCTTTTTTCGTGCACCAGCAAATAACTGTGCATAGGAACATCGCCGTCATGCTCAAGTCAAAAAATCAAAGCCCCCTTGCTCAGAACCTCGATGCTACCAGCTTCGACCTTTCGCAGGCCGAGCTAGATTCCATCTCAGCGCTCGATAAGGGCCTCCGTTTCAACGACCTGGGTCACTATCTTCCCAGCCACCCTCTTCACATCTTTGCGCAAGCATTCTCAAACATTGAGCCATTGTTGCGCTTTCATAGAAACGCGTCCTTACGTAATATAGACCAAATATGCTTTTCGTGAAGCTGTAGATGAATTTGGGTATCTCATGCGTTGCGTTCGAGTAATGAAGAATTGCAAAGTAGGGTTTATGAAGTTTTCATTGGGCACAAGTTTGTTCCAGTAAGTTGTTTACGCCACGAAAAGTGATATAGAGTTAGCTTCTTGAGGGATCGCATGGACAAGACTTGACAGATGCACAGCAATTAAAGATGTTATCGGAGACCGATTCCGGCTGTGACTCCGAGTCAATATTGCATTCGCGAGCTTTATTATTCTTTTCTTGGTCACAAGTGTTATACTCTACCTAGGTAATGAAATCGCAAGGCGGGACTACGAGTGCAGTGGAGATGATGGGCCGGCACAGCCACATTCATTGGCGGAAAAGCACGGGGGCTGGAAGCGCCACCTTCGCCAAAACCCTTTCATACCTAACTGTGGTGACCAGGCTTGATTTCTTCCAGCCAAACAGTTTCTATAGATAGCTGATAAATTGCAGGTGCCACGCTACGGTACAACCGCATTCGTACGAGAGTCTAGCTGCCTAGAGCAAATAGGCAGTAGTGCGGCACGGCGATGTGTACCAATTGACACATATCAGCTTGCACACCTCTGTCAATTCCCACCCATAGAGTTTCTCAACAAACATGGCGCAACTTCTCCATCTGCCCGCTGAAACGCTCCAAGAAATCTTTGAGCATATCGCCCTAGATTATCGCCCGCTCGCCGACCTCAAGGCGCTCTGTCATACTTGCAAAGCAATATGCAACATTGCTCAACCCATGATATACCGCCATTTCATCTTCAACCGCAAGGAGAACTGGTCAGAGAAAGAAGTTGGTCACAAGCTCCTCCGCTTTGCAGATACGCTGGCGCGGCGACCAGAGCTGAGGAAGAGCGTTAAAGAATTGCAGCTCGATCTCGAAGCTGATGACGATCTCGCAGAAAATACAGGATGTTTTGTCTCGCCGGACTTTGACCTTGGTGGCTTGCGGAGTGCGGCGCCGCAGTACTTTAGCTCGAACAAGAAACGCGGCATGTGGGGAGAAAACAAAACGATTCAAGTGTTCCCGCATGTCGAAGCAATCCTATCTATTCTCCCGCGGCTGGAGCTGCTGAGATTGAGAGTTGGTGCCCGGTACGGCCTGAGGAACCCGTCTCTAGGTTTTGGTCCCGAGTCAGCACAATATCTTGCAAACGTGAAAGAGCTGGTGCTGTGTGGCCCGACTGGCTTCAACAGTGAGCCGGCGAAGTTCGATATGATCATGCGGCTGATCGTCTCTTTGCCACAACTCAAGAAGCTGCACCTGAAAAACTTCGACATAGCCGGGATCTTCCGAAAGCAAGAAGACCGAGAAAGCGCACAGTGGCACGTTACCGAAGGAACAATGGGCATCGAAGACCTCTGCATCCGCAGCTGCCCTATGACAAACGAGATTTTACAGCGCATCATCAGATCCTGTCGCCGCCTGGTCAAGTTCAATTTCAAAACCTGGAGCGATATCGACTATGAGAAACGCCGACGTTTCTGGCGCAAAGAGCTCGACGTCGAGGCTCTACATGCTGTGCTGTCCCTGCATAAAGCCTCCCTGGAAGAGCTGTCGCTCAACTGCATCAACGTCTTCGAAAAAATGAACGATTACAGCCCCGTACAAAGACTCCCAGCGTACCCTTCTTTCCTCGGATTCTCCCGCGTCAAAATGCTCAAAATCGAGTATCGCCGCATGCGGTATGAGCATCTGCCACCCAACATCACCCACTTGTATTTGTGCGACTGCCGCGACGTCCAAGACGATGCTGAAGTCGAAGCCTGGAAAGCCATCAAGCGAACATCCTGCCCGGATATCGAGAAGGTCGAGATCATGTGTACGGATCAGTGCCGCGCGATACAGTACCAGCTCAAGTACATGCACTTCCAGTGGGGATGTTGGACTGAGCACACGCGGGAATGGTATAAAGACGGGTTCGAGCTCAAGGTCTGGTTCAAAGATTTTATTGACGGGACATATCACTTTTCGCAGGCAAGTCTGACGCACTAGGTTTGATCGGGGTGGACTGACACTGTCTAGGGAACAGATGATACGGGTGATATCGATTCAAACGGGGAGAAAATTAGGGATGACGATGAAGAAGAAGAGGAGGAGGATGAGGACGGAGATGAGGGAGATGGTGGCGACGGCGAAGATATGGACGAGAGCAGAGACAATGACAACATTGGAGTCAACGATGACGAGACAAGCCCCTCTCACCAACAGCGAGCCACTAGCAATGAACCGCGAGTCGAGGACGCCAACGACGCAGACAGCCCCCAGAACGACGACCAAATTCGTCCGCGATCGCCCATATCCACTGCCGAGTCCAGCCACACCTTCGACTGGGTCGACGACCTACTGAGCGACTTCGATGAAATGGACATGGACATCGACGACGCACACTCCATCCCTTCGAACGGCACCTTCGAATGGGTCAACGAGCTGATCTCCGAAGCAGAAGATGAAGAAGAAGAAGACTACCCGCCCAAGGCGGTGGACATGCGTGCCGTTTTACTTGCGGGGGAGGACCAGGACGATGGGTGGAGGGGCGGGGAATGGAGGGCGCCAAAGAAGGTTGGTTTTGCGCAGGGAAAGGGAAAGGGAAGGAAGGAGTGGGGGGTTTTGGGGCGGAGGACGGATTGTGAGGACAGTGTGGAGTAGTAGCAGAGAAAACGGTCTTCATTTCATCGGCAAGTGTACTGAAAACCCTGTAGTAACACATTATGCTCACTTTGCAGTCTTGACGGGAGCTACAAAGTCCAGCCAGTACTTCAGTCTCCACGGCAGAATTCTGCGTCTAGGTTCAATGCAATCCCACCCGTCTATGCTAGCACCTCGAGTCACGCATCAACAAGCAAATTCCTCCTCAGCGCCATCAACTCCTCATCCCCCAGCCCACAAACCCCCCTCATGTAACTTTCCTCACTTCCCCACTTTCCCCTCAACATCTCCAATGCACCCAGCATACTCTCCTTCTTCGCGCCCAACATTCTTAGCGCTGCCTTCCTGCCTTCGTCCTCCCCCTGCCCAGCCAAATGCTCTCGCCGATACCGCTCAAACGCCGGACTCGCCATCAACCTCGGCAGGACCGTGTCGTAAATGTGCGACAGACCGGGCTCGGTGAGTTGGTACTCGTCAGCGATCTGGGCGTCGGGGACGCCGAGGAAGCTGAGGAGCAGGCCGAAGAAGATGCCGGTGCGGTCTTTGCCGGCGGTGCAGTGGATGAGGGCGCCTATGGCCTTTGGCTCGGGCTCTGCACTGGATGGGGAGAGATTGGCAAGATACAGCAAGATGGTCTGGAAGGCGGGGCCGCCGTCGGTGAGGATGTCGCGGTAGGCGGAGACGAAGCCTTCGGTGGATCTGTCGAGGTATTTCTGTTTTCACCGGGTCAATTCTCTGTCCACGGAAAGCAAGGAGGGGACATACCATATAGCGCTCCGCCAGCTTCTCAGGGCTATAATCCGCCTCCTTGAACACAGGCACCCACGTCCTATCCACGCCCGCGCTGTGCAGCGTGGCCTCCCAGCCCTGCACCACGTCTTCTGCGTCCTTGCCTTCCTCGTTGGTGATGCCGGCCCAGCCTCGGTCTACTTCTTGCTTGCTGCGGAGGTCGAAGACATGGGCGACCTGGTGGATGTCAATATACCGACACAATAAACAGCGGCGCTTCTACACAATCTCCTCCAGCCCACTTCCTCCATGACCGAAGACGGCCGCAACACACGCCAAACTCACCCCAATCTCATTGACCCTCCTCCACCCCTCCCCATCAACCTTGCTAACCTCGGCACTGCGAAACAGCACTCCAGGCCGAACGCTCTTCCCGTCCTGCGTCTTCAGCCCGCCACACGCAAGCGCCGCGTCCCGTAAATTGTTCAGATTCGGGACATCGTAGAAGGGCGGGGATGGGAGTCCTGTTGCCATTTTCTGGTTGAGCGGTGCTGGCTGACGGACCGATGCAGGCGAGGAAGCGCGCTATGCCCGCGGCCCGCTTCGAATCCTTACCAAGGCAGAGGCAAAGTGTACCCCTCAGATACTGCACTCGCACGGGACGCCTGGTGTGGGGGAGAGAGCAGACGAAGGAAGTAGTCTGTCTGCAGGCGCGATGCGGTGAGACCGAGCGAGCGACGTGTGCTGTGCTGTGCGGTGCAGTGCTGTGCTGCGCTGAGTCGTGAAGCGTCGTGGGGTCCGAGGTCAAGACAACAAGGAACGGCTGCAGGGTGCGCAAGCGTCAGGCACGGGATCGGACGATGCCAGAGGCCGCGGTATGGGTCTGGTCTTCTGCGGTCTTCTGCAGCCGCGCTTCGGGACGAGGCAGCTTGCTTCGTATCGCCTGCGCGTTGCGGTAGTGCCCCGCTGCGACTCTCCCACGCGCCCGAACCACCGCACTCGCCATTGATCAATGGCATTGCGAGAACAACGCTCACCTGCATTCATCACAGGCACCCGAGACCCTGAAATGGGAAATGTAGATTGGAGAGCGAGATGCGCTAGAGCACCCAGGTATAGAACAGGACAGAGAAAAGCCACCCGTTTTGTGTAGCAAAAGCCCAGATGCCAAACCCCACTGCGATCGCCTTGAAAACCAACATCAACCCCAGAACACCCATGTGTCCAAGTAAGCACCTTGTCCGTAGCGCAATGTCATCAACGTGGCCAAGAGCCGATGTGAAATCCCATCCAACGCCACGATCCGCAAAGGAAGTGAAGAAGACTGCCGTGCAATGGACCGTATCGCAAATGTGAGTGAAATTGAATTTTCGTCGCTTTTGGAAAGAGGAGGTCTTAGAAAGTAAAGCTGTCTGTTGTTACAACATAGTGAAGAGAACGCTTAGTATTTCAGTACTTTTTGTCAAGAAATGACCGAGAGCGAGATGCTTCTCGTTAACGGCCGAAAAGAAGATGGCTTGCAGAATGGACTAAGTGTAGTATGCGGCCGATCGATGTCAGCACGGCTGGTAGAAGTCGACTCGGCATGCTATGAGAGCCTGCGTACTGCAGCCAGAGGCAGATGCAGATGCAGGAGCAAGCACGATGGAGCTCATTGAATAGAACGTCCGGAAAATTTTGTCATCTGCTCGCGGTGACCGCTTTTTCGGGTGCTCCCAGGGTCTGTTCATGCAATTGAGCACTGTTGGTTTTCGTATTCGTGGGCTCCTCAGTGGAGACCTTCTCTTGTGTCCTAGGGAGGCACTTCTTCGGGACGGCTGGTTCCTCGGGGTGGGCTGCCTCCACGTCGGCGACTGTTTCCAGGGATGCTTTCCGGGACAGCTTCTTCGACGGATTCGCATCAACGTATTCGTCGTATGTCATGCCTAGCTTCTTTGCTTCGTGCCGAATGTGTCGTACGCGCCAGAGCCATATAGCCTGGGACGCAACGATTCCCGTTTCGAGTGTCATGCTGGGACTGTCAGTATGCTCTTCGAAGATGCTGAAAAGCCACTCACGCAACTATGTACATGGATCCACCGAGCGCATCGAAGGTATGCTGTGCTACCAGTGCCATTAGGGAGAAGAAGGCGCCCGAATAATCAATTAGAAGGAACCAGAAGTCTACACTTGTAAGCCAAGTTCCAGGTAGGAGATACAGATATCGTACCAATACCAATTACGCGACCTTGTCGTTTGGCCAGCTCGAAGTACGGCATGACTAGACCCAAGCATTGCATGACCGAAGCCAGGATAGCCATCATCATCATAGGCCATTCGACTCCTTTGTAGTACGGTATCTTCGATCGTCAATATGGAAACCATTGGATGATTCGAAGGATCGGAACGTACGCGGAGCGTAAGGATAAGAATTGCTTCTGATGCAGCGAAAGCAACCATCATGCCCACAGTAGCTACCGTTGCAGTCCATGCTCTCCATTTGCTGTGCCCTGTCAGGAACTCGAACTTGGCACGTGAAAGTGAGCTACTCACTTTCCATAGTAGAGAGTCTGGCCCCATGCAATAAGGGTGAGACCGCCGAAACACTGCGGTTGTAGTTGAAGTGCCAGACTGAATTTCTAGCATCTGTCAGCACACACGATGCTGTGGAGTGTGGACAAACTTGCCTGGACTATGGCATAGACCCCAAACGGTACAGCGCCTATTATAATCAACTCGTTGTTGCAAGACCATAGGGTATGATGGCGTACATGAAGCCCACAGCATCAACATAGTACCGGGTAGCCCGTCGGTGTTCTTCCGACGCCAGTTGTGCCATATTCTACGGTTTATGAGCCTTTGTTCAGGCACCCGGTGTGTAATCTTACTGTGGAAGTATCTATGATGAGTTAGTCTTGCACGACTGTCGTAATCGGAGGCTCGACACTTACTTGAACACACCAGCAACTGGAACAGGCAAGGAGTTGTCAGTGTCAGAGTTTCGCAGGTGTCGTCGATACTGGCTTACACTTCGGAACATTAGCCTACATTCAATCGTGTTCCGAGGAGAATCACCAACCTGTCCCGATGGTCTAGAATCACAAAAAGGGTTGTCAGTGTCAACGCGCTCGTTGTAGATAAAGGCGTATCTCACCCCAAGAATATCTGCTGCCTGTGCATGGAGTTAGTGCAACGCACCACCAAGAAACTCGGGAGATACGCACCGGTGGTATGGATTCTTGTGGTTTCGTCATGATGATCGTCCTCAGGTCAAACGTGGAAGAAGGTATGGACAGGGAAACCAAGCAAGAAGAGACTATCAAGAAGCTAAGAACAGGAAAGCAGATAGTTCAGGAACGAGCGACCAAAAGGCGGGTGGAGACAGGGCTGTTGGCTTTATGGTGCAGGCGTAGATGGCACTAGATGCTGTTATGGCTGTACGACAAGCTGCACCACTATGACATCTAAGGCCACGATGACAGCAGACAGGGGCACGGTGGGCCTAGCCAAACGTACGAACAACATTGAATGCAGAAATCGAACCCAGTTTCCCCACCAGCAAGCGGAGATCGCATAACACAGCTGCCCTAGGCAACTGAGCTCTTGGCGTGCTTCCGAAAGGCCATACGAACGTGGTGTGTCGCAAGTGACGGCCTAGAGGAGGCGTATTTTCCTAGCCCACCGCGAGAGTCGCGTGCAAACTATGGAAGGCATCGGACGCGCGCACGGTCGAGAAGCTGTGCATTGGGGGAGATCCACAGTTCACTGAGTTCAGACAGGACCCCCTGGTCCCGTTTTCGCGGTCGAGGTACACTCGACAGGCATGGCGTGCTCCTAGTGGTAAGTGGCTGAGGTAGCGAGGAAATGGACATTCACCTGCCTAGCCGATCTGCGCTTCCGATTGGTGAGCATGTCGACGGCAGTGGGCGCATCCAGTTCCGGCTGGCCACCTTGTCGCGGTTCTCCATGCATACGAGTGAAGCCAGTTCACAGACTACATCGCGGAAGCCGTGCCTCGCCTCCCCGATTACTGCCCGCATGAGGAACACGCAGGATGCGGCTTGAACAGGGGTAGCTGCGAGCAGCCATCGATTGACGCCCACTTGAAGAGGAAAGGATGACGGACTGCCAATGGACATCCTTGTACGGCGAGCTCAAAAGGTAAGCCTTCTCTGGCGCCGCAAGCGTCCTCAGCCGACCGGTTTGCGTGGCGTCAGGGAATCGCCTCCATTACATCGCAAGCTGAGCTCTGGTAATTCGAGAGTCATTTTCATCAGCTGATGCAGAGCACCTGCACGTCTTGTGAGTGAAAATTCGGAGCAGAAATGACTGCTGCGGTGCGGCTGTGACACGCCGATAGTGTACACCGGGACACGAGACCGGTGACACAGCAGTACCCACGGTGTCACACCTGGTATCCCAGAGCCGCGCCGGTGGAGCCAACCTCCCAGGGATCGGCGCATAGGTTCGTTGCTGAAGCCGTCCACTGCAGCTGGCGGCTCTGGCCATGCTTCCCCATCCGAGCGCTCGCTAACGTGAACTGAGTCGCCACCAGTATTGGCCAGGACCAGGGCTGGTACTCTGAGCATCGCGTCCCTTTTCAACGCTATGCCAGGGCTGCCTGCCTGGTAGAGCATCGGAGCACCTGCGATAAGTGGAGAAGTTGTGAACGTAACCGGCTGCAGAATCGAGAAGTGCACGATGGGAGTGCACAGTTCCACATTGTGCGCTATTTGGCTAGGCATCGGTACCAGGCCGTTAGCCCACTGCCCTTACCGTAGTCGACCATCTAGTGAACCCCTCTCCGATTTCTTCATTTAGGCGCGCAAACCGCGATATGCTTTTCTGTTTTGAAACGACGCGTAAGAAAACCGGAGCGGGCGGGGTAGAGGCTGTGCCTCGAGACAATCGTTGAGGACTTGTGCATTGACGAACTTCCGTTCGCACTTTTCTATCCCACCATATGCAGGTGCCGTCAGAAACTGAATTCTGACCTAACGCAACAGATCACATCTCGCCTCAAGGACGCCGTTTACATTTGCTGCTTCGACATGGACGCATGTCGCAAAAGAGTCTTGCCGTCTCACTAGTTCTCTTGCCGCTGCAGTCAGCACAAGCCCGCATTCTCGTCAACCCACGCCGCCTTTACATGTGCAGTATCCGGCCCGGGTCTCGAACGGGTCATCAAGCTACCCACAAGAATTGTCTCCGTCAGGACTATCAGCATTGGCAAGGGCATCTTGTCTGACCATGCTCCCGCTCTGTAATATGACTCAAGGTTGTCGATGCTGCTTTCCAAGGGAGACTTGAGCTGACTGCTTCGAATACCTTCGATGTCAACCATCGCCTATCGGGACATGCTGGGCACGTCACGATTATTCAATCGTGCATCTGTCTTTTGGGAACGGCTGCAGGAGGCTGCAGCCCTTGTTGCCGCGACAGTGCCATCTCCATTTGGTGCAGTTTCATCCCGGCCCAGTCTCTGCAGAGCGTGCCATGTACGTTCGCTTGGAAGTCGAAGACTTTGGGAGGCACTCGGGCGCTGCTGACAGCCCTCGGCATGCCGACCTGCAGAAGACTCTTACGCGGTCCGAAAGATGTCTGGGTCCATGATTCGTGAGGGTAAACGACCTGAGCCGTAAGACGATCGATATGTGGTAGATCCTATGCCATGTCTATTGGTGGCCATGGACCTTTTGAGATGCGGGCTGGTGCCCTAGACTGCAATGCGGAGGCAGAATTCCCTGGACTACTAGCTCGCTTTATGCATCTTGAACGGTGCGCCTTCTTCCGTCGCGGGAGCTATTCGCGGCGGGATGGGCACGGCTCGGCAGTGGGTGCATTGCCTGATCTAAACCCCACCGTGTACCTCAGGGAAAGCGATGCTAGCTTGCATAATCAGCCAGTTGTGGCGATGAAGCGACTCGGCTTGTGCAAGTATGCACAGCTGAATGCACATTTCCCCTCGCTATGCTAGAGGCAGTGGAAGTACACCGTGGGACAACTTGCGGGTATATCGCCCCGTCAGTTCGTGCTTTCTAGAGATATTTTGTTGTTCCGCTCGATGCTGACCATTGAGTTCGGTTTGATCGCCTGTCATTCGTGCCGTGAGCAACATGATTTTCACTCCGAGGTCGAGGGTTCGAAGAGAGGATTGGTGGCATTCCAACTCTCGAAGTGCCGGAGAGCACATGGTCCGGCTCTACGATCCCACAAGATGCGGCTTTCCGTCCAAGATTGAGCTTGATGGCGTGGGCCGACAAGACTGGACCGCACGGATGCATGTGACGACGACTGAGGCAGGGCCACTCACCGATCAGGCCGAGGAGCAGACTCGTAGCGATGGAGCCAGAACTCTGGGTGTATGTATGCAAGTTTTTCACCGATGCGGGAAGCTCTCCGGGCCCAGAGTAAGATCTAAACGGTATACACCGACGTAAAAACGCTGCTTCACGAGTGTGTCTGTGTAAGTGAACCTTGAAAGGACCCTGCGCTACGTGCATTGCATCTATACGTAGCAGATAACGCCCAACGATCCAGTCTGTATAATTAAGCGCACTTTGTCTGGGTACCAATGCATACGGATCGACCGATCAGGCTGTGCGGTTGCTCCACGGCGGTGCCATACATCCGACAAGCAAGGTATGAGAATGGCGTCGAAGGAGGGTGGTCATTTTAGTTGACAAGACCAGGCATGAGCGGATGCTATTGTGAGTTGCGGTAGCATGGTTGAGGTTGGAGATGTTGGGGAAGATGTCCTCACAAGCGGAGGACAACGAGGAAGGAGTACCTGAACGCCGCGGCTGAGGACTCGATGATCAACTTAGCAGTCTAGACAGGCGTCAACTAGGCAATGTCTACTAAATCCGGTGGGCTATCTATGATGCGTATGTGCGCCGGGTCGATGTTGCTCGACAACGCGCGGACAAAATGAACCCCAGACAAGGAAGGGGCCCTCGACACCACCACAAGAAGCGCTGAAGTTCAGCAATGGATGGCTCAAAGGGTTGTGACCTCATGATGATCAAATTAATGCCTCGCAAACTCCTTCCATAACAATGCCACTTCACCCCAGTTCTCAGCTCCACTTGACCGGCTGGCACTTGGCAGGCGCAACGAGTGCATATGTTTTGGTGTTGAGGACTGCGAGTGCTGTCCGACCAGAGCTTGTCTGTGAAACACAGCGCAAGGGCATCATGGGACGCAAATCGCTCTCGCTTACAAGGCGTTGTGTGCAAAGCGATTGCCACGTCGACAAGTTTCGCCCTCGGAGAAGAGTAAACGGACGCCACTCGTCATGCTTGCAAGCAGAGAGGGCAGGTGCCTGACACCCAGCAGCAACCAACGGCAACATGGCTCTTGTGAGCACCCAGGTCGGCATCGCTGCGTACATGGCCACGTCTGCGCCATGTTTGTAGCTGACATGGATCACCTAGGGAGGTAAGGGCAAGGCCAACTCGGGGTCGGATCCATAGCATCCAAGACAAGATTCACAGCATGAGGGGATAGTACCACTGGTACGGAATCAATGTTAGTCAAGACACGGTGGAATATGTCTCAGCTAAGCGAGAGGGAAGTCTCTCCTTCTACCAAGAAGATATATCCACTTTGTCATCTCTCACGCGGTGGACGGTCTTGTTTGAATCTCTGCCTGATATGAGTCGAACAGCACCCTAGGTGGAATTGCCGTGGTGGGGATTTTAGTCTCGAAGATGATCTATGTATTCATGTCGCAGCCCTAACCCTCTATGTCGCATTACCCGGGCATCATTATATCAACCGTATCTCATCAGAAATCATGCTCTTAGACCAGGTAGCGCTTCCAGGCTTTGCGTTGAATGTATTTGTTGTTTGACTCGTCGACAGCCACCTCGAATTTCTCCCATCGCGCATCCTGCCCAGCACCAATGATCAGGAACTCATTGTTGGATATCCACCCAAGGAGGCCCTTCGTGGGGACACGTTCCGGGGAAAACTTGCTGAGGACCTCCTTTGTGGCAGCCTTTGATTGTGAGCTCCAACCGCCCATTTCATCCCCCATCTCGAAGCGGGTTGAGGCGCTGGAGTAGGTGTCGGATAACGGACCAGGGAGAAACGGAATCTTCGAAAAGATGCCGTATTTGTGTTTCTTGGGATCGATATCCGTCTTGGTCTGAACGCCGTTTGGAAGATCGAAGACGTGAACGGTGGACTTGTCAGACGTTACAGCAAGCATACTGTCGCACGGCGAGAAAGCGATTGAGAAAACGGCAGCTTCATCTATCCCACGACGAAACTCGCCGAGCTTTGTGCCGGATTCTACAGCGTACAGCCGGATGATAGTGCCTTTCTCGCTCGCGGTGGCCACCTTGTCAGCCGTCTTGTTCAGAGCGACGGCGCGCAGATGGCCGGTGTGCGCATTAATGAGAGTAACACGCGGGTTAAGGTTGCCATCGACAAGCCTGACAAGCCGGACCTGGCCGGCTTGTGCGCCAGGCATTGCCACGATATTCTTCTCGAAGGAGCACAGCCCAAATGGGTTTTCCGCTGTCTCGTACGTATGGATTTTCTGCGCAGGGTTTCCCATTCTGTATGCGACCACTTGGTAGGGTAGGACTACGACTAGAAACTCCTTGGTGGCGCGAACGCGAAGTACGGGCGCCTTCAGCTCGAGCGAGCCAGAGACTTGTTGTATCTGGTCGTTCCAGATTTGTATCTGTACAAGTCAGCCTCCAGCAAGATCGGGAATCCTCGCGGCGACATCCTACCTTGTTCGACGGGAAGTGCGGCGATCTGCCTCCTCCGGCCAGAATGATGAAGTTTGTAGTGCCGACCATATCAGCGCAGCCGAGACCGCCGCTGAGGTCTGATCGAAGTCAGAGAATGTAGGTAGTTGCGCAAGCGAGTACAGTACCTCGACCTATCTTTGCTTCGCATGTTGCCGCCCGAAACACTGTACCTATTAGCGGAGGGCCTCGTAATCAATGTGGTATTCTACCTTTGAAACCGTGCTCGTGTGCGACGGAGAAGAAGGTATTGTTCTCGTTGAACGCGGCAGCCAGAGCAAAGGGCTGTTGGGTCGGATCAAGAACTGGCCGGGTGTTCATGGTCAACTACGTGTATGCGTATGTCTGTAGGGGTATTCTAGGGTCACCTGTGGGCGACAAGCTGCGAGGTGGGGTGCCGGAGCTGAGGCTGAGTTCGGAGTGGCCTGGAGGTCGGCGTGAGAGACCGTAAAGGAAGGGCAGGCATCATGTCCAGTCCATGTCCCCAGCAGTCGTGGCAAAGAAGGATGGTGAAGGCCGGCGTGGGGTGAAGCGTCCCACGGTGATGCCATGTCATGCGCCCAAGCTCCCGCGCCTCGATTCGAACTTGGCTCAATCGAGGCAGCAGCTGTAGCACGTGAGAGCTGCAACGTCGAGCTGCACATCAATACGTTGAGTGTTCTCGCCAGTTGAAGACGTGTGGAATCCAGCAAATTCTCCGCCATCGAGTGGATAGAAATTCACAGCGAATTGTCGGCGGCTGCGGAAGCTACCATGGTTGCATGCCCCAACCGCGGCTGGTGTATCTGGGGAAGCTGCCCGCTTCGAATCGCGCGTCGACAGTTCACCACCACCGCGCGCAGGCAACACGTAGAACAGAAATGTACCAGAGAAGCTGTGGGGTGTCAATGCACAATGACTTTGTTTGTGAATCAATCAAATGCGTTTCAACCTGTGCGGTCGCGGCTGCAGGGTCGCGGCTAAGATGGGGCTAGCATGATGGGGAGCGGCGACCGGGGGCTCTCCCGCTAGCGAGCCCCTTTGCATTGCGCAGGAGAAGCTGCCAACGTCCCAAATTTCCTGACAACACCTCCGCTCCACGCCCCATCGCGCCGACGTCCATCAGACTCACGCCCGCCTTGTCCCATACACCACGCGTGGGCTGACCCTTCTGCACACCCGCCCGCACACCGCCGCCGGCACCTCACAACAAACATGTCTTCGGTACAGCAGCCCCCCAACACCCTGAGAGCTTGCGGCACACGCCAAACATGCCGCGCCTGCCTCGACCTCGCCCATTGAGTGCCGCGCTAATGCCATTGTAGATACTCAAGGCGCGCAGGAAGAAGAATGTCAAGAAGGGAATCCAGTTCTGCCTGATGGTCTGCGGTGCCTCAGGAACAGGTACGAGACCCTATTGGCACCCATTGCGTGGACGCGGCACTAACACAGCTGTGACTAGGCCGGACGACGTTCGTAAACACGCTCTGCGGCAAGCAGGTGCTCGAGCACAAGGACACCGAGGACGCGAACACGGCCCACGTCGAGGAGGGTGTCAAGATCTCGCCCGTCACCGTCGGTCCGTCTGCATCCATGACCCACCACGCCCTGCTTGTTACTGACTGCCAGCAGAGCTCGATGAGGAAGGCACCCGCATTTCGCTTACCATCGTCGACACGCCCGGCTTCGGCGACCAGATCGACAATGAGGCCAGGTATACTACCACCCGCCCCTGTGCAACGACGCAGCTTACATTGGACGCAGTTTCTCAGAGATCGTCGGATACCTCGAGAGGCAGTACGACGATATTCTTGCCGAGGAGAGCCGTATCAAGCGTAACCCCCGTTTCCGCGACAACCGTGTGCACGTGCTGTTGTACTTCATCACCCCCACCGGCCACGGGTACGTCTTCTGATACCACCAATGCGACCGTTCTAACAACGCCCAGTCTCCGCGAACTCGATATCGAGCTTATGAAGCGCCTCTCTCCCCGTGTCAACGTCATCCCCGTCATCGGCAAGGCCGACTCGCTGACCCCTGCCGAACTCGCCGAGTCGAAGAAGCTTGTCATGGAGGACATTGAGCACTACCGCATCCCCGTGTACAACTTCCCGTACGACATTGAAGAGGATGACGAGGACACTGTTGAGGAGAACGCCGAGCTTCGTGGTCTGATGCCCTTCGCCATAGTCGGCTCAGAGGATGTCATTGAGGTCAACGGCCGCCGGGTGCGTGCCCGACAGTACCCATGGGGTATCGTCGAAGTCGACAACCCGCGTCACTCGGACTTCTTGGCAGTGCGAAGCGCCCTGCTTCACAGCCATCTGGCGGATCTCAAGGAGATTACGCACGATTTCCTGTACGAGAACTACCGTACGGAGAAGCTTAGCAAGAGCGTCGAGGGTGGTGATGCTGCGTAAGTTCAGCCCTAGCCTCACTTTTTGCTGATACTGACCATTTGAAGCAACTCGTCGATGAACCCTGAAGATCTTGCCAGTCAGTCCGTGCGCCTGAAGGAAGAGCAACTGCGTCGTGAGGAGGAGAAGCTCCGTGAGATCGAAGTCAAGGTGCAGCGCGAGATTAACGAGAAGCGACAGGAGCTGTTGGCCCGTGAGAGCCAGCTGAAAGAAATCGAAGCCCGCATGAACAGGGAGCATAGCGGTCACCTAGAACGACAGCAGCAAGAGCAGCAGGAGGCCGACGAGGCGTAAAGAGATGTCGAGCACGATGGGGCAGCGCAGGGTCGTCATATGAATCCACCTCCAGGGGCGTATGATGTGATATCGTTCGCGGTTATATATCAGGAGCAAAATCTGTGCTGCAACGGGCGTTGGTAATGGTCGGCTTGCACTGCGGATATCGAAGGGCACGGGGATGATAGCCATTGGGGATATTTATTCTTCGCTCCCCGAGGGTCACTTTTGTTACCAGGTAATCGTCACGACCTGACACCCTTCTCTTATGTTTTCTTACTTCGATATCTATTCCCCCTTTTGCATTCCATGTAGGAACTAGTAATCCATTTTGATCGACTAATAGAACCCCGGTGGTCCATTGGTTTCTGCTTGTCTTGAAATCGATGTTAGAAGGGCAGCTGCACCAAATGCACTATGCTTGGAGATGTTGCGTGGCGATGCGACGTGAGCAAGTGTACACAGTCTCAACGAAAAAGGGTGTCTCTGCCCCAAAATGAAAGAACTACCTTGGGATTCATTGCACTCAGTAGCTGCTCGGCACCAGCGAATTTGCCCAGTCTTCTATATTGACATAGCCATTCCCATCCTTATCCCCCATCGCATCGTTGGCGTTCACATCAAACCCAAACTGCGTCTCCGCCGCGTCGGGAATCCCATCGCCGTCCGTGTCCACGGGCTTCGCGCCGCCAGAGACGGTGCCTACGCCCCCCATCGCCGCCTCGTCGCTGATCGTCGCGCCGGTCTTGCCCCAGCTCTGCACTTGCGCGATGAGCGCCTTGTCCACGGCGTCGCGGACGAGACTCGCGCCCGCCTTGCCGGTCACGTAGCTGAGTGCGTCCGGGGGGCTGAGGATCTTGGATGGGCCCGGGAAGGCGAATTTCGCGGGCTGGATGGCGACGCCGCCGTAGTTTGCACTCGTCGCAGCGAGCGCAGCGCCATCCAGCTTGCCGTTCTTGTCGGCGTCGTAGAAGTTGTTTTCGACGTAGGCCTTGAACTCTGCGTTGCCCCGCGTGAAGGCCGTCACGCTGGTGCTCGGGCCAGAGACAAAGTAGTTCCCGATGATGTGCGCGTTGCTCTCCCCCGCGGAGTCGCCGGCAATGTACCCGCCGCCGCCGCCCCAGTTGTAGACGACGTTGTTGGAGAAGTCGTTTGTGCCTTTGACTTTGGGGTTGCGGGTTTTGTTGTCGATGTAGAGGTTGCGGAAGAGGGAGATGCCGTTGCCCAAGGCGGTCTGTATGAGGCCGCCGCAGGAGTGCGTTTCGAGGCCCTGCCCGATGATGCTGTTTTGGATGGTGATGTTGCCGACATCGCTCCCTGAGATGGAGAAGGTCTCGTCGCGGCCCCAGGTCACGCTCACGTGGTCGAAGATCATGTTGCTGCCTTCGGCGATGGTGATTGCGTCCTTGCCCGAGGTCCCGCCCTTGCCCATGCGGATGCGGATGTAGCGCACGATGGCGTCGTCGGCGTTGCTGAAGGACCAACCATTGCCGTAGACGGTGATGCCATCCCCTGGCGCTGTTTGTCCCAAGATGGTGATGCGTTTTGAGACGACGATGCGGTCGGTGATTTTAATGACGCCGCCCACGGCGAAGACGATAATGCGGTCAGTTTTAGAAACTGCATCGCGGAGGGACCCGGTGCCGGAGTCGTTGAGGTTGGTCACGATATAGACGGAGCCTTTGCGGCCGCCGATAGCGTTGCGGCCGAAGCCTTCGGCGCCAGGGAAGGCGAGGCCGAGGGCGGATGGGATGAGGAAGAGGAGGGGAAGGAGTTGCATCTTGAGGCGGGAAACGATTGTTCAATGATTGCGAACCTCTGGATTGATGCTGGGTGGGCCTATATTATATAGGTGTAGAAAGTAGGCGGCTAATTGGCTTCGCTGCTTTACAGAACCCGCAATGCTTTGAGGAGAAACCTGGAGATCATCCCTTTCATATTGCATAGTGGAATTTCGCTCGATTCGGGGTGATGTTGTTGCGGTCAAGGCGAGGTGCCTTAATCTACATGCGGGAGAAAATCTGGGGTTGGATGTCCTCCAATCATAGATAGGTGTCGTTGGAAACACCTGAAACGACATTAGTACAAAAGTGTATGGTGGAAGCGGACGCGTACTGAATGGCGGGGTCGCCATCTCCATCGAGAAACAATGTTCCGATTCGCAATGTTGGAAATATCAATTCCGTCCAGGTCCAGCGTTCATGCGGTTTGCTTCCATGCGTCTAATAGCAAGGAACCACCAGCTATCGCTCCTAGCAGGCCGACACCCCAGTCGCTAAGGAAGCCCTTCTCTTCTTCAACGCTCCAATGCAGCGTCATGGGCATGTATGCGATATTGCTCACTGCGTCTCTCCACCAGACCCACCGTTCCCTCCTCTTCTGCTCCATCAACAGCTTGCCCTCCTTCTCGCCATCCCCTACGACGTCTTTCTCTGTTTCGCTCGCCAATTTCCCGTCTCCATAGTATCTCAGCACGCCAACTCTGACCAATTCTAGCGCAACATGCGCAGCCCAAAACCTGCTACTCCACACCCACCATGCGCCCTCTCTCGTCTTCCCAGCCTCCCCACTCCACGCGTCGCTCGTCAGCACGCCCTTGCTCGCGAGGTACGCGCCGTTCTCCAGCACCTGGAACAACACCAAACTCCCAATCTGCGCCCACGTAATCCTCCTCACCGCCCTCTCCTTCGCCCCGGCCTCTGTACCCAGCGGCGCATTCCACAGCCCCCTCGCCCACATATACAGCCCTGCAAGTCCCCACATGCGCACAAAGATGCGGAAGTCTCCAATTACGGCAGCAAGCGCTTTAGACCCTGTCGCTACCTGGGAAAGCAGCTTCTCGCTTGACGGTGTGGGCAGTGTCGCCACGAGGGTCTCGCCTGGGAGCAGGACATCCTCAGCTTTGTTGGCGATCGAGGACGCGAGGGACACCAGGCGGTGGGTGAGGAAGCGCGAGAGCAGGGCGGCGAGGAGCTCGAGGGTGTAGCCGAGGGTGCCGAGGAGGGCGTCGGTGGAAGCTGGGCTTTCGAGGAGGGCGGAGAGGCGCACGAGGAAACGGTCATGACGGTGCACGTGGAGGGCGAGGGAGCGGAGGGCTTGAATGCGTATACGTTGGACTGCTGAGGGTGTCGTGCGGGTTGGAGGGTTTGACTTGGAGGGCGACGATGCGGGCTTGGGCGTGGCAGAAGGAATGGTGGTGGATGCGGGCCGTTCATCGGACGCCATGGCGAACTGTGGAATTGGATTGATTGGAAGGCCAAGAATCAACAGTTTCTTTACATCTGAAGACAGTCTGCGAATTATGGACAGCAGGCCTGGAGCATGCGGCTCCGATATGGCTGCGGTGCAGCGGCGCGATTTAAGCGTCGACGGGTGCGGCGTGTTTCCGCGCCTAGTGGTTGTTGCTGGACCCTGTTATCGCTGTCACCAACCGCCTCTGCTGTCATCACGGGCGTCGTGTGCGCACCGAGGCTTCGCCATGGCGCTTTCCGCAGCTTGAATCGAGCGACACGACCAAGCCTGGAATGCTAAGGCTACCCCAGAACAATCAGGGAAACATGAGACACGCCCTAGGTCCAACCGAGCCCCGCGCCCAAGCTCCCATATCTCCACGCTGCACCCCCACATCCGCTGTCCATCTTGCCAGTACTCGCTGAGCTGTAATTCACACGCACAACCCTTCCTCTCTCAAGCTACCCACAATGCCATCCCGTCGCCCAACCTACCCCCTGGCGCACTCCTTCCGCCACAAGCCCCGGCGCGTCCCCCTCGTTCTGCGCTTCACAAAGGGCTCGATCCACAGCATCGTCTTCATCCCCGTGCTCCTGCACTCTCTCTTCACAGTCCTCATCGTCTACCTCGACACTCGCGTCCTCGAATCCCTCGGCCTTCCCTCTACAATCATCCCGTCTCTATCCATTGTTGTGGGTTTGATGCTCGTCTTCCGCAACTCCACCTCCTACGACCGCTTCTGGACCGGCCGCAACTGCCTCACGACCATTGGGACCAGCGTGCGGAATCTGGCGCGCATCGTGCTAGTCAACGCGAAAGTGAAGGAGGCAGCTTTGGGAGATTCGGGGCTGGGACAGGGCAATGGGAGGTTGGGCGAGGCCGAGAAGAGGGATACAGAGCATGTGCTCAAGGTGCTGATTGCGGTGCTGTACGCCATCAAGCACAATCTGCGCGCCGAGTTCAACATCCCACCTGCTTCACTCGAGGCGGCGCCTGTGTTCGACGCGCATTCTACGCCTGTGTCGCGGAGGCCGAGTTATACAGATCGGCCTACGCCGGCGTCGGAGGATGTCGGGGAGAATGGGCTGGTTGATGGGGACGGGCTTCACCAGCCAAAGGACGTATATCGTTCTCTACTTCCGGACGGCCTGCGGGGATATGAAGACGAGGGTCTGAGTCTCCCGCTGCAGCTCAGCGTGCTCATCGAGTCCTTCATCCGCCGCGGCGTCGACCGCGGCTGGTTCCACGCCCCGCTCGCCTCGCAGATGACCGTCCAGATCAACTCCCTCGTCGACGCGTACGGCCGTATGGAAACCATCCGCTCGACCCCGATCCCAGTTGCCCATCTGTAAGCCACTCTGCCCCCCTACCTTGGTCGTGGGACATCTCTAATAGAGGCACCTAGCATCCACCAAAAACAAGTCCTTGCCCTCTTCACTTGCGTGCTGCCTTTTGCCATCGTCGACGACTACGTCTGGTGGTCCGTTCCCATTGTTGCTATCGTTGCCTTCACGTTGTACGGCATCGAAGGGATTGGCCAGCAGCTTGAGGATCCCTTCGGCTACGACAGGAACGACATCAAGATGGATGGCATCATCGAAGACACGCGGCGTGAGGTTCTAACGCTGCTGGCTGAGTGGCAGAAGGCGCAGGGCGATGCTGAAGACGAAGGCGCGCATTTGGGCGGCATGTTCACTTGATCGCCGGGGTGGATGATTTGATGAAGTACGATCTGCACGGTATTTGGCGGGCTCGTGTTGTTGCGTTTAAACGTCTGATTTTCAAGCGTGGAGTCCAATACCCAGTGTTGATGTTGCTGAACAGATGTGTAGTACAAGGTGAATAAAGCTGCCGATCCGAGACATTAGGTCTAGAAATCTAAGAACCTGTGTTACCAAACCAACAACACTCGCCCATCGCAGCATACACGCCGACTGATCCCAAATCCCTCCGCACACAGCAAGACTCGGCTTTACTCACCAGTCCTGCCATTTTCCGAACGTCCCGGATCTGGCTCGGACACGCAGGTGTCGCTAGCTCCTCGGTCAACCTCGCCCAGCACCACCTTGCCATATAACAAGCGCCATTTACGCATTCTGGACAGCTCGCTCGCAAGTGACCAGGCGGTTCGTACGAGGTGGGGCTGTGAACATGCTGTTGTTCGAAATAGCCATGGTACCCTCCGCATGACCTCAAGCGCATAACAAACTGATAGACATCAAGCTTGAGCCTCCACAATACACATAAGTATCGTATTTTCCTTCTGTCGGTCCTTGCTTGCTCTATTGTCTGCTAGTTCTCTACATTCCCCCTTGCAGCACATCTTTGCATTTGTGTACCATAACACACTCTACATCATTATGTCGTGGCAACCACCATCCGACTATGCGACCCGTCCCGTCACCATCCTAGGTGCAGGCGTACTAGGCCGCCGCATCGGTGAGAAATTCACTTTCTGTATTCCCTCTTGCATGGGCTCACTCGTTTCCCAGCATGCACCTGGGCCGCCGCCGGCTACAACGTGCACATCCGCGACCCTAGCGCCGCCCAACTCACCCAATGCGCCTCCTACTTTGAGTCAAACATCGGAACCTACAAGCAGAAAACATCTTCGTCGACAACAGGAACCATTTCCACCTTCGCAGATCTTGAACCCGCCGTAGCAACCGCCTGGCTCATCGTCGAAGCTGTCCCCGAAGTCCTGGACCTAAAAACCAAGACCTTCACCGCCCTCGAGGCACACGCACCCCGCGATGCCCTCCTCGCCACGAATTCCTCCTCCTACAAGTCCTCCGAAATGCTCTCCGGCCTCGTCTCCCCCACCACCGCATCCCGCATCCTCAACACGCACTACTACATGCCGCCCGCCAACATGGTCGTCGAGCTCATGACGTGCGGCCACACACATGCCCCCATCTTCCCCTTCCTCGCCGCGCGCCTCCGCGAAACCGGCGCCGCGCCCTACACGGCGCGCGTCGAGTCCACGGGCTTCATCTTCAACCGGCTCTGGGCCGCCGTGAAGCGCGAGACGCTGGCCATCCTGTCCGAAGGCGTGTCCACCCCCGAAGAAATCGACGCCCTGTGGACCGACATGTTTGTCCGCGGGCAAGCGACGCCGTGTCGGCTCATGGACCAGGTGGGGCTCGATACCGTGGCGTTTATCGAGGCGCATTATGTAGCTGAGCGCGGACTCGATGATGAACATACGGTTCGATACTTGGAGAGGGAGTTCATTGCGAAGGGGCGGCTGGGTGATAAGAGTGGGAAGGGGGGGTTGTATCCTCCCCAGGGAGAGGGTGGGGTTGGGGAGAAGGGGAGCGAGCAGCCGTGATCTTGTATCGAGCAGCGCTGGGCGAGCAGTTTGAGCACGGTGCAAGTCTTATACAGGTCTATTGTGCGCATGTTGTTGTTTGGCTAGTATACCATTGCGCGCGTGTTTGGAGCTGGGTGCAGATTGATTTGTCAACTGTTTACTATTGCCAGATTCTTTAGTTGAACCAAGTGTATGCAGGCGTGCTTACGTACGCCTCTAGAGGTCTACGATCTCCGTACAACGCTGCAAAGCGGGCCTTCGGGAAATGTGGGTCTGTCAACCATCCTGCTGGGTACACGATGACGGCATAGAGCACTTCGCAGATCGCAGCTGTCAGTATCTATTTCCATTTCTGTCTGCTCAGATCATGTACGAGATACCCAATGCCACGGCTCTTCGTCCACTCTCATCCATCCAATCCCGGCAACACAACAGGCGCGTATCCGCCTGCACTTCGAGACCAGCCACTCGGCATCTGGCGCGCAAAGTAGAGACTACACAAATGACTCAGGACGAAAACAATGAGACATTACCACATGAATGCTCTTTCCGAAAAATGCTGTTAAAGACAGGCGCACGTCTCGTTCGTAACCAGAATGCCCAACGCCAACGCCAGAAAATGCCCAAACGAGATGATGATGTGAACGATTCAAACTTGAAATGTCAGACGTCAGCCTGCATTTGGTTATCTGAGCGGGCTACGCGTCGCGGAAGCGCTGCCCAGCAGCTCGTCCTGTGCTGCCACTGCCATCGAGCACAAAGGGTCCAGCATCGTTGCGTGGCGTCATAGGACCTTCTGGGGCGCCGTTCGGACTCAACCCGTCTGAGCTGTTCGACGACCTGTTTTGGAGTGGCGTAAGACCGACGCTCTCGTTTGCTGCTATGACGTTGATGGCTACTGGTTGTGTGACTGACGAAGACGCAAACGGAGCTGGACTTCGTTGCGGGGTGGAAGGGTCGACTGTCGATTCGCTCGTAACCCGAGTCACAGAGTCTGAGATGCTAATGTTCGAGATGGCGGCTTCCAGATCGCCAAAGCTGATATGACTGCCGGCAAGCGCATTGAGTGCATTAGTGGAGGCTTTGGGCGTGACGTGGCGGTCCTCCTGCGAGGATGCGCCGTTTGTCTTGACTTCGCCGTTCTCCTGCGCAGGTTCCTCTTCCCACTCATCGAAATCCACCGGATCATCGACATCCGCTTCCAAGTCGGTCACTGCGCGGCAATTGGGACACAAGAAGTTTGGATACGTAGGGCCGTTGAGGATTGGGCGGATACACTTGTAATGCCACACGTGTGAACAGGGTGCAACGAAGAGCGATTGACACGGCTGCACGGATGAGTACGAGTTTCACAAGTGTGGTCACACATGGACATACCGCAATAGACATGAGACAAATAGAGCATTCGGAAGTATGGGTCGAAGCGTTGTCGCCGTCTTTCTTGGCCTTGCCGAGGTTTCGCAGTCGCTGGTGGGTTTGTTTACTGCAGCTGTTAGCAGCATTAGCATGGAGGCACTGTGTCACTCACTTGAACGCATTAAGAGCCTGCTGCCACCCGCGATTGCACTCTATCCTGATCTTGACACAGCGGAAAATCATCTCCTCGCCGCCGCGGAAATCTATTCCCAGCTGGATGATGTCGCCATCCTTGAGCTTGAACGGCTTGCTCTCCTGGTTCGGCTGACTTAATCGGATGTGGTTGAGAAAGGTGCCGGAAGAGCTTTTGACGTCCTTGATCCACCATTCGCCATTCTTGCACCACAGCTCACAATGCTTTCGGCTCACGACCTTGGACTTGAAGCCTACGGCGGCAGCCGAGGGCTGGTCTTTGGGAACGTCGGGCAGCACGTCCCTCTCCGAATAGCGCCCAACTTTTATCACAGCCGACTCGTCGGGGAGTGTCCGGTTGATGGTGGAAAACGAGAGCGACGGTCTCGCGGCGCGTGGGTCCTGGTGCATGATGAAGCGTATCGACGGGAGGTCTTTCATCGCCGGGGCTTCGCTCGGGGTGGGCTGGTCGGCTTGGCTGGAGGCCATGGTGGGCGTCGTGGGGATGGGGCCGGAATGGTTCCTGACGGTGAGCTGCGGCGCTGCCGTTTCTGCGCGCGTGCGGGTCATGGTTGGGGAAGGAAGCGCAGGCAGCGGGGGCGGGTGCGAAGCGGCCTCTGGGGCGGTGTGGGTGCGCGAGGCGCTGGGGCGGGCGTGGTGGTGGTCGGGTGCCGATGCCGACGCAGCAGGCGGCGATATGGGCGGGGTTGCAGTCGCAGTCGCAGCGGGTGCGCGACCTTTTGTCTGCGGTGCCGGTGAGGGCTGGTGGCGCTGCCCCTCGTGGTCGTGGGCGCTGTTTGCAGCGGCGCCTGGGGCAGGCGGCTGTTGGTGCGTGGTGTGGGTGTGGGAGTGGTAGTGCCTGAGGAGCGCGCGCAGGGCACTGGGTCGATCCGGCGGCGACGAGGCAAGTGGTGTCGCTGGGGGAGCTGCGGACGGGGCTGTAAACATGAGGTGGGCGGTGGCACCGTCACAGGCGGACTCCACGCCGGCGGTGAATGCGTGCGGTGAATGCGTGCGGGTGCGGGGCGACAGCCGTTTGGGCTCGGGGGCGAGCGCGATATTTGGCAGCAGAGCAGGACGTGAAGCACTGCACGTCTTGACGGCTGGGGGCAAGCGGCCAAGCAAGCAAACGAGGAGACGCCCAAGAGTCAGCGGCCTGGACCGCGTGCCCGCCTGTCACGAGTACGGCAGCGCGATAGCGAGTCCGCGGGAACAGACACAGTCAGACCAGCCCTCACACGCGCCCCAGCGGCTTGGAGACCAGACTGCAGACCACAGAGGTGGGGTCCATGGCGCTGCGCAGAAGGGACTCAGCCTTGCGACCGCACAGAACGAGCGTTCAGTGCCAGGCATGCACGACAGGCCAAGTCTGCCCAGCTGTCGCCAGACCTTCTGCCGATAAGAACTGCGCTGCTCAAACACGTGTCCCGCAAGTCCGCTTCTTCCAGCGCTGGCTTTCCAGCAGGTTCAAGAGACGGCCTTGTCTGCGTCGGCACAGTCGCACGCGAGCGCCGAACGCCTGTTCGTTGCGCAGCGAGCCACCCAGGATACGCCCAACGCAGTCTGCCTGAGTGCGAAGTCTGGTCCCAGAAGACAAAGCCTTTGTCTCCCAGCGTGGGAGGTCCGAACCACGGGACGCTGAGTTTCACGCTGCCCGTCAAACCTTGGTGATCCTTCATGCATTGCCCTCTGACGTCTGCCTCAGGGCCTCAGGCACCGGCACGCCATGCTCGGCGCAGATCCCGAAGCCAGGCAAATGCCAAGCCCGCCATGTGATTATGTCATCTTGAGTTTTTCGAAACAACGCCATTGCCATCTCCTGTTGATGCCGCATCGCTCCGCACACCGCACCCTATAATGTTGAGGCCGCGATCAATCAGACCACTGTCGCGGGGACTCGGCCAAGCCTCTGCCTCTCTTACAAAAGCTGCATCATGCGCAGGTAGACGCGGGCTGGCAACGGTGGTCGCCGAGGAGAAGGTTAGCTTCCGACTGCGAGTGGCCCACCATCTTGCTAATGTTCGCAGGATCCTGTGGAACTCGACCAAATCACAACCCTGCCTAATGGCATCCGCGTCGCGACCGAGGCCCTTCCCGGTCACTTTTCCGGTGTTGGTGTCTATGTCGACGCCGGTTCGAGATACGAAAACGACGCGCTGCGGGGCGTGAGCCACATCATAGACCGCCTCGCGTTCAAGTCAACAACCTCCAAGACTGGCCTCCAAATCGCAGAGGCCGCTGAGCAACTAGGCGGCAACATCCAGTGTGCATCGTCGCGCGAGTCACTCATGTACCAGGCCGCCACCTTCAACTCCGCCGTACCGACCACCGTGGGCCTTCTCGCCGATACCATCCGCAACCCAGTCGTCACCGAGGAAGAGGTCCAGCAGCAGCTGGAGACGGCCGACTACGAGATTGGCGAGATATGGTCGAAGCCGGAGCTGATTCTACCCGAGTTAGTACACATGGCGGCTTACAAGGATAACACCCTGGGCAATCCGCTGCTGTGCCCGAAAGAGAGGTTACCTCACATTAACCGCGCAGTGGTGGAGGCATATCGCAAGGAGTTTTACAAGCCGGAGAGAATGGTTCTTGCGTTTGCTGGCGTAGAGCACGCAGAGGCTGTCCGCCTAGCAGAGCAACATTTCGGCGACATGGAAAAAGGCACCGGGCCCTCACTCGTTGGCATTGGCGAGGAAAGCACCATTACAGAACAACCGACCTTCACAGCATCGCACCCCACACCAACCGGCGCTCCTCCGCAATCTTCGAAGCTCCTCTCCAAGATACCCTTTTTCAAGAATCTCTCCACCTCCGCAACGTCGAACGCTTCCGTGAACACATCCTTCGATCTCAACTTCCCTCCGATAGATACGTCCATCCCGTCGCACTACACCGGCGGCTTCCTCACCCTCCCTCCGATTCCCCCTCCGCTAAACCCCTATCTTCCTCGTCTCTCGCACATCCACATCGCTTTCGAAGCACTTCCCATCTCCTCGCCCGACATCTACGCGCTCGCGACGCTCCAAACACTCTTAGGTGGTGGCGGCTCATTCAGCGCCGGTGGCCCAGGCAAGGGCATGTACTCGCGCCTCTACACCAACGTGCTCAACCAGCATGGCTGGATTGAGTCGTGCATCGCCTTCAACCACTCGTACACCGACTCCGGGCTCTTCGGCATCGCAGCCTCGTGCGCGCCAGCACAGGTGGCTCAGATGCTTGAAGTCATGTGCCGCGAGCTGAGCGCGCTCGGCTCAGAGACGGGTTACGCCGTCTTAAGAGACCAGGAGGTGCAGCGCGCAAAGAATCAGCTCAGGTCCAGTCTCCTCATGAACCTCGAGTCGCGGATGGTGGAGCTCGAGGATCTCGGCAGGCAGGTTCAGGTGCACGGCCGCAAAGTCGGCGTCAAGGAGATGTGCGCCAAGATTGAGGCGGTCACTGTCCAGGATCTGCGTAGGGTCGCGCGGCAAGTGTTTGGCGGCGAAGTAAAGAATGCAGGCGAGGGGAGCGGGGCACCGACTGTAGTGCTGCAGGAGGGCGAGATGGAGGGGCTCAAGAGGAAGGACCTCTCGTGGGATGAGATACAGACGAGGATCGCCAGGTGGAAGCTGGGCAAGAGGTAGATGTGCAACGCATGGGACGGAGCTGTACGATGTGCATTGCGGGTGTATAATGGCTGGGCTTGTGTATTATATGTGTGGCATTTGAAGTGAGCACGGCATGGATGCTTCGATATGTAGAATACTGTATGCCGCTGATGAATGAAGCGTCGCTTACCTGACCGTACTACTGCGCCATTTGAGCTCTCCAACAAGAACGCAGCCACCGCAAAGCCCAACTCAACATAGTGTTGTCGCTGTGTACCACACTGTGCATTACTCTGTCTACCAACTCTCGCTTCTGTCACTGAACCTCCTGCTGACCGCATGCGTCTGCTCTGCACATACTATTTTCCATCCTCTCTATTCTTCTTTTTAAGGCACTGTTTCCATAATTACCACATTCACTCTCTAAGTTTGTATTCCCTATTCACCTTCACTACTCACCTTCACCATTCACTAATGACATGCACAGTCCCTCGCATGGCCAGCCTAAGCCAAGCGACGCCCCACCAAGCTTACGCTGCGAGAGCTATCGCTCCGACAACACTTAATTAGACCCAACTCCGAGTTCTCCTGTCGCTTTCGCGACCGCGGATCATCAAAAACAGGGCGCTATCCTCACCACGTTCTCGAGCAAAATTACTTTTCCAGAGGAGAACTCATAGACAGCTTAAACCCAAGTGTTCCGATCCGAACGTAAGATGCGTTGATGTGGGACACTAATTACACTAGCGGGAACGTGCCGGTAGGGAGAAGGCCACGAGGGGTGAGTTATTTAGATAGAAACACTGGATGCCATTCATCAGTAAGGAAGGTGCCACTGAGCCGAGGTTTTGGGGAAGGCCTATTGTTGCGCAACTGTGGTTGGTTTCGATGGGGGATTGACGACCTGACGGCGATGCCTTGCGTGATGGTACTGTGGCGAAGACGTGGATGAAAGTGTAAAGGTGTTTGAGGACAGAGGAAGCGACGGTACAATGATTTAGAGAGGAAACTGCGGTGGACTAATCATCGACGCCGGAGTCGCAGTGTATACAGAGGTGGGAATTCACAAGTGTTTGAGTAGGCGGCTCTTGCGAGCTCCGGCAGTGTACCTTACGGATTCGTGATGGTGCCACCAGCATTGGTAAAGATTGTTGGTCAAGATTCGACCAATCGGCTCTCAATTGTGGCTCCTCGGAAGATGTACGGTACGTTTCCAGTGTTAGCAGGAGTACCTCCGCGCGTAAAAGTGTTGGATACTTATTCAGTCTCTCTCCGTGAGCCCAGCGGGGCTACCCAAAGCAACTGCAGAGTTGTAGGAGACTTGGCGAGCTTCTTGTGGGGTCGGCCGTGGAAGGATAGCCGAATGGTACAGCCCGTTCACAACAGGTCTGGACTCCGGGGTACTTACAGGGGGCGGCAGCGGGCTACACAACTGCGTAGTGTACCGTAGGCCGTGCGGCCACATCGATACTCCGGAGGAAATCCAATGGAGCGAGAGAGATGGTACGCTATGTACGGCACGAGATATGCGACTCAACACGGTCACCTTCCGTGCCCTGGCGGCGCCCCGCCGGTGTCCTCGGTACGGAGGTGGAGATACGCCGTTGCAAATCCGGGGTCAAGGTGTAGGCCTGCTGTGCTTGATGCGGGACAGCATGAGCTTGTCAGTTGCTTGAGGAGATCCTGTTGTATGAATCAGCTCCACTTCAGACCGTGTCGACGCTAGTGTCGACATTTGTAAGTATCAATGAAGCGCCGCTGATTCAGTAGAGGCCACCACGGCTGAGCAAGTTGTCACAGATAATCAAAATATTCTGGAGAAGTCGAGTACGTGATGCATCTACCCAAGCTTGCTTCTGCGGGTACTGGCGGCGTGCTTGATTGCTATACCTTCAAGGTCGGTCCACCCATTTTTTTGCAGATCACTCCGCTCAACGTTTTCAAGATGCTGTCGAAGAGCATTTTGAATCCATGAAGCCCTCTAAATTAGACGGTGTTCAGCACATTGTTCACACAGGTGTGTTGCTGATCGATTGGTCATCCCCATTCCGGTTCGTTCGCCGATACTCTTGTCCATGGTAATACCGGTGAAATGATCAACATTGGTTCCCCACTACTCTCTGTGGGGGTCCCACATTGTTCCAGAATACTCATTTCGCGGCAATGCGGAAGCACCCCGACTTCGGCGGCGCGCTCTTGGATTGCTCCACTGCGGACCGTCTCGACACGACACGTCAATTGCACGTATCGTAGAATTTGGCAGACGCCGATCGAGCCAAACAGAAGTCCTTCCGCTATCCTACAGTCTTCGAACCCAATTTTGCGTTGGCTGCTAGTTTTTCTCTAGTGTAAAGCCCCGTCCGGGCGGCCGTATCCCGCGGAAGAACAGTGACTCCACACCGTCGCCGCGTGTAAGCTAGTTCGACTGAGACGAGAAGGGTCATCGATGCGCAGCATGAATATCCCGCAGTCTGTGAAATCAGGCTTGCCGGCTGATGTTACCCCAGCATTTGTCTACGATGTGGACCTGCTCCACTACGGACCGGTTTGACGCTACTTCCCGTGAATCACTGCACAGTGATCATTCCTACTATCCGTATGGGGGAACGGCGGGGTAAATACGATAAACATCGACATCTATGTCCAACGTGTAAACCAGGGGATCGCTCCTTCTCCTGCTTCCGTGGTCGCTACGTCATGGAGTAGTCGGGCATTGTTGATGTGGAAAATTGTCTGTCAAGTCACCGAGGTAGAAGGCCAGAGGAAGCCGGCCCCACAAAAAGAGCGCCATGGTTGGAGTCCATGAGCAAAGTGGAGGCAGAAATGCGCCGCCTTGACGCGTCCTACGCGGCGCGGTGTGCCAGTCTTGAGGATCCGAAGTAGGTCCGCCGAGGTGGCCGCTTGGATGTCTCGCACCATGCCGCCGCTCTACCTTCCGAGGCCGCTGTTGTCGCAAATTTGCGTTGTTGCTGTACAGCCGTTGTCGCAAGCTGTGCAAGTACCAGGATGCGTCGCGGACAGAAGAACATCTCTCGCGGTACACTTGCAGTCACCACCACGTTTTCTTGTGGCAAATAATTCCCGTAAGCCGATACATCACGGCTGTCGGCCAAAAGGACGGATGCAGGACAGAAGGCGGCACGGCAATCCCGTCGCTGATGGTGCCGAGCGGTGTGGTCGTTGGAGAGGTCGTCGTGCTGAGCTAAGGGTCCGCTAAGACAAAGCGTCCCTTGCAGAATCTGCGCGAACTCCACGCTACTCGCTCTTCCGCTGCCGGCACGTGCAGATGATCGGCGAACCATCAACGGTCGTCGAGCTTATTGATAGGCTGCTGTCATACGGGCCGGAGTCGACCCTCAAGCTATTGCGATCCGTTTCAGCGCCGCCTTTGCCAGTCGCCCAGTCCGATCTGTTTTACCTTGGTCCGCCCAATCACAGACAGATCTCACCAAACCTCACGTTTACGCCTTCCGTCATAAGCAGTCCCTTACCCGACAATGACTTCTGCTCCACGAATTTTCCGGCCCAATCAGCGATGTCATTGGTCTTAGAAATGCAGGAACACGGCACGGGAGGGCCGCACGTCACTGTGCCTGGCCGTTTCTCGCGTGGCCACCATGCGTCGAAGGGCCCTAGAAGAAGCTTGTGCAAAGCCTTCACGCCTCGACGTAGGTGTCGACGCTATCCGCTGGGATCCACTGAAGAAATTTAATCGGATGCCTACTCTGTGTGGTAGTTTACATTGCTAGCATTGAGAGTGGGGCAGATGGGCCACGCAGAGCGCAGCAGTGCCTTCAACCCAAAGTCCGGCCGACCTGCCAGAACATACTTGGGCGTATCTCCGACGTAGCACGCCTGTGGTCCCTCCAGTAAAAGTCTGACCATATCCCGGAGATTGCCCTAGAGGCTCAAACAAAGCGGTTCCGAATAGCATCTGGGCTGAAGTTGCGTGTAGCCGCCTCCACAACCCCAGTCTAGATTTCGCCTCGCCGCCATGCTCTCAGGTATAAAGGTATTTCGTCTTCTCCCTGTTTCCCCAGTGCAAGCATCGATCAGTCTTTCTTCCATTCATACTCCACCACACTCCTTGTCAGGACTCATTCCATTCTTTCCGACTCAGTCAAACCACCACGGTACTTTGTTCTTCATCACAATCCTTCAGAGCCCTTTGCATTATCAAAGAGCTCCACAAGCAGTTGTAACATTTCGACCACCACCTCTACGGTAACACATTTTTCGAGGAACCGGGTTCCCCACACCTTTCGATTCCATACCTTACACAAGATTTGATATCTTCCAACTTCAAGATGTTCTCCAAGATTGCTGCCACTCTCTCTTTGGCTTCGGCCGCCGTTGCCACTGGCGTCTCCATCACTCCCCACGATGCCTACTCTTCCTCCATCGGTGTGCTTGGCTGCCTCATCGACGTTAACCGCGTCGCCTACTGGCCCATGCAGCCCGACTGTAACAACCTTTGCAAGCGTGTCACTGCCAATGGCCGCACTGTCAACCTCCTCCAGATCGACACCTCTGGTGGGGCCTACGACATCAGCTACGATGCCTGGAACTACCTCAACGTCGGTGCCAGTGCTACCGATCAGCCTACCATGGGTGGTGGTATTCCCGCTGAGTTCGAGGATGCTCCCATGAGCGAATGCGCCAGCATCATCAAGACTCCTGATGGCAAGCTCCCCCTGATGGCTGCCAACAGCATCAACACCTACGTCGGCTGCCCTGCCGGTTCCTGGCTCCACGACAACTCCGCTCTGTACAACATCCAGACTAGCGGTTGCAAGTACGGCTACAACGAGGTCTGCACGCTTGACCTTGCCGTCAGCAACCAGCCCTCGTGCCCTCACCAGCTCGGCGCTCAGAACCCGCTCTCCGGCATGGACGTCATGAACATCCAGTACGGTACTGGTGCTCTGGTTGCCTCCCCCATCTAAGTTCCCCCAGACTCAGCCATAACCGGCTTGGAGCATCGGAGCCGGAGTTTGATGACCTGGAGTTTCACATCGGCGTTCTTCACCTTCGTTTTGTAAATATAGATACCACAGACGCACTCGTTGTCGCGCATGCAGAACACACACATAGACTTCAATGTACATTTGAAAAGTTGTTGACAATTCCGCTCGCTTGTGCGTGAACTCTGACAGTAACATCGCAAATTACTTCCCAGATTACAGGATTGCATCGGATCGGATCCAAGGCGCTCAAAAGGGTGTCCGCCGGAGATGAGTAACATGGCTATGAAGTTAACGCTGCATTTAATAGGCAAATGACGCCACGTCCTTCTACCTATTGCGATGCGCAAAAGTCCGACATACGAAGTGTAGATGGGGCATGAGCTCACTTCAGCTGCCTAGCGTTGACTGTTGAGGCTTAGCGCTTACCCTTTCTGAATCAGCATTGTGTATGTAGGAAGTCCGATGGAACGACTTGAGGCAGCGTAGGATCAGGTAAGCTCTTAAACGTCCAATGAAATTGCGGCGTGGTGATTGTTTGTTTCGCTTTGTGAAACATGCGCCGGGCAAGAGTCATTGACGGTGAGGTCACCTAAGCATGGAAGCATACCAAGTCACCGGTAAAGAAGCCCACGTGCAGGAGGCCGGTCTAACGTCCAACTCGGTCTAGATCGGACCCTGTACTGTCCCGCTTCTTGGTACAGTAGTGACCGAAATCGGTTTCCGGTTCCTGCACTCTGGCTATTCTAAGCGCACGGCCGTTTAGAGAAGCGCTTACAGTACTAGATAGGTCTTAGCGTTCGTAGGGGTAGTACCTGTGGCTAAGAATGTGGTGATATCGCGAGCTGTGCCACATGTACCTCTACCTACTTATTATTTACGTATTGCGAAACATCCACAAGGTTAGGGCTGGTACGGTTCGACCGCCCTCCCTGCTAGTGGTGGCAATGGCTGGTGGCAAGTTATGCTTAGTCTTTATCCAATACGGTCATATACTGTACTACACGTAAGCTCCTATATATTAAAGTAGGCCATATATATATAGTTAATTTTGCTCAATCGTCTTTACCTCAACCCAACATTGTTGTCTCTAGGCCCCCTACAAATATGTTTCAAACATTCCGGGCCTCAAGAATCTCAACTATCTTTGTTTGTCCACCCATATGTGCAATTGTAAGCAGAGACATGCCATCTTTGTCCTTATAGTTCTGTTGTGCACCGTAATCGAGAAGCAATTTAACCACTTCCACGTAATCCAAAGCGGCAGGATTGAATAGCGGCGTGTATTTGCCAAGGCCTGTTCCATTGACGTCTACAGCGTTTGTCTCTAGCAGAACTCGGACTGTGTCCGTGTGACCACGAGCGGATGCATGCCACAGCGGAGTTGCGCCTTCAAAGTCTGGTTCATCTGGAGGAACACCTTATTGAGTGAGTTTGAGGACAGCTTCTGCATTTCCTTCCTTTGCAGCCACGCAAAGACTTGCGATTTCAAAGGAACCATTTGTCAAGATACTAGCCTTGGCCCATTGTTCAAAAAGACGAAGAGTACTTTCCTGATCGCTGGCAGCTGCTGACTGTATCACGGCATCAGTAACATCAATGAATGTTATCTAGTGTAGATATTCGATGACTCCCCCACCATCTTTATTGCCTGCAGCTGCGACCACCACTTCTTGCGTGATCCGGACCTCATCTCTGCGCTTTTCAAGAAGCAGTGCCATAACTTTCTCATCAAAGCTTTGAGCGGTAGATACTACCACCTCTTGCGTGATCAGGATCTCGTCTCC